GAGAGAGAGAGAGAGGCGACCAGGGGCTGTTCTGCCCAACGCAGGCTCGCTAGGCGGAGGGCGGTCTGCCCAGGCCCTGTCTGGATGTTGTCTGAGCTCTGCCTAGCGTCCGCAGGGTGCCAGCCTAGCTCGTCGACTGTCCCCGTGGCCAGACCTGTGATCCTGGTATTGGCAATACTGGAAAATTAATGCAACTCTTACATATATGCCATCTAGACATTTCAACCGCGTTCCAGTTACCAGAAAGTAAGAAGTATCAGTCGCAATGGGTATGTCAAAAGCAGTGGTAATAGGCTAAACCGAGCTAACGGGGGGATTTGAGACAAAGCGTGCGGAACCATGGGGCTGAAGGTCCGTTTGGAGGATCGAAATGGAAAGACTGGACATTTCAGGATCGTGGAACAAAGACGTGGGAAAAGCGTGGGACCAGACGCTAGAACGCAGCAGAGACTGCTATATACACGGAGAGAACCAGGGTGTCAATTCCACATAATGGACCGTCTTGTGGCAGTTTGTCCAGATCGCCCAACCCGCTCAAAGCCGTCCCGCACTTCCAGCTACTAACAAAACGTGCTCAGTTAACGTTCCAAAGACCAGAAGGACCTACTGCAAGGGTAAGCAATGCCGCAAGCACACCCAACACAAGGTCACCCAGTACAAGGCCGGTAAGGCTTCCTTGTTCGCCCAAGGTAAGAGACGTTATGACCGTAAACAATCCGGTTTCGGTGGTCAAACCAAGCCTGTGTTTCACAAGAAAGCCAAGGTTACCAAGAAGGTTGTGTTGAGATTGGAATGTGTCGTTTGCAAGACCAGAGCTCAATTGTGCTTGAAGAGATGTAAGCACTTCGAATTGGGTGGTGAAAAGAAGCAAAAGGGCCAAGCTTTGCAATTCTGAAAATACTGGCTGCCACCTTGTTATTTTACTATACTCATTTCGGTCATTTTTCATAAATCTTTTAACGCCATCGTTATTCCATCTGTACTAAAACTTTGTATACGGTAACAAAAGATGCTATAATAATTAGGCTAGGTTCACTAGTGACATTGAGCGCGATACCATTCGCATTGTCAAGTTGCATATGAACTAAGCACGTAGCCAAGCGCTAGTTGGCACGACTGGCTTTCGCCGCTGTTACCCTGGGTACACGGTATTGAATTGTAGGAATTGAATTAACTAGCCATGTCTGGTTTCCTAACGGCATATAGTTTTAAAAAACCGTTCGCTGCTCGACCTCGCTTTAAGTCTATCAGTCTATCTCAAGGTTTCGTAAAGTATGTTCAGTAGTTCTGGTAATTCGTACGTGAAACCTGGAACTCAATACGGCATTCCCATATCAAAAAATAACAACAACAAAAACGAATCAAACCGATACTCTATGACATCAAACGGATCTTACAATTCCATGTCGCGACCTCCGGCAGCAGCGTTCAGCTCCAACTACATTCGCGAGCAAGGATCCCACCAATCTTTGCAAGATCACTTGCAGCGGGAGGCACCCATGCCAATGGGATCGCCTGTGAACAGTGGCTTCGCAGATGTTCCTAACCTAAACTATCCCTCTACTCCAGTTGCAAATAATCCAAGCTTCTCGCCATCCTCACAAAATCCAAACTACCTAAATACTCCGCCACCAGCATCGAACTTTAGCAACACAAGCAACAATAACGCACCCAGCATATACAGTCATGGCAACAACTCCCAGAGTAATTTGCGCAACAACGTATATCCAAATTTGCACGTTTCCCCCGGCCAGTACTCTGTGACGTCGGATTATCCTCCAGACACTCACACATTACAGAGCCCCCAGCATCCTCAGCAATTCCATGGAGCTCAAAGCCCACAACACCCACAACAGTATCACAGCAATAGTAACCTGCTCCAACAGAGCCCAGTGAGAAGCCTCAAGGGAGTCGGGCAACCATTCACAAATTTGGATGCGGCTGCCCGTCAAACAAACACTTACAACCCTAATCCTGCTACCATCGCGCCAGTCTCAAACTACATGTATTTCGAGAGGCGTCCAGATTTACTTTCTAAGTCTATTCAAGACAAGGCTGCAACAGTCAAACTAAAGATTGAGAATTTCTATCAATCCTCCGTCAATTATGCAATTGAGCGTAATCAAAGACGTGTGGAGCTAGAGTCCCAACTAGTGTCACAAGATTGGTCTGATGAACGTAAAAGCAGACAACTATCTACTCTCGGTAAGAAAGAATCCCAATTTCTCAGGTTACGTCGTACTCGTCTCTCCTTAGAAGATTTCCAAACAGTGAAAGTAATTGGTAAAGGTGCGTTCGGGGAAGTGAGGTTGGTCCAAAAGCGAGACACGGGTAAAATTTACGCCATGAAGACACTATTAAAATCTGAAATGTACAAAAAGGACCAACTCGCGCATGTCAAGGCTGAAAGAGACGTACTTGCTGGGAGCGATTCTCCTTGGGTAGTGTCACTGTACTATTCCTTCCAAGATGCTCAATACCTATACTTAATCATGGAGTTTTTACCAGGAGGTGATTTAATGACCATGCTGATTAGATGGCAAATATTCACCGAGGATGTGACGCGATTCTACATGGCCGAGTGTATATTAGCCATAGAGGCTATTCACAAACTGGGCTATATTCACAGAGATATTAAACCTGACAATATCTTGATCGACATACGAGGGCATATCAAGTTATCAGATTTTGGTTTATCAACAGGTTTTCACAAGACTCATGACTCTAATTACTACAAGAAACTTTTGCAGCAAGACGAAGTCAATGCTGCCGCTGGCAATTTACAAAAACCTCAAATGGGGATAGCGGCAAATAATTCGGGTAAAAATCGTAACACCATGTTTGTGGACGCCATTCATCTCACTATGACGAACAGACAACAAATTCAAACCTGGAGGAAATCTCGTCGTTTAATGGCGTATTCTACGGTAGGTACTCCCGACTACATCGCACCGGAGATCTTCTTATACCAAGGGTATGGCCAGGAATGTGACTGGTGGTCTTTGGGGGCAATCATGTATGAGTGTTTGATCGGATGGCCACCATTCTGCTCTGAGACTCCTCAGGAAACGTATCGCAAGATTATGAACTTTGAACAGACGCTGCAATTCCCAGATGATATACACATCTCTTATGAGGCAGAGGATTTGATTCGTAGGCTCTTGACCCATGCGGATCAAAGACTCGGCAGGCATGGGGGCGCGGACGAAATAAAAAGCCATCCATTTTTCCGCGGTGTTGACTGGAATTCCATAAGACAAGTTGAAGCACCTTACATTCCTAAGCTGAGCAGCATCACGGACACCAGGTTTTTCCCTACCGACGATTTGGAAAATGTGCCTGATAGTCCTGCCATGGCACAAGCGGCCAGACAAAGAGAGCAGATGAACAAACAAGGCGGTGCTGCTGCTAACGCTAGCAGCAAAGAGGACTTGCCGTTTATCGGATACACATACTCGAGATTCGATTACCTCACCAGGAAAAATGCATTATAGGTTTGTATAGACTTAGGCCGTGGTCGGTTGAGAGAATAGAAAACTGGAGATTTAAAAGACGAGCAGTTGCGACCTTAAAGAGTGTACGACGTGAATTGAGAGGACAGAAAAACTGTAGTTTCAAAAGGTAGCCACAATGGAGGGCTTGCACGAATTTGTGGTGTATTTGACAAAGCAAAAGAAAATTACGTATTCGGGCTCTTGCCGCGCTTGAAAAGAATGAACACTACGTTTAGCATGCGAAATGTAGAATCAGCTGATTCCCAGTGTCTCCTATTTTCCGAGGAAAATCAACACAGGGCGCCCAGCAACGATCTGTAATTTACTCTACGCTTCTTACCGGCCCTGAAAACCTGGGGAAACTCGGGTGTTGTCTTTCCCCGCTGAATATTAAAGGTAGGGCCAGTGTGAGCGAGTTAAAATGATGTTGTTTCTATAAAACAGAAGGAGGTAGATTAAGTATTGAACGTTGAAGATTGGTTTTTTATAGGTGAATTTCTTCAAGGACGGGTAACCCTTTGGCTTTACTACAGCCAAGGGCATCGACGACAGCTACGATGACGGCTAGGATATAGACCAATGGATATTACTTCGAAACACGAGTTACAGGACGGCCTTGGCGGGGCCGCCGTGGTGATTGATTTACTACGCTTTTGACGCTAGCGCGTTGTTCTAAAAATGTATACATAGCTAGTATTCAATAGCCAACGGCAGAATGCTCGGGAACGATCGGAAGTGCTCAATTTACCTTTGGCTTTCGGCGCATCGACAAGTGGGCTCGCTTGTACATCACGTAGAACCCCCACGCGACGTTAGTCACGGCCACAAAAATCGCGCTCTTGAAAGGCTCCGGAACATCCAGGAATGGGTACGGATAAACCTCACCCGCATCGCGATCGATCAGCCATGTCAGGTATCGATTGTAGCCTAGTCCCAGCGCGGTGACAATAACCCAGGCCCGTTTCAGCGACATTTGGAAAGGTGCCGACTCCACGACCAGGTAATCCAGCGCGAGGAATACCAAGGGCATCAAATGAATGGCGCAGTCCACCGGTACCGAAAGCGGCATGCGTGAGTTGTCGTTGACGTTGTGCATTATGAGCGGAAGAAAGAATAGTCTCAAGGGCCAGTACACCGCGGCCACCACTGTCTCCAGCACCAAAGCCATCGGCAGCGTAAACTGCCTGCTTGCGTGCTTGAGCCCACGTCCAAACCGCAAATGCGACACCAAGTTCACCAAATTGTTGATGATCGTAATCGTTACCGCAATATTCGTCAAAAACTGTCGGTGTCCAGCTCTGGCCAGACTTGAAGGGAGTGCTACGCTCGCGGCCCCATACAATCCCCAAGAGCTCGTACACAGGCTCGCAAAGTTTATCAACACGGATTTTGCGCTAGCGTTCATCATAGCTCTTCTTAGTCTTGCTCTACGCTCTAGCCTTGGTTTTCGACTTCCTACGTACCAACAGATGGTAACTTGTTGAGTTCTTGACCCCGACTTTAAAAATAAACTACAATTGTAAACTCAAAGCTCCAAGGGCTACTTTCTCAGAATTCCTCTGAGCAAATTATTGCGAATCGGCAATCGTGTTTTGTTGCAACCATTTGCTACTGCTGTACCTTTGCAATTGTCGCAACTCTCATACGCTCTTGTTCTTCATCACCTGTTATTGAATTTTTAACGCAATAATTAATTAATCTTGTCAAGTGCAGGAAGTAAAAGTTGCGAAAACCGGCGACAGACTGCAGATGAATGGAATCGGTGAGGAATTTAGAAGCATAGAGTAGCTAATATTGTAGAGCGTGTCTTTAGCTTTTTAACAGTGTAGGTCTAGTTCCGGCAGGTCGTGTTTGAAGGGTCCGCGCCAGGCTTTGAAATCCGGGTTATAAGAGGTGTAGTCACGGATTTATTGCTAACTCAAGATGTTGACGAGAAGGGGAGCCGGAAACAGGTTCCGAGCCGCAGCACGTAAGCAGTGAATTCATGAGAAATCGTTTAAGGGCAAAGGCAAGCTGAAAATCGTAGGAGCATGCGCAATCCCAAAGAAGAACAAGAGCACCTAGAGAGAATGTGGATGCTGTTTGCGTTGTGATTGTGATCCTATGGCAATTGGAACCACAGTCACTAGTGCGGCGGGGTACCAGGCTCATTGTACCAATGCGGTAATGTGATGCTTTATACACCTGTCGTTAGCAAGAAACCGGATTGCCGAGCCAGGGCTTAGCGCCGAGTTAATTTTGCTAAGATGGGATATGTAATTAGGCGAGTGGTATAAAACGGGAGCGGTGAACCGCTGCGCCTCAGGCCTATCCATTGTAGAAATCTCAAGCAACATCCAAAACACACGATAAACACTCACTAGCAAGTACTCCCAGCAATGCGTGCCGCACTAGTTTTATCCGCTCTCACAGCGATGGCCGCTGCGTCGCCCGTTACTTTCATTAGCGATCTTTTCAAGCGCGAAGTAGAGGACTTGAAAGAATACGACGATGACGACTTCGACCCAATCAGTTTGTGGCCCGGTAATTTGACTCAGGAGTCCAACTGGTCTAACTGGACCACTGCTTCCAATGGATCCAGTTTGTCCAATGGATCCAACGGGACCGGCATGTCCATGTATGACACCCCTAAATTGCAGGTGTTCATCACCGGTGGTGAATACACAATGTCGAACTGGACCGATTCCGCCGATGTGTCCATTACCACACTTTTCAACCAGTCTAGCTTGAACTCTACCCAGCTCTTCAGCATTGCCAGCTCTATCAGCAGCGCTCTCGAGAGCGACGACTACACCGGAGTAGTTGTTCTCGGTTCCGAAAGGTCTTTGGAATCGCTAGGTTTCTTCTTGAGCGTTGTCACTGACTCACCCAAGAGTTTGGTGGTTACCAGCGATTTGGATGAAGGTATTGCCGTGGCCACTTCTGACGACAGTTGGTGGCGCGGAGTCTTGATTGCTTATCAAGGCCTCATCTACAGCGGTGCTGTCTACACTCCATCAAACCCTGGTGCCGTATCCATCGGCGCTGTGTACGACGGAATTCCTTGGTTCTGGTATACTCCAGCATGGGCAACCATGCTGTCGCCTGACAGCACCATCAGAAACGACTACACGAATTTCACTGATGTTGCTATGGCCAACTCCAGCATGGGCACCAACACTACCACGATCCCAATTGTGTTCGATGGTTACTACAACCCTTCATTGGTGAGCTCTCTCAGCAGTGCCATTAAAGGCCTAGTCGTCGTTTCCTCCGGAAATTCTACGTCCTCAGAATTGAAGTCTGCTACCATCCCTGTGGTATTTGCAAACGAAGATCAAACTCCCGTGCTTCCAGGCGATGTTCCAGATAGCGCAGTCGCTGGAGGTATCTTGTCGCCAGTGAAAGCTCAACTGCTTCTAGCAATTGCCATCACCAACGGAGTGACCGGACACGATGAGTTGCAGAGCATCTTCATCTAAACGAAATCAACGACTCATTATCCTTTATTCATTTCATTTACCGCACCACTTCGTTCGTTGCCAAATAATATACCCATCAAATGTAGTTTGACACTACTGTGTATGATATAAAACAATTTAAAAGCCCTCTATGATGTACTTGTAACAAAACTTTTACCCAACCTATGCCACGTCTGGAACAGTAACATGGTAAGGTAGCGCGGATCTACAATTTCAAGACTAGGCAAGCACTATATCGTAACTACAAAATGTAACGCCTCTTAGGTTTGGCTGCATTTGAAACTCCAAACATGTCTGTCTTGAAGATTTTAACATAATACACACAGCCGATGCACTTATAATAGTGCCAAAAAACAATACTAGCTATAGCTGGTCCAATAACCGCTAAACTTGGATAAAGAAATTTTTAAATACAAGTGCCAGTGCTTCGCACTTCGATCAAGTGCGTAATCCCGGAGGAGGTGTAAATCAATCAAAACTGAAGCCCTGCTTTGCGTTAGATTTTATGCCTCGCAATGGAGATGGGTATATCGACGGACGGAGATCGTTATAAAGTTTCGATGCCATACCTTTCATATTAGTACATGTTAAATAGTTACGAGAAGAATCTGTACTTAAAAACCCGTCAATCGGTCAAAACATAAAATTTCAAAAGATTTGATAAAAATACGCATACATTCCAAGGCTGCTCAATGCATTCCATCATGTTTGTCTTGATTTAACCTTCATTATCTGAATCGTTGCGTCTCGAAGAGTAGTAGCAAAAGATTTGAATTCCATTTCGGTCAGCCTACACGTCTCATCGTTGTTGTAGCGGGTCAACTGATCCAAATTTTGTTGATTCTCCGTTTGTGGGCCTGCTGGGAGCTTGCCCTCTAACTCGGGGAACGTCGCATTCAAAATGTCAATGACTCTTTGTAGATTGAATTTCCCGTCCTCATAGCTATGTTGCTTAATACCAGTACCATTCACCGGGAACAGTCTGTGACCAGCCAGATTGGGATTCCGAAGCGGCAAAACGTGCAACAGAGCAGCGTCTCTCACGTCACAGCAGATCCCACGAGGCTTGATAAAAGGTCCTTGGTCACTGGGAGACAAATTCAACGCTCGGTCTATGAATTTGGCAGTGGTATTCCATGCGCCTAGTTCCAGCCCCCATTCAAATACGTGGGGTCCAAAAACGTAAGGAGGATTCACAGTAGTCAACGTGAATTTGATACTGTCCTTGTTGTCCTCATAGAATTTCCACACAAGTTGTTCCGCGATCTTCTTGGACGCCGCATACGCTTTGCTTTCGATGTTATGGGCCTCTTCCCAAGTTATGGGGTTCCAAGATTTCTCCGAAATTACACAACCGGGATCAGCAGCGTTGTCCAGATCCATCAGCGCAGAAAAGGACGAGGTTACAACGACTGTCTTCACATTATGCCCATGAACCCGAATGGACTCTAGGACATTTTTGGTTCCCTCAGTTGCCGGGATCAAATACTCCGCTTCAACAGTGTGTCGCTCTTCGCCCACAGGTGCGGCAGGCGACGTATGAATTACATGCTGAATATCTTGATGCTTCTCAAAAACCTCTCCAAAAGCAGTTTGGCTGGTGACGTCTTTGATAATAACGACATCGAGCACTGCATATGGGTAGTAGTGTTCGAAAGCAGAGCTAATTCTGTTGGCTTTTTCCTGAGTGTCTGTTGTAGCTATAACATGGTACCGCTCCGACTGCAAGATATTGATGACATGCATAGCAATGTATCCGGAGGCCCCGGTAACAAGTACTTTTTCGTCCATGATTCAAATGTCAGTGTCAGTAAATTATTAGATGCGATAATACATAAATGCTGAGTTATTGCAAAGATTATAGTTTACTGGATTAACAGGCGTCTCTATATATATACCGACGCCTGCCATTCGCTTTTGCTTAAGGACGGTGAAGCCGTCACCAAGATGGTGGGGTAAGACATGATTTGATGCTGGCCTGTCGTTGTGCCGTGGTCGTAAGGGTTCCTTGCGAAAAAAGGATACACACACACACACACAAGAAGCTCTACAGTTGGCTGTGTAAACTAGATTTCCGACATTGCGTTGGCATGGAGGGATTTTCAAGGCAGTGGTGTGGGGAAGCTTGATACTTGCAAGGGCAAACTTGGCACTGTGAGCAGAAGACAAAAACGGAAACAAGCAGGGCTAAATCTGAAGGATTTGGCCAGCTAGGAAGTCAGTCGGAGGTCACGTAGTTCAACCTACCACAACGCTGGAGGTGGGAATGATCAAACGATGGAAATCACCGTACACGAAATATGTTCACGGTTTTGATATAGAACGCTTCAACGCTATAGCACACTGGGGCTGACGGATTTCGTTAACTCACGCCTAATGAACGCAGACTACAGTTTTCCCAACGGAGGCTCACGCTAGAGATTTCTGTCATTGCCCAATTTTTTTTTCCCAAGAAAACGTATATTTCTTGATACAAGTCTTCCCCCTGAACCTCACATAGCTGAAGAAGGAAACAGAGCTAGCCGTAAATCATTGGCTAAAGCTCCAAGATGACCACGAAGCTAACGATAATAGGTCTCTAGTGGTCCAAGGCTAGCTTCGTTTGATCGCCAATCTACGCCAAGAGCGTCGCCCCTCAAAAAATCACAAACACCACACGAACACATCATTGTACGCGCTAGAGCGCCGAAATGGAGCAACCAAGCGCTCTGGGATTTCCCTAAGAAGCACTGAAAATTTGTCGAAGCTTCAACTAGGCTCTGAGAGTCACCTCTCCTGTCTTGTTTTGAGCGCCCACGTCCTAATACTCCCGCTTGAGATTTACCCGCCGTCACTAACCACGAGTAAGACAACATCACATAAGACGAATAATATATCCCTTTGCGGAAGGGCTAACCACATCAGGACATTTTCCCAATGTGGAGATAAAGTTTGTTTGCTTTTCTATTTAGGCTATGGTTAGCCTCATTGGCCGAGCTCACCACCCACCCGTTGTAAAAACTTACAAGATAAGACCCAGTAGTTTTTTTAGCTGTGGATCTTCATTTACACAGAGTGTGACTAAGTAAGGGGTGACTAACCAAGTACATGTGTTGCACGCACAATACGGTCAGTAGACCGGCGAGACACTTTTTCATTCGTCTGAGATAAACGTCGCAATTCCAAAAGCGGCAGAGAGACATTTTTCAGATCGTTTAGGCTTTTTGACACACGACTGACATACGGCTGTCTTACGGACGGTCAACATGTGCGAAGGCGAATGCAATATTGGGGGTCGTGCCACTGACAATGAGACTTAGATTTCATCCGGTCTTTCGCGCAAGATCCAAGAATGCGCTAGCTTGCAAGCCTCGCTCGTTGAGCCAGATTTTTTTTCTTTAATGCCGAGAGAGAGTCTTGATGAAAAATCTGTGTATCCCAGTGATCTTCATTCCGACTGTTTCTAAGGGCTAAACGGCAGCTTCTTACAACATTCCGTGGCATTTGGGTTGATGTACTCACGTTACTGGGCCCATCGAATAGCGGTTTAGTACTGGAAAATCGTAGCGCTGTGTTATCTGCAGCTCATTTATTTTCTTATCTGTTATCGCGTTCATGTGGTTTGATATGAACCGTCGGTATGAGAAAATTCGTGAGTCTTTCAATGGAGTATATATTGGAATATCTTACTGGCTTTAGACCCTGCTTGATACACGAATGACAGATACTTTGCATTGCTGTTTTAATCGAAGTCTACGGAATCATGTCTTTAGATTTAAATGGTACTGTGACGGGAACCGGAACTGGTGGTAACTCGCTCGACACGAACTTGAACGCTCAGTTCGATGCGGCTGATATGGTCTGGGTCGGCACTTCTGCTGCGCTAGTATGGATCATGGTACCAGGTATCGGTTTGCTTTACTCTGGTCTGTCGCGTAAAAAACATGCCTTGTCGCTACTGTGGGCATCTATAATGGCCGTGGGTGTTGTGTCCTTCCAATGGTTTTGGTGGGGCTACTCGCTGGTTTTCTCTCACAACACCAGAGGTAACGGTTTTATTGGTACTTTGCAGTTCTTTGGTTTCAAGGACGTCTTGGGAGCTCCAAGCTCTGTGAGTTCGGTTCCTGACATCTTGTTCGCCTTTTTCCAGGGTATGTTCGCTATGGTTACCGGTATTTTGATGGTGGGTGGCTCTTGCGAGCGTGCCCGTCTGTTCCCAATGATGGTTTTCTTGTTCTTGTGGATCACCATTGTTTACTGCCCAATAGCCTGCTGGACATGGAACGCCGAAGGTTGGTTAGCCTCTTTGGGAGCCCTTGATTACGCCGGTGGCGGACCAGTACACATCTGTTCTGGTCACGGTGCCCTCATCTATGCACTCATCTTGGGTAAGAGAAATGACCCGGTTGCCAAGACTGGCATGCCAAAATACAAGCCTCATTCTGTTACCTCAGTAGTTCTCGGTACGGTGTTCTTATGGTTCGGCTGGTTCGGCTTCAACGGTGGTTCTGCCGGTAATGCTACCATCAGAGCCTGGTATTCGTGTGTCAACACAAACTTGGCCGCTTCCTGTGCCGGTTTGACCTGGATGTTCATCGACTACTTCAGATTTGGTCGCAAATGGACTACGGTCGGTCTATGTTCCGGTGCCATTGCCGGGTTGGTTGGTATCACCCCTGCTGCTGGTTTTGTTCCCGTGTGGGCCTCTGTTATCATTGGTATTGTCACTGCTATTGGCTGTAACTTTGCCGTTGACTTGAAGGCTCTACTTCGCATTGACGATGGGCTTGACGTCTACGCTTTGCACGGTGTTGGAGGTGCTATCGGTTCCGTGATGACGGGTATTTTTGCTGCAGACTACGTCAATGACTCTGCCGGTGCTGAAGCTATTCCAATTGACGGTGGCTGGATCAACCACAACTACAAGCAAGTTGGTTACCAGTTAGCTGCTATCTGCTCAGTTGTTGCGTGGACTTGTGTGGTCACGGCAATCTTGCTGTTGATCATGGACAGAATCCCATTCTTGAGATTAAGATTGAGACCTGAAGAAGAAGAATTGGGAACTGACGGCGCTCAGATTGGCGAGTTCACGTACGATGAACACGAAATGTACATTCCAGAGCCTATCAGATCTCATACTTCTGCTCAAGTCCCTCAGCCAACAACAGCTATCGACGATAACATCAATGGAAACAGCGACAGTTCGCCTAGCACTGACCACACTGGTCATCCAACTGAGAAAGTCATTGTTTAAGTCCGAGGAGTACTCACCAACTTATCAGCAAAGCTAAGCTACTATGCCTGGAAGACTTTCAAATAACCTACATAATATAATGTTTAATACGATGCCTTAAAGACGGCTTAGGACGTTGATCTGACGATCTATGCCGGTGATTGCTAGTCATTCGTGCGTGGAAGAAGAACCGCCATAAATTTTTTGCCTTTACAGCGGGCTGTGACAACGCTCTTGTGGTAACTTTTAATTCGTTTAATGTCTTTTGATCATTTCCCAGGTTAATCAAAAACAGAACTTTTGAAAATATATTATACATATCTCCTTGACATTTATTCTAAAGTTCAAGAAGAGCATCAATCAAACTCTATGAAGTTCACTACTATCATTGTAGCCTTTATAGGCGTCATGGCTTATGCCACATCTACTGGTACGTAACCTTGAAAGATATATAGGGGAGCATTTCCGACCTTGTACTGACGACGATAACAGACCATGCCAAATCATATATATTGACACTCGATGAAAACCAAGCGGCCTGGAAGGGTAAGCTGGACGACCTCAAGTCCTTGATCAAGCAAACCGGGGGTAGAATAACGCATGAGTATTCACTCGTGAAGGGGTTTTCCATGGAACTCCCCTCGGATCGCTCAAAGGGTATTGTTGAAAAGCTAGAGAGTTTCGCTGAGAAGCTTAAATGCAAACTCCATATAGAGGAGGACCAAGAGGTGCACACTTTCAGCGGTCATGGCTCTTTCAATTAACAAAGTAACGGCTTGGGTTCCAGGGTACAAAATGAGTGGGCGGGGTAAAGTTACGCTCTAAGGCAAGTTCATGGGCCAACAGGAGTTGTGCGCCATTATATCAAAGGGCCTTCTATCTATGGATTTGAATACATATGTTCATACGTTTTCAAACGGTTTTTCGTAAACAAAGTGACGCATCAGCGCTCTAAGTTGATGTTATCTCCGAATTTGGCATATAGTACTGTCTTGAGATCGCTTATTCGAGAGTCGACTTCAGATTCGGAGTCTTCCAGTTCGTCAATTTTTGCGTCAAGTACTTCGGCATCCTTTTCGAGTTGTTCTACAACTTCGCTCTGCTTCAAAAACACGAATGCTTCCCCAATCTTGTACTGAATTTGCTCGTCTTCATCGATGAGCTCGATCTCTAAAGAAACATCATCCAAATAGCCCTTTTCTTGTTTAAAATGAGCCAACTCTTGGTTGATAGTATCCTTTCTCATTATAAGCTTGGAAAACTCATTTATCTTTTGCTGATCTTCATACAGCACTTGTATGTTGTTTTTTTTACCTTCTGGTAGCTATCAGATGGAATAAATAGTTAGTAGCTTATTCTCGAATTGTTTGAAGGTGAGCAAAACATACCAAATCCATTTTTATAGTCGGCTATTGATACTCTGTGCTATGGTAGTGTAATAATTTAAATATGCAACTTCTATGATTTCAATTTCTATCAATGAATAAAACACACGTGAGGTAAAATTAAACTAGAGTTACATTTTATAGATACCATCAACTTAAACCTCACTTTTATACTCTGCCAAAAGCCTTTGAACACTCTTGCCCAATCTTTTGGCAGCTTCTCGCAGCTGTTTGTCATTAGAAGCATACGCAAAAGTGACTCTTAGAAAGTAAGATCTCTCTAGCGAAAACTTTGTGCAAACAGCCATGTTTATACCTTGCACGACGTTGACCCCCTCTTCGATTAGTTTGTCGCCCAACGCTTGCATCCCCTCTGCGCAATTTTTGATGTTCGGGAATTTTTCGAATTTTATTTCCAGACAGGCAAACATACCAGATGTTATAGGTATAAGTGTGAAAAGGCCTTGTTTAAAGGCTTCCGTTGCGTTTAAAGCTTGAAACAAAACATTTCTGCGATGATTGTATTGTCCAGCAACTTTCATTACCCACGACAACCAAGCTTTTTGTGGGGTTTCAAAATTTGGCGCCCATTTTTGTATGACATTGTTGACCACAATTTGGGAAACGCCGCTTGGTGCTCGGGTAGAGACCTCTGCAAATTCAAGAATTTTGGAAATCAGGTACTTATTACCCACAATGAAACTGAGACGTAAACCAGGGAAGAACACTTTGGAGAATGTCTCACATCTGAGCACACGACCGGATGTATCGATTGTTAAGAAAGATTTTGCCAAAACTTCAGAGACGTATTTATCAATAGTGTATTGGTGAGCTTCGTAAGGGTTAAAGGTTGGGTTTTCCGGATCGTAATAAGGAAATCTCAAATATCCGTAGGGATCATCTTCCACTATGATAAAGTCGTGTTTCTCGGCCAAAGCGTATATCTGTTTTCGCTTGTGCAAAGAAAGCGTCATACCAGTGGGGTTTTGTCCCGTGGGGATGGTGTAAAGTAAGCGCGGCTTGGATAAGTGGGCGTATTTGCTCTGAGACCAATTTTCCAGTAAATCAGTCAAAAACTCAACATTAATGCCCTGGCCTTGAGGATCTGCACACACGTCGACCTTAATGGGTATCGCAGTTGCACCGGTAGCTTCGATGTTAAACACGGTTGGCGTAAACGTAAATTCTTCCACGAGCACGGCCACGCCGCTTTCGGCCAGGGTTTCGAAGATCTTGAACAGGGAATCAGCAGTTCCGTCGGCAAACGTGAGGTCCCAGTCCGGATAAGCTGGCGGGTTCACGTAGGAGATGAAGTTGCGGCAAAATTCAACCAGCTGTGGCATGCCGCGAGTCTCACTGTACTGAAACCCGCTGAAGATGGGCGCATTGTTTGGGTTTTCGGGTTCGTAGCGCCAGATGTCGACCATGGAGCCGTCTGCGAATTTTTGAGAAACCAGTTCCCGTTCGTTGGTGGCGGCTGGGCCGGGTCCAGGGGCGACGCTACCGTCGTGCTCTTCCACGTGGAGTTTGGAGGATCTGAACCGGTAGTCTCGATACTCGAACGGACGATCGAGGACGTTCAAGTGCATGGACTCGATAGGGAAAAGTCCCTCGTGCGGCAACCCACCGCCCAGGTTGATCGGGTGAGGATGTGGGTTGAGGTGGGAAGGGACATCATTGTTCCAGAACTGCTTGAACTTGCGGGCTTCGACCCGCGACGACAAAAAGGGCTTGTAGCGAGATTCCAAAGACATTGGGGGTGTTGTGTTGTGGTGTGGATGAGTGTTGAAAGAGAAAAGGAGAAAGCAAGTGCCAGCGTGCTTGTCTCTACTTATACTCTTTTATCAGTCACAGGGGAAAGTGATTTGTGTCACATCAGTCAGGGTCGGGATTTTTCGATAGGCGCGCTAGTATGGAGCGATAAGAAGACCAGTTTTTTTTAAAAGCGGGATCTCACACGTGCTCGATATCCATAGTGCTGTTGTAATAGTCGTCGTCGTCGTCGTCGTCGTCGTCAGCACTGTATTTCTTGACCAACGCCCAGTCTCGCTGGGACGATAGCGGCAAGCCGCTGATGTACAGCGTCAGGTTGGCAACTTGTACCAGACAGAAACATACCAGAAGTCCCACTTGGGCGAGGGCACGTGACCGGAGCTGCGCCAGCGTGTGCAGGCCCGTGGCGGTCGTCGCAGCGCCCAACGCAATGGCCTGCGTGTACAGAACGCCGCACTCGAGCAGCCCGTGCACGAGCGCGGTGGTTCCAACGACGGTAGCGAGCAAGCTGAAGAGCCGTGTGAAGCGATGCCGTACGCATACGAAGATGGCGGCCAGGAGCAAGCACGCTTGGCCCACGGCCAGCTGGGACGGCATGGCCCGGCACAGCAGCCACAGCAGCACGCCCATGTGGCAGGTTAGCGCGGCGTGTATCAGCGTGGAGTGCCAGTGGACGGTGTTGGCGGCGCGCACATCACCATCGACGGCCGCCTTGTTTCGCGCTTGTACTTGTTGCCACTCGGGCATAGTGTGTGAGTGAGTGTGAGTGAGTGTGTGCGTGCTAGGTCACACGAGCAAGAGTACTAGTGGTGTGTTCTGGCGCTATCTGTCTCGAGTAGACGCCGAAATTCGTTTCTGACAGCTTCGAAAAAAAAACTAATCAAATCTATCCAGGGCTCAGGGACTGCAGCAAAGGAAGAACAGGAAGCAGTTGGCTCGTCTTGCGGTTGGAATGTCCTATATCTTGCGCTTGCACGGACGTTTCCACTTGTTGTCACTTGTTTTCACTTGTCTTCGCTCTTTCTCGCTCCTGATGCCGCCCCACCCCATGCCAAGCGCGCTTCTTATATATAGTTACAAACACCGACCGACAAACGGCCACACACACAGATGCCCACGCCCATCGTGCGTTAAATTAGCGTTTGCAGTATTGTTTACATGCGTTTTTGCCCAATGTTACCTCGTTTCTCCTGTGTATTATTAGCGAAATAAATTGGCATCCCATGAGTACCAACGTTTATTGTAAAGGCGGGCTGGCAACGGCCCGCAGAAAGGTGCATACGGACGCGCGGGAGTACATAAACATACATACGCGTGCATATAAGCGCGTCCGCATGCATACGAGAGTGCACGTGTGAAAGCGGAGCAGAAATTTGCGCTCGGGTAGCGGAAGAGGTAAAGAGGAGAGTAGCACCATTGAACAATACGAGCCGTGAAAGTAGTACTACTGGACAATTAGAGAGAGTAGCACCATTTACATGCGAGCCTTGTGAAGAATGGGAGTGTAGTTTTTCGAACAATATTAGCCCTAGCGAGGATTGTGAAGATTAGGGCTGTAGTATTTCAAACAATGTGAGCCTCAGCGAGTAGAGAGTAAAACCATTGAACAATACGAAAGAGTAGGAACAATGGCGGGATTGTAATACTGAGGGTGATGGTGGTACTAAGAATAACACTAGGCGTGAATAACATGTAGTGTTGTGAAAGTATCGCGAGTAACATGGCAAAGCACTGTGAAAGTATCGCGAGTAGCGTGTAGTGTTGTGAAAGTATCGCGAGTAACATGGCAAAGCACTGTGAAAGTATCGCGAGTAGCGTGTAGTGTTGTGAAAGTATCGCGAATAACATGTAGTGTTGTGAAAGTATCGCGAATAACATGTAGCACTGTTACTCGCCAACTGCATCTCTCATCACTGATCTTGCTCTACAAACTCGCTCTACAACAAGCCTCCTCCAAACCTCGTTTCACCGTTCCTAGTACTACTCACGTTCTTCACAATGAGCTCCAGTGGGTATTGTTTCGACGTTGCCCTTCATATGCTGATTGAGACACTCCATCGAACGTTTTGCGCCCAGAGTAGTGGGCGTGAGCTGTCCTATCACGCATTTGCCTGCTCTTCGCTAGAAATATTATCACGGATTGACTTTTTGGAAAGTGACACATTGGTATATAGTGATGACGTTATACGGCTGACACAAACCATAGACGCAGCTAGTAGGTATAGGCACGGTGGTGGTTGTATCGTCAAATTCAAAACACAAAACAGTGCTCGGTAGTGCCTAGCGGATGGCTCAATATGTTCTTTCTCTTCATTCTGCATTAAAGCCTACACACGAAAAAAGTACCTGATGAATATCATCCTACAATTCACAAACGCTCGTAACTTGATTGATAAACGCTCTTACAACTTGCTTTGTACAAACCTTCTACCCTTCTGGATGTTTGTGTCGAGCTCTCCCAGGCACACCGCTAACGATTTCTTTTCCAAATCGCCCAGTTTTTCTAGCCATTGAGAATCGATCTTGACCACGTCCCCTCTCAACAATTCCACGGGTGCAGCAAAATATTCCGCACGGGTGTTGAGTTTCGACTGTAATTCCTTCCCGCCTTCGATACCTGGCAAATACACAAACGCAGGCAATGGAGCCACATCTGGCTTTTCCAAGTGTATGCTGCGCAAAATCTGGTCTACGAATTGGAAACCGGCCAAAGCCATAGATAAAGTGGCTGACCCAGCGCCTTGTTTCGCTTCCACAACTTCGTCGCCGCCAAATTGGACCCGATGAATGTAAGAATCGTACAAACGACGACTCACAAGTTTCGACCGCAGTTTGGGGTCCGTCACGATTGGAACAATGGTGGTGCCCGAATGACCACCAACCACTGTCACGTGGCGCTTCATGGACTCACGAGAATAGTGATCGGCGCCCAAAGAGTCGCTGAGAAACGTCTGAGCTCTGACAACGTCCAGCGTCGTGACGCCCATGACCTTGCCTGGCTGGAATACACCCATTTTTTTTAGCGTTTCACACGCCACGGGAACAGTCGAGTTGACTGGGTTGGAGATAACCAGGATCCGCGCGCTTGGCGCGTATTTGGCGGTAGCGCTCACCAGGTTGGCCACGATCCCGGCGTTGATCTTAAACAGATCGTCGCGCGTCATGCCGGGCTTTCTGGGAACACCAGCAGGGATGACGACGATGTGCGCACCGTCCAAAGCCTCGCGCAGCTCGTCCTTGTCGTAGCCCGTGCATTTAGAGTTGGTGTTGATGTGCGACAGGTCACGTGCCACTCCCGGTGCCAGCCTCAAATCGTAAAGCGCCAGTCTCGACACGTATGGCGACATTTTAAGCAGTAGCGATAGCGGCTGTCCGATACCACCGGCAGCGCCCAATACGGTAACTTTGGTCATCTTGATGTTCGATTTGCGTAGAATAAGAACCTGAATTCACAAAAAAAAGGGCCAGTACTTATCTGATCCTTGGAATCGTCTTTTTTTTGTGATTGCAGCTCACTTACAGTACGATGTTCAATTCGCTTTGCGTTCTTCCTTTCTTACTGACTCTCTGAACAAGCAAGAAACTCTCTCTGATTCAGTGTGATTGTTTCTGCTTTTATATTCAAGTATCCATCGTATTGGTGATTTATCCAGTGTCATCACATATCTTATATTAACTCGCTCCAATGTTCTGAGAAAAAAAAAAATTTGAGACCAATACCGTAAATCATGATAACAATCGTTGGCCCGGGTAGCATAAAATGGAATTGAGTCATGGTGGGATGACTCAAAGAAGGTAGAAGGTCTACTCTGGATACAGATACCTGTTTTCCGCACACAACACTCGCACGCCTACAGCTTGCGAGCCGACTTTTCCACTATCATTGGCATCAAGCCATCCAAACCATCTCCGGTTAAAGCACTTGTGGGACACACTTCAATGGGTACGTTCTCCAGCTTCAACATTTCACTTAAATCTGTTTTTAATCGCACGATTACGGGGTCCAGGTCTGCGACCAAGTCCTTTTTGTTAACAAGAACGATGATTCGACAGTTGTAGCCCAAGCGGTCTCGGTTTTGCAGGATCGTCTTTAATTCATCTACGGATTCGCCCAATCTAGCTGCAGCTGCAGCATCTATCACCCAGAGCAGCACATCCGTCTTGTCGAAGTAGTTATCCCAATATGGGCGAAGCGTCGATTGCCCTCCAATATCCCACAGTTGAACGCTGTGATTTTGGAAAGGTACCGTGTGGATTTGAAATCCCACTGTAGGCGTTACCAATTGGCGCGGCCGATTCTTATAAGAGGCCAGAATCCAGTCCACTACCGTAGATTTACCTGAGTTATCCAAGCCCAATACTAGACATCTACTCTCCCGGTCCTTGAGTTTTTGCTTCTTGATAATTGATAAAAGACCCATTATGTTTTTAAAGGCGAATTGACGATATTAATTTATTCCAGCAATATTAATTCTACTTGAATTATACAAATAGCCCGTAAACACTAAACATGGCTCTAGATGCCCGAAAAAAAGCGACAAAGGACTCTCATTGATTTTAATATCCCAAGAGCAGCTGTTTTACCCGGTAACGTAAAAAGACCTCACACTGCCCCTATATTTATCGACCTCGAAGCCGATGACATAGATGAGGACAGCTTCGCAGAGAAAAGTGCAAGTAAAGAAGCTGCGTTGATTGATACGAAACCGTTATTTGTCACAGACGAATACGAAGAATGCACAGGCGAGCTTGTCGAGAAACCATCAATCACTGAGGATTCGAAGGTCAAGAAATTTGAAAATATTGAGGAATGCAAGTTCACAACGGAGGCACTAAGTGACGAAAGTCTTTCCATAATAAAATTTGCAGACAAGCGAGAATTATCCATAGAGAACGATTTTTACGTCCAAGATCAGTCTAGTGGCCAATGTAGTTCATCGTCAAATCGAACAAACACACCAAACCGTGGCGGACAAAAGACTAGGCAATCTGGTTCTAAATTCCCAATTAAGCTGCGTTACGTACCAGAAATTAAACGCCAGATTTTTCGTGCTAAGCCTCCGAAAGTGGATCTTGAGGAGTCTGGTGCCGAGGTCAAACAACTTATTTCTATTGCGGAAGTAGGCCAAGAACAGCAAGTTCTTTGTCCCGTATGTGGCGTAGTTTTGACGAAACTTGAAGTTCATGAACGTGAAAGTCATTGTGACAGATGTGCTGAACTAGGCCCGCAGATACCGAAGAAACGCACCGGCAAGCCTTTGCCGAAACTTCCCCAAGTGAAAAAGATATATTTCAAAAACCACGTTTTGGTTGTAGATGGCTTCAATTTTGATACTGATCCTACAATTAAGCAATACTTTTTATCGCATTTCCATGCAGATCATTACATGGGGGTTAAAAAGTCTTGGAACCAGGGCTCAGTGTATTGTTCTAAAATAACCGCGGATCTACTAGCATACAAATTTAAAGTGCCAGAGGAGAGAATCGTTGCTCTGCCAGAAGATGTCACAGTCCAAATAGCAGAAAACGTCTCAGTGATTTGCTTCGACGCCAACCACTGCCCCGGAGCTTTTGTTTTCTTATTTCGTGAATTCGACAAAGACAATAATACTGTACAATGGATATTACATACAGGTGATTTTAGAAGCAACGATAAACTTATATCTCGGATTAATTCGCATACCAATGGCAAGCTTATTGATAAAGTTTACCTGGATACTACTTACATGTACCCATCATACCACTTTCCATTGCAGAAATCCGTGCTGGAAGTTACTGGTGATTTTACCAGCAAGCTGAGTGAATTGGGGTTTAAAAAATTATTTGATGATCGGCAAAGTTCAATCATGAATTTTCTTTCAGGCTCTCTGAGGAGTCGTCATTTATACAAATTCGTGTTTGTGGTGGGAACCTATACCATAGGTAAAGAAAAACTAGCAGTGGCTATTGCACAGAAACTTAACACTAAAATTTTTCTTCCCAAAGATACAACTAAGCATCGCATCTTTCAAACTTATGAAAACATTTTTCCAGAAGGCTTGATAACTCATGATATCACGAAGTCGTGTGTTCATCTGGTTTCCATGCGTACACTGGCGTCTAAAGACAGTCTTCAATTTTATTTCAAGCCGATATCGCATATTTACGAGGATATGATATCATTTTCTCCGACCGGCTGGTCCTTCAAGAACGGAGGAAAGTTTATTAAGCTTCATGAGTCGCCTGAGCAAAAAAGAGACCACACTTTAGGGTTGCTAAACAATTCGGTGGTAGATCAGCTTGATGCAAATTCCATATATTCTCAATACAACCGTCAAGCTAGATTTCAAGTTTTCCGAGTACCGTACTCTGAACACAGCAGCTTCAAAGATCTGGCGAATTTCTGTGTAAAAGTTCCGTGGATCAAAATGATACCAACAGTCAATAATCACAACGAATACATGATGAGCCAAATGGAAGAATGGTTCAAAGCTTGGAAAAAAATTCAACGTGAGCGGAAGTTATAAAGTTTTAATCGCCTAGTGTCACTCATAAAAAAACTACAAATAAAAAAGATTGTAAGAACGTTTCCCGCATTTTACTACAGTGCGCTGAAATCTTGGTTCAGGGAACTATCGTACTGCAATTTCTTAATAAATGACGCAGGAACAGAGAACTGGGATGGAACTCTCCTGTCCTCTGGTAAAGAGTTTCTACGATAATGCATCGTCAAGTTAGCCTTTTGAAGTCCAAACCGCCTAACCAGCTTGCCGTAGAATAAACCACAAGCATTGCACACAGTTCTATTTCCATAAGGACCTCTGCGCCATTCAGGCGTGTCTTTTCTCGCGCAATGTACGCACTCCATCGTTCCAAATGAATTTTTTGTCTTATCACCGGGGAGCATTCCTGGGGTAGAGCCTTTGTTAACTGGAATATTTGGCATGTTGGGCTTATCGGGTTTTTGAATTTTGAAGGAACTATGCACTAGGCCTTTATCATGCGAATTTTGGGGCCGGCGTTCTTTTGGGATCGAGGGCATCGTCCTAACTGTGCGGCCATAATAAGATTCGCCGCCTGCCGAAGTGGGAAACCCACCAGGTCCGCTTCTCGGCATCAGATATGAGTTATAACTTGTACGCCTATATTGGACGTGACCAGGTCCCGACACGGAAGTCGAAACGCGGTTATAACTCAAATCAGTTGTCTTTTGGTATTCATCTTGTTGCGTTAGCATTTCATGTGGGGGAGGTAGAAGGGGCATTCTTCGTGGAAGATAGGTATAATTTGCAGGGCCATTAGTTACTGGCCTGAAAATGCGTATCTCTTTCTCTCTTTCTTGCTTCAACTGTAGGAGCTCCCTAGCTTCTTCGGCTAGTCGTTCCGATCTTTGAAGTAGCCCCTCCATTGCCGTTAGCGGTAAAGAATCCAAAAGGCAATTTTGGCATGCACTAACTGGGGTCCCTTGTTTTGTTAGCGGCCAATGGTTGAGATTGTTGGACATTTCATTTTTAAGCTGAATAATGTTTCCAAGTTTAGCCTGATATTCGTGATCTTTACTATCTATCGGGGATTCATATTTATCAGCCGCTGCTGTTTCGACAGCCTGAACGGCAGTCATGAGAGAGTCCAAAGAATGCTTTCTGCTACTGACTGGTAACCTGGGGTACTGACTTCCAGCAGCCTGGTATTTGGGCACTCTGAAGTCCATCGCATGCTCCGCACGACTCTTTTCCGCTAGGTTCACTACATTCGCATTGCTATGGCCACTGCTCAACTGAGCTTCCTGAGAGCAAGAACTTTGGCGAGAAACAGTGCGATCTCTGTCGGGGCTGGGAGATCTAGCTAAGTGCACCCGACCATTGTCGGCTGGAGATGCAACTGTGAGGATGTTTGCCAAACTTGGCGCTTTTCGGTGCTCAACCTGATGACCCGTGGAAAGGTCATGGGGCGGCTTGAGCTGCCTCTCCCCCAAGTACTGGAAATCTGCGGCGCCATTAAGAGGGAGGCCCTTATTCTGACGCTGGCCATCGGAAGCGCTTAAGCATTCCGCAACTGAGTTTTCTGCTAGCAACATAGAAGGATGACTTACGGCAACGCTCATTATCCCTTGAGAGCTGTGCTTCCAACGTCAGGTTTTCGTGAATTGTTCTTCCGCTTCAAATGCAGACAGCAAGTTTTATACCAAGTCCGATGGTCGCCACTCGAACTTTTGACGGTTGCCTTGAACCTGCTGGAAGCGCAATGCTTCTTACATATCACACCGTTGTGATGCCAAAGGGGATTTTCACTACCTACCTAGGTAAGGCCATTTCAGTTGCAAAGTCGCTCCAGATTTCCTCCACAAGATAATTCGGAATGCCAATATCTCTCGTGAGCCTCGGATTCTCCAAACGTTACCGGGCCTGGCATCTGTCTTCCTTAATCTTCTGTCGATGAATTTTTTTTACTTGACGCTGTCGTTTTTGCCAGTGCCAATGACCGTATTTTGCACAAGGACAGTAAATAGTAAGAAAGTTCGCAGGGGAGTACATTGGGCAAGAGAGAGAGAGAGAAAAATACACACACACATCAACAAAGCTGCACAAAGCGGGGGGTGTGTGGTTTAGGTAATTGATGTTTTAGTGCCGAATACCGTCTCTAGCATAATTTTATCTTGGCCGGCTGGAATTGGAACACTGTACAACCCCAATGTTTGTTGTGCCAATTCTCATTGTATTATTGAGGAATCGCCGAAGTTCATAAAACGACAGAGAAGAGCACCAAGTTACTTATCTTCCTTGAACGTGCAAAGATAGATGCGGGTGGTACAACGGGCCCGGCTCGTACGCAATTATAACAAGTAGTATACACGGAGTCCAGACACTTGGCAATTGCATCCCTGGCGCTGACACCACTGCTGGCCAGACTACTTTGAAGTAGAATCTAGGAGTCTCTAAAACTCGGATATACGTAAGTCCGAAACAAGGCCAAGTCGCGCTTCGCACTATAACGTCTCCAAGTTTCTTTATAAAAATTCTGAGTTCCAGCTTACTTGCTCTTGAATTAAGAGGCTAGCCCAGCCTAGTAAAACGGAGCAGTATTTGACAATTCCATAGCTGTTGTTATCGATTAACGTCACTTTATTGTCGATGTTGTGATAAATCGCTATATACGAGAACGTAATAACTCTTCTGTATTCAAGGGACGGGATGAACCAGACCTTAAAAGCTTCAGAGACTGTGCATTATCTTCTACTTGTACCTTAGGTAGCTTTCGGCTAAGAACCGCTATCATGACTCAAAGTAAAGGAACGTACGAGAAGAAATCCTTCTCACGACAGGAGTGGAAAGAGTACGTCTTGGATTCTGCGATACCATTCGACGTTGCAGGAGCCTCCGGCGATTTGCACGGCAGCCCAACGTCACAACTCAAGAGGTCATGTCCAGAACCTTCCTTGACTCATTTGCTCTTGAACTACTTCGTTGTTATGAGCTATGAGGAGTCGAGCATTCGAATGGCCAAAGAACTGGGGTACATTCGAAGCAATAAGGACGCGGCGTCGTTCAACAAAATATACAAAATAAGGGAGAGGGCTCACGTACGTGAGCTCATTAAAGGAGGCCAGATACTGGAGGCGATAGAGGAAATATACACAGAGTTTGGGGTTCAGGTTTTGGAAGACAGTAGCACCAGCGCAAGTGAGAACAAGACCACAGACGAAGACGACTTGCATTTTAAGCTCTTATTACTGAATCTCATAGAGATGATCCGGAAACATCACCAAAGTGGGGCAACGCCGGAAGAATCTAGTGGATTCATTCTGGAACTTATCGAATACTCCCAAGAAAGACTGGCGCTCAAAGCAGATTCGAACAAACAATACATGAAGGAATTAGAGCTCGTAATGACGTTGCTTTTATTTCCTATGGAACAGTCCTCCACAAATGGATCAACGCTGGTGCTACCAAAAAGTCTCCGCAACCTATACTCTCTTTCGTTGCGAACCAAAATCGCAGATTTGGTAAATCGCAAGCTTTTAGAGTCGATGCAATCCCAAGTTTCGTCTTCCACAAGCAACGGAGCTTTTCCAGATCTTATTGGCTTCAAAGTCACACATCAGGGACGTGACAACTATAATGGCCTTTTCCAAGCCAGCAACAAGGAAGATGCAGGTTTTGAATCCGCCTCGACAAAGCCGAGTGAAACACAAGAAAACTTTAAGCGTCCAACGACAGGTAAGCCCTGGCAAAACAATGCTTGGAAAACGACTAGCGACCTCATAAAGGACCAGGAGCAAGAATCCTACGATGACAGTGGCGCTAATTCGCCAGGTGCCCACAAAAAGATTGAATATGAAGCAAAGCTAAATCAGGTAATGAAGCTATGGGCTTGGTGTGAAAACCAGCTGCACAATTGTGGTGTTGGAGTTCCTCGAGTAGAGGGCGGTGTATAGTTTAGCAAGAAAACATTTATCCAAAGTATCCGCTAAACAACAAATTTGCATTTGATGGTGTCTCCGGTCTCCATTTTTAGAAAACATAACTGGATGTCGTCGACGGTTGTAGGTAGTAATTCATTCGATGTGTTGTATATTTGAACACCTCTAGAGACCGAAAAAGGTTCGTTTACTAGCGTGTCATTCTTTTCTACGACAAATTGCTCGTGTAGATCAGTTTCCTTAAAGAAATGATAGAGTTTGCGTCTAAGAACGTCCAACCTACATCCGAACTCTGGTCTCTTTTCAAGCTCGTACTCTTCGGGAGAGAATTCGATGTGAAAACGAAATGGTTTTGACAAAAGGTTCGGACCGTTGGCCTTGACGTATTTCCCTTCTTCATGCGTGAGGTTGTTACCAGCAATGTCGCAGCGAGACACGACGTTGCATTCCACGTACAGATGAGCCACATGCACTGGTTTAGCGAAGAAACGGTCGCGGGTTTCAAACTCTTCAATTACGATCCCACTTTTCTCGTCGAGCCATTCTTTGCCATGAAACTCGTCGTCTAGAATCATACGATGGTTCTTGAGTAGCTCCGCGTTCAGTGCAGCCGCGTTCAGTTCATTGTAAGTCTTCTTCTGGAGAAAACTCATCTCAATCGTAATGTAGAGCTCATTGAAAAATGCCAGGGTCCCCACTACCGCCAGGAAAAGTGTGATCCTAGCACTTATAGGATCATAAGTGTACTCCTCCATGTACGGTACCCGACGCAGTACTCCCAACGCCTTCGCTTCATACCACAGATACTGCGAAATCAAACCCTGCCACATAGAGAATCTTCACGCGATGTTTCTTTGTTTACTTCTGAAGGTCAAATATATCTTTGAAGCAGAATCTAGCCACTACGCCTTCAATTCTATACTTTATTTCCTACTTTTTCGTTAGCCGACGAACCAAAATTTCCCATCGGGGTGCCTTAAGCTGAACGAGCTGAATTGAACACTTAGGTCAGCAGAGGTAAATTATCTTGTTTCAAAAAAACAAGAATAGAAAGATCTAATTCCAGATTCCGAATAAAATTCGTGGCGGGATGAAACACGAATGGAGTTTGACATGTCAATTCATATGGTTGGTGAATTTACAACGGCTGGGGTCTGTAAAGCCGCGAAAAAGGCTGCGTGGTGAGCAAATAGAACTGAGCACACGTGAAAAGCGGCTTGGCTCTAATACCGACGAGCTCGAAGCTGGGCCCGCATCAACCAAGGCTTAGTTGACTCTCAAGGCTCCATGGAACAAGAACCTCGTGCTGAATGGAGATTTGGCGTATGCGGCGTTTTGTTCGAGACGTATGGCCAAATTTAAAATAAGTCATGATAATGAAGCTAGATTGACCACCTCACGACAGACACATTCTAGACCTCAAAGGGTTTCAACCTGAGCCGAATTCTTCAATACCAAACGCTATAAAAGCATGCGGGAACTTGGAGCTTGTCTTTCGAATTTTGCCATGTTTGAGATTCGACCCTTCATCATAGACAATTGTTCAATCTTCAACTAAGAGAACTCATCACTGATATTCAAGATGCAAACTCGCCTAAGTCTCTTACTGCTCCTCGCTCCCGCCTCCGTTCTCGCATGGCCTCCCTATACGCTCCCCATCGCCGAGGCAGATGTCACAACCAGTGCCGATTCTGCACTACCTTCTTCTATTGTGGCGGACACCTCTGACAACTCCACAACAGCAGCTGTTGGGTCCTACCCAGGTGCTGGTGGAATGGGTGGTTTGGGTAACTCAACCGCTACCGACCAAGATTCTACCGCCACGGCCATCCCCACTTTGCTTCCAGGCCAGACTGCAACCAATAGCTCCGGAAACTCCACTGGATCAGAGGATGGCAATTCAGGTACTTCAACTTTGTCTCCCGACTCTGGCTCCAGCTCTGGGTCTAGCGGATTTTACAACTCATCGTCATCTGGCAATTCCACAGGTAGTGGATCTGGATCGAAAGCTTCGGGATCCGCTTCGATTTCAAGCTCTGCTAAAAGTAGCAGCAGCGCATCTGGCAACTCTACTGGATCTGGAAACAGCTCTGGCGCAGCTCAAGCTTTAGGGATCCCAGTTGGCGCGGGTATTTTGGCCGGTGCCATGGCACTCTTGTTGTAAGTATGAGAGTTTTGTCAGAATGAATAGTAATATCAGGTTTAAATTGGAAAATTCAGAATAGTGTTTAAGGACCTGGCTCTTTCGTTACGGTACTATTAGCCACATCATTGGACTCAGTAAGAGTGACTAGCATCCTTTCAATCTCATCTACCTACCTAAAGCGTTAGTAACTTGTTTGCGACATATAGTTTGATGGAAAAATACATACCCAGTCTCTGAAACTCTGATCCTTGAGCTTTTCTTTGATGAGGTCTTGGGTAAGAATAGGCCTGCTTCTGTTCAATTTGGAGTCTTTAAAGTGGGTTTCAACTTGCGGGACGCAAGGGCGGATCATGGGCGCAAGCCCCTCTAGCGGATGACTCAAAACTGGCTGATAACCAACGAAGGATTTTTGTGTGCTCTGGATATTTAATTGCGTTTCATGAAGCGCGTCCGTCGATGCCTGTAAAGAAGCGACGCCCGAAAGTGCTCGAGGTTTTTCTTTGATAATTGTGTTAGGTTCCATACCATGCTGTGGCGGGTTGTTGGGATCTCCTTGAATCCCTCTGAAGACAGTGCTACTCGGTGTATTAATGGAATGATAGTTGGCTTGTGAACTCTGAACTGGAGTACAGGCGCTAGTCTTTTGCTGACTATAATTCTGGCTCCAAATTGGAAGAGGCATTGGGTTTTGGAGCTGTGGGCCACTTTGAATAATCGATGCCTTGGCGTGAGGACCATAGCGCAAATCACTTGTGTGTGTGCCTTTGCTCTCTCGGTTTTGAGCGTACAAATTGAAGGCACTAGGGCGAGGCTCCTGAGCTGCAGGTACGTGTTGGTAAACATCCTGGACTAAACTCAAGTCTAGCGAGTCGCTTACTTCTTGTGAAAAGCATTGCGTGTCTAAACTTGCAGAGGTTTGAGACTGTTTAGCCCACCGATCTTGATTTGTCATATGATTATAGCTTCTGTTGCCATCCGCTGGTGTTTCGAATGTAGGCGGGTTGAGTATTCTTGTTTCCAAAAGTTGGGAGTTCGGAGGGGTCGAATATGGCTTCTCCTGTGTATATTGGGAGCTCAAAATACTAGTGCTTGTGTTTTGTGGTAGTTGGCTCTGTTGAAGTACTCCGGCAGCCTTGATAACAAACCCTACCGATTGAAGTATGCGGCAGCATTTCCCAAAGTCGAGGGTATTGTCAAGCCCTATTTGAAATCTTCTCATAAAGACAACCCCATTGACAGTAATCAGATACTTGCACATAACCGCTGGGTAGCGGGCAGAGAACTGCACCAAATTTCTATCCAATTTATGCTCCAGACTAAAACTCAGCTGCTCCATTACCGTGCCGTGTAGCACAAGCTCGAGGAACATAGTTTTAGGTGGCTTCTCGCCATCAACTAGGAAGACCATCGCACTTCCCGCTTGATAGTGTTTCCACTTGTTTATAACAGTAGGACCTCTTATGGTCTGGAAACCCTGAGGGGCTGGTACAACATCTAGATAAGTAGAATACCGTTTAAGGTCGATCTTGAGTTGCGACGAAGACATGTTGAGGACACAATACTGTGTTGCACTAGATGAAAACAAATGGTTTCAAATCTTCTGGGAATATTAAATCTCAGATGTTCATTTGTAGGACACTCCTTAACGGAATAGCCGCCGAACTATTATATTGTAGTTTTTGCATATTAAATAGCCATCACCAGCTACGGAGCAATCAGTGTTTTCAATTCATTAACTACAAGTTATGATATACAAGCTAGGCTCTACGGTTAACTTCCAGCAGCCTTGCAATAAACGCTGATATGGTCTACTTCTACCAAGCAGAAGCAGAAGACGGGCGCTTTTATGCCATTATTGTGGGAAAAGACAAATTTGAAAACGATTTACTCATAAAATTCGGCTACAAAGAACTAAACTACGTTTGGTTTCACGCTGATAAGTATTCGAGTGGCCACGTCTATTTGAAGCTCAATAGCGACGAAAAAGAGCTACGAGATGTTCCACGAGAGGTAATAACAGACTGCCTGCAGTTGTGCAAGTCGAAGTCCATTCATGGCAACAAACTTGCGCAATGCACCATCCTCGCCACTCCTTGGACCAACCTGCGCAAGAATGGTAGCATGAAGCCTGGCGAGGTTTCCTTCAAGTCCGTCCGTAGAATTCAAAAGCTCGAATGTCACGGCCGCGATACGAAACTACTAAATCGGCTCGATAAGACCCGTGTCGAGATCCTAGAAAACGTAGAATCTCTGCTTCACGAGGCCAAAAAAAGCAAGGACCCTGAATTCTTTACCAATTACATTGCTGCTCACAGGGAGTTACTTTTAGCACAAGAACAAGATAGGAAAGTTGCAAAGAAAATCAAGAAAAAGGTCGCGCTTGAAGAATAAATTCTAATACATCGAAGAAGGACGACTAAATCTCCGTGCCGTTACTACGAAGTCCATTTCTGGATCATAATTTCTCCAGTCTCAGCGCTTATTTTTTTGAGACATCTCTGCTTTTCTTTTCCGCACATGACGCTTTAAGGCTATAAAATTTTTTTGAAGTTTTGAAGTGATGAGATGCTATGCGATGAGCTAACAGTTTTAGTCAGGTTTTGGAACACATTCAAGGTAGACAGGACAATTGGCATCTATAAGGTTCAAGAAAAACCATGTCTAAAAGAGTCGCTTCGATCGAAGACGCCAACGACGCTGATAATGCTCGTGTAGTGTCAAGTAAGTTGGATTCCAACGCCGTGCCAACCACGAAAGCTCCCGTCGCTGAAGGCGATGTTGAAATGGGAGAGTTTGAGGACCAGTTCAGTGACGAGTTTGAAAGTGATGGGGAGATTGTACAGATGGACGGCGAAGAAGACGAGGAAGAAAATGTTGAAGGCGAGGTTGGTGGAGAGGATGGGGAATATATCCAGAGAAGCCAGTTGACGGCGCAGCAATTGGTGGACCAGGATCAAGCGAGCGAGCAAAAACAATCGGAACCTCAGCAGCAGCTGTACTTGCCGCACTTGTCGAAGCCCCTGGGTCCAGATGAAGTTTTAGAGGCGGATCCAACTGTATACGAGATGCTTCACAACGTCAACATGCCATGGCCGTGCTTGACGCTAGACATTATTCCAGATCGTCTTGGGTCAGAGCGCAGAAACTACCCACAGTCCTTGTTGATGACAACAGCCACCCAAGCGACTAAGAAGAAAGATAACGAATTGTTATGTCTCAAGCTCTCACAGCTCAGTAAAACGTTGGTTAAAGATGACAACAACGACGAAGATGACGACGACGACGACGAAGACGAAGATCAAGATCCCGTGATGGAGAACGAGAACGTGCCACTGAAAGACACCACTAACAGGCTCCGGGTATCGCCATTCGCATCCGAGTCGCCCGAGAAACTCACTGCCACAATGAGTGAAAGCGGTGAGGTCCACATTTTCGACCTGGGGCCCCAGGTTAAAGCGTTCGAAGTGCCAGGCTACCAGATACCCAAAACCGCGAAGAGACCAATACACACTATTAAAAACCACGGCTCAGTCGAAGGATACGCCCTTGATTGGTCACCTTTGCACAAGAGCGGGTCTTTGTTGACCGGTGACTGTTCTGGTAGAGTATATTTGACTCAAAGACACACCTCCAAGTGGATCACCGATAAAACTGCCTTCAGTGCGGACAACAACCAGTCTATCGAAGATATTCAGTTCTCCCGCACCGAGGCTACAGTTTTCGCAACCGCCGGCTGTGATGGCTATATCAGAATTTGGGACACAAGATCTAAGAAACACAAGCCAGCTATTTCTGTACAAGCCTCAAACACAGACGTCAACGTCATCAGTTGGAATGAGAAGATTGGCTACTTATTGGCCAGTGGTGATGATAACGGTACATGGGGCGTCTGGGATCTGAGACAGTTTGCGCCTTCGACGGCCGCTTCCACTACCCCTGTTGCCCAGTACAGTTTCCACAAGGGTGCCATCACATCCATTGCTTTCAACCCACTGGACGACTCTATTATCGCTGTTGCTAGTGAGGACAATACCGTGACGTTGTGGGATCTGTCAGTGGAAGCTGATGATGAAGAGATAAAGCAACAAGCCGCTGAGACTGCAGAACTACAGCAAATTCCACCCCAGCTTTTGTTTGTTCACTGGCAGAAAGAAGTCAAGGATGTCAAATGGCACAAGCAAATTCCAGGTTGTCTGGTGAGTACCGGTACAGATGGATTGAACGTATGGAAAACTATCAGTGTTTAAGGCACAGATTCAAGGGCATTAATTCAAAAGTATAGATAGTGACTGTACACTAGTATCTACGACCAGGAAATATAGAAAGTAGTTACTTACCGTTGAAGATCAGACGAACTTGCGTGATATTCTTTTGCCAGATCAGGGTTTCCGTCAGGTGCGACCGACTACTCTGTTTTTGATATCAATGAAAAGAACCCGCATCCTTATTAGAAGTAAACACCGAAATATCTGCTAATCAACTCATAATACAATGCTGATCGGGCCATTGAAACCGCCGCAAATATCTCAAGTCCCCTATATAAGCGCGAGTGAGAATGAAAATGACACCAAGGATGAGATCGAAGAAACCTTGCAAACGGTTCATTTGCCATATTCAAATTGCTTGATAGTTTTGACTACTAAGCAGATATTAGTATACAACTACAAACCAATGGCATTGGTATCGTCAAGTGTGCGTAGTGCTCATTCCATTGAACAGTTTGGTCTCAATAGAAAACTTTATGCGGATTCAGCCAATAAGGAATTGTTCCAGGATCTCGTTTCAGAACCTGATTTGAAATATGTGGGATCTCACCGAGGAAAAGTAACATTTTATGTGGTTTCCGAGAAGAACTTCATCTTCGTGTTTCAGATCTTATTAAATTCGAACCCTGTAAGTATTTTTAAAGAGAATGGTATTCCTATCATAGACATCAATCGGGTGGACCACGAATTTGGTCAGGATCTTATGAACGACGCCGAGGATGATGACACTCTGACTGTTTTTGATAAGAAAGACTCTCACAAAGTGATTCAAAATGGCTATGTCGTTGAAAAACAACAGGGTTTTCTGCATTTTCTAACAAGGTCAAGGGACACCATCGATGAAATACCAATCAAGAAGGTTGAGTTGCGACTCAAGATCATTCTCAAATTTGAGCATAATGTTGCCGATTTGGCAGGTATTTCTGAGATTAATATGGATGACGAGGCCGACAGACGTGAATACTTAATGATTTTATTTCCACATGGACTTCAAATTCTTGAATTGCAAAATTTCAAGTTGAAGAACAATGTGCTCATTGACATCCCTGATGGCTTTAAGTTCCTTTATTCCAAAAAAGGTGCATACGTTGTCTCCCAAAGCTCCCGAACAATTGTATTGAATCAATTTAACGTGGCGAAAAAGACGGTCATTCCCAAAAAGCTCGAATATGAAGCTGTCGGAAAATTATTGGACGTTCATTTGAACGAAAACGTTCTTTCCATGGCATATGAATCTGAAGTTGTGCTTTATGACCTTGACAAAGATCAGGCTACTAAACAAATATGCACATCAGCAAGTTTGACCTGTTATGGGCAACTCACCGATGAAGCAAAAATATTAATGACTAGAAAGGGGATCAAACTAGTTACAAACTGGGGAAATTGCATCGTATCCACTCTTGATGACGATGAGGTTTACGACAGTGATGGAGACTATTCGAATTTTTCAAGCTTTGCCTCAGTTGGAGGATCTCTAGTAACTACATCAACCGACGGCAAATTAGCCAAATGGGATTTATGGTCAGAGGTAGTAACTCCGTTCACAGATGCGAGGAATGCTCGGCCATTTATCTTGCAGAATGAAAATAATGACTTGATGATTTTTGCCCCTACGTCTGAATCTTCCGGAAATGTTCCTTTTCAAGTCATAAAGCTCCCGACTCAAACAATCAACAATTATGTCCCTCTGGTGAGAGCAAATGGACCTGTCACAATGATTGCTGCATATGTATCTAACAAGAACATTTTGTTAATACACAACCTGGTCGCAAATACGTGGCACAGTTTTGCCGACCTCACATTCATTGATATGTGCTGGATAGGTACGGAATACTTGTTTTGCCATTCGCTGGACGATGACAAGAGTGAACAACTGCGCTGTTACCACTTTCCCTTTCAAGGAAATTGCAGTTCAGAAATATCGGAACAGCTTATTTGGGAGCATGCTGTGTCTTCAAAGGCTGAACTTAGAAGCGTCCATGTAAATACACTTTCGAAGTACAAGCTGCTGAAATTGAAATCAAAAAGTGCTAATAATGAAGATCTAGAAAGTATGTTCAAGACAGCTGAAGTGCTAATACAGAATTCACATGGCGAGCTTCGCACAATTGACATAATATCTAAAATCGATGATGATGAATCCATTAAGATCAAAGTATTTCACCAGCATCCTGCTGAGAAGATCTTTGAGGACCCAGATGTTACATACAGCTGGATAGTAAGCCACAACGCTGGATACCTGGTACAGTTACGTGACACAATTTTCAAGTGGCAGAGAATAGATGAACGGAGTTGGCAAGGCACAGTAGTACTGGATAAAGTAGAGCGAATTCTGGACATCATTGAAACCGGTGTTTATATGGTTAGGGAAAATGAAGTCGTAATTTATAGCATGGAAGACTTGTGGAACCAAACAAGTCCAATGGCAAACGTTGAAATAGTTGACAACGACTATCCAGTGGCGATTTCACCTGATGCGGCAATTATTCACAGCATCCAATTTGTTTTCTCTCGCGACTTTTCCAAGGTCGTTCCGCGTCAAGCCATCTACTTGGACCAGGCCATCGATCACTATCTCAATGCTGGGATCAGCTGCCAGGAGATCGACGCTCGATATCGTTCGCTGCACCACTACAAATTCAGTTTGGAAAAGATACTGTCAGGGAAAGTTTTGACCAACGAGCCGCTTTCTGACATTATCAATCTGATAGACTATTACGACCAAGGTCCTAAACATAGCGGAAGGCTAGAGATAATTAGCAACTGCCTGCGGAAAATCGAAGTAGAGCACTGGGACTACCTTTTCACAAAATTAGACTTAACTCCAAGGAATTTGCTATTACAGTGTATTGAACAAGATGAGGCCCGCGTGCTGGGGGTTTTGTTGATGGTTTTTTTGAATTACGATGGTAGTAAGCAAAACGGTTTCCTTAACAATTCCTCCAATCAAAATGAAAACATCAAGAAGAGTAAAAAGAAGAGTAAAAATCGAAAGCAGGATCCGTTACTGGAAAGTGGGTCGATATCTACTGTTCTAAACGATGAGGACTTGATGTTGCAAGTATTGCGGCTGCTAGTAGACACTGCTGCTTCCTCATCAGAACCAGAACAGGCCCGAGAGTTTTGGGACATGAGTTTCCAACTAGTACGTTTCATTCATGCTTTAGACAACGAAAATAAGACCTCGCTTATCCAACGTGCAGTTCAGATACTAGGATAACATTTAGGGCAACTCACTTGAGCCAAAACCTATCAACAGATCAATTCGATGTTTTCACGTGATCAAAGACCAATGAAATCGTTTAAAAGATATTATACCGTTAAAAATGACTCTTGGTGCCAACGCTGGTATCGGAAAACCTTCAGATTGAAAAATTGGTTTCCAGTTCTCATGAAAGAACGATCCTTTCAAAATCTACTTGGATCCAACTCAATTGTGGAATTTTTTAGTTAACTGATCAATAACCAGCTTGCATTACTGGTATATAATCCACAATGTCTGATAAACAAGAATCCCCATTGCATACCGTTGGCTTCGATGCCAGATTTCCTAACGTAAACCAGACTATGCACTGCTGGCAATCGTACGTGGATTACCACAAATGTATCAACATGAAGGGCGAAGAGTTTGCTCCATGCAAGGTCTTTTTCAAGACTTACTCGTCATTGTGTCCTTTGGACTGGGTGGAAAGATGGGACGAACAGAGAGAAAAGGGCAATTTTGCCGGGGACATTAAGCCATGAGCAAAAAATGGCTTTAATGAGCACTACTTTTTCTTCTACCATGTCTTTCTGTCCTGCTTTTCTAGACCATGTTAACGACCTGAATTCCTGGCCTTCACGTTAGTCCGCCATGCATTGTCATTTTTACCGTACTCTTTAGGCGCTGTCTCGTGCGATTGATCTAGTAGCCGGGAAATTAAGCCTCTGTCACGAGGGTAAATCTGGCATCTGGCCCACGGCGAAGTGCGGCTCTGCATGAACTTACTATATCCTTTGTATTCATTATATTATATACACACGTCAATGAGGATTTACTATATCATTACGCGACGGAACAGAAACTCAATATCAAGAACAGTAAGACACCATGAACCGAGAATATTCCATGTTATAGAATGATTTTCGTTAAGCGCGAAATGCTACAGCCTCAAGCTATTAACCTGCGAGCAGAATGAAAAACGCAAGCGATATGCCTCGCTATATATTTACTTTACTGACCAGAAGTAAACGATTTTTTGAGCTGATTTTCTGAAACTCTAACGTTGCCGTGAGACTCTTATTTTACTTTTCGAGCTACTAAAAGCGACAGACGAACTTTGAAGTGATGTAAATACCTGATAAAAATACAGGAATATGACTAAGAGCCGGTTGCATATGCTGACTTTACCGGCCTTTCTAGCATCCAGTTGTCGCTTTGAATACATTTGAAGCAATTGATGAGTCGCGACCAGATCGCGATTGCCGCTTTATTTTGGGCCTTTCCATAATTCAAATCAAACTTATCACATTATCTGAAGGATGTAATGCAGCAAGAAGCTCCTTCTTTACTTATATAGTTCTTGTCATCGTTCAAGCATAATTCAGTAATAACATATACTTGTTCTAATCAACACGCGGGAACATCTTCACCTTTCGCTGTGTAGGATTTGAATTCCTCACTACTTCTGAACTAGTCGCACTTTATAGTGTATGATTTCATAGTTGGCGCTGCACCGCGTCCAAAGCTGGGCGCCCTGGAAGCTTCCACAACTTTCTGCAACAAAGATGTGCCTACAGCCAAACGCGAGATATGCACCGATGTAGTCGGGTAGACGAGTGTGTATCCTTAGTTTGTGATCCTATCAAACCAACCTCTGTTACATAACTGCACTGGAGCTCTACTCAAACAGAACCTTTGTCAAAGTCCTGAAGTTGGAGACAACATATTGACAATCTGATAACTGTATAGCGTCGGTCTGCTTCATCGACAACCCCCAGCTCTCTGACGCATTGTTATCAATTTTATCAGTGTATAATGCGTGTGTCTGTCGTTGAAGCCCGTCTGAAGTTTCTGATAAGTGCTTGTACTTATCAGTTCTATCTATCAAAACCGCGTTCCAGCCTGCATTATAGGGGCCTTGCAGATCATTGGTATCTTCGTCACCAACATGCCAGCAGCAGGACTTGAGCCCCTCAATGGTAGAACCCGCAATCAACTCAGGGTGTCGTTCAACTAGGTTCTGTAATACTAACTCGAAGAACTTGGGATCTGGCTTAGCCACTTCCAGATCATAAGATAGATAGACGTTGCTGTCAAAATATGGTTCCAGACCGATGTTTTTCAGTAAAGTGTACATGATCGGGTCAGTGTTACTCAATACGCCGAGAATAACCTCTGGATATTTTTGTTTTATTAGTTTCAGGAACTCTAGCAGATCCGGATAAACCGTATATGCGCCAAAACCATCAAATACGTGTAAAATTTCGACAATCATCTTCTGAGGAACATAGATGGGAGCAAAGACGTCAGAAATCAATATTCCCCACCAATCTTTCGGAGAAATCCCTGTGTGCCTTGCCATAGTTTGGATGTTGATCTCTAAGATTTTTGAAAGCTGATCAATGATTAGTATATGCGTGAAAAGGTTTTAGGACTGCTCTCTAATTATCCAGCGACATACTCGTAGGAAATTTAGCTGCCAGTTTTTCGGCGCTTGTATTTATACCATATTTCTTGCCTACTCTCGAGTATTGTTCCATCACTGGAAGTGTAGTGGAGTAAAGGGTATTGTAAGCATCAAAGGTGATCACTCTTGGCTTCTTCCCAGTACCTGCAAGAGGGCTCAATTGTTCTAGTTTAATTCTTCTTGGATACCTCATGTTCAACATCCTTGAAGTGCATATAGCTCGTTATTAAGAGAAATAAACAAATTGTCGTCATAGCGAAAATGCACTGTAATATATTGCAATTTCGGATTATGTCTCGTCTATGAACAATTATGAAAGTGCTATATAATTTTGTCTAATCTACAATTTGGGCCTGTCGTTCAGGCAAAATATGCATTGTTTTTTGCAAAGCAGAACGCGTCTGAGATGGCGATGGCCTCGTATCTGCCTTGCAAGCTAGTGAACGTTCTATACTCGTACGCATAAATGTCCTCGACCTTGTGAGTCTCAACAATTTGGGGACGTCTATTTCCCCGCTTATCGTCTGCTTCTTCAGTTCTGACGTACGTTAAAGAAAATGGAGGGGTGCCTTCGAAAGAGAAAATAATCTCAGCCTGGTCGCCCTCGTGAATATCTTCCACAATGTAATCGCCGCGAGAAACGGTTACAGAGGGAATTGGGTGAATTTCGAGCGACAAATCTTCAAATTGACGCTCCATGCCGGGTTTCATGAAGTTCACGACGCATTGGGATGCCGAGTCTTGCAGCGAGCTGATGGAAATTTTACCAGCCTCCGATGCCAACCTTACAAATTGTGATGTCCGTTCTTTCGATTTCAGTGAAACACCATTGAAATCATACTTTATGGTGAAGGGAGCCATCCCGCCTAGTTGGTAGGATACATAATCTCCAACACACACATCCATATTGGGCTCCACCAATGAGATTCTGGGAACATCTGTAATGGATATTAAAATATGGTTCTTCTCAGATTTGTGATCGGAAACACACCCGTTTGCGTCGACTACCTCCTCAATGGTTACAATATGGTTGCCGAGGTTCAAACCACCGAACAGCTTAGCATATTCAAAGGTATTTTTAGTAACGCCCCCGATATTAATGCGATCAGTCTTACTGGTACTCTCATGATAGATACTAAAGGTTACAGCCAAGGGCGCCTGTCCAGCCTTCACATGCAGTCCGATCTTTTCAAGTCCAGCAACGTGGTCCACATCAGCAGAACAGGTTCTGAAAGTTTTACCGGGATCAGAAAATTGAACGCTGGGCAGTGGTCTGACATCCTGCTTTATCACCACATCAGATGTCGTGAAGCCTATCTTGACTAAATCTTTGTCGGAATAGTGAGAATCAGATACACCTTTGATAGTCAACGTATAGCTACCAGCTCTATCATTGGGCAACTTGATCGATGCATATTTAGTAGCGACATGAACAGATTTAGATGAGATTTGGCCATTAGGTGACAGAAGATCGTAATAGACAACAAAAGGAGCCGATCCTGTCAACACCAAGTCCACAGTTTCTTCGTAATTTTCACAAACTTCGCGCTTCTTCAACGATCCGTCCTTTGACCTGAAAAGCTTGTTGTGCTCCTGAACTTCGAAACTAGGCTTGCTTAGAAAAGATATACCAAACTCGTTGTTTAGTTCTACCCTCCCCCGACAACTGCGGTCTTTCACAGACATCAGTTTGTATGTTCCTTCTTTTTCAACCCTTAGAGTAGCTTTGTAACTGGACAGGAACTTCGTTTCATAAGTTCCAAGCACATCGCCCTTCTTATCTGTGTGTTGATACATTATGGTAAAAGGCGCTACGCCCGAAAGGCTCATAGGCAGCTCGGCATACGCGCCTTCCTTTATCAACACCTCGTTAACACGTTCGAAAGAATTGAAGCTCGCGGATGGAACATCGCGACGAACCTCAATACGAGCATCCGAAGAGCTGATGCCCACTACACAACCAGACGAATCCTTAACGGATACAAGCGAAAGAATATAATCACCACCCACATCAAATTTTGGAGTTTCGACCTCATATTTGTAAGAATCGATATCCTCGAGAGTATATGTCACTCTCTTATTCGTAGAAGTCTCCAAAATATCGTACTCAAGCGTAAATGGTGCCTCACCTTTGAAAGTAACCGGGATCTTACTCTGGCTGTTTAGACATAACTGTGTTGCATACTGCGATGAGATAGCAGCGTCAGGCTTTACTCTCATGGATGTTTTAAAAGTATAATCCTGCGAAGGCACCAAGGGAATAGCCTTGGTGAAGAGGGTATTAGAAATCTGGTCAAACACAATTTCGTAATTACCCTCCGAGGTAGGATTATAACGGAACTGATTTCTTGTACCTTGAGATGTGAATTTTTTGGTATCATGAAGTTTGCGATCTTTGTCTTCGATTTTGTAAATCTTAGTCCTGTAATAGAATGGAGGCACTCCTGTAAAGGTCAAATCGAAGTTTAAACCAACTTGGCCAACGCATTGGTCTAGTATAGGTGTGGACTTGACTTCCAGACTAGGAGGGATAGGTTTCGTCACTAGAATATTTGATTTATCAACCACAACACCCAAGCAAAATTTGGAGGACACCGAAACCAGGTTATAAGTTCCAGGCGAATTGACAGGGATCTCGGTGGTCTGCTTAGTTAAATCATACTTCAACAGTGAAACCTCTGTATCGTTGGAAGCCTGAATGATTGCATTGTAAGGAATTCCCTCATCCCAGTCTCTGATTCCTTCGAATTTGACAATTAGTGATCTTTTTGTAGGCGAGTTATGGTCGAATTTCGAGTCCAAAGTAGCTTTAGGAAGGTTGTGAACATTGAATTTATAGGAAAGACCATACTTTTGTAACAAATCCGGGGACAGCACTGAGAAGTCCATTTCATTTCCAAAGCCATCGCTAATTTTATCCAGTGTGTAAGCATAAACGCCATCATCCTTCAGAGCTGCTTCGAGATTGATAGCAACAGGATAGCTTCTGGCCCATTTTAGATCTGCTAAGTTTTCATGGGATAAGGTTTTCTGGTTAAACATGAGAGGAGAATCAAAACGTTCCGGCAACAGATTTACATCCGTAAACAGAGATGACTCACCATCTAAAAGGCGAGTGTATTGAAGTTTGAGCGGCGGAACACCATTTACTTCGATTGAAACTTTGCTCGATTCCCCGACACATCTGTCTAACTCTCCCAATCCAGCTATGACACCCCATGGACAGTGCGGAATAATAACTTGGGAATTGTAGAGTCTTAGATTGAACTTTTTGGAATCAGTGATCTGTTTGACTTGGTACATACCAATATTCTCAACAGGAAGTACAAAGTACCGAATAGAGGCTTGGTGAGGAGCCTGGTCTCTTTGAAACAAATTGTGAGTCCTAGAAACTTCAATTAGCTGCTTTTTCGTAAAATTCAGTAATTGAGGACTGGAAGACTCCAAACTGCGGTACTCCAGCTGCAAAAAATCAATCTCCGAGGTAGAATTAATTCTAAGTGGAATGTGCATAGCCTCAACATTGACCCCATTCATGCTCATACAAAAAGAATCGTGAAAAGGGTTTAGCATCGCCGTATTTTCGGGCAAAATTTTGATGGTTAGGGCACCTTTAAAGTGCGAAGATGGATCTACAATTTTGCGTTGATTAACAGATCCACCAGTCAAACTCAGCTGTTTGGTGTTAAACTTACCCCATGCCGATATTAATATTGACAAAAAGGGAAAGGTCTGCTCATTGGACAGAAATACTGTGGTTGCGGTCATAATTAGGATCTGTATCAAGACCGTTATGGGTCTGAAGGTCAACTTAGGGATCTTCATGTTCGATAGAAAGTACAGAAACAGCGAGTCAATAACAAAATACTTCGAAACGAAATTGAAGCGCGAGCTGGTGATTAGAACCCCAGAAACAGGAAGCCCAGTTTTCAGGAGAATAAGGTCGTACAGTTTGTAGGCCTGAATAATGACAAAAACGGCTGCCACAAGGGCCCTTTGGCTGGGAACGTCGAGTACCCCGGTGGATATCAGTGGCAAGTCTTTATCAGATTTCGGATCAATATCTCCGGAAACGCCAAAGGCGCCTGCAGAAGCTGTTGAGCCTCGGGATCTTACCGATTCCGTAGCATTTGGTGGTTGCGGCCATTCATATAAACCAAAATCAGTTCTCTTTCTTCGCAGCTCAGTATCGAGAGCTGGTTTCCGCTCGCCAAATCGGTTCTTGAGGTCCATAATGAAACCTCTATGCGCCTCAGTCACCGGCTTTCAGTGGCTATTTCGATGGAGTAAACCATTTTGTCTTTTGTTGTTGTCATTTCTTGAAAATTACCAGTTAAAAATCGCCACACACGGGTCAAGAGCGCGGCGATAGCATGGCCTAAATAGCTAGCGAAACTGGTTGGGCTCGGATTATTGATGTTGGAAAATGTCGAATGAGCTCCAAGGGTGTAATATATGTGTCCTCTCTTAGAATAACATGTTTTGCGGGAAAGGTCTCCGAGCAACAATCCTGTTGTAGAGCCAGTAATTTGAAATGAAATATTGTAGAACGGGGAACTACTCGAACACTTTATCAATATCATGAGATTTTAGAACAATATGAATTGTTATAGGGGCTTAAGCTCCATGCTCTTATCCTTGTTTCATACATAATTTGAATCTGATTCCAAGATATTAAATTAGCCACCTTTGAAAAAGAATGGTAATTACTTGCACAGTAGGATGCTTCTAGTTCCTCGGATTCCTAGAGGAAATTTTGACCTTTATGTGGAGGAAAGGTTGATTTAACATATTTTGGATTTGTATCGCAAGCGCACAAAAATTGGTAGTGCTTTTATTTCAAGTGAGCTTGCAGGACAAGCAGTGGATATAGATCTTTTGTGCAGATTCATGTCTTTTCGCATAAAAATCGTCTTTTCGCATTCAATTCCGAATACAACTAAAGTTGCGAGGGAAGTGGTCGAGTATGTAATTCTCACGGAGCAGTGCACTTAATAGTTGGAAGCTGAACTTAGGGGTAATGATGAAGATAAATGCAGTAAAGAACTAGTTTTAGGCATAAACAATGCATCATACAACTATAAGTAGCCGCTGAGGCTCTTGCAATGGTTCTTTAGTTACGAAATTTATTTCCGAAGGATTGGAAATTTTGAAAGGCTTAAGCTTACGCTGAGGATGAAGTTTATCAATAGGTACGAGTTTAATCAACCTACAAATTGCGTTGGCATTGTTTAATGTCGGTGAGACAAAAGTATAGGCTTAGCCTTGTAATGTTGGGATGTAAGGAATGACAGTGCCAAGTTGTAAAATGACAAGATAGTATAAAGTGACATACGTAAATATTTGACCCAGCATGTCGATTCAGACAGTGAATAACAATGCTGAGCTCTGTGCGTTGATGCTGAGTAGTGATTATAGTCATGTTGTTTCATTACCATTGCGGTTGAAGAATTAAGTTCGGCACATTTCTACGAATTTCGAACAGAGCTACTCACAATCAGGTCGTCACTCAAATAGTTGTATAAGTTCCGATGATTTGTTTACTATTTCGGGCATCTGTTAATCGTCTTTAGGAGTATCACAGAAAGATATTACAAACCCTCATCTAGGTGTTAGCTTATCGAATCACTTATGAAAGAGATAAACAAAAAAATCCATCGATGGACTTGACTCGTCTCAATAGGTGAACACTATTGCTACTTAAAGCCTAGCGAAGCGACTGCAAAGATCATAAGATCTATTTTTCAATACCAGCTACTTCAATTTTCCAAGATTAACATATTATCGCACTACACTTATGACCGAATCTAGGGAGGAGCTTTAATAACACCTAAAAGTACTTGCCCCTACTGGTGTATACTGTACAGTAGACTCTTTGTCTGCCCCTACAACTTCTTTCGCCCATGAAGCTACAACGTGAATATTTGTCGCTACCAATTGTTGACTGAGGTTGCGAAAGAAGGAATGATAATTTCTTTACACAAACATGCCACAGTTTAGGGTATAATCGTTTCCAATTCATTGAGTCTACTGCTTGGTTGGAGGAGGAGCATCGTTTCCTTAGTGAAAGAATGGCTCGAGATTAACTGGTTTAAAAGTTGAAAGCTTTCATAAATTTGGACGCAGACGTGCCAAATATGACCATTATTAGTTGCGGAATAAACCCATTTACATTCAAGAGCCTACCAATATAAGTCCGGGTGGTTCCCGTGTGCCGGTTGCACCTATATTATTATAACTGTGAAGTATTCATTTCACCGCCTTTTCTAAATTGGCTCCCACCCTCAATGGTATAAACAAATCTCTTATGAAGCAACTCGGATACTTCATTCAGTACAGTAGCTTATTCGGATTTGCGATGTATAGAAATAACTTCAGTAATGACCACGAGCTTTTCCTTTTCTTCGCTCATCACATGCAATAATATTTCTTTCGTTCAGGAAACTAAGGTGCACTTTAGAGACTAACTTGATATCCACCATTTGTCAAGTTACGAAGTAGACCAGGACTTCAAGGGACACTATCAAAACATCCAGTAATACAAGTCACGGCTTATGTCTGTCACCGGTATTATGAGCAAATTTGCTCGTTTCATTGGGCCGGGAATTATTATCAGTGTGGCCTACATGGACCCCGGCAACTATTCTACTAGTGTATCTGGAGGCGCTCAGTTTCAATACCAGCTGCTGTTTGCCATCTTCATTTCCAATATATTTGCGGTGGTTTTGCAGTGCCTATGTGTAAAGCTCGGCACCGTGACAGGCCGGGATTTGGCAGAAAATTGTCGTCAACACCTCCCACATAAATTGAACGTGATTATCTTCTTTTTTGCCGAATTAGCGATCATCGCAACTGACCTTGCTGAAGTAGTCGGTACAGCCATTGCTTTACAGATTCTGTTTGGATTTCCACTCTTACTTGGTGTTGCATTCACCATCTTTGACGTCCTCATCATATTGATTTTCTACAAACCTGAAGAGCAGTCTATGAAACAAGTGCGGTTTTTTGAGATGTTTGTGACAACCTTGGTAGCTGCTACTGTTGTGTGTTTCGTGTTAGAGCTTTTCAAAATCTCTGTTCCCGACAAAATTGAGCTTTTTGAGGGGTTTCTGCCTTCAAAAGTCATCTTCCAAGACAAGCAAGCGATGTATATTTCGCTTGGAATCTTGGGGGCTACTGTAATGCCTCACTCGTTGTTTCTGGGCTCCTCGGTGGTCAAGCCAAGAATAAACGAGTACGACTTCAAGAAATATGGTAAGCTCAATGCGCAACCCTCGCTAGCTGCGATCAAGTATACTTTGAATTACTCGTACGCTGAGCTGATTATTTCGCTTTTCCTTATCGCCACTTTTGTTAACTCAGCTATTTTGATTGTCGCAGCTTCAACTTTGTATGGACAGCCCGATGCCGAGGATGCTGACTTGACTTCAATCTATAATTTACTCAGCTACTACATTTCTCCTGCTGCAGGCCTAATTTTTGCTCTGGCTATGTTGTTCTCAGGTCAATCTGCTGGTGTAATATGCACTATGGCTGGTCAGATTGTATCTGAAGGATTTCTTCGCTGGACCTTCAAACCCTGGGTGACCCGATTGGTCACAAGATTGATTGCTATTGTGCCTTGCTTCTTTGTTGCTGCATTTTTTGGCGAAAAGGGCATTTCAAGTATTCTGAATCTGAGCCAAGTTGTTCTATCATTGATTTTACCCGTTGTTTCCGCTCCTTTGATATATTTCACCTCCAATAGTACCATTATGTCTGTATCCGATACGCACGAGCAGAACTTAGATGAAGCGAGTGAAAATACTCCATTAGCAACAAGGGCCACTGGCAAAATAAACTATGCGAATTCCAGATGGCTCACAATTACATCAATTATTGTTTGGGCCATAATAAGTGGATTAAATTGTTACCTTGTGATTTCCTTCATAGTAGGGGCTGATGTCCATATTTAACGTTTGACGAATATACTCGAGACCTACGAAAATAGATAGATAGATAGTAATAATTAGCTCTCGAAAACATTGATCTATATGCTTTTATTTTTTGTACTTCTTCTTTCTCGCCTGAACAGTTCTAACCACTGGTATGCTGCCCGTATAGTTGGCTTGTAACACTGGGAAAGACCGTGCTGTTATTTGAGGTATTTTATTCATTTGTTTCGCGAGCATGACCTCTCTCATTAGACGCTGCACCTTATGATAAAGCTGAACCTCTCTCGTTGATGGCTTGCTTACTCTTTTTGATCTTATCCGGTCTTTTTTCAAGGTGATCATTTCCAGAAGCGTTTGAGTAATTAGTTTTTGATGAGCACCATCCGATGCAGCCTTTATCTCATCATCTTCGATTGTGTTACCAGGTGCCCAGTCGTAAAGGTTTTCCAGCTTTATTTCGGTTATCACTGCCTCAGCCGCTGCTCCTTCTGACTCTGCAGGATTGGTCGCAGGATCCAAGTAAGGCGCATTTTTTTCACCATTTTCTAATTTATGTCCGTTTTGAGACGGTTCTGATGAGATACTTTCAGCCTTTTCGTCTCCAATCACTTCAGGAGCAGGATTTGAGGTCACCTCTATTATGGGCTCTGTCGGCGTTTGAGTTTCTGAGCTGGGTCTGTTCTGGCTTTCTGTGTGTTCTCCGTCCTTTCCGTTGATTTGTGAATCTCGCAGATTCCTCAGTCTGGTATATCCAATCTTCTCTAACCATATTGTTCCCCTCCGCCCAGCATCTATCACTGTGCCACTTTCGTTAAAGCAAGGTGCCCAGGATTTAAAGTCACCATACTCGAGCCACACGGTTGTGGGCAAAGCATACCAGTTAGGGTGTAAAAATTTGGTCAACATTTCGTAAGGTGGAAGAGTAGGATCAGGTATGTTGCTTACGTTCGCAGCTAGAAATCCAAGTTTTGGAGCAACGTCATCTCCCGTCTGCGGTATCACTTTGTTCAAAACAAAACTACTGTTTGGCGCTTCTGTAGATCTATGATCCAACTGGGATTTTGACGTTGTAGACGAAAAAAGATCCAAATCTCCTGAAGAGAGGTAGTACGACTCAGCATAAGGAACGGAATAGGCGGTGGAGATTTTGATAAAGTCGTTGGAGATCTGCTTTTGGAATGCAGTTTTTTCAAATCCATACTGATCATCGGACTCGTCCGTCAAGGAAATGCCGCACCTGTAGCATTCGCGAAGTAGTAGTTCCGTCGCAAATTTGTAAAACTTATCAACCATTTGGTATGTGCGCGTACCCTGTGGATAAAAATGTATGAGCAGAGTGCAAACTAGCTTGACGTCATGGTGTAGCCTGTAGAATCCATCCTGTTTCTTCAGATATTCACCCTTTTCGAAGCGCTCAGCGATCGTGGTAATCAAAAAGTTGTCCTCGTTTTTGATAATCCCATCGCTGTCGAGTTTTGGCTTCAGGAACTTCTTATAAGACTCGAAAATCTTGCTGGGCTCCTTTTCAAAAAACTTGCTCGGGAACTTTTCGTCTATTACTTTACATTTAGACGAGGCCCTGTAGTAACCTGTTAGTATTTCCATAAAACGTCCTATCGTCACCCTTACAAAACCGCCAATTACACTGCATTTCGCAGCTTAATGTGACGATTTTAACACTCACATACGCTTGCAAAATTGACTGCAGGTTTTTAAAAACCTGGGAATAGTCCATTTAGTCTCAAAAGTTTCAATAAGGCAGCTGTTCAAATCCAATGTTTTTTGGCGAATTATTTGAAGAGAGCTACTGATTAATGATTTAATTTCAAAACACAAGGTATTCGTGTATAAAGATAATATATACAAAGAGCACATCTTTTGATGAGGCCGACCTATTCTGTTGTATTGAGAGCACCAACTATTGTTTCAGGTTATTAACGCATCTTGAGATAGAGTAAGGGTACTTTTGCCGGTCAACAAAACAATGCTTGGCCAATGTGATTCACGTTTGTAGGCTATTCTTCCCTTATTTATGAACATTCTGTGCGCTCGCAGTCTTGTAGTTCTTGGCCGTGATTAGTTTGTCAACAGTCCATTGCCCAATCACCTTCTTCTGGTGTACAGCAAGGGGATTAAGGTCCCAACCCACTTTTAGATCACTATCCACCGTGGCTCCAAATCGAGGCGTCACGTAGCACAGCCTCTCTGTGGTGGATAGGTCAATAGGACGGATTCCGTTACCCATCAGAGGTTTGCTATAAGTAAGCAGTGAGCCTTTGCGGGCTATATTTGCTAGTGGAGTGCTCTTTATGTCGCACATGGGCTTAATTCGTGTCTTCGAGTTTTCCGTGCGTTTGTTAAGGTGCAGCGAGTGGAACACTAGATACTTGGGAGGTTCTTGGCCTATGTCGTTGATGATCGAGGTTGTGTGTAGATAGACAAAGTTTTGAGAGACTTCGCCAGGAACTATAGGAGCTAGGACTGGAATATATGGAATTCCTGATATTGTAGCTCTGCTGGTAATCTTACAGTCCTCAGGCGCGATTTGATCCGCCCTGATAGCAACTTGATCGACGAAACCAGCACAAACCATCTGTTTCAGTAGTTTCACCTGGTTTTCATTAGGTATTCCTGATTTCAAGTCGTCCTCCGAGACGTTGACAGCCACATTCTCTCTCGAGGTATTGGATTTGACAATGTACAACAGCTGGCATCTTAGTTTCCTTATTTCTTCAACTATTTTAGGTCTCATGAAATTCGCCTCCATGAACCTAGGTCTCTCCTCTGGCTTGATATAATCCAAGGAGCTGACAGCAGTCAGAAGTTTGAAAACGTCACTGAATTTATCCAGTTTGCTAAATTTCGCCTGACTTTTGTAATATCGAGTACGTAGCTGCTGGTTTCGAGCTATTTGATCCTTGTCTTGTTTAGCCTCCTCTTCATCAACATCGGGCTTAGCTGCAATACCCAGTTCATTCTCAGAAAGGAACGGATCTCCTACTGATAGGGCACTCACAATGGAAATGACATACGGCAAACATCCACTTTCGTTCCCCACCAACAACATTTTGGAAAATCTTGGGCTTAAGGGGAATAGATTCATTTTTCTACCGTCATCTGTAATCACTTGCTTTTGGTCCAAGGCACCTAAATACTGAAGAAGGCTTACCGCCTTTGATAAAGACCCATGACTGGGTGGCGTCGGAAATGGAAAGTTCAAAATGTTATGAATTGCCATGCTCTTCATCTGCAACACAACGCTCTCAACAGGCATTCTCAAAATTTCTGGTTTTGAAAACTGTTGAAAGTCATTCTCATACACAGCAGATGAGTATAGTCGGTAACAGTGCCCGGGACCAGTACGACCAGCTCTTCCGCTTCTCTGATCCGCTGAAGCTTTACTGATCCAGTTCACCTCGAAACTTTGAACACCATTGGATTCGTTGAATACTCTCTCCTTCGATCTACCACAGTCAACAACGTAACGAATATTTGGAATAGTCAAGGACGTTTCAGCGACGTTAGTAGCCACGACACATAATCTGGAACCTTTTGGTGGCTCCTGAAAAACTTTGAGCTGATCTTTGGTCGGTAGCAAGGAATAGAGTGGAAGGACGTACAAAGGATCTGTAGCAGTCTGGTCGTCTTCTAACTCCTCATCGAAACCTTCCTCTGCCTCTGATTCCTGTTGTTCATAGTCATCAATGGCATCATCGTTTACCTCATCTTTCATAACATTGACACTAAAATCCACATCCTCTGCCTCAATGTCCACATTTTTCGGATTGACTTTAATCGTCGGATTACTTGTGCCCATTTCTTTGAAAGACTTTGAAGCTTTTGGAAATGGAAATTCCTTTCTTAGTTTGTTTACCATGTCCGTAATCTCTTGCTGGCCGGTCATAAAGATTAAAATCGCCCCTTTCGGAAGTTTCTGATGAATTTTGCAAGTTTTGCGGAATGCCTCTTCAGAATAATTGAATGCTGTGCGCTTATTAAAATGAATCGAAACTGGATACTGGCGAGCGTCAACCTTGAGGACGGGAGGTGGTGAAACAAAAAGAGAAAGGTTTTCACTGAAATCAGAAACCCTCAAGGTAGCCGACATGATTATAAGTTTTAGCTTCTTGGTCTGATCTGGGTTTTTGCTATGATTTTTAGCACGCAGTCTAACACATCTGCTCAGTAAACCAATTAGAATGTCCGTGTTGATATTTCTTTCGTGTGCCTCATCGATTATTATAGAGGAGTATTTGGTTAGCATGAAATCATTCATCATCTCTCTCAGGAGAACACCATCGGTCATAAATTTCATCTTCGTATTCTCAGAAACAGTTGAATCGAATCGAATTTGATATGAGACGGTATCATGGTAATTTCCTAATTCCTTGGAAACACGCTTGGCCATGGACACTGCTGCAACCCTACGAGGTTGTGTTATTCCAATCATTCCGGGAGTATCAGATGAACTACTATCACCGTAGCCGGCCTCAAAAAGAAATTGAGGAACCTGAGTTGTTTTACCAGACCCTGTCTCACCGCAGATCACTACAACATCGTTGTGATGGATCGCTTCCATTATCTTGTGCTCTTCTCCATATACTGGTAACTTTATTCTGGCTTGCTGGATTTCTTCAGGCCTACTGACATTGACATAAAAGGCTTTGCGGAGCGATTTTTCATCAATCGGAGCACTATCATCTTGCAGGCCATCATCAAGATCTTCCACTCTTACGAGCTTTTCGTAAGGCGTATTGAGTTGTGGCATTTCCACCGGTGTCTCACGACCCTCTAACCTCTTAATTTCTTCCTCGGCCCAAGTTTTGAAGTCACTGGCTGCCTTGCTGGAGGAAGGTCCTTCCTCAGGGTTGGAACTTGAGCTATAATCAGATTCCTCCAACAAACTATCGTCAACTTTGTCATCAGATAATTTTCCAATAGAGCCACTAGGAGCTTCAATCTGACCCTCAACTTCAATCTCACCTTCACCTTCACCTTCACCTTCACTTTCACTTTCACTTTCATTTTCACTTTTACTTTCACTTTCGGACTCGCTTACATCTTCACTTCCAGAAGATTCGAAATCCATCTCGTCTTCTTTTGAATACTTTCGTGCGTCAGCCATTTGCACTCTTTCGCGCCAGTTGTACCGCTTTTTCGATGGCGCTTTGGTCTTGCGTACGACTGTGGCGTTCTGAAAACCAAATCCGAACCCAGAACCACCAAATTTGGCGGGCCTGTTATCCACAAATGACGATGACGGAATCTGTTCACTATTCGTATCGCTTTTACTGTAGTTTTCCTCTTTGTGGCCGTTTGCTTCGGCAGGGTTATCTTCATCCCAATCTTTCACTTCATGCTCCCTATACAAGATATCCCGCACTAGCTCATTGCTTTGTCCTAACCTTTCAAGTTTCAAAGCTTCCTGAAATTCTTGTTTCTTTGTCTGTCTTCCGTGACCTAAATTTTTCGAGCTAGTAAGGATACCTGTGTCTATTTTGTGCTCTTGAAGCTTCTCTATCAAGACTTTCTTTTCCTCACGTTTAAGCTGATGCTCAATGAACTTGTCCAGCCGCTTTCTTTTGAGCCTTGAGACTTTAGACTCCTGCGGTTTGAACAACTCCTCCAGTTTCCGCTTTTTTAATTGTTTTTCAGCATCTGTCAGCGGCTCCATAATCTCAGCATTAGTGTTATGTACATCACCGTCCTCTGACTGCTCTTGGGTTTCTGTACCGTCATCTGTGTGTCTTAAAAACTGTTTGTTTCTCACCTTCTTCAGATCCTTGAGCTTGGCCATCTGGCCAGCCCTAGCTTTCTCATTGAACCTTTTACGATATGTACCCATTTCTACGGCTTCAGTCCTTGATTGAAAGAGCCAGATCTGGTTCAACTAACTCTCGAAAGCTTTTTGGACTTGGTATTGAAAGAGCGATGAGCTTCTGACTTTTTCAAATTTTCAAAGAAATAAGCGATGAGCTCAATTAGCATGATAACCAAAAAATCAAGAGTTCTTCGGCGGGCTACAGCACCACCCCAAGAGTCAACGGAAGATTCTGCGCATCCCGCAGTGCAGAAGTTGAGATTGTAGCGGGATAAGGTGCGCATTGTAGCCATGGAGAAGCAGGGAAAGGCCGTTAGTAAGGATCAATTGTATGGTATTCTCGAGACCCGTAATATTGAACATGTACAGTTCGGCCTAGAACAACGTTTCCCAACATGGTATGGTAGTACAGCATATTTTCAACTCTCTTCTCGAAAGTTGGGCGTTAGAGACCCGGACGGTAGGCTGTCGTCTCGCGACCTTGCACATGTTGGAAATAAGAGTGCCAAGATTAAGGTTGAGACTCAGCTCATACAAAAATCAAACGATATATGGCTGGATACTCTGTATGTGTGTGAGTACTGTTTCAAGTACACGGATGATGCGTCGGAATTACAGCAGCACGTTGCTAATTGTCCACATCGTCGGAAAGGGCTTGGTAGATTGCAGTACCGAAGCCCTGATTTGAGCATTCGCAAAGTTCATGGCAAGCAGCACACGCTTTTTTGTCAGTGCCTGTGTCTTTTCACCAAGCTTTTTCTTGACAACAAATCCATGTACTTCAAAGTTGATCACTACGATTTCTATATCGCTTATGAGGCCCAAACCAACAAGCCCATGGCCTTTTTCTCCAAAGACCTCATCTCGTATCAAAAGAATAACCTCGCATGTATTCTCACCCTTCCGCCTTATCAGAGACGAGGCTTGGGTACCCTTTTGATGGAGTTTTCCTACAAGCTGTCAATCCGCGAAGGATTGATTTCAGGACCAGAACTGCCGCTATCGCCTTTTGGACTCGTTAGTTATTTGAAGTTTTGGTCGTCCTTGGTATGCAACCAGTTTATTAAAGGGAATCTGAGCGACCGAGGCCGTGTAAGCCTCGATGATATATCTCAGGCAACAGGAATGCGGGCTGGCGATATTCTGCAAACTTTGAAGAGCCTCAAGTGTCTGACAACGCGAAACGAAATATCACTCCATGCACTCCGACAGTGGACCAAGGACAACAAGCGCCACAGCGGCACGCTTATTAATGACGACTTTATGATATTAGACGATTGATTTATATACTTACCGACTTGAAGCATGTACTCTACATTTCGATTGGTTACTTCAGACTCATTCAAATAACGTTTGAATTTCCTCAATTCTGCGTTTTCTGCGCTCGTCTTCATCTGCATCGACTGCTTCCCCAAGCGTCCTTTTCCGCTCCTGGATTCGCAACATTTTCTCTTCAATGCTATGTTCCATAATGAATCTAACCACCTTTACATCGTTTACCTGGCCTATTCGATGAATGCGGTCGATCGCCTGATCTTCTAAACTAGGTGACCACCATGGATCCATCATGTATGCTCGAGACGCACAGGTAAGATTTAGTCCAACGCCTCCAGCTTTTAATGACAGCAGTAGAACCTTTAATTTTGTTAAATCTTTTTCTGCAAATTCCTGTAACACCTTTGATCGCTCCTTCATCGATAGCCTCCCGTCAAATTTATAAACCTTGAGCTCCGATTTCGAAAAAGAAGCAGATAGTTCTTTTTCCATGATATCCATAAAGGAGGAAAATTGCGAGAAGACTACAACCTGTTCGCCAGGGCAACCATCTTGCAACCTTTTTAAACTCTTCATCAAAGATGTTATTTTTGAAGATTTGGATCCCGTGTCATAAAGTATTAGCGTCAGCTCCTTGTTGGGCATTTCTTTTATCGCTACTAACCGCTTGGGATCAACCTCAGACCGACAGTTCGGACATTTAATATTTTGGTGTCTTTCCGATTGGAAGCGAATGTACTCTATAATGCACATCTCGCAAAAAGCATGGCCGCACTCTGTAAACACCACCTGCGTTACTGGATCTATGGGCTCAGATGTGCAGATTGAGCACTCAAGCTTCCTATACTGCTCTTCATCGGGATACTTGTCTCGCACATTACTAATAATTGCGTCAGCTTCACTCTCACTAATCGCTAATGTTGCAGCTGTTTCATTCGAAACTGCTTTTTCTGCGCTGAAGGTCTCACCCAGCATTTTGTTCCCCGCTAAGTCCTCGTCATTTTCGTCTTGCGATCCCAATAAATCGGCATGGCAGCAAACTTGCCTTAATCTCAAAATATGGACTAAAATGGTGGAATACTTTTTTAACAAGTCACCACGATCCAATCCTTCCCTGACGGAATTCTCAGCTCTATTCAAAAAGTATTTGTAGAGAACATCTTCGTGTTTGTTGAAGCTGACTCTCTCTATTATAACTTCTTTTGGAGGAAGCTCAACTAGGCGGTTGCCATCGGCATCGCGCATTTGCTTTGTTCGCCGCAGTATCACAGGCTCAAGGATCGAAGAAACAACATCGAATGCACTCTTGTAATTTTTCTTTTCGAAGGGTTCCGAGACGAAGGTTTTCCAATAGCCCACCTGAGACCACGGCTCCAGTCGCATGAACTTGACCAAACTATATAAATCATCAAGTCGATTAATAATGGGTGTGCCTGTCAAAATCCATCGTCTAGAGCTAGAGAGGTCCATGAGTGATTTAGATGTTCGAGTGTTTCTGTTCCTTATAGTATGTCCTTCATCGATGACAATCCGAAAAAAGTCTACAGAGAACAACCCTGCAGTGTCATATTCCAGGTATCCAGTGCTCTTATTAACAAGGCGACTCCATTCATGTTGGACCGTACCATAAGTAGTCAACAGCATCATTGGGGGCTTCTTCGTCTTCGTCAGCAAAGTTCTCAAACTTCCAGTATTGCCACCATAGTATATTTCACAATGAGCATCAGGACCCGAAGCAGATTTTTCGAATTCTTGTTGCCATTGGGAGAGCAACGACATAGGGACTATAACCAGGGTAGTTTTTGCTGCGTAAGGCTTTGTACGATCGAGGGTCTGAGATTGCAAAATATCAAACGGAGCGTCTTCTGTTGCTTCTGCCCCCTCGACGGTTCTCATATCACAGAATTTTTTGTCGAAGGGTACCGTTAAGATCATAGATAGTATGGAAATTGTTTTCCCAAGACCCATTTCATCCGCTAAAATTCCGCCCTTGAGCAGAGACTTCAAAACTGGTTTAGCCTGGGAAAACTCTCCAGTGTGCAAATTAGCATAAAAAAACTCTTCGTCGCTCTGTGAATCGAGATCAATCGAATTTATTTTCTGAGATGCCCAAGACAAATTCTTAGGCCATCTGAACTGTTTCCAAAGCGGATTCATCATATCCCCGTCAATATCCTCTGACGAAGAAGAAGTGTTTGGCATTTCGTCAAATTCCCGCTCTCTTCGCAGTAGCCATGTTAATCCTTGTTTCTGATAACGCCGAAGAATAAGTTTAAAAACCTCTGGATTCGGTTCGGTTTCTGGCAGGTGCTTCGACGACTCCATCGACAACGTGGCCTTGTACAAGGATTTTAGCTGGTTTACGTTAAGGACATCTTCTTGCATTTGAGAAGGCTGAATGGCATCTTTTTCAGGCAGGTTTTGATCACCGTCGATACCATCAAGATCGATTACTTCAGTTGCTTCGGGTGTGTGTTCAGGGGAGCTCTCGGTCCTTAAAACTACCGGCTGCAGCTGTACTTGGTCAAATAAGGATAATAGTGCCAGTCTTCTAGCCTTCATGCGCAACTCTCCTTCGTTCTCGACAACATTTTGTGTGAACCCGCGCTTCTCTCCGTTGAAAATGTCAGTTCCTCTCTCTAGCATGTCTGAGAAGTTGTCAAATAAAGCTGACGTTAGAAAACAGTCTAGCTGCACTATGAAAGAGTCGCCAACACTCAGTCTCCGGTTGTTACAGTAAATCATAGTTGCCTCGAAATCAAGCTCGTCCGAGTCTACAAGCGGAAACAAGACTTTAGCCACCTCTTCTGGAACACGACCAACCTCCCGGCCTAAGCCAACATCAAACAAACGAACGAAATTTGCCATGGATGCTCTTTTACGCCCATTAGCATAGTAGAGTTTAGATGAAACCTCACTGCCGCAGGATTTTGTGATCCTCAACTCACTTCCATATTTGAGCGGCTTGATAGTAGGTCGCGTAGCGAGCGCACTAACCTGGATTGAGCCTATAAACCGTCGCCACTGAACCGAAGGTTTGACTTTTTTCGGCAGTCGTTCACCATAGTCGCGAATTTTCTTTCCCTGGCCGCTACTTGACCTTGAATCCAAAACATTAGAAAGCCGAACGGCAGGAGATACTCTTTCTTTACGCTCAGTACGTTCTGGCTTTCGTTGCTGCTCAAAATACAAACTCACAGCGCTGGATATTCTCGTGTTTCTGTCGTCATCAACATCGGTTCTAGCAAGCAGTTTTTCTGCTTGTGAGCCCGAAAGATCTGGGATCATGTCTTGTAATTCCTGAGGCTCTACGGGTCCATCCGAGCCAATTACGTTGCCATTTTCTGGTGCTTGAAACAGAAAAGAATCTTGATTCTCTAGTTGTTCATTTAAGTCGTCACCATTTGTCTCTAATTCCTCGCTGAAGAATCTCTTTTTTGCGAATCTTTCGTGGCTTTGTTCATGTTCACCATCTGTACCGTTCATATGCTCTTGGTGCTAACAACCTCAAGTAAAATCCGCTCTTCCTTTCGATTTCCACATCCCGCCAGCAATTAATATTATATAAATTATAACTGAAACTTAGAAATTCGTAATAATGAATTAAGTCATAAGTGAAAAAGGTACCAGTTTGATCCACAGGGTAGTCAAAAGCATTGTAACATTATGTTCATAAATGGATGGTAAAAGTAGACTAGCGGTCTGGCTTTACCGAGGCTCTCTGGTAGTTTTGATACTGTTTTTTGTGGGATTTTCGGTTGTAATGCCAATTGACGCAATGGCCCAGGCGTCACGGTCTACAAACGATGCGCTGAATACTTTCATCGTCGTAGGCGCTTTTGTTGCGTTTGGGGTCTTAAGCATTGTGATTGCACTCGGGAGAGTGTTTGTACAGCGCAGTTGCCTCCAAGATATACCGAAACGCTACCTGCCAATTACACCGGAAGATTTGCCTCATCGCGCTAGTAGAGAGTTGTTGCTGCGACAAATGGATCGCTCCCATGAACTAGCACAGATTTTCAAGACTCCAAGTGAGTCCGTGATACACCCTGGGCTTTCGAGACCCATTGATAAAGATGCCGAGGATAACGACGACCAAAACGGCGGCGTCAGTGTTCCCTCTCTGCCGCCTCTTCTTAACTACGAAGATAGTGTTAAGATCATTACTAGCAGATTGAAGTACCAGGGGGTTTTCTCTAACCTTTTAGAACTAGACCCCCCAGTCGGAAACACTTTCGCAGATATCATCCACACTCTGTTCACACAAACCGGACAACATCCTCATGAGGCCGCTGTATATGTTGAGCTATACGAGCACATCCGATTCTCAGGTCAAGAGATTACTGCAGTGCAATTTCTGAGGTTCATGGATTTATCGCTTTACCTCGTTGACGCCTTAATGAGTGCTCACGGCCAGCAGAACGAAAGCGGATCTCGAAGCCTAGATGATGGCGAGTTGGAGAGTTTAAATATTCCGCCTGTGACACAATACCTAAATGTTGAAAGCCAGTCTGAAATTCATTATCTAACAACTACTAATACCAACAGCACTGTTGCTAGAAGGGTTACCGCCGAGAATTTTGACCAAAGCTCACCTCAGAACCAGCCTTCCTCGGATTTGGAAAGCACCGATTCTGTTTTGCAAAACCATAAAGCCCCAGTTTAGGTATATATCATGCGCACATTTTTAATTTTGCATTACAGACAGTACACAGAACGTAACTACATTCAAAGCTCTCTCAAAGCTCTTTCAATTCCCTCAACCAATTTTGTATGGTCTGTCTGGTTCGTTCATGGGCAACCTTACCGTCTAAGATTGAATTAAGTTGTTCTAAACCAGGAGTATATTCATCTGCATATTTTCTCAGAATGCTCTTGATGAAACCCAAACAGCTCTCGTATTTCCATGAAAGCTCAAGTTCGCGGATGGCGGTAGAATCTTTGGGCACCACGACTGCAACATCGGAAGCGACGCCTAACTTTTCAACAGTCTCGGAAGCTATTTCCACAAGTCTTTCAAACACATACAAAAAGGTTTCCACGCTCGCATCTCTGCGGAGAGAAAGTTCTGTGAGGGTCCTAAAGGTGGACTCCACTGAGGTTGCATCAACTAAACCCCAGTTTCGATCGTTATCCTCCAAAAACGAGAAATTTAGGATACTTTTCGCAGAAATAAGTTCAAAATTTTTGCACGTGTCCAATATCAAGTAACCATTTTGAGAGTTGCTGTTCCAATAGCGAATAACGGCTTCTATGATCCATCTTTCCTTTAATTCTTGATCCACTTCCATTTTGCCCATTATGTCCAGAAGATCGTTCCTCGAGTCACCAATGTACTTATTAGCGTGAGATAGAGATCTATTTCCCGAGAATGCCAAAGATTGCATCAAAATTGTAACCACCAATCTGTTAATATCATGAATGATGTTCCCGTGATTGTTCTGCAATTCCTCGAAAATTGTCATAAGCTCCGATGAGCTTCTCTCTAAGGGTTGTTTGTGAAAGTAATTTATGACATTTTGGACTGTCTCGTTAAATGGAAAACATGGTTGGATGAAAAATAGGTCATTATCTTTCAGGAGATCGATGTCAATTTCGAAATCTTTGAAGAATGATTGATAGTAATTGATGAGGTCGCTTTTTGGTACGAATGAGCTGTCCGTGTAGGGTTTGAATTCCTCGGTTAGACTGTCTTCAACATCACTCTTACTAGAAGTAAGCCTTAGTTCTTTTCTGATTAAGTTTCTCATGAAAGTGACCTTTGGGCTGTAAAATGTTTTGCTGAACTTTATGGACTCATCCTCCCATTCATTCCATTTCCAAGAAAAGCTGAAGTTACTCATTTGAATTGAGAACCAATCCAAATACCTCAATTTCAACTCAAGATCCAATTCATCCAAGTTGTTGAAAAAGTATCTAAATGCTCTTCCAAAAACGGGTGCGATAGCCTTCGGAGAGTTTTGACAAATCTCTACTAGTAGAGTATAGAAATATGCAAAAGGGTGGGATACGTTGGGTAATTTGAATATCATGCTCAAGATCTTCTCTATAGCCAGATCTTCAATTTTGTAAGTAGTAATAATCGGGTTTTCCTCGTGAAGGGCAATCAGCTGGGCTATTGATTGACCTGGCTCTGCAAATATTCCTGGTTTGAAAAATAGATCCAATGTAACTACCTGCTTAGCAACTTCCTTACGGTTGAACTCCATGCTTTCAATAATGTCGATAATTAAGTCTTCAAAGAGCATACCAGCGTAGGTCGTAAAGGGAACAACTGTCTCGAATTCACCAACTTCATTGGCTAGGTAAACTCTGAATGAGTATCTTGGTACTTTCCACATACCATCGATGGATCCCAAACCCCTATCTAAACCGCTAAATGGTTCCAATTGTTCGATGGTAGGTAAGTTCAATGGGTCATTGAAGCCTTGATCTCCTGGTTGATCTTTCATCATTGTGGTATAGTCAGGGAACAATTCTGAAATTTGCTGCATGTCGTTAGCTAGCACTCTTTTCACGTTCGGAAGTACAGCCTTCACCCACTGAACAGATTCGTAGGGAGGGTTTTTGTTGTACTCTCTGATTAAGGACAAATCAGTGTTTTTCACAAGGTAAGTACTTTCAACTTCGGACACTAAGTCCGCAACTTTCCCTCTTAGTCGCTCGTTCTCTTTTGAGAAAAAAAACAAGTATGGGATATTCAATAGAGTGTTGCTGTAAATAGCTTCGGAGAGCGGGTTGCGCTTCTCAGGGTTGAGGTTGTTCAATCCTACACTTAGTTCAAAGAGCTTTTTGTAGAGCAAAAGCAGCTCGTCTTCTTCAACCATGGGTGACAGCAAAGACAAAAATCTTAGCAAAAGCTTGACTTTATTCCAAGGCCCTGTTTCACTTGATGTAACCTGGAAAGATTCGTCAATACTAATGTCGCACCATTCTTGCAGCTTGCCAAAAAAGTGATTCAAAACACTTTTGCCGGCAACTGGATTCATAGAATTCACCACCATAGTCAAAAGAGCAATTGCTGGTTGTTTGTGTGGCTGTTCGACAACCACAGCGTAGAGCGTACTCAAAAGCGCATTTCTGAAATATTCTTCGTTTCCAAACTCGTTCGCGATGGCTTCACTTAAAAACTTGATGTCTTCTTCGAAAGCCTTAACAGTTTCCCCTAAAGTCCTGATATCTGGCATCATTTCTTTGCAAAGTTGTACAACGGGTGGAACTCGCTGCCTTTTGGGCATTCTGGGGCGAAAATCACGGTATCCATCGTCGTCATCGAAATCTGCAGGTAAAATCATTTGTTAGTAAGTTTTGGTATTGTTTGATATATTTGCTTGAGTAGTGCGAACTATAATCAGCCATACTGTACTTGGCTCTTATAGATACTGCGCCCAGTTCCAATGGATTGGATGGCACAAAAAATCCGACGTCAAACGTCAAAGTCTTCAAATCTGATTGGTATTACGCATCGCAGTGCCAAAACAAAGCTTATCAAGGAAAAGTTTCATATTTCTGAAATGAACATACTTCTTGTCCTTTTTCCGCCAACCATTGCGGAACTCATAGACTGTTGGTACTTCAGAATCATTGTTGTTGAAGAGAAGCCAGAACTTCGATAGCTTTTCAATTATCATGTAACTCGTATATAGTGACTTGTGGATGTGAGAGCCCAGCATTTGATTTCGTCCCTGCTTCTACTCAAGCCCTTTTATATTTCTGTTCTTATAGCTATTGTTACCTACCGTTGCTAATCTTTTGACTCTGCGGTCAAGGATGAGATTTGTTCTTCCTTATTCGCCAGTTCCTGATGCAAAACGTGTATTTTGTGGACTAGGTCCACCACGCTAGGCTTCACACCATTTTCCTGTAGCATTATTTGTTCCTCGGCAATGTAACGTCTGAGCCGTTCATCATTCAACTGCTGAATGAGCTCAACAATCTTAGAAGACTTCTTTCGTAGCTCAATCTCGAAGTCCACAATGGACAGCAGTTGACTGTCCTGATTATTGCGGTTTTCCCCGTTAGCATGTTGTTCAAGGCGAGCTTCGCGTCCTATTGACTCGGCAAGCTCTTTTGACAGAAGATCGATTTCGCTCATTAACGTGTTCTGTTCACTAAGCAAACTCATCTGAGTGTTAGATATGGAAATAGTCTTGAACTTTTGCGGAACTTGCGAGTCCAGCTCTGGTTCTAGCTCATCTTGAGAAGCGTACAGCGGCTTGTAAGGTTTTGTGATAGTATTATCGAAATTGAACTCATCGCCCTCGTCTTGGCGGTAGACAGTTTGGGCGGGGTCGCCTCCTGCTTTCATCGGATGAGATTGCTGTAGAGCGGGTTCTTTAGATGTAGAAGCCCCTGGTAGATCAAAGTCGCTATCATTTAGAGTATCTTCATTAAACGATTCCTCGCCATCCACAGTGAATATTGGACCCTGGTTTACTAGAGGCTTCTCATCGACGTTCTTCTCATTGATATTGGCCAGTGAGGAGTATGATTTTACACGCTCGCCAGCATTTGTACCACCGGAAGAATTTGAAAACAAGGAATGAAACGATTTTCTCTTGATGTTTTCCGACTTCATGGTCCCGAATTGCTTCCCTTCGGATCCATTTGTTCTCTCTATTACAGATATACTGTCAGAGCTGGGATTCTTTTTCACAGATTGACTGGCGCTGGACTGACCGGCACTGGACTGACCGGTTTGTGTACTCGATTTGTCAATTTTATTGTTTTTCGATGACAGCTTTCTCAAAAAGTTCCGAGCCTTCCCAAGTCCGCTATCCTTTCTTTCCAATTCTGGTGGTGTCGCACTCTGCTTTTCTGACGTACTGGTCTCTTTCGTAGACACATGCGCCGCCTTGTGTGTGATTGTAACTTCTGATACATTGTCCGACCTTCCAGCAACATCATCCACTAATTCAGAAGCAGTAAAGTATTCATTACCATCAGTAGAATTCTCAAGCTTGTACAGTGTAGATTGGTTATTTTTTCTCTTTACTGGGGAGTCATTACTTATTAATGATTCAAAAGTCGCCATAGATTGCACTTGAGAACGTCTCTGCCCCGTTGTAGCGTCATTTTCATCCTTCTGCTCGTTATTCAGCCTGGAATTAGAGGAATGAAATTTCGGTGAAAACTCTTTCGAAACAGAGTGTAAAGCATTAAGGTGATCACTCTTACTGGCCTCCTGGTACTGAGCTTCTGGCTCTTTAGTTTGCGTTTCCTTTTCTTTCTGAGTCACTTGTAACTCTTTGTCTCTGAGCTCCTTTTGCTTGGGATCCGAAAGTTTGATAATGTTCAACTTACCTAAATTGGTAGTCCCCTCCTTTTGCAAATGCTGTTTGGATTCTGATTGCCCTTCATTCATTGTGATTATATTACCAGAGTCTTCCGCAGATTGGCTCTCAGGAGTTTGACTTGGGGCCCGATAAGACGTCAAACTGTTGATGCTCATAGCTGAGGACGATGAAAGAGGTGTCTCGCTTTCTTTCATCAGATGCGATGCGCTTTTCGTATGTTCATTATCGTTAGTCTCGTCATGAGACTGTAGCGGGGAGTTTGGTCTTTGAACATGCTGAGGCATGTATTGCGGGCCAGCTACGGTGGAGTTTTGATGTCCAGGATAGGCCTGCACATATGGGGAGCCTCGAGAAAATGACGGACCTTGAACACTCGACCTAGCAGGGCCATATGCACCTGTAGGACCTTGAAAGCTTGTGCGACTTGCAGATCCCGCGGGGCCCGTGGGGCCTGTAGGACCATAGAAGTTTGTAGCACCTGGTGGACCCTGGCCAGCTGGTGGAATAGCTCCAGATTGCGGTCGATATCCGCCCGGCGGGGGCATCATAGGCCTTCTCCTCGCACCACTAGTTAGAGACATTGCTCTAGGTCCATTACCAGGAGGAGGATGTGGGCCATTCATTTTAGGGTTCCATTGCCGGAGCTGTGGAGGTGGCCCCGACATCATGGAGTTGGCACGCCCGTATGGTGGTATTTGATTTCCGTTCATCATGGGATGTTGTTGTTGAGCAACGTATGGACTATGGGAGTATTGCAAAGACATAGCTCGGGGGTCACCACTAGGCCCCAGTTCATTTGCCCTTTTTTGGTTCACAAGGGAGTTCACTGTCATTTTCTTTTGAGCAGCAAGATGCTTCCTGTACTCAATGTTGTTCATATTGTCGTGGCCTCTAGTTATCAAAGTAGGGATTATGGGGGACGTATCGTCCATTCCGCCACCCATTCCATACTTGTGGCCACCATTATTGCGCATAGATGAGATGTCGTTAAAGGTCAAAATTGAATTATCTGCGTCTGTCATCAACGTCTCTTCGTCATCATCGTTCTCTATGTGCTTGGAGCGTCCGGAACGCAGCTTGAATAGATTTGAAATTCCATGAGACTGCAGCGATCTCTTGCTGGTAGTAGACTGGGAAGTGAGCGAAGAAGCGCGGGGGTCTCGAGCTGGGTATGCGACGTAAGAAGCTCTTTCTTGCTGAAAAGAGGGTTGGCCTGTTGCTGGCTGTTGCTGGTAATAAGTCGCATTGTTGGATGGGAAGTTGGATGGGAAGTTCCCCGGAAATGGTTGCGAAGGCGAGTTCGCCCCAGTAGGTCTCTCGTGAGCCACGTTTATGTTCCCGATGTCATTGTTGAGTAATTGACTTCTAACCTGAGCTCTGCTATTTTCCTTCTTGCTGAAAGCAGCGGTTCCCGCGTCCATAGTACAATGTTTGAGAAAGTACTTGGCTTGGTCTATGAATTACGTCGAAGCTAAGGGAGCTTAGGCGAATGTTTGAAGTGAAATATGAAGAGCGAAAAGCGAAACGCTGTCTAACGGATGCTGAAATGGCTTATCCTCCGATTAACACAGTCAAAACTGTCTATAGAAACCAGACCTAACTGCAATGTGTATCTGAGATGAAAGTATCCGCGTTTCAGAATATATCAGTAGCAAACTCGACTCCCCGAATTGTTTTGTAAAGAGACTTCTGGGAATGCATTATAAAGAACTATTATTTATTTTAAAATTCAAGCATCCGCGTAAAAAATTTGACACAATATACAAGAACCTGTGGGGATATGATAAGCGGTTTTAAAGGTGAAGAGATTGGGATTTTGTGACTTGTTCTTGTAAGCCAGAAGCAATGTAATTCATTTTGGTTTGATATTCGATCGACAGATGGAAGTAGGACAGAAAAAGTTCAAATAGTCACTAAGAATTAAGAGACCTGAAGGCTAGGTAGCATCGCTAAGCCTTTCTGGATTTGGTCTTTGTAACCTTGACCGCCGAAGAGTTGCCCTGTGTATTTTGTTCGAGCTTCTTGTCCGGTTCGGAGACTTGATGCTTGGCATTATCGGAGGTCTTATCGCCATCGTTCTTCTTGGCAAGGCTCTGATTATCGTTTAGCTTGGCATGATTGAGTTCACTGATAAACCACGTAACGGTAACCCATAACAGAGTCGAGATCCCCAGCAATGCCACGAAGTGCCCGTTCTTGGTGCAGTAAATGAGCCATCCTAGGCAACACGACAACATGAAAAATGAGACATGAGTCGCAACAATCAGTTGTGGAGAGGCTCCTGGCGTGAAAATGCTCGACCAGAGCTCTTCAAAGAAATTAGCCATGCTTTGTACAGGTTGGTATATAGAATTGAACTATCGAGGTTAAAGAAACTTTGAATCTACAACTGATGAAGTGACATTAAACTGAGGTTTCGTAGCGCGCGATTTACGGTGAAGTTAACGTTCGAGATTCACATCATCATCACCATCATCATCATCATATAGTCCTTACCCTAAGCTGAACTGCAGTAGGCGTTGGTATAGTTTAGGAGGCAAGACTTTTCGAATTTCATAACTGCACTTCAGCCTTTTTTTTTGGGCCAGAAACCCGTCACAGCTGGGGAAGGGATTTGATGAGGCAACCAGTCAAGTAGTGAGCAATAGTTCAACAACTTCAACCTAGTGACGGCGCAAAATTCTGAATCGGTTTTCCCCCCCCATGGAGTGTAGGCGTTTGCGGTTACGTGAAGCATTGGAAACTCCAGGAAGTGCTTGCAATTTTGACAACATAGAAAACCATTAGTATACAATCTTGTTCGTTCATATTCCTTATAATCTTAAACTACATAAAATTGGTGCTATAATCATGCAAATGCGTGGAAGGTGCCGGACCTAGAGTATGGGTTCTTGAATTTACAAACCGGAGCCCAACACGAAGGAGCCGACCATGGTAACGCCAAGTAGAGCGCCGTATTTCCAGGACAATGGGTTGGCAACAACGTTGGCGGAGGCTGCGCTAGAGGACGAGCTCTTGGAAGTGCTAGAAGACGAGCTCGATGACGTGGACGCCACGGACGACTTCACGGACGAGGCAGCGGAAGTGACCGACGACGCTGCCGACGACTTAACAGACGACTTAGCAGACGACAAAGCGGATGTGGCGGACGAGGCAGCGACATTGTTGTTGGAAACCAAGTTAGAGGCAGTGCCGACAGAAGAGGATGAAGAAGCCATTTCGAGTGTATAAGTGTGTTGGGAAGTGTGTGGAGTGGAGATCAGAAAACTGTTGATGATGGGAAACTAATAATCAGACTAGACCTATTCAATGTCTTTTCTACTCAGCAATTCCTCTACTTATACGTTGCGGACTTGTAATTGTGCTTGGCTTTTGTCTAAATTGGCTTCAGACAATTGCCATGGCTGACACCCAATTCCCGAGTTATAGCGGCGCCTTTAGCTGGCGCAGCGCTATATTGGTCCACATCCTCTTCTCTACTGAGCAATTTCAGTCCGGGATCACCATACTCACTTTATTTAGTGCCTTCCTAGAATGGAAAAGATACTGATATATTTTCCACATTGCGCGGAAAGCCACGGTAAAGAGTTTTATTAGCCAAGCGGCAGCTTCTCAGGGACGCCAAGATACCCTGAATGGGTAGGTCCAGGTTTCGGATCCAGTTTTTCCAGATGCTAAGAATAGGAATGGAGTTTTTTACTGTGGGTACGTAAATTGATATGATAGATCAAAGTGCCAGATTGAAGCAAGCAGAAATTAAGATGGCGGGTTTGAACGAAAATCTTGAAAAAGCGGCGTTCGGAAGTGAAATTCGGGAGCAAGATGAAGGAGAGTGTTTCGAAGCCTCGAGCCAGGCTTAGTAGACTATTTGGAGGGAGAGGAGCCAGTGTGTTGGGAACGAAACCCTCGTATGTAGTGATGTACGGAATCTTGTTGCTTGTAATTAGGCGAGCTGCACACAGCCTGTAACTCGAGGAATTGGTCGATAAGACATCGCCGCGATGCGAAATATGGCGTTGAACGTATGAGAGCTTACTTTGCAAGAGAATAGCGAGAGAGAAAAATTAGTTCGAGAAGCTGCCAGGGTTTGAACTACTTTGCGTGTCACCTGGTACGCGTTGGCGCTCGAGCAAGCTCCGGCAAAGAGGCATTTTGGCCAGAAGCTCTTTACATATCGCAATTGGCCCACTAGAGCACTCGCGGGGCCCAACGCACAGAGATCGAGGCAAGCACCCATGTCTTCTACCCAATCCTCCAGTCAGTTACCTATGGGTGTGTCTACTCACTGTGTGTGGGATGCGTTCGCCAGAACTCGGCGCATCAGACTAATGTCTTGAAAACTCGTAAAATTAATTAAATGCAAACTATAGATGCCAGGTAAATCATGCCGCTATACCGCAGGCGGCCATTAGCATCACGGCAGCGCCTAGTTTCCAGTTGGGCCTATGTGGAATGGCAGCGGCTCCTTGCTGGCCAGCAGCACTGGATGACGACGTGGATGAAGACGTAGATGACGAAGAGTCTCCCGACGGTATGGAGGCAGAATACTGCGACGACCCCGTAGAAGATGATGTGCTTCCAGTGACAGATGGACTAGTGGTAGATGCCGAGTCCTGTCTGCTTGGAGTCTTGGAGTATTTGAAAGAGCTGGAGTATGCGGTTGTGGAGAGCATTAGGGACTGGTCAAGCGACAGCAAACCGCCGGAAGAACCACCCAGGAATGCGTACGACACCGTGGCAGCGCCGGCACTGGAACTCGCGCTATCGACCTGGATCTGCATGTCCATAACAGGTGAGGCTAGGGAGAGAGCGGAAGGTCGTCAAAGAAGGGCCTTCTGAATCTTGGCACGTGATCTGGTGAACCCGTGTTGGCTGCGTTGAGAGTGTTTCAACGGCTTGTGAAATTAGATGGTTATCGAGAGGCGAAAGTCTGGACTCTGTGTAGTGAGTGGGCTCGCTCTGGGTATTGATTCTGCTGCTGCTCGCTGCTGCTACTACTTCTTTTTTATGCTGGGAGGCGGTTTTTCCCAGTTTCAAAGCTTACCAGCCTGAGCTTTGCTAGGATTGTTCTTTGTCGAGTTCTTATGAAACAGTACTTCTTCTGAAACAGAAGATCTTCCCCACGAAGATACCCATCTGGCAGCGGCTCGTCATTTCTTATATACTTGCACTCTACGACACAGTTGCACTTCTTGTCACACACTCTCGTTTCACTCCTACATACTCTCGCTGGAAGCCAGCATCGTGGTAGGTGGGTGTCTCCCTCTCTCTGTCCCCCTGCTAGCTACACTGAGAAACCGGCAAATCACTACATCGTTAGAGCGGCGGGCTCGAGAAAACGCGCCGCGTTTACAGCACGTCATTGATCCTGTGCTGTATCAGTTCCAAGTTAAATTCCGTATATCTTTTCAAGCAGAGTGATTCCAGACCTGCAAGAAACGGCGCAGCTGTAACTATAAAAAATTTTATCAACGCGAACTTAAGTGGAGCACCACTTTATGTAGTAAAAGAATAATAAGTGTTTCAGGCACCGACTATGGTAATTGTGAACGCGCGACGTTGGCGAGCTGCACATGGTGCGTATACTAAAGACGTCAGACAATGGTTGAGCTAGGAGTTACGAGGCATCTGGCAAAAAGTAAATTTTGTTAGCGATATATAGTTAAAGTCTTGATGCATTGTTCGCCATGATCGCTGAGTCGTAGAACTAAGTAAAGAAGGGCCAGACCGCTGGTGGAATTCTCGGATGAGAATGACACGGGGTTATGCCGAGATTAGATTCGCGTTGACTGAAGACTTGGGCACCAAGACGTGGTGCACAGGACAGATACTAACGCTACAACTTGGGTGTGGATATCCCAGGATCGCGACGTGAAAGATCGCAGCACTTGTTTAGTTGGGAAGTTGTAGAATCTCGGGCCCGGGGGACTAAAACCGCGAGTACTTTAGTCTCGAGAAATGCTGTGCGTGAGCATTCCCGACGTCGACAGTGGTTGAAAAAATGTGTAGAAGCAAATCTATTGCCAAATTCTTGAATAGCCTGGCCCATCGCGCTGCTGATGTTTACAAATATCAAGATGTTAAATGCTCACTGTTGTGTTTGGAGAGTGCAACGTAGCCTCAGCGAAGGGCGCCTAGTCTCTGCGCCTCTCTCATTCTTGCGGACGTCTTGCAACGAACCCGAATTCGGGGGCGAGCACAGTCTTGTTTCTTGACAAGTATACCTGAAACTCCAGACCCGCGTCCGAAAGTTCCGTCGTCTTATTGCCACCTTTCTGCCCTCCCGGCGCACACTAGCAGTCTTTCGTGTGTCTTAGCTTTCGTCTTGGGCCATCTAGTCGTTTACCTACTCCCGCCTCTGCCCATTTCTCTACTTCGGCGTCTAGTCGATTTTCAGCTCTGCGCGTATATCACGGTCTGCCGTACGTAGTTACTGCGCATTTTCGGGTCCGCATCACGCAAATTTTTCTTCTTTGGAAATTTTTCAGACCGCCAGTTTTCATAGTAGTAAATATAAAAAGCCATTACTACTGGGATGCCCTTCTCCAGAGGCCTTCTCTTTCTTGATAATAGTTCTTCTCTCCTCGCTTACAATCAGTAGAAAATGGGTGCCTACAAATACTTGGAAGAGCTTCAAAGAAAGAAACAGTCCGACGTCTTGAGATTCTTGCAGAGAGTCCGCGTCTGGGAATACAGACAGAAGACGGTTATCCACCGTGCTTCCAGACCTTCCAGACCAGACAAGGCTAGAAGACTCGGTTACAAGGCCAAGCAAGGTTTCGTGATCTACCGTGTCCGTGTCAGACGTGGTAACAGAAAGAGGCCTTGCCCTAAGGGTGCCACCTACGGTAAGCCCACCAACCAGGGTATCAACCAGCTCAAATACCAGAGATCGTTGAGAGCCACCGCTGAAGAGCGTGTTGGTCGTCGTGCCGCTAACCTCAGAGTTCTAAACTCGTACTGGGTCAACCAAGACTCTACCTACAAGTACTTCGAGGTCATTCTTTTGGACCCATCTCACAAGGCCATCAGAAGAGACGCCCGTTACAACTGGATCTGCAACCCAGTCCACAAGCACCGTGAAGCCAGAGGTCTCACCTCCACTGGTAAGAAGTCTCGTGGTATCAACAAGGGTCACTTGTTCCACAACACCCAGGCCGGTAGAAGAAAGACCTGGAAGAGACAAAACACTTTGTCTTTGTGGAGATACAGAAAATAAGCGGGCGCATAGCGTGCTTGCTAAGGCGGGAATTAGTTTTGTTCTCTCTAACGCGGGTTCTTACCTGGTGAGGTGGCTATCTGCCCCATCAGCGATAAATACATACTTTCGTTATCTACGTTGTTAATAGGCTAAATCTCGTTGGTTTTTCTCCCAAAAAAAAACGCTGCTTGGCGATCTTCTCAAAGTCCACCAGGCTCATCCCAATGACGCCGGAGGCTTCTTCATGCAATTTCTCTTGACTCCAATACTGACTCTAGTATTCTCTACCACTATCTTGTAATTTGTTCAAATTTCCTAATTTTCATGATTATTACTGAAAAATTTTAACAACAACCTCTATGGAGCCCGCCCGATATTTAATTTTGAGTTATAAAATAGCTCGAACTATTCCCTTGTTCTGACTTAATCATCCGCTATCGCTTGGGCTTCTTATTCTCCACTACATTGCATTGATTCAAAGATCTATTCCAACTGGCGAATTACAATGTCCGATACCAATTATTCCAAGACTGCGATTCTGTCGGTCTACGACAAAACCGGTCTGCTAGATCTGGCTAAGGGCCTCGCCGATAACAATGTGCGAATTTTGGCGTCTGGCGGTACCGCCCGTATGGTGCGTGAAGCCGGCTTCAACGTCGAAGACGTTTCTTCCATCACACACGCCCCAGAGATGCTAGGTGGCAGAGTCAAGACACTGCATCCAGCTGTCCACGGTGGTATTTTGGCCAGAAACTTGGCATCCGATGAGAAAGATTTGAAGGAACAAAACATCGACAAAGTGGACTTCGTGGTTTGCAACTTGTACCCCTTCAAGGAAACCGTCGCAAAGGTCGGTGTCACAATCCCCGAGGCTGTGGAAGAGATCGATATTGGAGGTGTTACACTCTTGAGAGCCGCTGCCAAAAACCACTCGCGTGTGGCAATCTTGTCAGACCCCAACGACTATCCTCAATTCTTGCAAGAATTGTCCAAGGGCGGAGTTACCCAGGATCTCAAAAATAAGATGGCCTTGAAGGCTTTCGAGCACACCGCCGACTACGACGCCGCCATCTCTGATTTCTTCAGAAAACAATACTCTGAGGGCACGACTCAGCTGCCGCTACGTTACGGTGCCAACCCACACCAAAAACCTGCTCAGGCCTACGTCTCCCTCCAGGAAGAGCTTCCATTCAAGGTCCTGTGTGGTTCCCCCGGCTACATCAACCTTTTGGATGCTCTCAACTCATGGCCTTTGGTCAAAGAGCTTTCTGCCTCTTTGAACCTACCTGCGGCCGCTTCCTTCAAGCACGTTTCGCCCGCTGGTGCCGCTGTGGGTCTCCCATTGAGCGACGTGGAAAAGCAAATCTACTTTGTTAAAGACATTGAGAACTTGTCACCATTGGCCTGTGCTTACGCCAGAGCCCGTGGTGCCGACAGAATGTCCTCATTCGGTGACTTTATTGCTCTATCTAACATCGTTGATGTTCCTACCGCTAAGATAATCTCCAGAGAAGTTTCTGATGGTGTTATTGCTCCAGGATTCGAGCCAGAAGCTTTGGAGCTTCTATCTAAGAAGAAAGGTGGTAAATACTGCATTTTGCAAATCGACCCTAACTTCACTCCAGAATCCGTGGAATCTAGACAAGTTTACGGTGTGACTTTGCAACAGAAGAGAAACGACGCCATCATCAACAAGTCTTCTTTCAAAGAAATTGTCTCTGCTAACAAGAACTTGACCGAACAAGCCGTCATCGACTTGACTGTGGCCACTATTGCCTTGAAATACACTCAATCCAACTCTGTGTGCTACGCCAAGAACGGTATGGTGGTGGGTCTAGGCGCTGGCCAGCAATCAAGAATTCACTGTACCAGATTGGCCGGTGACAAAGCTGACAACTGGTGGTTGAGACAACACCCAAGAGTGCTAGGTTTCAAGTGGGCCAAGGGTGTCAAGAGACCTGAAAAGTCGAACGCCATTGACTTGTTTGTGACTGGTCAAATTCCAAGCGAAGAACCTGAGAAGTCTGAATACGACTCTAAATTTGCCGAGATTCCAACTCCATTGTCAGCCGAAGAAAGAAAAGAATGGATGGACAAATTGACCAATGTTGCGTTGTCGTCTGATGCTTTCTTTCCATTCCCAGACAACGTATACAGAGCCGTTAAATCCGGTGTCAAGTACATTGCTGCACCATCCGGTTCTGTGATGGACAAGGCCGTTTTCTCTGCGGCGGACTCCTTTGAGTTGGTGTATGTCGAAAACCCAATTCGTTTGTTCCACCATTGATTGGTGTTATACAAGTGCTCTCTGGGATCACTAATATAAAGTAAATAACGAATAAGCCATGATATGATAGTCAAGAGAAGAAACCATCAAGAGAAGAATCATCAGGCAACCAAAACTCGTCTACTAGGGTGACCAAGAGCTCAGTTAGCTCCCAATGAATAAATCTGCTGGAGCTTAGCGAAAAAAGTCCACTCGATTTACTTATTGTGCTCTACAGCATGCTTTTTACCAAGAACTACCTTATAAGAATTTATTTTGAAAATGTCAGCGGTATGGTTTTACCCAAATGATAACTGGCCCATAGGGCCTACACAGCGTTTAGGAATATACCGCGACAGAACGACACAAAGGCGACCGAACTCAATCGAGCGAAGTTCCCCTTCCGAAGAAGAAAACTAACACTCAAGAGCTCAAGATACACGCGTCCTGCTTCCTCTGGGAACCTGTCGACGGGGCTGCTTCTGTCTCATCCACCAGACGAATCCGGAGGCAACAACCGACTGTCTGTAAGCTCGGAACTTAAATCCACGCGACTCAAAACCCTGCGAACAAGGGAGAAGCGTAGAAATTCCGAAGACAATCGGCTCCTTGAGACTTTGCCTCTCGAGCGCCGAAATACCCGGCAAGAAAAGTGGGCCAGTAAAGCAGTAATAGCAAGAATCGGCTCACCAGTCTTCGAAAAGAGAGGGAGTGATCCTCTGGCCCGGAATCTTACCGGATCAGGTCCATGGTTATTAAAAATTAAGAAGAAGATGTAAAAGTTCTAAAGATTTGGTGCGAATTCCGAGTCTTTATATAGTTTTCAGAAAATGGTGAAAAAAAATATATCATGCGATGAGGTTACCCTGTCTGCTCATACCTAAGCGCTAAAGTTCCAGGGCATTCATGTTAATCCAAAGTGGCGGAGAGACAGAAGAGATCCAGCTCCAAGCTGCTCTCTTTCGTGTTTGTAGCACGCAGTTCTATCGTGCTCATACAGTATTAATCTTGCTGTAGCCTTTCACAGGAGCTCTGCAACAGATGCAGGTGTTAAATCCTCTAAGACCCAAGGAAACCCGACACTCTTCGCACATGGCAAAGCACTTGCATGGCCACAGCACGATATTGCGGACATTGGTCTTGCACACCACGCAGGAAAGGTCGCGCTCGGAGGATGTGAAGGCTGCTTTCTGTCCGGCAGCGGTGCGAGTCTCTAGGGACCGTTGAAACATAACCTCGCTTAAGACATTCGTTTCATTTAGTTGGGAGTACTGCGAGCGTGTGAGCCGTCTGTCGAATTGTGTCTCGCACTGCAAGATGGACCACATCGACATTAGCCACTGTGGTTCCTGCGCTGTTGCATGAGGTGCGCCTGGGAAGGTCGCAGAAGATGGGAGTATGAGCTCTGCCACTGCGGCTCCGGAGAGAAGTTCTTCAGAGGAGTTGTCTGAAACCTCGGAATCTGCATCGGAACATTCGCTAGCATGCTCAAGAATTGACTCATCCACGACGTAGTCTGCCGACCAATCGTCTTCGGGCAACATATACTTGAAATCGGCTGGCTGCGGGGCCCTGTTCGCATTCAAATCTGGAGCCCGTGCGAGAAACTTACTGTAGTTTTTGTCCGAAACGTAATCATTCAGATTTTTGCCGCGATCGCTGTGGTCTTTCGGGTACTCCGTAGTCAGTTTTTTGGTAGTCTTGAAGAGTGAAAGAATACGGAATTTGAGCGCTTTGCTAAGATTCCACAAAGTCGTGACTTTCCTCTGCCATACCGGCTGACTGAATCCTTGGACTGAATCGATCTCTTGCGCCACGTTCGACTCTCTATTCATGTACCCACTTACCAGAAAAGACCGGTGAATTTCGCGCTGGTGAGACAATTGAGAAAGCTCCTGATGGATTCCAAGCTTCTCCACTTGTCCTGGATTACATATTAGTATGGCGAAATTGATGAGCGTGCTAGTAAACTCTTCTTCCCCCGTACAATTGAGAGTTGTGTACCAGTTTTGCATGAACGAATGAAACCGCAAATCCGATGGGTCATTAGAGCTATATGGGCTCAGTCTCACCAGGTAGGCCAGACCGTAACATGCTACTGACACGGCTATACAAGCCAGTGCCAAGGTCTTGGGAATGTGTCTGTACTTCACCAATAGCGGTAAAGACGTAAAACCCTCGTTGAACACGGTCCAAGCCAAGTAAACCAAATGACCAGCGTTAAGGATGGTAGAACACAGCAGCCGATAATGTCTCGTATTTGTCAACTCGACAATGTGGATTATCAAGCGACCCAGCAGCGCCATGAGACAGTCCGGTACGAAGTCTGCTCGGGATGAGTTAGATCTTGTGAGAGAGTAAAAATGCATGGAAAGTTCGAATATGCTGTAGTCAAACTCCTCCATGGGTTTTGAGTTCGACGTAACTGTGACAAAAGTCTCAATGCAATGTGAGAGGCAAATAATGGCATATGTCAGCGCAAAATACTGATTGGGGTCTCCTTTTGGATCTGGTCGCAGCGTCAGCCAAACGTTGTAAATGAGGGTCACAAGCGCTGCGCCGTGAAACAAAATCCGCGACCACAGCGGCAACCTTACGACTGTGGATGGGGATCTCAGTGAACTCATGGCCACGATCCGATTGAGTACCAAAGCCGTCACAAAACATCCCACAGCGTAGTTACTAAAGAAATAGCCCGCTGTCTCTACGAACGCGGAAGCACCGAAATTCATCGCTTGGGACGCCGCAGAGGTTGTCAGCTGCGATTCATACTGCGACACTATCGCGCTGTAGAAGGAGTGTCCCACCTGGTACGGAAAGTTTATCGCTGATGCCCAGGCACCCCCGCTTTTTAGCAGTAAATGCCTCGAATTGTTCAAATACGGGAATTGACCGGCCAACGTCTCGTTAAATTCGCCCATTCTTCCAATGAAGCCCAACAAATATTAGTCTAAGTGTCAGTAACACTTTTGGGTCGCTCAATCGTACTTATTGAAGTTTGACCGGTAGTTAATCCTGAGATGTGAATCTTGAATCACTGTTTACGCCAGAGTATATTGTGTGAAACTTAGTTAGGGCCCTCAACGTTTTATGTTTTGATGAAAGACTCAACGAATTCTATTCTGTCTGGATTGGGCTTGCGATTGATTTTGAACTTAAACTTCTGGTCTGACTCTAAATCCTCTTTCAACGAAGCATTAAGGGTCCAAAAAATAATGGTTGCTAAGAGATTCGAACTCTTGCATCTTACGATACCTGAGGATTCCACTGTTTAACAGCGTTAAGAAGAAGACTTCTTGAATCAGGCGCCTTAGACCGCTCGGCCAAACAACCTATTAATGAAAGCAGACAAGTAGGATTTTGACTAGACTTAGAGCATGGGTCGTGTGATTTTTTAGCGAGCACGAGCACGAACATTGTAACCTGGAGGTCGGGAGCCATTTGTACATCACATAAGCTTTGTACTAATGGTACTTGATCGAAATGATGTTTACACGATAATTCTCATTGCTTCCCGGAGCGTGCTCACGGAGTGGTGGGAATGGGATCAGAAACGCGTGAAAGCGTAACTGCGTCGGTGGCTGTTCTCAAAGTAGCCAAGGTTTTGAGTTACTTTGATAGGGAAAGGATTCAACAGTTCGTTTTGCTTGGTTTATAACTCAACTTAGTCTGATTCGTAAATTATTTTAATTAATGTTAATATACCTAAGTTGTACTTTTAAAAAGCTACTGGATAAAGAAATAGAAAACTACAAAAGTTGATAATCCTGATGAACGTTAACTTTGACAGTGTATATCTTGCTAACACGCGTCGCAATCTACTATCACAGTGGAGCAGCTCCGTCACACTCCTCAATGCCGATCTGGAGCGGTCCTTAGATTTGGATTCCATAGTTTTGCCGCCGAGACAAAAGTCTCTACAGGTAAGTTAGTTTTATAAAATTGTACATACAGACGACGAAGTCGCATATAGCTCCTACTCCCACGCCAGTACTAACTCTTCGACACAGATAAATATCAACCTCAACTACGGCGACGAGGACGACTTATCCTCGTCACAGTTCACACATGAAATTATCCAGAGTTTAACCAATTGTAGCGATTTTTGGCACGATCTGAACTACAAACCCAGCTTCCAAGCCTCAAGTGCCAGCTGTGTAGAGATTTCGCTCGATTGTGAGATATTCACCACCATGAAAACCAAGAGCCTCCTAGAACAGCCGCTTTCGATTCTGAAACACATGAACGCCAGGCTGCTGACAGTGACGACCGTCGATGTGCAAGCAGTTTTCCTCGGCACTTCGAAATCCGCTCCTGACATTGTAAAGCAGTGCAACGAATTTTTGGTGTCACTATTTGTATCACAATTAGAGTTTCAGTTCCCACTGGCATTTTCCCGAGTATGCCGTAGTCGTTTTCTCCAGCAAGAGGCTTTTTTGGGACCCATCTCCTACGCTTTAGCTAACTCAGCTTCAATGATACCGAAACTTATCAAAATTATTTCGGATGACAAAACCGCAACAACATGCTACCGTATTCTTCAACTATCGGGTGACCGCCGCAAAGTCTCCAGATTACTAAAACTAAAGGACGCCGTTTCTCCTTTCCAGATACTCAAACATTCTTGAACTTGTATTTTAGCCCGCGAAGACTGTTGATCTCGTCCTCCAATTCACTCATCCACTTTTTGGAGATAACAGAGAGGCTGAATAGCACCAAGGGGACATGGAATAAAACGCGCAGACCAAATTTGTCTACTTTCTCTGAAACCTCCCAAGTGATAAGCAACAAAAGCATGCAGTTGAGGGCATTGATTCTTTGCGTTGTTATTCTAACGCCCAGAGATCGTGATATCGAGAAATCCTTCATTATCTCATAACGTAAAGTGATTAAAGAGCAAATGACGGAGTTAATAGAGAATAGTAACAATCGCTTATGAGTCGAAGCGTCGCCGCCAAGCCTTTTTACCTTCACTACGAGCGAGAGAAATACACCACAACACACCATGTAAGCTATACTCAAAAGTTGCACTATTTTACTGTTGCTGCAAACATTTCGGAGCTCTAGATTACTGATATATTCCTCCTGCTCTTCAACGTCCATGGGATGCATCGGGATTTCGTTATCGCTATCATCACCACCATTGATTCTATCTAAGACTCCTCTGTTAAACTTCCTTAGTCGCGACATACTTCACTTCCTCTCTTTCGAATGCTCTTTATTTTCAAGATGTATAACGACGAACTTAAAATATAGAGATACCGAATCCTTTTGTAAAGATCATACCAATGTGCTATCATAAGAGCTAGGTCGTGTCGTAAGAACTCGGTTAATAAACTCAACCCGCTCATGAAGCCTACCATACTGTTAGATAGCAAGTTACCGTACAAAAATGTGGTCGATCTAGCGTACAGACACATCAAGTCCAAAAGTGTGAATTCGAATAACCCTGCGGTGGTAAATTTACATGGTCTATTTGGATCAGGTCGAATGTTTGGAGCTATAGCTAAAAGATTGGCAAACGATCTGAACACAGACGTTTACAACGTTGATATCCGCAACCATGGAAATTCTCCAATAGCGAAACCTTACGATTATTTAACCTTGACAAATGATGTTATACACCTGCTGCGAAATCAAATTGGCCATGAGCGTCCAATTTCAATCATTGGCTTCTCGATGGGTGGTAAAATAGGGCTATTGAGTTCATTGTCCCGTAGGCTAAATGTTGTCAAATGCATTTCGATAGATATGCCGCCATATGAAACCTTGAAGCTCGGTAAAGATATTACTGAAAATTATGACACAATTGTAAAGCTTTGCAGGCGAGAAATAAAAGTTCAAAAGGGCCATAAAGGTTGGAAGGATCAAATTATAAAGACATTCCAAAATTTGCCCGTCAACAAGCGCCCTGGAGCTGCATTGTACTTTTCAGAAGGATTTTTAGAGGTGAAAGACAATATGAAGCCTTTTGATTCTTCAGCTGATGCCGATCCATACGTCAATTATAAGGTCCCGCTACTGGAGATGCCAGACTTGCTCGACAACATTAAAACCGGTCTGAACGTAAACGATCTGGACCCGTTAGCATTCAAAAAGAAGGCCGCAGCCCGCGTGCTTTTCATGCGAGGCCTTAGCTCGCCACTAATAAGTGACAATTACGACATGCTGTGTACGCATTTTCCAAATTGCAGGGTGCAAGAATTTGATACGGGCCACGCAATTATGATAGAGTCGCCAACCGAGTTTTATCAATCATGCGTGAAACATCTAGCGAATGACTAGCTGGCTGTTTGGTTTTGGCCATTTCAACGCCAATGACCTATTAAATAAAACTGGTAATAATGATAGATATAATAATACATGGCTTTATTAGCTTTATGGAGTTACAAAAACCTTCAGTAAACTAAAAAGACGAACAGGAGTTTAGAGAGTTTGAAAATTCATTGATTAGATATCGTTCCAGCCCAAAGAGTTTTCTGTTGCTATTGGCCTTGAGATCTTTAAAACGTTTGGTTTGTCATAATCAGAGGCAATATTTGCTTGATTAACCTCGGGTAGATCGCCATAGTGATTCTGCGTCATCCATTCATTGATTCTCATGCTAGGAGTAATGGATGAACGATGATCAGGATTTTTTTCATTGTCGCAATGGTAAGCACCAGCGTGTGACCCCGAATCAAAGCTGGACGTTTCGTCCAGCTGAGGAGCGCTATTCTTCAATTGGTTTCTTTTCACAATAAACCTAAAGGCTAATGCCATCAGGGAAATGTACACTAGAGCTCCGCACACGACGCCGACGACCAAACCGATCATCTTCTTCTTGCTGGACATTCCTGAAGCACTTGCGCTGTAGTTGGAAGAGCCCAGCGTTCCAGCACTGCGATAGCCAGAGCTCTCGCTGTTTTGCGAGTCGCTCGAAGAGCTACTAGTACTGTCAGAATCTCCCGAGGAGCTGCTAGATCCAGACGAAGTCGACGAGGTGTCAACAAGTCCTGACAAAGGTATGGCGGCATCAACAAAAGAAGCCAGTTGATTCTTTGAACCCTCAGTAATATTGTAAAACTTGCTTTCCTCGTTCTGAATTAATTTTTGCAAATCTTCAACTTGATCAGTAGGAAAGTATACTTCCGCCACCGTGATAAGATAGTCTCTGTTGGTCACCTTCAAGGGGAACATTCTCGTCACCTCAATGCTAGGAAGCGTTGAGTCGAATGGAAGATTCAGAGCCTCTGGGAGGTACGCGAAGATTTGCGCACTGGTAATGGCGTTAGAAACTACGAACGGATAATTCAAGGCTTTTTTAAAACCAACGGTGATCACGCTATAGCCTTCTGGCTGGGCTACCTGTGTTGGGGCTCCAATTGCTTGTGGAAGTGTTTGGGTGGCTTGCTGAGCGTCGTCTGAAGCGTTACCAGACACGGTAGCTGATTCTGTGGAAGCGGCTGCTGTTATCATAGCAGTTGGAAGCCAATTTGTCGAAGAGCTCTTTGGTGCAACTGAAGTTGACGAGGGCACTTCGGCGGGTGTAGACACGCTGAATGTAGAATCTGAGGCAGGGGCTATGGAAGTCGCAACAGGCGTACTTGGAGGCAGCTCCGAGTTCTCCGATAAGCTGACTGAAGGGACAGCCGTCACAGATGTGTCTGTGAAAGAAGCGCTCGAGGAGAGGGCACTAGAAGTTGACATTGTAATACTGTCCGACGTGGAGGACGAAGCAGTGACCGAGAGCTCTTGCGCCGAACTAGACGCAGAAGAATATAAAGACTGGGAACTGCTTTGTGAAGTGACTCCGGTGTACGAATTCGAAGTACTTAGGGTATCACTGGAAGTCAAGGATCCTGATGCTGAGGACGATGTGGCCTCAAAAGAACTCGAAGGTCCGGAGGTAGACATAGGACTTGGTGAAGAGGACGATGTGGCCACAAAAGAACTCGAAGGTCCGGAGGTAGACAAAGAACTTGGTGAAGAGGACGTTGGCAAGCTGGTTGTATAGCCAAATAAAGACGACGTGACACTACTGTCGCTTTCGGCTGAAGAGGTACTCAATGGGGCGCTGTAAGCTGACGAAGACTTTGATATTAGATCGGTGAGGGAAGAGCTCGAGGCGACGTACGTTTCAGAAGATGATGCCGCAATCCATTGAGAGCTTGAAGATGAAGCTGGCGTACTGGTGGGGTATTCGGTTGATGAAGAGATCGTTTCTGAACTCAACTGCGAGGTTGAAACGCTACTCTCTGAGTATGCGCTGATAGAAGTTGAACTCTCAGGAATCCACTCTGAGGAAGACGGGGTTGCACTTCCAGTATTTTGAGTTGTGGAGATACCTGTCTCCGAAGTCCATGTCGAACTTGATGACGGAGACGAGTCTGAGATATCTGTGGATACTGCTGAACTCCACTCAGATGCCGCCGAGGTGGTACTTACACTGTAGGGAATATTCGAAGAGGTAGTCGCAGAGCTTAAGGCGGAACTGGTGTAAGGAGAATTTGAAACCTCAGTGCTCGTTACGCTTGGGCTTGACGTCCATCCAGGCTCCGAAGCAATCGAAGTAGCAGTGTTCTCAGTAGTTTGAGAAGCTGCACTGGATGTCCATTGAAGGGAACTGGTCGATTCAGAATATTCTGGAGTGGAGCTTGCAGCTTGCGAGGTCCATTGAGAAAATTCAGAACTTGGAGCCGTAGCATAATCCGAACTGTACACGGTATTCTGCGAACTTGTCTCAACAGGTGCAGCAGAAGTGCTCGTCGCGTATTCATATGACGAATAAGCTGTCTGAGAACTTATCTCAGAATTCCAAAAACTTGATGGGGTTTGATAGTGGTCTGAAGAAACTAATCCAGTCGAGCTTTCTTCGTTCAACGAGGAAGTCCAACTGTAAGAATAAGATGGAGTAGTAGTTGCTGTTTCGATAGCAGATTCTGAAGGCCATGAGTAGGAGGTGGACGTTGCTGTAGCCGAGGATTCTGCAGTCCATGGGTACGTTGTCGATGCTGCAGTAGCGGTCGAGTCCCCAGTCCATGGGTAGGATGTGGATGTCGCTGGTTCAGATGATTCTGGAGCCCCTGAATACGAGGTGAATGTCGAACCGGTCGATGAGTCAGTGGTAGAGCCAAGTGTTTCTGTGGTAGATTGTGTAGCAGAGGATTGCGCGGCTTCTGTGTTTGAAACACTGGAAGTAGCAGGCTCTTGTGACGTGGATGAACCGTCTTCGCTGCTAAAAGAATTTCCATACGATGTAGCGGCCGCTTGTGTTGACTCAGTTGTTGAGGTTGTTTCACTTGAAAGGCTCGATGGCTCTGCCGAAGTTTGAGAGCCTTGAGCAGAAGATGTGGCAATAACTGCGAGAGTTGATGTCATAGGAGAGCTCGATGGTGTCTCAGAGAAAGCGGTAGATGAAGTCGAGGGCTCAATAGAGCTAGAAACACTTGTGCTTTCCTCATTTGTCGAAAGTGCCGAGACGGCACTTGTGGAGGAGTAGTTCTCAGTAATTGAAGTAGATGCTGATGTGGCTTGAGTGTACGGGTCTGAACTTTGAACATTTGCATCAGTTTGCGAAGTAGTACCATCTTCAGCAGAAGTAACCTGAGACGTTGCTTCAGTTGAGGAGGGAGAAGCAGATGTGGTCACTGGCGTAGAATATACGGTAGAAGAGGTTGATGATGTACTAGAAGCGATCTCTGAAGAAGTTGGTTGCGTCGTCGAAGAAGTGGTCGAATCGGGTTCTACTAGAGATGAAGAACTAACGTCCTCCGGGGTATATTGTGACGTGGAAGACGTTGAGGTAGTAGATGGGGTTTCAAAGGCACTCACAGAGGTGGACGACGTTTCGGGATTGGCTGTAGTAGACAGCGAAGTACTCGAAGTATTTTCAACATCCGTCGCGCTGGTCTCTGACGTGGTAGAAGAGGAAATCCATGGGGTTGAAGAAGTGGAAAAAGGGGAAGAAGTGGAAGAAGTAGGAGAAGTAGGAGAGGAAAAAGATGGGGTGGTGGAAGTAGATGAAGTAGAGGACGTAGAGAAAGTCCACGGGGTGGTAGAAGTAGAGGAAGTCTCAGGTTGAGCCGAGGAAGTTTCGAGAGGCTGAGTAGTAGATGATGGTGTCTCGAAATATTGAGATGTTGAAGACGAGGTCTCAGAGGTTGGAGACGAGGTCTCAGAAGTTGGAGAAGAGGTCTCAGAGGTTTGGGACGAGGTCTCAGAGGTTTGGGACGAGGTCTCAGGCGTTTGGGACGAGGTCTCAGGCGTTTGCGACGAGGTTTGCGAAGTCGCGGAAGAGGTCTGGGAAGTCCACACGGCACTCGATTTAGGAGAGGATGTTGAATAAGCCGCAACGCTGGATGTCGTCGACGAAGCGACGCTGGAATCAACAGCTGTGGAGGACGCGTATTGTGAGGAAGAACTCGTGGGCGAGTCGGCACGCGAGAGCGCACTGAGCCAGTCCGCGAGTCCGTTGGCTTGAGCGCCAGAGGCTAGCAGTAACAGCCAGAGGCAGTGGCGGGGAAGCGTCATTGGGATCGCTTGCGAGGGCTATAGCGTTGTGCTTGTGGCCTGTTGCTTGTCCACGCGACTAGCTGGGGTAAAACGAAGGGTATAGTGGTAAAAGAGTGACTATAGTTAAACTGGAGAGACGAGCAGTTCAGAGGTGGAACGTCGTTGTGCTGGGGGGTTCTCCGATGATTGAGCGAACGTTGATCGGAACTCTAGCACGCTGTGTGCCTTTTTTTTCCCTTTCTCTCAAGACCAATTTCTCGATGACCTAAATGCGCCAAATCTTGCTAGCTCGCTTTTAGTTCGTTTCCGCAGTTGCCGCGATCGCTTTTGCTGATTACAGTTAAAAGCGAGAGACGAAATCCGCTGCGTGGAGTGCTGAATATGGCTTGTTTCCTCGGAAATCTAAGTCTGGAGCTAGTCCACGGTCCACATTCTTGAGATGTGCAATTATTACCATTCCAATGTTTTTTTTCGTGGTTTCAGATCTAGCCAGATCTGGAAAAAATTAGATAGTGGACGGATCGCGTACAAGATGACCAAATATAACGGTTGGTCTCGTATGTAGAGATGAAGAGTTAGGAAACCGCTGCGTGATTGAAGCGTGGTGGGTGCAAGAGAGTGGAATTAGTGTGTAATCATAGCGCGGATTCTCGCTGGTTCAGATGTGAGCGAGAGGGTGCGAAAAAAAGAAAGCTGTAACGGTGAAAATTGTAGCGGTAGTCGAAATTATAGCCGTGATGATTACCGTAAGCGTGCGGTTGGAGGCATGTTCGATTTTCAGGCCTAACCACCAGAGTGAGCAAGACTCTAGTGGAAGTGCGCTGAAGAGTGGTGGAGAGATCCTTCTGGGCTAGAGTACTTTTGTACTCGCAAAACAGCGAGGGATATATTGCTGAGGGGAGAGCCCTGGGCGTGCAGAAGGGCGTTACGTCCGGTAGTATTGCGGCGAGTCTCATTAAGCAGTAGAAAGCTGGCCAAAACCTATTCGGAAAGTACGCCGCGTCAGAATAGTACGAAGTGACATGGGCGATGCCATGAATACGGCATTGCTTGCTCTCACAACGCGGCTCCAAACAGGCTCTATAATATGAAGCTAGTCTTGTTGTGTGATTAGCTCGCTCGGCAGGATGACGCATCTGCTTGATCAATTTCAAATGTAAAAAACACTGTGATCACAGGACACCACGGAGAGAGTTATCCAGCCAGTGCTTATTTACTATCAAGAGTCTAGTAAGGACTATTGATTACATCACTAGCAGCCACAAAGGTTGATGGAGACTAAACTCAACACAATCGTAGATGAAGGTCGTAAGTATGTCTCCGTGGAGCAGATAAAATTCTGAGATGCCAATAAAGAATGCGCGGGTCGCGGTTATATCAGTTGCTTTGCTCCTCAACACCCTATCAATAGGTTTATGCTACTCCTTAGTTCCCTCTGGTCACTGATTTTAGCTCTTGGTCTTATTGCATTATTTAGCGCACGTTTGTCAATATCACTTTGTACTAGTATGTCACTAGTCTACTTGATACTATGCCAACTTACATCGCAACAAAAACTTACAAATCGATGTGCTAACATTAGCTTTTGAAAATCCGGCAAAACCGCTTCTTGGTCTCTCAACACAGAAACCAACGATCGGTGACCAGTTCTCGTTTTCCAAAAGTTGTAGACGAATTATTACTTGTGTCCCTCATTTCTTAGCGTAGTAATAGAAGCCTATTGACAAACAGTCACATCAAATTCACACTTCCCTCATACCAATACTCTGGTTCTGTATTTGAGCTGAAACGCCACTTTGTAAAGTTCAGCTGGAAAACAAGTTCTGTCACTTTATACCAAAGTGTCATTGCTGAAAGTCGACAAAGCCTCATCATTTGGGACAATGCAATTAACATACACCCTAGTATGCTCCCTCCATGCAAGAATGGTTGTAGTTATACACTGAGAATGGATACAAGAAGTCAATAATCCGTACAAATGGTAACGAATACCGTCGTCAGTACCTCCATAATGTTGTCAATAAAGTAAAATCTCATGCTTTACATGGAAGGGATAGTTCGGAAACAAGAACAAACTGCTCAAAAATTCATAGCAGACACTTAAATTAAATTGCAATACAAAAGGGTAAACCACTAAGCACACCTTTACTAGTTGTAAACCCCTGTTCACATTTTGCGCTCGTCACAATAACGCTATCAGGATATGTATGAAATTCGCAACTACACATCCATTGAGATGAAACAGTGCACATGGAAAACACACCGTTGGATGCAAATACCTATCAGATGATTGATGTACACATTTTGTGCCCTCTTGGCAAGGAAGCTAAAACTGGTATTTATCAAGATTATCAATTGATATTGCCTCAAGCCAGGCAGTGTGTTCATCACCCCTGTAAGCCGAAACTCTTAGTTAAAAACGTGTTGATCTCGTGCCACCAGAACCTTTGGAACTTCGTGCAACGAAACATCCAAGTAAGCTATGTTTTCCATTGCTATAGGTCTAGCAGCGATCACATTTTTGCCAAGCGCATCCTAATTGCCAGTTTTGAAATAAGTACTGCTGCGACGTTGATTCTAGCAACACTGGCTTCCAAACGAGAAAAAAAGAATTGCGTACTCATATCTCGCTGCCATCAACGTACCGGACATAAAAACAAGAGAAAGTCTGCAAACCAGCTGTAATTGTTGACATCAAAACGTATAAATGCCGAGACAAAGCTGTTTTCGCTCAAATCCCTACTGCAGTTTTTTGATCAAAATTTAAATTCATTTCGCAGTTCTTCACCGCAGCATGCTTCAACCCAAAGTTTCTAATTTCTCCCATATGCGCTCTACTATCATATCCGCATCGTCATCAAAAGTCTCCCGTAGCTCGCCCAATAGTGCTTTCCTGCTGCGATGCTCTTTGAGATGGTCAAAGATGTACTGAGTCAGATCATCGTCTGACTCGCCCAAAAATTCAATCACCAGCTCTTGTACCACATTTGAATCGCGCAATTTTCCAATGAGATTTGCAAGGTCATCGTCACTTTGCACAAGCGTGCCTTCCTCTTCTTGCGGTTTTCCTATCTTCAGTTTGAATTTACTTGGTTCCGAGGTAGATGGTATTTGTTCGATATCAGGCTTCTGCTCTTCAGCAGCTTCAGCAATACCATGCATTATACGGTCTTCATCATCATGGCGCAGTTCTTCATCTTTATATGACCGATGATGGTCATAATATGGACTGTACGCCAAATGTAAAAGTTCTTTAAGGTACAATGGCCGCTCTTGTTCCAAATTGCTTTCGTAAGCCTTTTCACGCGCGACCTGCTCTTGTAAAGATCGGAATCGTACTTCCACCTTAGAGGTATAATGCCCGAGAAGCTCATTGTATAGCATATCTTCCTCCTTCTCCCGTTGCTCTTCTTTCCGTTTTTCTACGATTAAGTCGTCTTCTTCATCTTCTTCGTCTTCAGCCTCATCTCCTCCCCCGTTTAGTTCGCTACCGTCTTCGTCGTCCATGGAATCGGCGTTCCCTTTGCTCCTACGAATCTGGTCAAATACTTGCATCATGTGTTGACCCATACGTTTGTTTTCCTCGTATTCTGCCTTTGCACGCTTTTCCTTCTCTATAGTAACAACTCGGGTACGAAAATGTATAATGTCCTTGCAAAGCTGTTCCAGCGAGCTTCGTGGTAAGTCGCTGAGCGTGGATATATCGACTTTATAATCCACAGACTGGATTTCATCCGTGGCTACAGCAGCGTTGTCCCGGAATTCCTGTAATTGGTTCGATAAATGTAAGGCATCTTTAGTGATATAAGTGCTCTCAAGTTCAAAGCTCTTCGTAGTATGGTCCTTACAATATCGATCCGTATTTTCGTCGTAATGTAATTGTGGTTTTATGCTGGTATCATCTTCCGACCATTGTTTGAACATCAAAGTCCAGTATTCAATCAGAATTGGTAGTTGCTCTAGTGCGGCGCACCTCAGAAATAAGGTAAATGTATCTAATCCTTTCAAAACGGTCCAACACTCGAGAGCATTCGGTGTCCTGGTGCTTTGAGTAGTGAGTTCATCAAGTTGCTTTACAAAATGAGCCAGCTGATCTTGAGTTAAGTTTCCCTGAAAATTCTCTATTGAAATGGTACAGAGCTGTTGGTCTACCGAGATGGGTAAAAACTGCTTTAGATCTTGAAATTTGTCTAAACTGGACTTTTCGCCATCATTTCGTCTTTCAACATTTGCGATCTCCTTCACCGCATTTTGTTCTTCTTGGTTAGATGTCTGATAGGCATGTGCTGCCCTCTCTTGGTTCACCGTTAACACAACTTTGTCCAACACATCTCGAAATTTGAGCAAATCTGTTCTCAGAATCGGTACAAAACCAGGTTTAAACGTCTCACTATGCCAAAGTTCGGTAGTTTGAGATGAGAGGTATGCACTCGGGCAAACATAGACCATAGAATCCATCTCTAAAACGCTGCTTGACTCAAATTTTGCCGCTTCTCATCACTAGCAGTGAAATTGTTTCCATTTCATAAGTGATGATCTTACAGCTGAATTTATGAAATTGAAAAATATAACTGTACTTAATACAACGACATCAGGGCTGTCTAACTGGTCTTGCAACAGCTAGGACAGGCACCAGGTTTGCAAACTTTTGTTCATCTACCAAAATTTGGTAAGCCCGAGGGTAGCGGCAAGCAGCGAAAAGTGGCTCGGTTCCCCTCTTTGTAGCATCTTACTGAAAATGAGATACATATTTAGCAGGCCTCGCTTACAACCTCTTGCAATGTAATATTTGCTGCTACTGCCTTTGCTTCTTTCCAAAATTTACTGAGATGTCTTGAGCCGCTGTCGCATGCTATAATAACAATCCTGGAATTGGGTTTCAAGTATTTGGCCACCTTAACTGCAGCAACTGCATTGATAGCTGTACTACTACCTATGAACAGACCATCGTTGACTGACAGATATTTAGCCATACGAACTGCTTGTGTGTCACTTACTCTCACCGCATCGTCAATGTAAGCCTCGCCTAGACTAAAATTGTGTGTTACCCGATTCAGCCCCACACCTTCCACAATTGTATCTACTTGGTGCCGCCTACGAGTACCTTCTCGCTCTACTCGGTCATACATGACTCCATGCTTTATTCGATTGAAAAAGCCAGATCCTTGTGGATCGGCTAGGACTACTGTAACCTTGTCGCCTAGCTTCTCGTGCAGAAATCTGGCTACACCCGAGATTGTACCGCCTGTACCACAGCCCGCTATGAAAGTGTCTATGCGTCCGTCTAGCTGTTTGTAGATTTCAGGCCCGGTACCGTTGTAGTGTACACGCCAATTTGCATCATTTTCGAATTGGTCGGCAAACACACCTCTTACATCAGCCGCTTGAGACTTGTTCAGCTCTTTACAAGCTGTTTGTGCAGCGTTAACATACTGCTCGGGATCTACTATGCCAGCAGGACGGACTTTGTTGATCTGAGCTCCTAAACTCTCCAAGAGAGCGAGCTTTTCGGCCGATGTGTCGTCAGGTAAAGAAATATGAGCTTTGTAGCCCAAAGAATTACAAATGGTCGCGATAGAAATACCAGTGGATCCAGATGTACCTTCGAACACTACATCGGGCATGCCTGGCCTTAATAGTCCCTGTGTTTCGGCAGCGCGTACTATACCCAATGCTACCCTATCTTTGGCGCTACCACCTGGATTACACAGCTCAAGCTTAGCAAAAATTTCACATCCAGTAGCCTGAGAGAGAGATTCAATCTTCATCATAGGTGTGTTTCCAATTAAGTCGGCGACGCCATTTTTCGAAGGTGCCAGTTTAGTGAGTTTTTGGCTGGTCTTCAGAGCACAATAGAGAGACCCGGCCGTTACGACACTCGCAGAGATTAAGAGCCACTTATTCCAGCACGGAGGCCCAGTGTCCATCATGCTTAGTCTTTATAGTCAGAAAGCGCTTAAAAAGCGTTATTTTTCAACTGTGAAAAGTCTAGCTCATCGCATCTTGTCAAATCAGATCAAGTAATCTTATATCTGTTAATCTTCATATCTGTAATAAGCATGTCGTCCATAGAGTTATTCACGTGAAAAACACGCGAGGATCAGCGAGTTCAAAGCCATTGACAACAGATGGTATGCCCTAGGATATGGACAGCTCAGCATATATGCACTGCAGTATCTTGTTTTTTAGAGATGGAAGTGGTCTTGAAAGTCTTCAAAAAGAAGCAATATTTTAACACTTGTTTTTTATTCCTCGAGTACAATCTGCGTTTACGGTCACACACGACTTTAAACTCGCCGCCTCGAACGTTATTTCCAATAAAATGCTTGAGTTTATAAAGTTACCCATTTTCAAGCTCATATGACGCGAGTCTTGAGCGCTTGCTTTGATTAGGATATTTGACCAGACGAAACAAAGCCAAATCAGTAAGCGATTTTTAATCTCTAGCCCCGGATAGACCAGAGCGGTGAAAGGATGACTTAGAATTCTACGAAAAGACATAACCTAGTCTGTGTAATAATCACCTTTTGTAGTAGTTCATTCTGTGTCAGGATGGTACAAAGTGACAGGAGCTATTACCACAAACACCAATAACCTTCGTGTTGCTTAGATCTTCCTTATTGGTTTTACGATCCAATCTGTTCATATTCGCAATGTCGCTGCAATTTGTTTTGGAATATGGTGTTGAAATTGCCAAGTTGCACAATGACAGAACAATAGAAGGTGAAGTGAATAAATGGAGCCGTAAATGACTGGCACAATTGCACCCCACTAACAACCATCATCATCTCTTACTTACACCTTGATATAGTATGAAACTACTGTGTGGTCGGGCAACAAGACTTTGTTCTCCAACTGGAAAGACTACGGAGACAAATTCACAACACTCATCTACGACTTAATTTAGTCACAATCAATTAGCTTAGAGCTGAACAAAAACATTAGCAAACTCCTATTATTGAATCAGGCTCTTTTCAATAGTTACAATCTCAGTAGTACTTTGACCTTGTTTATCACAAACAGTGCTGGCGGTTGAAGGCAGTGCGTTTAACAAGCGTTTGACTCATTCGGCGAGCTTGGAGTGCGTATATCTCAGCGGGTAGCGGTTACGCCTGTAGAAATTTCTTGCTACAGTAATTCTATTCTGCAAATAACCATAGGTAAATAATTTTCGACAACGATATCGTCTACGTTGATGATCTTTAGTACTGTTTCTCCAGCGATAACCTACTATGCCGCGAACTTTTGCCTGTGGAACATGAGTGTAAAGCCCTTGAATCATCATAGCGGTACGCAAATTTTGGATATTGAATTATCATAGTTTGGTAACATATCCTCGGCGGTTAATTTGACCCATAAAAAAAAATCCTTGATATTCCTAGTTTTTACATGTCCCCCCAACACTCCCATGTATTCACCTTCCCGAAAACTCTCTCCATTTTGCACTCCACAAACATCTTACGGCTATTGTCAGAGATTCCAAGGCTAAATTTTTGCCAACCGCTCATCAAAAGAAGACCTCGCAACACTTGTTCAGAGCGCAATGGACAGAAACTCAGTTGTGGGCTACTTTGGAACTACTGGCAAAAGAGAAGTGAATACATTCGGGCTAAAATCCAGTATGGATGCGGGAAAATACCTTGAGCTTGGATTCTACAGCAGGTGAGAATATACGCATAGCATAGTATGTGAGTGGTTGTTGGCTTAAGGAGATGGAAATGTCTGCTGCATCTTCGCTTCACGAAAGTGACCAAATACTTATTCTAGACACTGGAGAAAAGACTCTAGACTTGATTTACCAATTGCACCAGCGGTTACTACCTTTTCATCCTCACAAAAACGACGCCACGCGATGAGCGCATGTTTCGCGCTCCAGATGACGTATCTTCCTTACCGTTTACGACCCTACACACAACAACAATGAGATTAGAGACAAAACCGCTTGAAAACCTCGACCATTTACAAGATGCTCAAATGGCGAACTCGTGAATAACGTTGCCCGCCACTACCTGATGGAAATATGTAAATATGCGCTTGCGTACTATGTTGGTTCTGCCATGACTAAAACAATCTACGATTCTCAAAACAAAAGCGGCAGTTCCCATGGCGAGAACTCTGCGTAGAAGACGGCATCTTGCTCATGTGTATGGTGAATCCGTGATACTTCGCCGCCCATCGCAGAATCCCTCAACGTGAGATGCAATCCTTTCTGATACAAAAGCATATCTGGCTCACAAACTAACGGTGATTTGTGGCAGAAGCCTGCATGTCGAACCTAAGTTTTGAACCGTGAGCGTTTAGCCGACGAAGAACCAGATTGCGCGCTTCCGATTACAAAGATTTACGGATCGATCCTCATGAGCGAACCCTTTTTTCTCGTGGCATTCTCAAGGCGACAACTGGCCATCCGTCAGGGGACTTGCTCCTCCTTGACAAAAAGTTCGTCGATCAACTGATGCCCTTCCGCCGTTCTAAAGTCCGAAAATGTTTGATAATCTTCACTCAGTCAAGGCTCGTACATTTCCAGCACGCGCACTGCACGCGCAACTCTACCTACACACTCAAAATCCCGCTAGATGTCCCGTCCGGCGCCTGCTAGTCTTTCGAGCCCAAGAATCTTGTCGTCCGACCAACCATCACTCGAGCTTTCTACCTAACTTATGTTTCCTAAAATGTTCCTCTCTACAGTGCTGCGTTTTTTGCTAGCGATTGGCATGAAGTCACTAAGCAACCCAACCACCCAACAACCCTACCACCCTACCACCCTCTTGAATCTCCGACTTCACATTTACTAACACTACTACGAACTTTTAGTATTTTGCGCATTAGGCACTCTTCACCGTTAGCGAGACATACAGCACTCACAAGGACAGTCATTCTAGCAGGGGATACTTCCTTTCCGGTCCTTTTCGTGGCTGCAAGCATGGGTGCATTACTTGGATGCGTAAAGAAGGTCAGAAGTATGCATACAACTGCCTTCGATTCTGAATGACAATTCATGCAAGAGTGGTGTCTACAACAAGGGAGGTATGTATGGAAGTATCGATTTACTTGTGGTCTCCCAGTGCAGAGAATGTTCGCTATGGATTTTTGCATTGCCAACGAGACGATGATCAAATTTGTTAGAAAAGCGGAATCACATTTATGGAATTAAAAAGTCGAGTTTACAAAAGTGAGCGCCAACGCTTACGGAAATCCCTAACATAGGGCAAGTGTCAACTAGGTCTCAACCAGGCTACAACTACGTTCTTAACGTCAATCGATGGCGGGACAAAAAACAGGGTACAGATCCCGCAAGCGGAGGACGGCAAGGGCGTGCGAAGTGTGCCATGCGCGGAAGGTGAGGTGCGACGCCCATCTTCGGATGCCGTGCACGTCGTGCCAGACATTTGGGCTAGTTTGCAGGCTGCGGGTGGTGAAGAAGTCCCGGAACGGCCAAAACCACGAAGAGGAGACGGAATGGGTAGCGGATTCGCTGACCAGCGCAGAGGGACACGACCAGGAGGAGGAGCAAACAGTCAAGGAAGTTGTGTCGAACGGGATGCCGTTCGGCGACGAGTATCTGCGCAAACGTGGAGTCGAGCCCGGCGTGTTTGTTGACGCAGAGCATCGAGATAGGGATAGAGTGTATGTGTATTTCGGGTCGTCCAGTTTCCTGAGTCTGCTCACGGGATCTACGTTCCCGGATGAATCTCACTTCGCGTCCGCACAGAAACTCCGACTAACGCTTCCGCGTTCTGGAGAAGGGAGCCCGCGTGTCGCCAATCTGGAAATGCTGCGCATTTCAGGGGCTTTTCTATTGCCATCGAAAGTAATATGTGATGAGCTAGTGGACCTCTACTTCCAGTGGATTCATCCGCTCACGCCAGTGTTGGATCGGACCGCCTTCACAAAAGAATATGAGGCCAACACCTGCTCAATTTTTTTATTGCAAGCAATTTTGTGTGTTGCCGTTAAAGTGTCCAGAAACCCATTGTTAATGGACAAGGACGGATCTACTGATTTAGCTTCAAATATTTTCTACCAACGTGCCAAATCTCTATATGACGGCCGCTACGAGGAAAACGAAATCGCCTTACTCCAAGGTATGATTCTGTTAAGCAAGCAGGCGTTTCATGAGAAGAATCTCATTCATACACCACTTTATTTTATTAAAAACGCCATCATCGTGGCCAACACCCACGGGCTTCATCGGTCTGCTGATTTCCATCCCACTTTGACACCTAACGAGAAGAAGGCCCGCAAACTGATTTGGTGGATCCTCTACGTATTAGACACTTTTGCATCCATCTCAATTGGTAGACCCCAAGGTATAAATCTAGATGATTGCGATATCCCAGTCCTCACGCACGATGACTTTGTGTTCGATGGTCAGGCACCAGAGCACGCAACGCCAACGGATTATAAAGATTGTATAATCCGTACAGTTCAGATTGCAGAGATTGTGTCGAGAGTTTCAAGGGAATTGAACAGACCCATGACTGGGCAATGCCAGAAAAAAACTTTGATCCAACACTTTGATGTCTTACTACAGCGATGGCGTAAAAATTTGCCACCGTCATTAAGTTACAATTCTAACGCAGAAATTTTCACTAAACATTCCCTGCCGAAGGCTTTCGTCAATGCTTTTTACTACAAAACCTTATGCTTACTGCACAAATCTAATATTCATGATATGGAAGCCGCGTCTGACCAGCAATATGTGTCTGCTGGTATAGCTTTTCAAGCAGCACATTCTTTAAGCTTAATCGGCCAAATCCTATTAGACAGAAATGAGATAAGCTACTGCTACGTGGGCCATGGATATTGTTTCTTCGAGGCTATGATTATTTTTGTTCACCACATGTACGATCCTGATTCTATCTTCAAAGAGATTGCATTAAAATGCTATCACGTTCTGGAGCAAGTTCTCGCGGAATTTGGAAAACAATGGAATTCTTGCACTCTACTGAGCCAAGTCCTTTTCGCCTTCAGTCAAAATCCTGAATACATTCGTGCAGTCATTGCACGATTTAAGGCAAAGATGAAAGATCAAAAAAACCCTAACATACCTATAGAGGTTCCTAGTCCTGCTAGAAGCATTGACGTCGATCTTCAGAAACTTTCGCCAGTCAACTCGGGAAACTGGAGTAGCCCGCCCATTCAGGGTCCTGGTCTTACCGAAGGAAAGAGCCCCGACATTTTTCCTCCTTTAAACTATATGCGTCCAAATGTTTACGCACCTGTGCAAAATCCTACTATGGTCCAACCAACATATATCGGCGGTAATCCTCACATGACATACGTGCCGGCTTCTGCGACCATTCCTCCTGTAGCAAATTACCCAATGTCCTACCCCGCTCGTGATTTAAATTTTACGACTACAAGCATTTCTCACACAAGCGCCCCCGATAAGAACTTCGACCCGCATCAATTGTTTCCGGACATTTCCAAACCATTACCTGCCGATTTTCATTTCAACAACAACCTTGACACTGATAGCAGATTGCAATCTGAATCACCACTTCCACCATTAGTCAACGAGCATCAGCCGCATCCGTTTATCAGTACTTTATCTGAGAGAGCTGACTTAAAGAGTCCTCAACCACAGTCTTCACAGGCTTCTACTCCAACGATAGGGCAGGAGAGAGCCCCTCCTGTACATACCACATCTGTTCCGCTTCCCCCTGGATTTTGGGATAGCGTAAAGGTTAATTTCAACTTTTTCACAACTCAGGACAACAACACCCAGCAATGGCCTTCAGATACCCAGAATACGGGGTCGGGTTTCGATTTTCCAACTGGCGAAGAAGGATGAGTTTCAGCTTTTTTAAGTTTCAGAAGCTTGTCAATGATCGGTCTGCATCCTTAACGACACCATTTGTTCTGGATCACATATTAGCACACGCAAGTACTAAAAAGAGCTTTAAAAAATTCTCATCGACGGCCTTACATGCCTCATCTCACCTGAACCTTGTTCCCTGATTTTGAGTTACAAGCAGCTGTGAATTCTTGGTTTGCGTAAGCAGGGACTCCTGACTATCAAAGCCGGGACATCTACTTAAAATAGAAGAGACATTTACTACTATACAATAATGTGTAATGTCATTCAATTACAATTGGTAGACTTTGAAAAGGCTAATTGTGCCATATGGCTCAATGGCGTGCTCTTGACACTGAGAAAATAAGTCTTAACACAATCCAGGCTACTCCTTATTACCCATTACTTGTTTGACAGGTTCTGTCTGGTTGACATATAAACCATGTTCTTGAATGTAGCGAATGACACTGTTGGGTAACAGATACTGAACAGACATGCCACGGCGGATGAAAAGACGCACTTTGGTCGATGAAATATCATTGTAGATGAGCTGTTTAATCACCAGAACGTTCCGCCTGTGTTCATACATGATATCGTGTGACAACAAGAAAGACCTAACATCGGATCCCGTTCTTTCTACGGTGAGACATCCGTAATTACCGAGAATATGATGTAAGTCTGAGTCTGCCCAAACATTTGGCTCGCCCATACTCTCTATGAGGTCACCACCGGCTAAGAGCATGATTTTGACACCGACGTGAACACCTGAAGCAGTGGCAATACCACCCCTCTTGACATTTGTCTCGTCGTTGAAATGATCCAAAACCTTAGCTGTCCTGGTATATGTTGGCTGTAGCGATTCCCAGGCATCAACCATCAACCAAGATGAGGTACGTTCGCAGGCCAATTCACACATACGTACTCTATGACGGGCAGGAGCTAGCCCCGGTTTTTGATAATTGTCACTCACAGGCGAGTAGTAGCCCCCGACTACCTCAAACCTGGTCTGTTCAGAAATCGCGTCCAGAGCCATTTCAAACATTCGTAAGTGCAAGTAGGTAATGGGTGAAAAAGATCCACACGCAACTACAATTAGAGGCAGTTTGTTCGGATTTCTCAACTCTTTCTGCAGGCGGTGGGCTGGAAAGCTGTACTGGTCTAGAGAAGCGGCTTGGCGGACAATACCATGTGGCACTTCCTCAAGATCTGCGATCTGGTATTTGTGAATTCGGGATCCGATATGTTCTACTTTCTCATCGTCCGGGTTGACGAAATTCATTTGATCGGTAAATTGGCGGGCGAGATCAGCACGACTGTATTGAGAAGTGTATATTTGTGATTGACTTGGAGCGGGGCTTGGGGAAGGACGTTCCATCCGAGTATGCACGCTTTCGTTGTCATTATCGTAGGCATGGTCTTCATGATCGTTTGCATCTTCTTCCTCCGAGGTCTCATGCGACGCCGGTTGTAGTTCTGGCTGCTTTAAAGGTATCGTGCTGTGGTGCGCTGTTGAAACCATACGACCCACTTTGGAGTGTTTTTTGTAGGTTCGAGGATGGATGGGAGCATCTATTGATGCGTTGTAGTCGGCTAAAACATAAGGCATAATAGGACCACTCTTTGGAATTGTCGATTGCGGGGCTAACGGAGGATTTGGGGTCCCATTTTCTGAAGGAGGCTCGAAATCAGGAGCCCTTGTAGGATCCATTGTCACTTAAAAAAAGCCAGAAAGAACAAAGACCTCGATTTCAAATGATCAATACAGCGCCACTTTAGTATGGCCGGAACGTCACTCAATTCCAACTGTATAGATCTGAAAATCAGTATCGATAAATTCGTGGATTATTGGACTTTTGATGTATTTCGAACTTTCTCATCGTCATATACAGGTTTTTTTTCTCCCGCGATTTTTAGATATCGGATCATGATTCAAATTTCCGCTTAGCACTAAAAAACCTCGACAATTTTGATGAGTCGGATTAGAAGCTAGTTCGTGATGGCATTGTTTAAGCGAAGTTAGTGCTCAATGGATGGGGAGCTTTGTTCGCTGGGAATTTGTATTTTCAATGAACTTTTTCCAACGACTGAAAAAAGCTTAATGACAAGAGTATATCAGAGACACTGCTTGTCCCAATTTCTTAATGCGAGCCCTTCGCTTAGACAGTTAATCTGCTTTTGCTCTCAAAAATCCGAAGGTGCTCCGGCCTTTTTGTGTTGCCACACACGTTTATTGTTTTACTTCGTAGTTGTAGCTTCGACGCTTGTGGATGGGTGGACGTTTTTGTCACACTGGGCGTACGATATTGATCATAGTGAGCAGTTAAGCTCTTCCTGAGCACAAAAGCACGTCAATTCGTAGGGTGTATCGATAAAAATCGGCTACTGTTTCCGAATGGCTATCAAAGGAGGGACTATGTCTATGTTTCGGCTTCTGCCACCATAAAGTGCTCGGGACACATTAGTCTTCTGCAAGGAATTCGTTGCAGCAAGCCTTACGTTTCCTTACCCGCATGAGTATGGATATTTCTTCGCTTGCAAGTGCTACATGGCGACTTCTGGGTCAAGCTAAGGATCGCCATTGGATAATCATGGCAATAGTATCTGGGAGTTCATTCCAGCTTTCAAGCATTTCGCGTCGGGTGGAAGTTTGGTCATTTTTGCTCGATGGCGTATTAGCCGCCGAGGTGTAATCTCTCAAGTATTGCCAAACTCCCGAAGCTGGCAATTGCTTCTCGAAGGGACATACGTGTAGTGTGAACTTAGTGTGACGAACGCCAGTTCACCGGTAGAAACCTCGAGTTTTCGTGTCTTTATTGTTACAGAAAGAAAGAAAATGATATGTAAATTGTTATTTTCAAACCACTACTGTTACAGAGAAGAAATTGAGACAAAACAAAAGACGCGTCCTAGTTTAGTTGAAGTCGCCAATATCCTTTTCAAAGAGGATGATAGGAGGCTTTGACGACACGAAGAAGTTAGTGCGAAACAATTAGAGTATTCACCGTAACATACTAATTTACGAATTATTAGCAATTCTTTTTTCATATAATCGCATTTCAGATTATAATCCATGATTGTCTTTCCGCTGTACTGCACACTATCTTGGGTGAGAGCCGACCCACGATCGAGGAAAATCTTGTGTCAACACTAAATAATTCATAAACTGTGATTTTTTGTTTGAAGATATCCATTCACACAACTGGAAAACACACACCACTTGGCAATCGTGATATTCTCACGTCGTAACAATTCGAAAGACGAGAGTTCCCAGAAAGATCAAAATTATTGAAAGAAAAACGGACCCTGGTGCTGAGGGCATACCGCAGTGGATAGTCTGGTCTACCAGTCGTCGTAAACCCTGGCGTTAAATCGTTTAGATGACAATGCTCGTTCACAATGATACTTTATCTCAATTGTTTGGTTTGCCGCCTTCAGGGTTCCAGATAGCTACAAGTTAGTTTCGGATACGAAGAAACAGGCTTGAAAAGCGAGATGACAGGAGCAGTGAACAGCGCATACTGCCATCCAGAGGCCCATTGAGAACACAACGTACCCTGAGGCCAAAAAAGTGTTGCGACTCCTCGTAGGTTTCCGCGAAGAGACGTGATACTTTGATAGTAAAGAAAAGGTGCTTTCGAGGACATTACGGTTTCGGGACTCAGAAACGCGGATTTTGAGCACAACGATAGGCCGATTCTATGGACGAGAACTCTAGCCGTTCCGGTCCGAAACGTCAGGTTTTGGCGCATTGCGCTTTACTACATTGTCGTCAATGGTGACACTGCCATGAGTACATTTACAGAGTTTCTACGGGCACAACCATTGCCACAGCACCGGTTGCGACTGCGCCTGTTGCATTTGTGCCAGTGCGCTGGATTGTTCCTGTGTCTTAGATACCAGTGCAAACAGTCCCACTTTTTTTTTTTCACATGAGTTGGAAAACACGGCTCTTTCGGGTTTGTTACACTCACCGCTTTTTCAATTCGTCACAATGGCCTGGTATCATATCTATGGTGACCTCTCCTTCGTTTGTTCATACTTCACGCTCACTACTGTCCTCGCCGTTTACCGCGACCTCATCGCCTTGGGATTTTCTTCACCGTAACCCTCAAGGTAAAGAGTGCTACAAAAATGTTTCCCACGATTTTCGAACAATTCTGGCAAAATCATAGACTTGAGCTAACCCAGTGACGATCGCTAGAATCGTTGGTTGTGTTGCGTTGTGTTGCGGGAAGTGTAATTGAGTTGTAGAGCGGACTTTAAAAAAAAAATCAGCTAGACTGGAATCAATGCTCTCCTGATATCGAGTTTCGAATTTCAAAAGAGGGACGGAAAGAAACTATAGCACACCTTTTGGCAATATCTTCGGGTTGTTGTCTTTTGAACAATTGGGAAACCTAGAGAACAGACAGGTTTCGTCGCACAAGATGCAGACAGAGCGATATAACATGCCTAGCTCGGAAGGTATCGTGCATGGGCACATCCACAACTTCAACAACGTCACATACATACACGGCCATGTCCATGGATCGCCGAAATTGCCAGGAAACGGCCTGAAATGCGGGGACCAGAATTCTTTGGCTGAGGACTCGATACGCCAGAAAGAAGATCTGGCGTGCGAGCTGGGCGAGGCACTGCCAGGCTCGTTGGCGGAGCCCTTGGAGCCGATGCGCAGCGCGGTACCGAACCAGCCGATCTCGCCAACGGGATCGGGCTCAGAGTTCTCGTCAAAGGCTGGAAATGGCGCCGCGCAGCCGTGCGTGGAGTACGAAGGCTGTCACCATTTCGAGTTCATGAACTGCCACAACCTAAACCTTTTCGGTGAAGAAAAGCACAATGAGTCTTTAGCAGCGACACCTACGGCGCACGACGAGCTGCTGGTGATGCCCCAGCCGCAAAAACGTCGCAAAGTCCTCGACTGCTCGACATGCCAGCCTAATATCGTAGAGATTTGCTGCGACGAAGAACACGAGGAGGCCCCTGTGCAAGCCTCCAGCGCTACCTATGGATCCAGCGCGGTGGACGCCCTTAATATCCCCCGCAACCCTGCGTCGGTATTGTTCTCGACTCCTCAACCGGGCAACGGAAACGCTGCCCATAATAACTTCAATTACAATCTCTTCCTTTTTCAAAACAATATGGGAACTAGTAGTGCCGATTTGATCTCTGCACCAGTGGATTCAAAATTGCCTAGTTTCATAGACTGCAATTTAACATGCGCTCCTCCCGAAACAGAAGAAGATCGCATTTTCGAAAAATTATGCGAGCAGTGCGTGGATCTGGATCAAAGCGACTCCTCATCTCCCGCTGTTCCGCACTCGCATCCGCACTCGCATTCGCACTCGCATTCCCACTCGCATTCACATTCGCATTCGCATTCGAACCTGCGCCAGGCTACAGAACAGGCAGCCAACATTCAATCCCACACCAACCGATGCCATGACCACATTGTTAATTCCTCAACTGACATGAAGATTTTGGATGACTTGGTCAGCATCTCGAACATGTACGATTTTCCTTTTGGTAAGCATGTCCATTCACATGAGACTCCAAAGAACAATAACTTTAACCTGTTACAGACTTCCATACCGGGCATTAGATCCAATGGCCCAGATGATCAATTCGACCAACCATCACGTCGTCATCACCATCACTCGCTCGAAATACATCCGCATCCAGTAAACCACATTCAACAACCCTCGGATTTGAATTACAGTTGTGAGCGAGATTCGCAAATGCAAGATTACAGACACCCAATGGAGTTTGAAAAGTTACACCACGCACCTCCGCCAGAAAGCATAACTCCAACCGATACAAAGACAAACACCGTGAACTTCAATTGGGTGTTCAAGAATGACGAAAATAAAGTAGAATGTGGCTGGAATCAATGCCCCAATGTATTTGATTCGTTACTTGATTTACAATCTCATATTTTGAAAGATCATATTGTTGATGGGACCACTGGTGCCACCAAACTACCAACTCCAAGAAATCTGTACGACTGTGAATGGGCCAATTGTGGTTACGAAGGTGATGACATGTGTACCCTTATTAATCATATCAACGGTGAACATGGTATCGCATTTGACATGAAATTTCTGGATCGTGAAAAGCTGATCGAGCAAAGTGAGCAGCACCATATGCTACACTGTACCGAATGCCTCGAGTCCCCGGACACTTCGTCTCCAAATAGAACACAAGAAGACTGCGCCAAGAAATCGGAGCATGTACATGACTGTAAATGGGATGGATGTGGGTTGACTTTCAACTCTTGTGGAGAATTAAACGAACATATCGAAACTGCTCACATACCCCGAGGGAAGTCATCATATGTCTGTGGTTGGGAGAATTGTGGTAAGGTGATAACTCAAAGACAGAAATTATTGAGACACTTAAGGGTTCATACCCGTTACAAACCATGCAAGTGCCCACACTGTGACAAGACGTTTTCGACGCAAGATATTTTGCTACAGCATATTCGTACACACTCAGGGGAGAAACCATATATATGTGAACATTGTAGCAAAGGGTTTGCCACTTCCAGTTCACTTAGGATTCATATCAGAACACACACTGGAGAAAAACCTTTGGAATGCAAAGTGTGCGGTAAAAGGTTTAACGAAAGCTCAAATTTGAGTAAGCATATGAGAACTCATGAAAGGAAGTACAAGTGTAAAGGGTGCAAGAGAAGTTTTGATCTCGCAGAGCAGCTGGAGGCTCACGAAAGCAGGTGTTCGCATTGCTCATCAAGTAAATGATTTTCATTAATAAGGCATTAAAAACTTAGTCTATAGGATTTTTATTCAACAAAGCATTTTTCGATTTTCATTATAAATACTAAGCGCTTGCTTTGTAAACGATCTCTTTGTATAAATATGAGACTTTACCCCAATCATCCATTCCTTCTTCTGCTTCTTCGTTGATCATACAGAATCCAGCTTTATCCAGCAGATCCCATAGTTCTTGTCTCTCCTTGGTATATTTCGCACGAGCTGGAATACCCAGAAAAACCTTGCCTTGCTTTTCGAGAAACTCGACGATCATGTTGACAATCCACTTTGGATGCTGAGGGGAGTAAAGTGGATCTGCCAATAACAGAACGTCAAATTTCGCGAACCCATGTTGCTGCTTAAAGGAAGTCGGATTTGTCCAGTCCAACACGTCGGTGTACACTGGCAATCGCGCGGTTCGATCGCACTTGTTCAACTCTACGTTTTTTTTTAGATTAGGAACAATTTCGGGCAAGTCTGTTAAATGAAATGTAAAAACTTGATCTTGGGGGCCCTCCAACAACTTTTGTATCAAAGCTATACCAACAAGCCCTGTTCCAGCACCAAGTTCTAAAATTCTAAGGTCTTTCCCAAGCGCTGTAATCTTTTGTAGGTTTTGACACAATTTCCGTGCTAAAACTAAAGAGGCTCCCCAAGTTTTCAGCCCCAGGTTATCTGATGTTAATGCTGGCTCGTGTAGCTTTATGCAGTTTTGCAAACTGTCAACTTGAAAGACACGCGTCATTGCGGGCTGTGCTGTTCGTCCACATTTTTCCGAGATTCGCATGCTGGCCTCTTTCAGCAATTGCGCAATAAGTTCATCCGAGGTTTCTGTTCTACTGTACTTAGCAAGTACCGTAGTGTAGTACGTTAACAAATCTTTCTCGGTAGCGGTAGCAGCCAGTCGTGGAATTCGGACACACAGTTTGTCCGCTGAATCCAACTCTGAATTTCCCATGTACTTGTAATAGTCTATTACCTCCTCTAAATATTCTGTAGGTACAGTCTTCGCCATGCCGAGGTTCTCAGGCCCATTTCCACCGTTTTTTTTGAAATTAACATCGATTGCTGGTGTCAGCAGTAGTAATACCGCCAAAATTACCATAGGCTTCGCAATTTGAACGAAAGGCAGATCTATCACCTCGATCGGTGTGTCAATATCATCGCTTGGCTCTTCGGCTATGACTAAATCTTCCAAACACTCTCTGCTTTTTGATTTCAACGGTTTCGTTAGAAATACATGTTCTGAGTTCAAATTGTTCGCTTCGCTCTTCACAGAAGCACTTAAAAAGTCCAACGGGTCGAACATGCTCGCAAGCCGTCGCTAGAGCACTACTCTAAGCTTAATATTAGCAACTTTAGTAACCTCTTCTCATTATATTTCGATCGCGATGAGCTCGAAAATTTCAGATTTCCGGAAGTATTTGCACTCTAAATCAATTATTAAAATGAACATGGAGATACCAACTTAACTTGTAAATAACTATATATCGAAAAGAGTTTTAATTTGAATTGACTAACTTTTGACGTGAGTATCTATTCAGGAACTCAATCAGTAATTTCAGACTATACATTGGGCTCTTAGAGGTACTTGCTGAATTCAAAGTTTGAAGCTTTTGAGTAACATTTGAAGTTCCCCTTCTTATTTATCCCAAGTACGTTGGTTCAAACAAGCCCCTAAAGGACGACTCAATCTATCAATTGGAAAGTGAGTTTGGAGGCAAGACTCATCCGATGAATTATTGAAATAGGTGTTCATTGACGTGAATTCATCACCGACGATCAACAATCAACTACTGTTCAAACCTTCAGCTTCCCATGAGTTTGATTGTTTATGGAGACACGATCAGCGATGAAACTACTCGGAGTGTGGTTTTACAAGATCCCGGGTCTCGCTCACTTGTGGTAATGAATCCCGAATCAGGGGAAATATCGCTACTCAGACAAATTAGAGGTCCTCAAAGTGGTTACCGGTCCAAAAGAGCAACCAATCTCATTTCCTCGTACTTTTGTCCACAGTGTGGTAGCGAAATAGGTACGGGATTCGAATTTACCTCTGCGAGGTCCAAAACTGGGTCCGACGCAGCTCCTTTTGTGCACAAAAATTATTTCAAGCTTCTTGAACAGAATACCACAAATCGCGTACAACAGCCTCGGCTCCAAGGCGTTCCGATCATTCCATCAAACCTGTTTACTCCAGGATACTATCGTCGTTTCTTTCAGGAACTCTGCTTGTTGGGGAGCGGTGCACGCGGTTCGGTCTTTAAAGTCGAACATATTCTCATGGATAATCATCTAGGGGTCTACGCCCTCAAGAAAATTCATATCGGTAACGATTTGTCGTGGCTTGAACTCGGAATGAAAGAAGTGAAATTTCTAAGCGCACTGACCCACAGCAGCGTTAATCTGATCACCTACAATCATGTATGGCTTGAAATGGACAGTACAGGGGGAATCGTGCGAGCTCGTAATGGCAAAGACACAGGCGTCCCGGAGCAGATTCCATGCATCTTCATTTTACAGAAATTTTGTCCTGGTGGCAATTTGGAGGAGGTTGTTTTAAAGAGTGTGTTTGAACGCTTTACAGACCATGAATCCCCCGAAGAAAGGAAGAGGAGGTTCAAACTCAAGAAGGCAGAGAAAATGAGCTCACCTAAACAACGAGGATTGAATACCCAGCAAATCTTATCGATCATCTCCGACATTGCATCAGGGCTCAAAGAGCTTCACGGCATGAACATCATTCATCGAGATTTAAAACCATCCAATTGCCTGCTTTCCGAAAAGTTCGATATGGAGAAAGAGGTCTACGGAGATAAATGCTTCCCCACCGTGATAATAAGCGATTTTGGGGAGAGTCAGATTTGTGGTCAGCTGCGTTCCGCGACTGGGGCAACGGGGACTTTGGAATTTACTGCCCCGGAGGTCATAATCATGAACTCCGAGGAAAAGGGTTTAAAGCTGCCGCAGTTTACTTTCCAATCTGACATGTACTCGCTTGGAATGGTGTGCTACTTTCTGGTGTTCGGAGAGCTCCCCTTCGCAAACCAGGAAAGCCTTTCAGATCTCAAACGAGACATCATGTCTTTCACAATTAACACGCACTTGCTTTTGGAAAGACATAAGAAGCTTAACTTGAGGCCAGTAAACCCAGAAATCTTTGAAATGATAGTTAAACTGCTCAATGCCAACCCCGACACGAGACCCACCGCTCTAGATGTTAAATCAGAGATAAGTAGAATGATGGCAAAGACCTCGGTGCCTGGAATGCAACCTCTAGCCCAGCCGTCTGACGTATTGGTAGATGAAGAGCTCGACTCCGAAAGTGAAGAACTGGACAAGATACCATATCGAAAGCTCCAATTACGAATCCTTATCGGTCTCTTTTGGCACACTTGCAATATCACAGTCGCGGCTTTTGCCGCATACCGGTACAATCACATTTCTTATTTACCTTACGTGTGCTTTATCCTCCTAGGCTTGTCTCTTAGATCAGAATGCCAAATGCGCAAATTCTATCTCATCGCGATGCTGACTTCGCTATTCCTTATGTACCTTTCTACAATGCATCTGTCGAAGATGCAAGAGTATCAATTCTTATAAATACTATACTATCGCAATGCTCAAATCAATAGAATATGCTGCTTGTTTGCTTGGAATTATGGTATTGTTGGAAATTACATATTTGAGAGAATACGTTTTTCATAAGCTGCACAACTTGAATTAATATACGCAATATGAATAATGGATGGGGATCTGAAGCGCAAACGTAGCAGTTCGGCACTACCAACTATCCAAAGGCTACCTACCAAGGGCAAGAGCAATACAAGAACTCGGTTCTACAGCGTATCGTCCAAAATCGTACCGCAAACAATACAAGTCAGTGAACACAATGGAAATGTAATAGGCAAGAGTACAGAAGCGCAAACCTCTTCTCCAGCTCTGCCGAGCCTGTCAAAAGTTGGATTTCAGTCCATTTATCAAAGCGCGAGCACCAAAAAGAGCCAAAAGAGCTTCAATGGTACCGATGCTCCCAGTAAGCTCCTGCCCGCCAGTTCAAGCTCTTCAATCAAGAGTAACGGCACAGCTAGCTACCAGTCTTATAGAAGCGGCTCCAATGCTTCAGCACTTAGCAATAAAAAAAGCGTGAACTCTTTAGCGCCCAAGGGAACTGTTAGGGGCTCTATTGACAACCCAGAGCGGGAAAATCAAAAGACAACTGGCGCCAGCAGGAGTTCTACAAGTCTCTCTTCATCATTTCAAAAGCATACCTCACAACTCAAGAAAAATCCCTTTAGTATGGCAGCTCGAAAGATTTTCAGCAGGAAAACAGGGCGGGGGGATAGCTCTCGCGAAACCATTAAATCCCCTACTTCAGGAACATCCACAACTTTCGGTAGGTTTCTGCAAAGCAAATACGGAAAGCATGTTGTCAAAACTAATTCACATCGTAAATATTCCGCTGGTAGTTTGATGGACGCTGGAAAAGTTAATCAGTCCTATAGCGGTGCTAGTACCAGCACTAGTAACGATGTGCCTTTACAGTTAGTGCAGGAGCCACTCTTAGACGCCAGTGACGTGCAAATGTTGCACGACTTGATCAAAAATTTAAAGTCATTGGAATCTAACTACCGTACCTTCACTGTCGAGGAACTCGATGCCCTGATGAGCAACATCTGGGGGGTTATGTGTAGTGTCGTCGTAACACTGTTTCGGAACCAGGAATTGTGGGAACTGCCAGCAAAAATCGAGGACCTCAACCACGTCGTCTCTTTTTACATTAAACTGAAGATCTCCTCCAAAAACTCATCTTCTAGTTGCAAATTTGTAAGTGAAATTGAAGAGTTTATGACAACATGCCTGTACATTTTGGAGAATCAAATAGTGTTTAACTACAGCAATGAGAACACGATCAACACTGCATTGAAAAGACTCTGCTTAATTTGGGAGGTTTTTTATCAACAAATATATCATAACGTTATGGCGATCTTTTTGCCACTAGGGGCTAGTTTTCGTTCAGACGTTAAATATTGGTCTGATGCATATACCAGTTTCGCAAGTGACTCATTAACTGGTATACGTGCAGGATCACTGTCACTTGATCTCATACTACTCAAAAGCTTCAGAGACTCCATAGTTTCACCCTATTATGAAAGTTTTATTAACAGTCATGAGGGAGCGAGTAAGAGCTTTCATCTCTATATCACGAACGAGGAAGAGGAGAAAGGAGTAACTCAGGTAGACAAGCTAACGCTTTTACAGTGCTTTGGTATCCTGTCATCTATTAGAAGTACGGATATCAAGCAGAAAGTTATTGATGAATTACTTATTGGTATCAGAATGAGTATATGAGATAGTTCGAATTGCATGGCATCTAATCCTTCAAGCACCATGGCCTTCCAGAGTTGACTTGATGCGAACAAAGTCTGGGTTCTAATGCGATGCCGGCGAAAGCTGCCAGGAGCGTGCCAAAAGAGTCCGACATTGAAACGGCTCCGAGAGAGAATTCTCTTTCGGATGGATCAATTTCATGAATAATATTCATGAAGGTGTGGACGTAAGATGCACCTCCCAAGAGACCTTCAAAAAATATTAAAAACATTATTGGGTACACTGAATGGACAGTGTAAAACCATGACTGACATATGGCTAAGGCCAAGTTCACGCCTTGCATAACGGATAAAAGATAGAGTCTCTTGATTCGAATTAGCATCCCACTAGATCGTGAGATGAAAACTCCTAGTTGATACAGTGTTCCATAGGTGACATAAATATCCCGATACTTATGAAAGAAAAACGGGTGACTGTGCGTCCCATCCAGCGGGAACAGCAGAGTTGGTGAAACGCCTTGGTTAATCATGTATTCAAAGAAGTAAACAGTGGAAAGTGGCAGCATATAAGGAGCAAACAAGCCCTTCAATCTCATTAGGGTGCTACCAAAATGAGCTCTCATCGCACCCCATTTGGACTCGAACTCCGGGGTTGAAACCGAAAAATCCTCGGTGTGTTCTTCTGGACCTATAAACTCAGTTTGTAGCAGACTATAGGAATCTTGAGCATCCAGCTTAAAGTACAGTAGGAATGCAAAGGGTAAAACGCTGAACAACAAGAGTGACAGGCTCACTGGGACTTTGAGAATCGAAGTGAGAACCAAATACGCACCACTTCCAAAAAGACCCGCGCCGCCCGTCCCAGAACTCCAGCCATTTAAGCTGGGCTGGTGATGGTAGTGAGTCAATTGCAGAAACGTTATTTCGCCTAGGCCAGATGACAAGGATGCCAAGACAATACCGGCGATGCAAACGCTGAGATTTCGGCCAGCGACGAGAACCATGCCCACACAGCTGAGCACTATGAGCGCTGCAATTCGGTAGCGATGTTGGACCTTGTGGATGAAAAATGGCGCTGTGAGTTTCACCACAAAAGACGGCAGAATATCAACTAAAAGAACTATGGCTTTTGGCAGGCCCGGACCTACAATATCGGCAGCTGCTGACAAGATAACAACGTACAACACATTGTTGACGAGACCGAAAAGCCAGAAGTAGCGGAAAACCGCAGAAGCTTCAGACATCTAGATGTCCACGTCTCTGGAAGGCGGAAGTGCTCGTTACCGTACTTGTTTTTAAAATGTAAATCAAAATTAATTACTTTCAAAAGGGTACTCGTCTCGTGGTGTTGAATAGTGTGTACTCATGACACTTCGCAGCACTGACTTAATTATATAGGTGCTATTGAGTATCTTCGACCTGTAACTTCCTAACTACATGTAGTTTTTCAGTAGCCTCAACCGTTCGACGGCTAACTCCAAATATTCGTCACTCTTGCACACTGCAAATCTTAACAGATTCTCAGCAACCTTTTCATGCTCCTTGATGTAGAACTCAGTGGGTGGAATAGCTACTACACCGAGTTCGTTGATGAGCCAGTAAGAGATTCTAAAGTCCTTGCCCTTGGAACGAAGTTCATCGGGAAAAGGGTAGTCTTCAGGTATCCTGACTTTCGAGAAATCGGCAAGCACGAAGTAGGTTCCTTCAGGCTTCGTGTATGGAAGACCTAACTCATCAAATACCTTTGTAAAGATCTCGAACTTGCGAATGTATTCCTGACGCATGTTTTCGAAATAATTGTTTCCAAGCGCAGTCTCTATAGAATTGGCACAAGCTTCTTGTGGCGGCGAAGGCGTCGAAAAGCAGATTCTTGTATGGGCCATAGCGACGTATTTTAGCAGGTCTGGGTTTAGAGACACGACCCAGCCGACTCTCCAACCAGTTGCTGCGAAACTTTTGCCGGCGGACCCTACCGTCAAGGTTATTTGGCCTAATTCCGGTGTCAATGTGGCGATCCTGGTAAACTCGGGAGTGAAATAGAGGTTTTCGTACACTTCATCGGAAATGATTACTATATTGTTATCGACGCAAATTTGGCCAATCTTCAAAAGCTCTTCGCGAGTAAAAACTTTTCCTACTGGGTTGTGGGGCGTGTTCAGGATCAGGGCCTTAGTCTTTGGAGTCACCGCAGAGCGGAGCTCGTCGTAATCAACACGCCATTCCGTACCTAGTGTCACACGATCGCTCATATCCTTGGGTGGATGCAATGGAACGTATGTAACTTTACCTCCTGGAATTTGGATATTGGAGATGTATTGGTCGAAGAAAGGCTCAAATACGATGACTTCGTCGCCTGGGTTCAGCAGGCCCACCAAACACGACAGAATCCCCTCGTTGGCACCAGTGGTTACCTGAACATTTCCCGCTTGTAGCTGTGTCTTGTACAGCGGCGAGTATAATTTGATTAGAGAGTTGAGCAGCGACACCCGACCCTTTGTGGGAGCATACTGATTCACCAAAGGCGAACTGAGAGCTTTCTGAGCTTCTTGGATAGCGAAATCCGGAGGAGAATACGAGAAAAAGCCTTGACCTAGATTCACAAGATCGCGGCCTTTATTTTGAGCGTTATGAGCGGCCGCTGTAGCGGCTTCGTTGGTTAAAGACCACACATCTTTGGTCAAGTTCTGAGTGAGTGCCAAGTTGGGCACAATTGATGAGTTCTTCTTGCTCATCACCAGTTTTTTAGTTGAGTTTCTGAGCATTAGCTAGGGAGTAAGGTTGTTGGCGAGGTTGCAGACCAGCGTATCTCCAGCACTTTAATACGATCACATTGTTATCAGCCCGCTAGTGCTTCAAATACGAAAGAGAGAGAGAGAGAGAGAGCCACAGTATTGGGAGATAAATAGCTGCCATCACATGAAGAAACTTGGACGGTGTCATGAAAACATGGAACGATCACATTTTGGGCAAATGAGCTGCGACTGTGAATGCTTTTATTCGCTAAAGATCAAGAACAGGGGTTTGTTATTGTCTAATAGCTGTTTTTTAGACTTACGCACAGAGCATGTTATATCATGGTTGAGTTTCAGAGTTTCTAACAATTTTTTGGTAGTGACAGCGTCGCTATATACAAAAAGCTAGAATATTTATATAAGTTACAGCTCTCGCTACTATTCAGTGTCAGCCTTTGATAACACTCTTAGCAGGTATGTTTCCGTGATTTGCGTTTTAATTCTTTATGGAGCTCATTGTAATTTTGTATACAACGCTTTTTGGCATTGGGACCTGTGCGATACTGGGAACATCATAGCATTAATAAATTAGCAGCGCAACTTACGGGTATTGCTGTACTGGGCTCAAAAATATGTCAAGGGATTTCTGGCAATAATCTAATCGCAACGAAAGACGAGGAGCGTCCAATTTTTTTCCCGTGTGTTTTGGACCGCTGAGCTAATGCTATTGTGCGCCTGCATGTTTGGGTTTCGATAATCAGTATGAAGCACGAAATCCTCCTATTCCATTGAGCTGTTGCCGTCCTTGTATTTATTTGGGATCTTCATTAGATATTCTCCATGAATTTCCTATAATTGGTATGGCTCATATCTCATGCCGGTCAAGAAATTTGACTCGCACTATAGCTATATGTAGCTCCAAAGATCGTCCCAATATGACTAGAATAATGCTAATGCAATAGTTTTATCCAAAACATGGCTAAATTCTTTTATTCCTGCAAACTTGTCCTTGGAATTGTACAGCGCGTTAGCTGCTAATTGTGAGTACAAGAAATAGAACGAATAACAGTGTGGAAACAACTATTGAGTTTATAATTTCGAATCAATCGGTAGAAAGTTCAAGCGTTTTTTATATCTGCACTAGTTTTTAGCTTGATTGACGCTCTAGCATTGCTGATTAATTTTTAACACAGCTTACAGAATATCTCTCATCTTCCAAAGGTGTGAAAAGAAGAGAGTGTATTAGTGTATAATGAGCTTTCTCAAGATACAAACTCGGTCCATGGTGCGAGCTGCGCTAGGAAAACAGGTTCTGGGCATTAGACCGGTCTTTACGCGAGGTTTTCAAGACAAAAGAGGCCCTGCTCCACCACAACTGCCAAAGGAGGAACAGGAAGAGTTTGAAAAACTACAGCGGATCGCGCAGTCACAAGAAGCTATTGACGAGTATAATAGAGAGCTTGAACAGGACACGACCAAAGAGAGTGCAAAGTCGCCATTTCTAAAGGCGGACATTGGTGGGTTCTCTCCCGAGTTTTCAAAGACAATTCCGGAATTTGAAGGCGACGTAAACCCAAAGACCGGCGAGCGCGGTGGACCGAAGCAAGACCCACTCAGACATGGAGACTATTCTTTCAATGGCAGAGTTACGGATTTTTGATGCATGTAAATATTCAATAAATAAAGGAGTTGTTTAAACTAAAGCTGGAGCTGGAGTTCCCATTTAAGATTCAAGACTACAGACACAAGGCCAGCGTCAGCGCAGGCTTCAAATGGTGTTTGAATACATGCAGATAGCTTTCTAGCCTCTTATATCCTACCCACTGTACAATAAAATTATTCGGTTCTTCACCACTGAACCACGTACAGGAATGTGTTTGATTAGTTCAATTCGCTTGCAGTGCCCTGTAACTCGACTTGACATTCCCCGATTATTTTAGCATCCTTGGCTAACAACTCGCGCAACTCTTCCCATGAAACATCCGTACTTCTTGTACTATCGCCGCTCTCCCTACCTTCGACTTGTACGTATTCTAATTCCGTCTTCAAGATTGAGAGATTTTCGCTCAAATCGCGTTGAGAATGAACTAGACGATTGAATCGTGCGATTTGGTTTTTTATTTCCTTGAACCATTCCATTTCAGTATGGGAAATCTCTTGAGAACGTACCTTGTCAGATGTTGAGAACTCCATCAGTTTGTCTCGCAGGCTCTCGAATCTGGATTTGATGGCTTGATTTTTGGCTTGTACAGATGTCCAACGATCTTGCTGTGCAGTGTATTTTTTTGAAGCTTCTTCTTTTTTGTTTCTAACCTCACAAACCTTGCGAAGTTGTACCGCTAGTTCATCTTGCTGGCCCATTAGACGCGAGTGAATCGATAATGCTAATGTCTGTCCAATTACAACGCGGTTGAGAATCTCTTTAGAAATGTTAGTTAAGAGGGAAAGCTGTTCCTCATTGCATGCATTGTCAAGCTTACTTTGTCGCAGTCTTGGCTCTATCGCCGTAGATAATGGTGTTTTCATTAGCGTTTGCGCTTTGTCATTTAAAGCGATCAGCTCAGCCATAGGTTGATCGTAAGGACGCCTATGGGCCACAATTTCTTTGTGCGGTTCGTCCTGCTTCTTCTTCATGAGCTTTGCAGAAAATGGAACGTCAAAGTGACTTGTGGAGTTCTTTGAAAGTAAAACAATATGTGATCCTGCGGACCATACACCAGCGGCATCAAACGCACCCTCTTGTTGTAAAATTTGCTCACTTAGGTCTTCATTCAGATTTCTCGCATCATAATCACTCAAAGACTGCTCCATAGCTTGGGTCAATCTTTTTAAGCTAACAAGGACAGCCTTTTGAGGTGATAGGACGACAAAGTTACTGTCACATACCAACGAAATGATACCCGGTGATTTCAAGGACCCCACTGAGACTAAAGAATTGTTGTGACAAGATTCGGAATTCTCCCAGGACATCATAGGCTCCAAGTCTGGGAAACACTGAAGAATGGTTCCGTCATCGAACGTTATGAGAACCAACTCAGTATGTTCACCGAATTTCAACGTCTCAAGTTGTACTGCTGTTGCAAGGTATAAACTTTCAGGGAATGGGTTGATTGTGTAAGGCCCTTGTATAGCAGAGTTCCTAAGTGCTTTAGAGATGGTCAGATCAAGTGCAGAGGAATCGCTTCTGCCTTTGATATGATCTTGAAGTTGAGAATTCAGCTTAGACGAAAACTGAAGTTGCTTGGTAGCTCTGCGCTTAAGTTCCGACGAGTCGCCATCGGTAAGTTCTTGATATTGCAGTAGAGCCTTGTGGAAGCTGTACTTGATAGTTTCCTCAGACAAGGTGGCATCCGAGGGTAAAAAAGGATACAGGGAGTAAACGTCTGCCCCTTCGCTAGTATTTAAAAGATAGAGTGACATTCCGTCACTGCTAAAGCTCATGGATGTGATGTCTCTGATTATCGAGCCCATGCCATACTTCGCGGCTGACGAATTTAAGACGGTAGTAGGCTTGGTATAATCATCACTCAATAACTCAAACATGCATATTTCATCCGATGCTGTAAGTACCACAAGACAGGAGTCGAGGCGTGCGTTAGGATGCCACAGCACCTGTTTTACACCGGCTGAAGCGGGAATTTTGTACTCGTTTGGCTGATTGGAATTCTTGTCAAGCGTTAGAATCTGGAGCTCTTGGCTGTTATGCAGGCATAGGAGGGTACCAGAGCTATTCAACACCACCTCAACGTAATCCTGAATTGGTTTGAAGTCCACATACTGGTAATCTGGTTCGTGAAGCATACACCATTTGACAGTGCTTCCTTCTACAACCACCGTCTTAAAAGAAGTGCTAGAGTTGCATACAAAACGTTTAGAACACCCAGCTTCGAAGGGCTGGGATTTGAATATTGGGTGGCTCTCCGGATCCATTGCAATCTCTCAATTGGCAGCTGTTTATGTCCCAAATGGTTTCCTAGGAGAGTTGAAGATCAACAGCAGGTGACAAATTTTTCTACGTCTTGTATGATGGCTTCACTTGTAAGAGCACTGCTGGGCAGGTAGAACGTCTAGGCACTAGCAGAGTGCTCGTTTTAAATCTAAAGATTAAATGCTAGGTTATGTACACGATGGGCGTTTATTATTGTCAAATGGCGTAATTCAAATCTCCGACAGGAAGTTGTTCTGCTTGATCTTGTCACGATTAGCAGACCTTAACTGTTTTTTACGCAGTTTCATTGGGTCTTGTTGTAGTTTCTTGAGCTGTGCATTTTGATCCAGCACTTTCCAAAGCCATTCGGGATACTCGTGGTCCTCCAAAGCCACTGGCTCTTTTCCAGACTTCTTGATTTGCAAGTTGAGCGGAGTGCCCGCGGGACAGCTTGAAGCAACCAGGGGAGGACTGTTTTTGGCTTGCTGCAGTATGATCTTGGAGGTGGCCATAGATCTTCTGGTCAGAATACGTCCAAGGATGGTCTGCATTGTGGCTGTTTGTGTCTCAGTATCACGATTTTCTATAAATGATACTGCTAGCTTCGAATTTAGAAAGTTTTTTGACCAAAGGTTTCTTATAATATTTCAAGAGCACAGCGTCCCCGATTCACGTAAAGACCATGTAAGTCACTTTGTAGTTTACAAGAGTAATACGAGCACGCCTTCGATTAACCACGCAATCAAGGTGTTCATAAACAAGTTCCAGCTGACGTAGTAGCACAATTTGGGACTAAAAACACTCCAGATGAACAAGTGATACCTTTGAACTACACAGGAGCCAAATAGAAAGCACCCGAAAACGCAGTAGAACAGCAAAGAAGGTAGACGCGACTTGTTAAATGTTCCCCACTTAGAATCATGCTGCTTCGAATATATCATTTTGAGACACGAAAGTGACCAATAAATCGATGGCGCGAAGTTGCCCACACACATAAGTAATCCGACAACGTAGATATTGTAGTTTTCAGATACGCCATTATATGCATTTGTCAGGTTGACTGTTGCAATTGAGTTGGTACTGCCAAATTGGAAAAACGTCAAATGCTGTAAAGCCAACCCGACAGTCATCAAAAGGAAAACATTTGAGCCATGGTACCGATGCCACAACGACTCCAACTGAGATGAAAGAATTTGAAAAACCAAAAAGAGTGGGATGTTGGCCGACGAAGATTGAAAAATCAAAATTGTAGTGGCTGTGGCGTGAATTCGGTCTAAAAAGCGTTTGTCATTACGACTGAAGCGGTGCAGCAGAACATCGAAAACAGCTAATCCTGTTGCACACCAAAAGAATAATCTAGCCATGGGAACTAGCATACCCTTCAAATCACCTAGCGAATCTCCAGTACTCGGGAAGACCTTTGCAATTTTTAGGCATGTTATTTGCAACCAGAATGGTATCTGTTCACCGTTGACGATACTCCAAGCGGCCTTGTAAAATATACAGATTCCAGAAATCAGAATACCGGCTACATTGGAAAATGTACTTCCTCGCCGTCCATGGATTTGCGTGGCAAAAATGGTAATTGCATTAAGAGCCCATTGCCAGTGAAAGTGTTCTTTCAAGAGTTCTAACATAGTGTGCTCGTAGACGTATTTCTGTCCGCTGTTGTTCCATCCTCGTATAAATCTAAGACAGATCAGGACTGTTAAATGTGAATTAATGTCTTGAAGTGCTTTGACGTATGACGCTCCAAGAAGAGCGATCGAGATCCACCACCATAACTGGTGCTCTTCCTCCACAAAACTGCTCCCAAAAGTACTCAAGCTAAGGAGACTCGACACCATAAATAGTGGCAATAGCGCAAAACAAAGATTCGTGCTTCTGTAGCATACAATGCTTACAGCTAGTGAAGTTACAAGAAGAAGCAAAAACCCAATTCCCAATAATGTGTAGTTGTAATTAGTTGCCGTTTTTGCCAGCTCGCTTTGGATTGATGTCATCTTCTCAACCATGACATTGTCAGTTAATGCTTCCATTGGTTCATCGCCAGAGATGCTGGCTAATTGGTAATAATTATCCATAAGTTTGAGATGAGCTTCTTGCGGCGAGAATAATCGCAGAGCATCAGGAATTATTACACCTATGCTATTTTTTGGAATGGGAAAGTTGAAGAGCGCTGCAATCGTAGGCACTATGTCGATTTGGTTTATTTTTGTCAAATACTTGTAGTCCTCATTTTTTGTTTCGATTGGAAGTTTCTCAAGTTGTTGAGACACGGGCTTTTCGTAATTTCCAAGCATTTTAGACATAAGCATCATTCCCGCGGATGTTTCCCCCGCAGACGACCCGCCATGGTTACCCATGTCATTCATGCCGTGGTCTCCCATTACACATACTAGAGTGTTGTCCTCAACAGAGTCGTAAATCTGCTTGATTACAGAATCCATTTCCCGATGCTTGGGCGGCATAAACTTTGAATATGCCCCTCCTTTGTGTCCTATGTGGTCTAGCCCCAAGTAATGAAGAATCATAACATCCCAGGATTGCTGAGATGCCAATTGCGCTGGTAAATGTCTTGTGACGTTTAGATCAACCTCTTCGAAATCACTAACAAAAAAGGAATTGGTTCCATCGATTTCACTGAAAAACTCTTCCGGAAATAGTTTCAGCCAGGTGTCATCTCCGAAGAACTTGATGGTTTTCTGGTTGATGTGGAATTGCCGTAACCACGAGTCTTGGTCTTTCAAGGTGGACGAGGAGTCGTCTCCGGCAACGTTCAATATCGCGTCTAAAAAGTTTGGGGTAGAACCAGTCGTAATACCTTTCAACCTGGGAAGAGTTACTGTTGGAGGATTAGAGTATGCAGTATAACCCCAAGCGTGCCCTTTATTTAAAAGTTCGTGGGCAAAGTTGAAGTGGCTCATTGGTCCGTGAAACAGATAGTCAGATCTGAGAGCATCTATTACAACCACAACGAGCTTTTCAAATTTTGGATTGACTACTAGATGCTCCTCTGGATGGTACCGAAACTCCGCGTCGCCTGTCAAAACTGACTTCTGCGGGAAAAACCCTGCTGAAAAGATCAGAATGGCAACCAACTGCAGTAGCAGTAGTGGAAACAGCCTCTTTATCATTAGGGCTTCACTATTTACCAGAGGTCAGACCTTGTATTATGTTTGGACGTGGAGTTTATGCTCACTAACATGCAGTGCCATTCGAGTATGCACGAATGATTGATTCACTGAGTACTAAAGTACTCAGTAAAACTGCTCACACATCTATTCAGCATTTAGAGGTCAGCTTAGGGCAATCAATTCTCTTTATGGCACGACTGTATTGCTTAAGCTGATATCTTAGAGTACTCTAAGCAAATTATGAAAACAATTTTTAAGTAATGCTTTCGATCCCAATCGCTTTTCAGTCTTAATATTGAGCCCTGAGTTGGTAAACTTCGTATATAAAATAGAAGCTTCCGATAGCTTTGTTTCTCCAATGACCTGAAATTACAAATAATTATGCTACATACCTGCTCACTGCAGGAGTTGGTCCCTGTAATAAGGTTGATTATTGACGAATTTGGCGGCTCTCTTATCATGCGTCTTTTTATCTTTGATCTCCGTTTGCCAAACTCTTTTCTGACTTGCAACCTGCTTGGGGTCGGCGACAGTCGCAAAATGTCTAGTTTCAGCGGCTATCAACGTTCCCTGACCTTCGGTGAGAATGGATTCAGGCTTCAGGTTTTGCTTATAGTATCTTTGGAGCGATCTGTGGCCTACTTTCACACCTGTGGGCAAATGCAACTCGATGCCGTCGCTGTACAAGTACTCTTTAGGGACGTCTTCGTTGTCGACATCTTCAGCCTCTTCACCTTCTTCGTCACTACCAACATCTTCCCATTCGTCGTCCTTACCATTGCCTTCTTCTTGACCGGCATAAGTGCTCGAAAAATCATAAAACTCAGAAATCTCAAGTCTTTCGTCTTCAGTCTCATAAGGAATTCGGCAATGCGCCTTAGCTAACATGTGTGCACGAACAGCTTCTAAAGAGCGGCCCTGGAAGTTACAGCATAGACACATATTTCCGAGACCAATCTTTGAAGACAAGTACTTTACCAAGCCCTCGTTGTCTACAAGATATTCCTGTTCCGGTACGTAAAAGCCGTGGAATTTAAACATGTGTTCCAGTGCTGCATCTAGGTTTGCAAAAGGTGGTACCTTCGTGCAGAAAAGACAGTGATTCAACGGGATGTCTACTCTAGTTGTCGATTTTCTGCTGCATGAGTTTTTCGGCTAGTTGATCTGGCGTCAGCTCTGATTCGGGAGTCTCTTCATTTTCTTCAGCTTGTGTTTTCTCCTCAACTTCCAGCTCCTCTGGAGTTTCGTTAGTCTTCTCAGACTTGATATTTTCAATATTTTGAATAATACTCTCACGAGCTTGCTCTAGAAGTGCCTTTTTCTTAGCCAGAAGGGCCTCCTTCTCTCTTCTTCTAAGCTCCTTTTTGGTGACCTGTTTAGTTTTTTCAGGCTCTTCCTTCTGCTCGGCAAATGATTTGACCTTAGCAGTAAACGTTGCTTCGTTGATGGGTGGAAGCTCCGCTACTCTTCTCTTCAGGTTGTAATTGTGCCAGTCAGTCTTAATATGGTACCTTTGATCAGTAATCCCAGGGAACTGGAGTCCGCAAGAGTTACAAGTGTAATTAGACATTATTATAACTGGGTTACGAGTGTCCTTTGGTGAATCTTGTGTTCTTCCAGTAAGACGATATATGAGCGATGAGGTATCGATGAGCTCTAAAATTTTCAATGCTTTTAATTTTTTCCAGCTCGAAATGTTTTGCCATCTGGTCAATTATCGAGTCCCAAGTCGTGACCGCCACAATAAATAATGAATTGAAAGGTGGGCTTCTACCCTCACAAAAGCCATGTCAAGTATCTACTAACATCTTTTTGGGCCGGATCTGGGTCTGGCTTTTGATAAATATATAGTTTTGTTGGTACTGAACGAGGACAATGTGCATCATTATTTTCATTTCAGTGTATCGTTCACGGACTTCAATTCGTTTCTCGGCCCAATCAGAAAGCTCCCCAACAATGCAGATTGTAAAGAATTGATATCTGGACATTGTGATTTTTTTTGCATTGAGTTTCCAGTGCGAGCAGATTAGCAACTCAATACGAAGACCCATTCGTCAGATAGCGTTGATGATACATTTCATGTATTACTGCAAACATAGAAGAACTGACTCATATGCACGTCAGTCGATTATCTTGCCCGTTGCCGAATTTTATATTCTGAACAACTTGATTTCGCAAACGTAGCAAATCCTAAATTTGTTTGCCAATTCTCACGTTCCTGTAGTACGCATCAACTAATTAAGTTACGAGTTTGATTAGTCGCATGAAGACCTGTGTGTGTTCAAGATACTTTGGCAAGTTATGATTTTGGCATAGATTAGGAGTTGACGGGGACAGCAGTTGGGGTCTAACCAAATTTATAAAACGTACGTACAATAAACTTTGTGAGACATGATGAGCCTCTCACGCTGAAATTCATGTCAAGGGAAAACATGGAAGCTGGCTGTCCGTTGTTAAGTACAAACAGCAGGCTTTATTCAGTTTAGATGTTAGCAATCATTGTCGAGCATCCTCAAATACATTCTTATTCTTGCTTTTCGCAAGAGCTGTGCCACTTTTTGATTTGAAATTTGCAAATGAGCATGTAGATAGGAACTATGACCAAGTTGGCAATTATGCCCAATAACCATTGTAGAGGCCAACCTAGAGAAACATTGTTTTGTTTATTCATACCCATATCGGTGCTCATCAGGAACCATCCGATAAGATCTGTAGTTATGTCATCGTATCCCATATTCAATACACGCACAATACGATTGCAACACTCCTCACAAGAAATAGCTTCTGATGGACCCTCGATTTCTCTGGTGATGGATGGTTTAGTCTCGTTCTCCAATACATAGCCCTCACTATCGAAATTTCCTGGATACACACACGAGATGCGTTGCTGAGGACACTCCTGGCGTAGAATTGCTACCAGAGACTTGATAGACTGTTTTAGAGGCGCATATTGAGCATACCCTATGAACGGAAAGAACGCTACTTCACTAGAGAAAAACATCAGGTGCGCAGACTGCCAGTGACGTACTGCAATATGAGCGAGGTTAACGCATGTCATATAATTCACTTTGACTCCCAATTCTAGGTCGGAGCCCTTCAAGTCCTTGAAAAGCCCAGGAGTAGATCCCCCCGCGCACAGCAGCACTACGGTGGGCTTTAAAGAACATGAGGCTAGTATTTCATACAGGTTTTCCACTTGACTGTAATCAGCGAGATCACAAGTAGCATAGACAATTTCACTTTCTTGAGGACGCACCTGAGTAGCTTTTGTCAACTCTTGAGCCGATTCTTGTCCCGATATGTCACGTACAGCCTGTTGTAGTTTGGTGCGAGACCTGCTCACAACAACTACGGTATTGTTGGTACCCTCTTGGAAAAACTTGCGAGCGAATTCTTTACCCAAGCCTTGAGAGCCACCCGCAATGACCACAACCTGGCCACTTAACGTAAACTTCGTCATTTTATTTTTGGAATCTTTTCTTATGGAAACTACTGTTGATAATTGAATCAAGTTTAGGAAAATATTCCCGAAATACCCATAAGATCCCTTCCCATAATAAGTCAAGTATAAAGACTTACATTTCAACACCTTTAAGGGCTTATCTATTTACAGTTATACAGTTGTTTGAGCTTTCCAATCATTCCGTGTATCTACGACCAAAAGTACTTCTTTTCAGTCCTTACGGACGTCTTTCTTACGCTGTTCGTACTCCTTCTTCAACTGTTCAAGTTCCTTAGCATCAATAGGTGGAATTGGAACGTCTGCAAAGTCGTTGTCTCTGTTCAGAAACCTGTATGTATAAACGTAGATCCCACCAGTAACTAGGAGCAGCGCTCCCAAACCCACCAAGTTTTTCTTGAAAAAAGGCCTTCTGGCTCTGAGCATGGCTGGAGTCATTTTCCAGGTTCTTGGATCCTGGTACCGAGAGTGTTCAAGCACCATTGTAGTTATTCTTTTCGCTTGGTTTGGCTTGTTAGAAGGTATTGAGCACTTAAGCTAGTTAAGCTGGGTTTTCTCAACTTTTAAAAATTGAAGAAGCCCCGGACTTGACATGTGAGGTCGAAACGAAGCAAGAGTTCAGTTTGTGATACGCTTACTAGCTAAACACTAGCTGGCGCAAATTGAAGGTCGATTGATGTTCAACTATTTGCAGTTTCCAATGCCATTTTAAGATGAAAAGCTCTTCGTTCAGACATTTCTTACTGAAAGAAAGGATTTTAATTGTCTTTCTTTCGCAGAATATCAAACGCCTTTTAGGCAACAGTCATTTGAGAACGTGGATTTGTCGCCTCTCGTTTCAACCCGCAAAGTCATGGAGGCTTGCAATCAGCTCAAGATCTATGCATCTGCTACAAACTCGCCAGAGCATTGAAGGAAAATTGACAGTTAAACTTTCCAAGCAGCGTGGGGAAGATCATGTCCTAAAAAATAATGCCCTTTCTACAAATTTCACTCGTTTCGGTTGTTAAAATACAACTGAAATACATTGGTATCCAGTTGTGACCAAATAGTGGAAATTCTATAAGGATGAAAGATCAATATTAACGTGTTAATCCCAAGGAGAGTTTGAAATGAATCCCTCTCGATGCTCTTTGATTACATACACAACAAGGTACCGTTTGATATATCAAGAAAGCTCTAAGGAAACGCTTCAAACAACGAAAATGTGTTTTGCCAAATAGCGAGTTGATAAAAATGTCTGATGATGTTAAGATGCAAAACAAGAAAGAAGAACATGCTCTTTGGAATAATTCAACTTGCAACTTCTGGGATTTTGCCCGAAACCTCAATTCGCATTTTGTTTCAGGCTCAAACAGCTATAACTTTGAGCTATACTGTCGTGAGTTCTGGCAAGCCTTCAATTTATGAATCCAAAGACACACGCCAGCAAAAGTGCTAGGATTTGAGCGATTCTCTCCGGTTGCACAGAAATTAATTACTTGAAGGCCAAAGAATTTGCTGTACAAGTAACAGTGGTCGCCGTTCAATAAGCCTCAATCCAGATTTTAAACGTCCCAATATTTGTTGGCTTCCAAAAACTGCACAAAAGATGGTGGCAAGAGATTTACATCCTTCAAAAACTGTGTTACGCATATTTTCCTCATGGAGGCTGACCAAACAACTTTCTTAGGCTTGAGGGACACTCTACAACCCTCGCTAGACATACCACAGACCTAGTTTTGAAAAACAGCGTTGGGAATTAAGTTGACATCAATCATCCCGAAAGCAAATGATTTTGTAATGACAAGACGGAAACACTTTCAATGATAATGAAACATTTGATGTCGTAAAAAGAAACTAACAGGAAATACACATATGCCATGTGGCAGGGTCCAGCATCAGTCGCAGTGCCATCTTCCTCCCACCGCGAAATCAATTGCTCAAATCACGTGCGTGCAATTGTCGTTGGAAAAACTCTTTCCGCTATTGTAAGAATTATGATAGGTCTCAGAAGCTGTCTGTGGATACGCAAGGCCCTCTCCAGCTTTGCGAATCCCGCTTCCCTAAGGGTTCAGTATCGCCAACAGCTGCAACAAACTTGACGATGGTAACAAGCAATACAATGTCTAGGGCATTCGTGTGGCAGTGGTAATTATTACATCTAGATCGCATCCTAACGAAGTTTTTTCCCAGACGTCGTATTCTTTGATTGCTCTATGTTGCTCTACAATATCAATTTCCTTGTTTATTGGCTGGCACCACGATGGCAAATTTGCTTTTATTGGACCCTGCATTAAAATCGAGAGTTTCCAGTAGATACGAGCCACCCGCCTACGAAAAAAAATTAATTATTTTCCTACAGACTCGAGCATGTCTAGTAAACCCTGGGAGAGCACGGAACCCTGCGCCATGTGGGGAGGCAGTGCAAGTCTAATAAACGCATTTTTCCACAAAGCTACGCCGCTTGGGTCATTTTCCATTATGTCTATCATTTTCAGGTTGCATATCCAATTTATTGCCACGAAGCCAATCAGAATTGATTCCAAATTCAATTTCGATCGTCGGCTGGAAAATTGTATATAAACCGGTCAATACTGGTTCTCTTGTATCGGCTTGTCATTGATATAGAACAACCAGTGTTAAAGAGCGACAGCGAATACACGGCGAATACTAAAGACACAAAGATGGTTTTACATCAGTTCGATTACATCTTCGCCATTGCGATGATGTTTGCATTCTTAGACGCTTTCAACATCGGCGCAAACGACGTCGCAAATTCGTTTGCTTCGGCGATATCCTCCAGGTCACTCGAATACTGGCAGGCTATGGTGTTAGCGGGTTTGTGTGAGTTTTTGGGGGCTGTGCTGGCAGGTGCAAGAGTGTCCAGCACTATCAAAAATAATATTATTGACGCTTCCACCTTTAATAACGACCCGGCAGTTTTGATGTTGACAATGGCCTGCGCTTTGGTAGGTTCGGCCTGCTGGTTGACAATTGCCACATCGATCGGGTTGCCGGTCTCGACCACACACTCTATTGTAGGCGGCACTATTGGTGCTGGTATCGCTGCTGGCGGCGCCAAAGGGGTTGTCTGGGGCTGGAGCGGTGTTTCTCAAATTATCGCCTCGTGGTTTATTGCCCCAGTCTTAGCAGGTGCTATTGCTGCTATCATTTTTTTGATGTCTAAGCTCACCGTCTTAGATATCAAGTCAGTGGAAAGATCAGTCAAAAATGCCTTAATGCTGGTGGGTTTCCTAGTCTTCGCTACATTTTCCATTCTAACCATGTTGATCGTTTGGAAGGGATCTCCTAACTTGCATTTGGATAAATTATCAGAAACAGAAACAGCGTTGTCTATTGTGATCACTGGTGCAGTTGCTACAGCAATCTACTTCATTTTCTTCTATCCATTCTACCGCAGAAAGTTATTGAACCAAGATTGGACTCTAAGATTGATTGACATCTTCAGAGGGCCAATATTTTACTTTAAATCCACAGATGATATTACACCAATACCAGAAAACCGTCAATTAACAATCGATTTCTACGAAGGAAGAAGATTTCCCGACGATACCGTCAAGGTTGAAGATGTGGAAAACACTGTGGTGCTAGATGACTCTACAAAATCATTTGAGGGCAATGAAAACACCGTTCAAAAACAAGTTTCGGTCCAGCTTGAAACGGAAACAGAGAAGAAAATGACCACCAAGCAATACTGGTGGTCCCTACTGAAACAAGGTCCTAAAAAATGGAGACATTTATTGTGGTTGGTGATTTCTCATGGGTGGACACAAGATGTTGTTGGAGCCCAAGTAAACGAGAAAGATATGCTCTCTGGTGACCTCAAGGACATGTACAAGAGATCTAAGTTCTACGATAACAGAGTTGAATACATCTACTCGGTTTTGCAGACTATCACTGCGGCAACTATGTCTTTTGCTCATGGTGCTAACGATGTTGCCAATGCTACCGGACCTTTATCTGTTGTTTACGAAATCTGGAAAACCAACTCCTCTTCAGCAAAATCCGAAGTCCCAGTGTGGATTTTAGCGTATGGTGGTGGAGCTTTGGTGCTTGGCTGCTGGATCTACGGTTATAACATTATCAAAAACTTGGGTAACAAGATCATTTTACAGTCACCCTCAAGAGGCTTCTCGATCGAGTTGGCTGCCGCCATTACAACTGTAATGGCTACTCAATTAGCAATTCCAACATCAACCACCCAAATTGCTGTCGGTGGTATTGTTGCTGTTGGTTTGTGTAATAGAGATGTTAAGTCAGTCAACTGGAAAATGGTAGCCTGGTGTTATTCCGGTTGGTTTTTGACGTTGCCAATTGCTGGTTTGATTGCCGGTATCTTGAACGGTATTATCCTTAACGCTCCACGGTTTGGCGGGGAATATAAGATGACCTAATTCAACAAGGTAATGCTTCTTTCTATAGTTGTCTAAAGCTTTGAACTCCTTTGAGGTAAGCGTATTGTACAACCAACGAAAATGTAGCAAAAGGAATCACGGAACATACTATTTTTAATTTCACTTTCAATGTACATTATTTTAAAATAATCAGTTTATTAAGCTTTCTTGTCCGTTAATTATAGACAGACACTATTGACGTATCGGCATTCTAAGAACGACGCAGTGGACTAAAGTGAGAAAAGCAGCCAAATTAACCTTCTCGGATAGTTACTGGAATGCGGACATAATAACGCAAGCGAGTAATCATTATCTTTTCTTGTACTCTCTCGCACAACATGAGCTCGATGAGGCTTATTGTCAACTGTATGAATGAGCATATTGCATCACTTCCACTTTGTTCATTACCAACTATCGACTCAAAGACGCAAATTACTCCCTCATTTTTCTAATTGTGAAGGATGATATATTCTTGACTCAATAAACGATCCACTGATGTTTGTCTGCTTATTTTAGTCAATTATTTCACATAGTTCTAAACGTTTCAAACCTGAGTTTTAAACCAGCCTAATTTCTGAGTCCATAGGTAAGGATGCACAGTGATTCGCGGTCATTTCACTTATGATCTTCTCATGCCAATTCTCTGATTGGCTAATTGAGCTTCTTTGTCCCTTTTTGGCATATTCAATCAATCGAATAGCTTTTTCACCTTTCTTCAAAGCGCCACTGTTCAGAGCCGATTACAAGGTCTGTAAAGATTGTTCTGTACTCTTTATTCATAATTTAATTCTTCGTCCTGTTCAAAGCGCCGACGCATACCAGACATCCTGGAGAATAATAGCATCATTTTATCCTATTCTGTCCTATCACATTTCTAAATTCAAAAGATCGTCACAGAGCATTCAAAAGATACTCGAGTCTGATCATAGCTTAAGCGCTTGCATGGAGCAGAAAAGACCACACAACTTGTGCCAAATCACTCAGCTTGTAAACTATTATATCAGTTTTCGTGCGGAGTGCAGATTTCTACACTAAAAAATTTAGCTCAATTTACATTGATCACTTGCAAATTAAACAAGCGACGACCAACATATAACGAATCCCATCAGCCATGACGAGCGGGTTAATGCGCCATTTCTCGCGTACCAAATCGCACCGCGATTCCATGTTTAGAAATCTGGTTTCACAATTGCTTCAGCATGGATCGATTGTCTCTACACATGAGAAATGTCAGGAGGCCAGTCGATTGGCAGAAAGAATCATCACAATGGCTAAGAACCTGAAAAAACACCCAAACTCTGCCAAAGAGATTCAATCTCGCCTGTCTTTAGCTGGTGACAATAGTAAACTACTGGGCCGCGTTATTAGCGAAATTGCTCCACGTTACCACAACAGACCTGGCGGTTATACTCGGGTGCTGAAACTCGAGCCACGTCTAGGAGACCGTGCTAAGCAAAGTGTCCTAGAACTTGTAGATACTCCTATTTTAAGCAAGGCTGGTTCATTCCAAAGGGGAGACCTCAAGCTGTGGCTACTGTGCAAAACTGCAATCGCCAACGAAACCTCTGGGTCTTCATACTCTGTGCTAACGTTACAAAACTTTGCTAAAATGCTGAAATTCAGACCCAATCACAGCGAGTTTTTTTTCCGGGACGTGTTGGCAATCAGACGCTTTATAAAACAAGAGATGGGTTTATCTTGGGACAAAGCACAGGAAAAAAAACTGGTCAGCCAACTGCAGGATCAAGTGCTCGCCATGCCAGCACAACCTTCGAAGGAAGCTCAAAATATGGGCTACACGATAGTGCAGGAGAGGCCAACGCGCTAGACTTGAATAACAATCTAGAATCGAAGTGTGCCCCGGAACTTTCATGTGATTTGGAAACGCTATATTTGTCTTTCCCCCGCATCTGTAAATAATTTAAACAAATCTGAATGACAGCATGGGCCAGTTCATATGCTTCACGACTCTTGTGCCCTTCATTGCCTTTAGCTTCGAGGTGTAAATTAGTCTGGTTATGATTCCATCATTCCACGTGAGGTACTTAATAAGAAATCTTAATCAGAAACGAATTGAATTCTCCGTACACTTCCTGTCTTCTACTTACTTTGACGCTCCCAGAACTAATTTGCTTTGTTTCATATGATGAAGTTTCCAATATTGGCCAATAAGGGCTTTGTTGAAGCTGTCGGGAACACACCATTGATCAAACTAAACAGGGTATCTAAAGAAATTGGCAGAAACGTTTATGGAAAAGCTGAATTTCAGAACCCTGGCGGCTCGGTCAAAGATCGTGCTGCCTTGTATCTAATCGAGCAAGCCGAGAAATCTGGACAAATTGATCCGACCCGTACGGCTACCATCGTCGAAGGTTCTGCCGGAAACACTGCCATAGGTTTGGCACACATCGCTAGATCGAAGGGTTACAAATCTATATTTTACATGCCCAACACCCAATCCGCGGCGAAGGTTAACCTGCTCAAATATTTGGGTGCGGAAGTCTACCCAGTGCCAGTATGTCCCCTATCCGATCCTTTGAACTTTAACAACAGAGCCCGGGACCATGCCCAGCGTCTTGATAATGCTGTATGGACAGATCAGTTCGACAACCCAGCCAACTGGCAGTCACACTATGCTACTACTGGTCCCGAAATTTTACAGCAGCTCCAAAGCGGCGGCCTTTCGTGTGATGCCTTCACATGTTCAACAGGTACTGGCGGCACGTTTACGGGGGTAGCTAAATATTTGAAGGAGGCTACTGATAATAAGGCAAAAATGGTAGTTGCTGATCCACCGGGGTCTGTAATTTACTCGTATGTCAAAACCGGTGAAATGAATCGAGAAGGATCATCTTTTACTGAAGGAATTGGCCAAGGTCGCATTACTCAAAACTTAAGGCAATCTCTGGATTTAGTTGACGATGCAGTTTCCATTCCTGACGAGGAAAGTATTGTTATGTTATTCAGACTCCTAGATGAAGAAGGGCTTTTCATCGGGGGTACCACGGCTTTGAACGTTGTGGCAGCTTGTAAAGTTGCAAAAACTTTACCAGAGAACAGTAATGTGGTCACTATCTTGTGTGACAGTGGACATAAATATGCTGACAGAGTTTTTTCAAAGAAGTGGCTACAGGATAAGAAGCTGTACGACTGCATTCCGGAAGCTCTGAAAAAGTATGCAATCCTTGAATGAGCTAGCTCCCAAACTTTTATAAACCCAAAAATTACGACCGTTATAAAATTGAATATTCACATTTTGATGTCCCTAATTATCAGAAGTACATACGATTAAGCTCTGAAATGGCACGACATATAATATGCCAATCGACGGTGAGTGGTTTTCCCTGGGCCTCCTGCCATTTACAAAGCTCGTAAACAAACATCAGGTTTGGCTGAATGATAATGTTTAACCTACGAACACGCACGTAAAGGTAGGCTCTCAAAACGTCGCAATTTAATCTTCGCATACACTCGGCAATGCAGACTGTGGCCGATCTCGAGACACCTACCATACAATGGACTAGAACTTTTTCACCACGATTATAACACTCATCGATGAAGGCTAGTATATCGTCCAGCTGAGAAAGTAAGCGATCTTCGCCATTGTCATCCAGATCAGTAATATGTAGCACTCGAAATCCATTCTCTTCCACCACGTTCGGACCTTCTTTTCCGCCCACTAGCGAGCTTGCTCGTACTCGCGTAATTTGAGACGACGAAACAACTGTACTGATGAAAGGCCTAGTTACTCCTCGAGTATCAGCCTCGCTAACAGTCAAGCTTCTTCTTCTTGACATAGCAGCGAGAAGCCAAGGCATGGTCTCGCCCACTGATACGATGTTTTTTATTTCCAGTTTTTGCAAGAGCTTTGGGTTTTGAGCATGTTCCAAAGACCCAAGGTACAAATGCGGTAAAATTTTGGAAGGCAAAGGGCCTTTTAATTGCGCCAGGTGATAGCTGTCTCGGAATTTTGTGAAGAACATTTTGCTAAACAAATCTGGGTCCACGTCCAAGCATGTAGTATCGTGTTCTTTTCTCTTTGGACTTTCTTCTCTCAAAAGGACTTGCAAGTGGCCCAAAACTTGTAAATCAATGGGAAAAAGGAAAAACGGTCTTTGACAATCTTTGTGCAACCTGAAGAGCACTTCATCTAGAGGCAAATCCCAAGCGAAAATCAGAAATGCAACTAATATGAATGAAACCTCGGTATAACCGTCGGAACAGTATATCAAACTTCCAAAATTTGTGCATTTTCCTGTACTGTATATGAGAAGGCAGGTGTTCAGAATAACTTTAATTGAAGCGAGATTCAGATTTCCTAACCCAATTGAACCAGATATTGGAAAGGAGAGGACAGTATGTGGTATAGTGGCATCTTTCTTAATCCTTTCTAAGAGTCTGACTATAGTGGAAAGTTCGGGCAACGTGCTACTTTCTGTGCAATGGATAAAGAGCTCCCATGTCTTTGAGGGTTGGGGAAAGCTGAAAAGTAGGTTGTCTATTGGAGGAGAGCTTTGAGCTTTCCTACTTAAGTTCGGTAACGTCACAACGGTGTCAACTTCTTGATGTACTTTTTCCATGCTGTGTACAACTTTGTCATTTTCTTGTGCTGAAAGTCCTTTATTCAGCCTGTAAATCTCAAAGTCAGTGCTGTTGCCACACCAAGTTGAAGATTCACTGCTTACGCAGGTTGCGCTTGACATCCTTGAAATTTCCAAACGCTCGCGATAGAAAAGATCTCGGTCCCAATTACTGAAAGATGCGATATCAAAGTCAGATGCCAATTGAGAGAATCTGTCTTTTTGAAGAGCAGTAAGCTTCATCGGTGGAGTACCCCACCATATAGGATCGATATCGGTAGTGTCTAATATGCTGATTTGGAAATTTTCAGATGGATCGAGGCTCTTGCGCGCCGCATATAATAGTACTGCGAGTTCTTGGCAGTGACAAGATCTCCAATGTCGTGATTCGCTCAAGCAGTATATGACACATCTTTGCGACATTTCGATGAATTTTGCCACTTGTAAATCAAATCGGCGGAACATCCCCGGTTGTTTCCATCCCTGAGGTGGCTGTGAGTAAGATGATGATGTGCAGACTCGGTTCTTAGCAGCGCCAGCACCGTAAATCCCTTGAGCGGTAGCATCGGTAACCAGAAAGGGCATAAGCTTGTATAATTTGCAGGCTCGTGTGAGTAACTCGTGTTCTTCAGAGTTTAGTCCTAAGTTGTTTCTGACGTCACTCAGTATTGACTCAATGCAATGTTTTTTGTAATCCCAGGGCATCAGAAACTCATGTGGATCAAGAGAAGATCTCAGAAGTCCAGAGTTCTCAATCATACCGCGAGAGAGTGGTTGAGAGCGAATAACTGCCATCCAGTGACATGCACGAGGCACTTCCCTCGAACCGGAAAGCCCATGCAACCAAGGAAACACATCATCGCAATACGGAAGTTTTTGGTGTGCGTGTTCTGCGAATAGTGTGCTCATGCATGTACGAGATACTAAATTGATATGCTCGGAGCATAATTGCTGTTCTTCATAAGGTGCCATTTTGGCACTATGGCCAGATCCCTGATCTGCGGTACTTTTATGTCGTTTTTGGGAGTTCTGCTCAGGCCCCTGCGTTTCCGCAGGTACAAACAGGCGCATTAGCGTACTGGTGGCACTTGTATGGATTCACGATGATTTGAAACCGGTTTCTATTTCCAATGCATGTAACATTGATATCAGCAAATCAAGGATTCTTCGTAACCTACGATACAGCTACTTATTGAAATGTCACCAGCCATTCTTGTCAAAAGATTTGTATATACCATAGATTGTTCATATATTTGAGCCTTGGTGTATGTTTAAATGTTGTCAGAATGCGTTCGAGGCTTCATGTCTTTCTCTGGTGAATTTTCGCCTACTCAGATGTCAGGGAAATAGAAAATAGACTTTAACTGTGTATGGAGTTCGACGGAAGCAACAAATTCTGAAAATAGCTGCTTCTCAAATCTACTCCGAAGCGTTTAGGAGCTTTCTGAACTTCCGTCTTACATTGATTTCTATCAATACATACAAGACGTAAAATTAGTCGAAAACCTGGCGGAGCGTTGAAATACTGGAAAATTACCCGATGCCTTAAAACCCTTGGGGTGTAGATACTGGTCACTGCGGTGGTTCCATCACTGAAATTGTTTTCGGAGCCCAAGTTCTTGTGATTTGAACGCGTTCAAATAACCCTTGGAAATATATGGCACTAAATGAAATAGTGATCTGTGCGGAGAACACTTGCAATGGTGAATAGCACCACTTGTGCCAGCAATACAACTTTTCCATTAAGATAATGTTGGGCAAACGCTCCTTAAACATGCAGTGGTGCGAAACAGGAGTGCGCTGGGCAAAGACAGGAATTTGTGGTATGACACTTAGCGGCACAAAAAATAAGCTATAAATAAAGAAGGAGCGATAGAGTAACCAAGTGCAAACTTTGTTATGCATTTCACATATATTCAGATCCTGACCTGTAGCTCGACTTCAACGCACTGCTTTTGCCATGATTTTTGAGTAAATTGCTCGCATCGTATTTCCGAATTATCTAACATAAGCAACTGAACATCGAGCGGAAACGCCGCGTGTGTATATGTCGCAAACCTGAAAGGCCCGTTACTCTTTCACTGGCTATGCCTTTTGATACGTCTCGAGAAGCTCAAGAGATTAATAATAAATTGTCCATCTTGGGAAAAGATATAATGAAAAATAATATGTAGTAAGAAAGATACTGCATTTTGACCTCACAATGGACCAAACCAGCGGTGCCGATGCGCTAAAAAAAGCAGCACCTAAGCTGCCGCTATCAAAAGTTAAACGAATTGCGAAAACTGATCCAGATTACACCATCACCTCGCAATCTGCAATTGCAGCTGTAGCATTCGCTACCGAACTGTTCGTTCAAGTCCTCACGGAAGAAGGGCTGGCCAGATCACAGCTTGAGAAATCAAGTGGCTCGAGGCTAACATTACGCTATGAGAATCTTGCTGCAGTTGTTGCGAGCTCGGAGCGCTTTGCATTTTTGTCAGATGTTCTTCCAGAGACTCACAATTTGGTGGCATTGACGCGCGAAAATAGAGTCAGATACACAGCTCTGGCGCCTGGACAAAGTATGCTGCCTTTTAGAGCTCGCGAGGAACCAACACAGGTCGAGAACGAGGAGGAATCCGTGGAAGAAGAGCTGGAGCCGGATGCAGATGCGGATGCTGAGCTCGATGTGGATATGAACGGGGAAGTGGACTTTGACGACGATTTAGCAGAACTGGGTTCAAGAGACGAGGCAGAAATAAGGGCAGAGGAGGAGCCGGAGCCGGAACCTGAATTAGAGCCGGAGCATGAGCCTGAGCCAGAAGCGAACCAAGATATTCAGGCAATGGACTCCGATTTGGACGAATAGCTGGGAATTTGAACATCATTCAGAAAAGAGTGTGGTTGGGATGCCGCGTGTCTCTACAAGCCGTCTGACAAAAATACGTCGATTGCATTAAAATTGCAGCAAAAATTTGCTATGTTCGCTAAGAACAAACATATATCCTTGCGGAAATACTGTTGGCTAGTGCAGTGCTTGTAAGGATCTTCAATAGCCCTCATCAATGCATTTCAATCTCGTGCCCTATAAGTAATCTTTCACGAATTTCCAAATTATTCTATATTGATTGCGCCCTGAGAATCCGTTGCCTGCAAAGTAAGAAACATCATCCTGCTACAACTTTCTGACAAGCGTTGAGCTATTTGTTGAAATGGGTATTTTCACTGGTGATGATGATAAGGAAACAAAGGATTACAATGATAAGCTGGTTTCAACCTCCTTAAAAGAACGATTGAATGACAGTTTTCAATCGATGGGGGACTCGATATTTTCTGTATGGAAGGATGCAGTTCATCATGTCGAAAACCCTATCTCCGATCTCTGGGTTAATGCTAGCGGTGGTGTTGGTGATATACTGGCTGGACTTGGGTTTCCAGGTGGTTTTGGTCATCCGGCGAGGATTTTAAAGTTGATGGAGGACAACACTACGCAGGAAGGTACGACTGGACTTTACGGATACAGAACTCCTTCCGACAAGCAGTTCATGGAGTGCCAAGAGCTCAAAGGTCTCTCGGTCTGGGATTCTCGCGGCTGGTGGAGGTGCTTGTTTCCTGAAAGTGTAATTGGATCCAAGCTGGCACCAGAACATATGATAGATGTTCTGACTCGTGAAAAGGTGGAAAATGACAAGAACCACCGTTTGGGATTGTTTTTCACCGAGTACACTTCGTACTTGACTTGGCGTACAAACATTCTACGGCTCGCTGAAAACCGTCGCAACTCATTGGCTGCTAAAGCTCACGACTGCGACGAGATTCAAAGCATAATGGCCACCCCTGAAGATTTGATGGACCGTGCAACTGGAAAAAGCGTAGTGGGAACTTCCGAGTACGTCACTTACAATACGACACCCGAGGGATTGGAGAAAATTAAGGAAGTCAAGACCTTCTATGATGACGGTAGTGTTAAGCTACGGTCCGAAAAGCAACACAGGGACTCTAACGGTAAGTCTCATATAGACTCGTTTGAGAAAATAATCGCAGACCATGACGATATCAAAGACGGATGGTTTTGGCGAAAGTGAAAAACGTCGGTGCTGACGGTGCAATACTTTCCGATGCGGGAATCTTGTATCGCTATTGAATGATTGATGATAATGTTTAAGTATATAGGTATATGCTATTTGCGTGTAAGTAGACAAAACAAAAAATCCAAAAAAAAAAATTGCACAATTGCAAGTTCGATAGAAGTGCGGTAGGGGCAGTTAGAGAAAGAGATATGGTCTACAAGTCCTAGTTGATCCTTTTATCTTTCAATGGCTTCAAAATCTCTCCAGTTGAGAAGTCTTTAACTTTCGTCAATAATGCTATCAACACTTTTTTGACAATATTCAATTAGAATAAGCCATACTTCATGCCAAAGCTCAAATTGAGACGATACTACACAAGAGGATGTCTAAAAAGCAAGAGTACATTGCCAAAATCCGGTATAGGAATGATCTACCTCCACCTTTACTGCCTCCAAAACTTTTGCAGTACCAGTACTCACCAAATGAAGCAGTAGATTCAGCCAAATTGATCACTTCTTTGTATACGAAGACCAACGTTACGCCTTTGATTAAGCTGAACGAGGACTTGAGCATGCCCATGGACCTTATGGAGCTACCAGGACTGTTGGATCACAAAGACACGAAGCTTTTGCATGGTTTTGAGAATATTAAGTTGCATCCCGATGATCGAGCTTTGTTAAGAGATCCAAGAGTGGACAAGTTGATAAAGACAGATATGTCGAAAGTGACGTTTTTGAGAAGAACAGAATACGTATCGAGCTCACAGACTGCTAAGCCAAGTACAAAGAAAAGAGTTGCATCAGAAGCGCTGGAAACGGACGACGAGCTTCTAACTCCCGCGCATCGGGTTAAGAGAGTCGAAAATACCTTCGATTTTATTACAAACGACACTTCTAAGATCAAACATCCAAGCAAGAAAAACGTTCATGCCATTAAGACGTGGGATCTGCTTCCGGATACCACTTCTATGGACCAAACTTTTTTCACTGTCCGCTTCGTGGGCTCCGCTGCCCTGGAAAAGCACGAAAAATCCCAACTAGCGCTATCTACTGCGCTTTTCAGACCTGTTGAGCTTGAGGAGGACGAATGGGTTTCGCTTTACACTACTGATAAAAATAGCTCTGCTGCTTACGAGAAAAATCTGGAGCAACAAATTGACGAGATTGTAGACGATGATAGAGTCTACGAGTTCAAGCGCTTGAGAGATTTTGATATGAAGCATCAACAACCGTCAGGCACTGGTTTGTTCAGCGAATTGACGCTGCGTTTCAACGACGATAAGAAAACCATCTATTACACGCCAGTACGGTCACGAATTGAATTGCGGAGGCGGCGTATCAACGAAGTTCTCAAGCCATTAGTACGTGAAAATAATTTGGACCAGATAAATATCAAAATCAGAAATCCAACAACGCAGGAGACTCGGTCCAGGGATGGCATCAGGATGAATTTCGATCCAATAGATTTCCCCAATCTTGAGGAGGAAGAAGAAGAAGTAGACGCAGTGGAAGCACAGGTTGAGGCTCAGGGTCAGACTCAGAACAGCCCACCGCTACACCAAGTAGATCAACCAGAAATGTCACACGAGAAAGGTGAAAGTTCCCGTGAGCAATCAATGACGGCAGACACCGACTCTGTAGCTCCTGAGGGTCAGTAAACAATAACAGAGGAAAATGCTGGCCATACGATTAGAACGTCAGTTGCATGTCGAATTCATGGTATAAATGTAACTGCTATCCGCCATCACTGAATACGCATTTGGTACTCGTGATATCTCGATTCAGTCTCAAATTCTGAAGAAATCCCTTAAAGAGAGAATTGAGCCAAGTCTGTATAGTATAGTACATCGATTCAAATAGCCACTAATTGAAACTTAAAAACTGAGCAATGAGTTTTCAAGTTGATGGAGAGGTAGCCAGTTGTGGAGGCAGGCTCTTGAAATTGAATCATGAGTCCAAAGAGACCAAAACTCAAATGAGCGTGAACATCTACTTGCCCCAGCAATATTACACGAAGCAAACGAGCAAGATCCCGGTTATATACTACTTATCGGGATTGACTTGTAGCCCTCAAAATGCGTCTGAAAAAGCATTTTGGCAACCTCAGGCCGACAAATACGGGTTTGCTGTTGTCTTTCCAGACACTTCACCTCGCGGTGATGAGGTTCCAGATGATCCTGAAAATGGGTGGGACTTCGGGCTTTCCGCTGGTTTTTATGTTGACGCTACACAAGATCCTTACAAGAAGAACTATCGAATGTTTAGTTATGTTCACGACGAGCTGCCTCGCGCGCTACACCAGCATTTCCAAAAACAAGGTTCTAGCTCCCAATTGGACTTCTTGGACAATATCGCAATCACGGGGCATTCTATGGGTGGTTTTGGAGCAATTTCCGCATTCCTACAGTTGCGCTCAGCTAATAAATACAAGTCTTGTTCTGCTTTTGCACCAATGGTAAGTCCCTCAGGAGTCCAATGGGGCGAAAAAGCTTTCGGAGGCTACTTGGGTAATGATATCACCACGTGGAAGAAATATGACCCCGCCGCCCTGATTCAAACCGTTAAAAACACTAATAATGACTACATATTGATCCATCAGGGCACTAGTGATCCGTTTTACAAGAAGCAGTTGAAACCAGAACTTCTACAGCAAGCTGCCAAGGGCACCACTTGGGAAGGTAAAATTGACGTTCAGTTGGTTGATGGGTTTGATCACTCGTACTATTTTATTAGCACATTCGTCCCAAAACATGCAGAATTCCACGCCAAGAATCTGGGTCTAATCTGAATGAAATGATATCTTTTTAAACACAACTTTTTACTCATGACATGTCTTTTTAGCTAGCTCAAAATTAAAGCTCCGGTCTGCCATCCTCCTGCTGTTACGGCCAGACAAACATAATCCGCATTCGCCAATTTCACGAGAGATGGTTTAATGACTCTAGTACTTCGTAAGTTTTCGATTCTACCAATGCGCCTTGCGTTGACAATTTCTTCGCGGTTTCCAAGTCCTAAACATCCGCATAATTCACTTTCTAGCCCCCACGTATACATTTTACCCTTTGATGTCAGCGCTATTGTGTGGTAGTCGCCTGTGGATAGTGAAATGAACATATCTTCATTGTCTTCTAATTCTAGTCTAATGAGACTTTGCGGTAAGATTTGCCCGTCCACTACGTTCACGGTATAGCAGCTTCGCGTTGTGAATATCGCCAACATAGTGTAACACCCAACTATTTTGACTAGCTTTCCATCAAGTGGTAAATCAACATTCTGCATCTCGCCGTTTGCGTACAATTTCAATTGATCACCATTCGCTGTGATAAAAAAGACGCACATGTTAGCACAGCATGCAAAGTCAACTACTTTGTCATCACCACTCACTTCGCCTGTGTTTGGAATTATTTTGTAATTGGCCGTCGCAAATGGCTCATTCTCTTTGGTAGCGCTTCGGCTACTCCAAACTACAAGACCTATTTTGTAAACGGACACACAATTATAATTCCACCCACAGCCTATCTTCACAATTGGATTGCTTGTCTTCACAGGTATTCTCTCTAAGACGATACGTATCCCCTGCTCAACATCTGGACCATCCCAAGAGTAAAGTTCTCCTTCAGTACTCAAGGCTAAAAAATGTGATCGCCCGGAGGATAAAGCCTGGAATTTTATTTTATCGAGCTCCTCGCTTTCAACAGACACATGATGAGGTACCTGCGGATCTACGTTAAGAACATCGCGCGCGAAAAGCCTTCTGACATGTTTGTTTCCCAAAACTTTTTGATCCAGGGCTTGCTCAACATCTTCTAGTCTTGCGTAGATATTTTCGTGAGGTCTCTCCAGTGGCATGGAGCTGGTGGTATTTATAGGCACGACACCGCCGGCTCTCGGAGTTCTTCCGTTGAACAAAGCAAGACTTCGTTCTGTTCGCACTATAAGTTCCTGAAATGGATTGTAATCATGTTCGCCTTCGACGGTCCCTGGTCCTCGATGGCCACCTGAATAAGTAGACCCGGTGCTGTAAAGCTTACCAGATTTTGTTAAAATTTGAAATGAAAAGCCTCCTGCAGAAACGCTCGCTATACTTTTGTCGTCGAAGGGTTGAGATTGACCCTCTTCGGATGAATACCAAGGGACTGGGACCGGGGCGTTGATGCCAAACTGAAGCCTCATTCCGGCGTTATTGATGACCTCTATGGGCAAAGACCCGTGAGAAACTGCTGTAAACCCCAGTCTCGCATGTTTTAAAGACCCCCAAGTGTGAAATGTAGCGTTCAAAGCCCTTTTCCTGTACAGTTGGCCCCAAGATTCGTCCGGAAATCGGTTTCTAAGTATAGCCTCGCAGCAGCTCATGTACTGGGCGTTTTCCTTGGACTCTAAAGGCTCGGCATCTGAGTGCATTGATCCAAACGACTTACGAAAAAGCTCATGCCATAAGGTGTCAGATTTCTCGAAATCAAGTAACTTGTGAAAGTACTTATTTGTTAAAGACAGGTTTTTAATATCCTCTATGGACAAATAAGGCAAGGCTGCCTCTATGATATCTGGTGTAAGCTCATCTTCGATAGAATGGCCCATGCTTTATTCTACAGGAAGAGTGTTTTCAAAAATGGTATTCCAATTGTCTGATTTAAGGGACTGGTCCGTCACTTTGCTTATAAGAATGAAATTACGTCCATAGCGATCAAAGTCTATTGAAAGCTTTATGCAAAATCTGGCGCATCTTATACCAGTTCTCAATCCTTAATTGCTCGTTGTTTAGATGCGCATTGTCAGTGCTTTGGCCACATGGAATTTGTATAGCCGAAGCATTTAAAGTGCGCTCAAGAAAACGTACTTGAGGAATGGAGCCACCTTCTCTAATAAATAGTGGGTCAATGCCCCAAGCATCCCTAATCTCTTCTCTGAGAATCTGGTAAACTGCGTTTTCAGGATTGCCGAGCCATGGCTCGGCTTCGTTTAATACTTGAAATTTGAAGTGGTTTGGGGTCTCGAGTCTTTTGAAACTCTGGGTGACGAAACTTTCCAGAGATTCTTTTATTTCATGGACTTCTTGCTCAGGCACGACTCTTATAGATATGGTGGCAGAAGCGCTGCGCGGTATTACGGTGGAATTTCCCGGACCACTCACTTTCATGTTCGTGATGGAAAGCGAGGGTTTGGTCCACTTTGCCATAAGCTTTTCCAGCGTTACAGATTCGCAAAGATCCGCCCGCTGTATAATTTCCTTGAATCGGGCTTCCTCCTCGGCCTTCAACTCGCCTAGTGGAGCGTAAAAACCAGGAATCAAGACGTGGCCGTCGTCATCTTGTAATTTCGATAGAACCCGGCTGAGATCCGTTGTGGGCTCCCGGTGTACACCACCATCAAGACCGGAATGTCTATCTGGAGCATCACTCCAGATTGTTACTCGCGCGTTAATCACACCACGCAGCCCATAATTGAGACAAGGTATTTTCTCATCGATCCAGTAAGAGTTGCTGAACAAAATCCAGTCCACGTCATTGCCTAATAAATTCTGATGCTTTTTCACCGCTTCGACAAAGCCTTGCGAATTTGATTCCTCTTGGCCCTCCACGAGAAAGATGATGTCGTTTTCAAGAGTTCCTTCCAAAAAGGCAGACCCCGCACTATACATCGCAGCGACAAGAGGTCCTTTATTATCCGTGACACCTCTTCCTTTCAGGAATCCATTCTCACAAGTAAGCATGTATGGATCTGTGGTCCATTTAGAAGGGTCTCCCGGGGAGATGATGTCGTAATGGCCATACCAAACAATTTTTGATTTTGGTTTCGATTTCGATTTACCTTTGAAAAGTGCATGAACTAGTGGGTTGTCATTGCTTCCGGTAGGCAAAAGATTGCAACTGGCGCCCAAACTGGTAAAAGCTTGCTGCAAATATGAAGCGCAGCGACGGGAGTCAATCACGTACTGGCTCTCTGTAAAAGCTGATACGGTTTTGAAGCTCATGAGCTCTCTCAATGTCTCTTGCATGTTATCATTATCGAGTATTGCTTGGTAGTCTAATTTCAGTTTCGATTTTTGAGCTTCGTTGGCGGCTTCACTTATTTTGGTATTTATTTTGCTCCCGCGATGATGTGTTTCTTCAACCAGTTCACTAATATTGTACAAAGTCAGGCTTCCACTCTTGCCACCAGCGGCCAACCTAAGAAAGCTAGAACCGGTGCATTTTTTTCTCAAAATTTCTGTGCTTAAGACCAAACCGTCGTCAACAAGCCACTCAAATGTTTCGTCTTTGAAGAACTTGGTCACTCCCTTCTCATGCGAAGCAAATATGTGATCCTCGTAGACACTAATAGATACGATATCGCACTTACTTGAGCTCTGTAGGGTAGCTACTAGTTCATCCAAGTTCAGGTCCCAAATTTTGACAAAGCCTCCGTTCAATCCACAATACAAAAATGGGAACTGGACAACTTGGCAAAGGACACTTTCATTGTTATCCATCTCCGCTAATAACTTAACATCCGCGCAACCTTTATTCTTCATAGACAGTGCCCATATTTTGCTTAACCCATCTCCACCTCCAGATATGATGAACTCTGTGCTGGCTCGAGTTAAGCCATTTTGGTAGAATGCATCTGGTAACTGAACGTTAGCACCTGAGAGAGGCTGGATGGAGTAAATGAAACTGTTATGCGCGTAAGGAATAGTGTTGCGCAAGGGGACTTCCATAATGGTGTGGTTTTTGCGCGATTCGTAGCAACCTGGTGACGGAGAATTGCACCTTGCGCTGTCACCTTGACTTCCAGGCCCATTGGAATCGAAGAATCGATCGTATCGACGTTGTGGTAATCTGTTAACATCATCGCACCGCGGTTTGCCGTTCAAACGGTCCATAATACCAGACATGTACATCATGTTGGCATTCTGACAACCAAAGACAATCGTTTGGTGCGCATCCAAATACTTGATAGAGAAAATGTCACCGATATCAATCAAAGAGTACAACGTAGTTAGCTCTGTAATGAATACCCCGCCGTTGGGCGATAGTTCTCCAACAGACCAGATTCGTACTAAAGAGTCCGCACCAGCTGAGAATAGGTAACGTTCGTCTTGAGACTTGGCCAAACACAGCACGCTTGATCTGGTGTGGGCTTCTTCTTCATCGCCCAGCTGAATAGTTTTCGCCAGATTATACGTGGATAAATCGAAGCATAAGATTTTGGAGTCATGAGTCCCGGCGAACAAGATCTTCTTGTGTGGGAAAGCCACGCTAGATAAGATAGCGTAAGAATGATTCCATTTGTGAATCAAAGGAGGCATTGCAGAGACAATTTCAATTTGTACAGTTAATCAGTAACCTCGACTCAGCTGCTCCCTTTAAATAGTTGATCTCAAAGATTAGTTCAATCGTCGGCGTTATTCTTTAGAAGTTCACACCTGTGACTTTGGCGGGTGAAATTTTCAAAACATGAAAACGAGGTATGGGCCATATCAGAATGATAAGAATTAATTGAGGACCAAACAACATTTTGATTAACACTCTTCCTCACGTTGTCGCACAATCTCTGAATTTGCTGGGCATCTGGAAAAAATTTGCTAGGGATGCTAACGTATCTCGTTGATTTTGGAATTGTCGGTGTTTCCCTGGAGTTAAGAAAATATACGATGAACTTGACACGCCAACATGCTCGGACCCAGCTTGAGTTGAAAGAAGGAATGCGCAAGCTTAAGTCCAGTAGCGTAGGCAACGGATCGAATGCCTTTTTGAATGAGATTCAGTCTGTCCGGGACACCACTCATATTGAAAGCGTCTAGCTCTTTTGGCGTATCTTTAAGCCAACTCATATGAGCTGTCAACAAGCTGGTGTAACTTGGGCAGCTCCATGGTTGTTGTAGTCAATCAGTGTGTTCACTCCACGTCGATTCCCACTGCTTCTGCTGAATTTCCGGTTACTAATATCTTATCATACGCCAACCACATTTGGGGCGCTTAATTGCTTCAGCTCCAGAATGTCTTTCACGAAACTGTCGCAAGAGGTTTTAAAAAGCTGCTCGACAATATTATAAGCCCTTGCTTCTCTTGATGATCTCGGAGCTTCGACATCTGTCGTCAAACGCGTAATGTAAAAACCCTCAAGATTTCCTCTAACGCCAAAATGTAAGTTTCTATTGGCTCAAAGAAGTTCAATTGAGATAGCCATCTTGCTCAAAGATTTGTGCGCTGACTTGTGGTCCCAAATTTTGATCTCATCCCACTCTCTTCCTGATTCTCTTGTTTTGAGCATCAGGAGTACTTTGTAGCTATGATAAAGTACTCGCTCGTATTTTCAATGCATTTTGGAATTTCAAGAAAATTTTAAACTCATCGCATCTCATCGCAGAGTAAAATCGAAGCCAAGAGATCAGAAATGAGCGCTGTTGATGTGGGCTCACACGCTATACTACCTCCAGATGAAGAAGAGCTACTTTTAAGTAGGTTGGTTTTCGGAGATACCGCCGATTTTCATGCGAACCTGTCGCAAATCAAATTTTTAGGCGATGAGCTTGCCAACGAAGAGGAGATTGACATGATAGAAGCTGACAGTGAGGCAGGAGAGGAAGATGACGGAGAAGAGGCTAACATAGACCGCATGAACGACGATCAGCTTTTTTTCGTCGACGATGGTGCGGCTAACGAGCAGTCAGATCAGATGGCCGTGGATGCTAGCGATAGTGATAATGACAGTGGTGAGATTGCAAGTGAAGACGAAAGTAGTGACAATGCCTGGTCTGATTCCGATGATGATCGCGTGGATGTGGCTGTCACAACTACAAACAGAACAAAGAAACTGCGGACCTCGTACACAGAGGGACGCATCAAGGGCAGAGACTACGTCTTGCGTCTCAGAGCACAATTCGAAAAGATATACCCTCGACCAACATGGGCTGATGCACTCAGTGGAAGCGAAGAGCTGGACGCTCATGGAAGCGATTCTGACAATGAAGGAGAACACGAGCAAGTGATCAACGGAGATCTCAATGCGCTTTCCAGAATTTTACAAAACACTTATACCTACCAAGACACCTCGAATCGTTTACTACCGCCCAAAACGCTGGATATTACTCGTTTGAAAGATGCGAATGCAGTGCACCCTTCGCGCGCGGCCGTACAATCACTATCTTTCCACCCTCTCAAGCCACTTTTGTTGACTGGTGGTTACGATCGCACATTGAGGATCTACCACATTGACGGAAAAACCAACCATCTGGTGACAAGCTTGTATCTGACGGGAACTCCTGTCCAGACATGCTCGTTTTATGTAACACCCTCGCATGAGGAACAAAAAATTTTTACCGGTGGTAGACGTCGCTATATGCACTCGTGGGACATTTCGTCTACTAGTGCCAACCAACAAACAAAAATCGAGAAAATATCCAGAATGTACGGCCACGAAGACACGCAGAGGTCTTTTGAAAATTTCAAAATGGGCCACCTGTGCAATAAGGATGGCCAGTCGCACGGCATTATACTGCTCCAAGGTAACAACGGCTGGGTGAACGTCTTGCATGCAACAACGGGTGTATGGATTACAGGGTGCAAGATTGAGGGTGTTTTGGTGGACTTCTGCTTGGACTACAGACCAGTATCCAAGATCAAGTTCCAAACGATTTTGATAATGGTCAACACATATGGTGAAATCTGGGAATTCGATTTGGCCAAACAGGGCGAAGTGCTGCGCAGATGGAAGGACGAAGGCAGTGTCGGCGTTACTACTATCCAGGTGGGTGGTGGCAACAACTCGGCTCAACTCTTGCCTTACAAAAAGATAAGACAAAACAGATGGTTGGCTATCGGTAGTAGCAGTGGTTACGTGCACGTATATGACCGTAATTCTAGCGGCAGTGAGCCTATCGCAAAGCTGGATCAGCTAACCACGCCAATATCGTCACTAGCATTTTCTCCCGATGGCCAAATACTCTGCATGGCATCCAGGGCTGCCAAAGACGCCCTCAGATTAGTGCATTTACCATCAGGGAAAGTATTCTCCAATTGGCCAACCAGTGGTACGCCATTGGGCAAAGTTACTAGCGTTGCATTTTCCCCTCGTGGCGAAATGATTGCTGCGGGAAACGAGCAAGGTAAAGTGAGACTGTGGAGGCTGAACCACTACGTCTAATGACGGCCAAGACTTCAAAAAATGCATTAATAACAGCTGTGTAATTATCAAAGAAAAGAGAGAATAGTGTAAGCCCAAAAAAATGGGACAACTGTATCCAAGCGAATGTGGTAAGTACTGCTTCATTGCTTGAGGCTACTAAAGAGCAGTGAGTATCTCTGGAGCTTGCTAACATGCTTGTGTTTCCGGCGTCAGTTTAGTCTTTCGTACACATCTTTTTCGACGAGTATTGTATATAAAATTTTGAAAATAAGCTCTTCAGTACATGGTACGACCATCAAGAGAAAAGCTGGTTCTCGACTTTTTTAAGCTCTCAGCTCTTCAATATGAGACCGACGCTGGCTGCCCTATTCCATGAGTCTCCTATAAGTCTCTTAACAAGACCCTGGAAAAAAAACCGCGATGGAACACTATTTTATGGTGTCTCCAAGTCTGGTAACAGACGTACTGCTTTAACAACAAAACAAGGTAACAAGACTTTGTACAAGGGAACACGGTCGTCTGGTATTGGTAGACACACAAGGTATGGTGGTTATACCATCAGATGGGCGAAAGTGCGCACTTTTGTAACTCCCAAGAACTTCAACACAGAACTCAAACCTCTGGTGAGCCACAACGTTCCAGAGCTAAAGCACAGCTTCCAAGGTTTTCAGAAAGGCGCCCTAGACACGCAACTTTACTTTCAAAAACTGCGGGTTTACGTTAAGAACGGCAAAGTCCAGAGCGAAGCCGCAGACGTAAAGTGTTATGTTGAAAGGGGATAAATAGTACAAGAAGGACATGTATATAGCTTTAAGAACTGCATTTGGCCACAGCGGTCGCGTTTAATTGAATTGGCCTTCCGCCTTGCGGAAATCAAGTTGCAATGTGGAACCTCATCTAATTAGCGGTATGATACTATCCGTTCAGATCCAAATCAACGATGGAACAGGACCTTGCCCCAAGCTTATTTATAAGCAGAGCTCTATTAAGGCTTTTTCAAACAGTTATTCTTGAGCCTTGAGGCTTCAACTTTATACAAAATTATTTGAACTTATTCGATCGCGAAAGTCAGGAATCAATAAAGATTAGAAAATCCGATTGCTTTGAACCTCACTATCTATTGTTTCGAGAGTGATATTGGCAATTGCTTGTTACCTCCGTGATCTTTAAGCACCAGAGACACCCAAGACCTGAGTCAAAGCACTTTGCCCACCACTTTGTTGGTACTCGGCGGTGATGAGTTCCAAGAGTGAGAAGCCACAGCTCACGCCCAAAATGATACTGGCACCTTTACCTTTTAAGCCCAAAAGCTCACCACCAGAGACCAATAGAGCCAAGACGGCAGCACCTGTAGTGGATGCTAAAGGCACGATTTTTTCAAATTCTTTAGCAATACCTTGTTCTCTGTGACCAGTTAAAGTAATACCTTGCTCTTTGAACTGAGCACTAATATCACGCGCGGACGAGCCACTAATGTGTTGCCATAGGCTAGCAAACCAAACACCGGTGACAACCAAAAACGCAGTGAACGTAATTGGGGTCAATGGCTGTCTAGAAATACAGTCCAACAATGACTTGGGAGGGGTCAGTAGCGACAATGGAAATTGTGGCACATACAACAAATTATTGGAAGGAGCATAACCACCGATGATCTTGTAGATAAGCGATGAAGGATCGTTGCGAGCAACTAATTGGACGAGAGTAAAGGCCGCGACATGGATATAGAATAGCACAACGTAAGAAAACAACACAGATAAACCACCGACGTATAGAAGGCGGATTGGGTACACGTTGTTGACACCACGGGTTCTTGTGGATCTGATTGGCAGCTCCAAGCGGAAGTTGTTGAAGTAACACACCAAGCCGGCCAGCACAATGACCAGTAGTGCTGTAGTCAGGTTGGGCAAATAGTCACGGTTGAAAGCTCCGAAAATAGCACCCAAAAATGACTTGTGCGAGGACCGCATGGATTGGAGGAGATTGATGATGGCACCTTGAGCCTCCTTATGGCCTTCGCTGTCGACTGGAACCTGGTTCACACCAAACACGTCAGCCACCAAATTGGTGGAGATGTTGACGGTAATAATGGCCATGGCTCCAGAGGCGAAACCGTAGCCCTTGTCGACAACCTCGATCAACAGCGTTACAAAAAGAGTCGCAAGAACCAATTGCAGGTTCAACAATATAATCTGAATCACGCTAAGGCCGCTACCATAGTAGCCCGAGAAAATGAACACGTTGGCGAGCACAAAAGACTGCAACAGGGCGAAAAGCTTGGTGCAGCTCTGGAAAAGCTCACGGTCCTGACGCACCTTGAAGTTGACTTTGACCATCTTGAGCCCCGCTAGAACCTGCATGATTAGAGCAGAAGACACCACGGGGAAGATTCCAAATTCCATCAGTGTTTTGGGCTCCGCAGCAAAAACGCCGCGCAGAAAGTAGATAGGGTCCAAGACCGCATTGCTAGTGTCTTCGACAACTACGCTCTTCGCCAAACCCACCAGCGGAAACTGACCAAATACGTAGACTATAGCTGCGATGATTGTGTACACAACTTTCTCATCAAACCCGATTTTCTCGTATGGTAGTTCTACCTCTGGTAGCAGCGGCACGAAGGGCTTTGCCAACTCGATTAGACGGACTTCACCAGCAAATTTAGTTAGTATTCCTTCTCACCTAGTGAAAGAGCATCTCACACAGCACATACATCCAGCCATTTGTCCAATTGAGTTGATTTTTCAATTGCAGATTGTCTTATTCGTGCATGTACACTTGTCAAAATGTGAAATTGGTCAAATTTTTCAGATACAAGATATCGATTGACATCGAATCTTGAAATTCAAAATAACCGGGTAAAGAATAAGAGAGTTAGTAGAAGCTTTCAAGCACAATTGCAACGTTACACAGGTATTTGTATCTGGCTCTTTAGTGTTCTATAGGTCTTTTCTTCCCGTGTCAGCTGTATAGATGAGCAAGCTACTGAAACTGGCGTCAATTGCCGGCCTTACGTCAAGCTTGGGCGCCGCAGGTTACATGTATGTTGTCGACAGAAACGGGTACCACTTCAAAAATGCGACTTGGAAACGCGTATCGGACCATGTGCAGGGCCTGTTAGATCGCAAGAGCGACATCGTGGTGCATGCGAGGGGCCAGAATGCCAAAGACGTGGTGCTCAGACCTTGGACTGAGACGATGAAGGACATGTGGAACGAGCAGATTCGAAGCGGCGTTGATTGGGTGTACTCGTTGGGGAAGTAGCGTCATCAATAAACAATGAGCTAATTTACCACCCAACAGGCCTGGTGCTACGTGCATGACGTGGAATGGCGCGTTACGTTTACGGAAGAGGAAGCTGTTCATGTCTATTGCTGAGAAGAATCGAATTCCGGGCAGCGCCCGTAAGTGTGCTCATTTGCACATTGCAAAGGCAGGCTAGATATTCTTATGTTGCGGGGCTGTGAAGATCCGATGACAGCATGTGGTCGTAATTGAGTGTTTTTGAGATGCACTCTTAATGCGAATCACCGGTTTGAGGACCTGTGGATCCAACGAGATCTTCAGTAACGACACTTTACACCGCTGGAAATGTTCAAGCCTTTCTCCGAAACTGCGTGATCCTATTGGTAAATAACTTCCCAATGCACTAAATAAATCCATATATCAACATTCGCATTTTAACTGGGTCTCTTATGGTAGCTCTATATATCACTGGAGTTGCGAAATTGAAATCCGCATTCCAAATTTAGTAAGGGCTTTCATCGAGTTGAGATCTCACACTGTTGCGTCAGGGGACAAGACGTTCGTTTTTCGAAAGAGTGTGATGCTCAAAAGGCCTAAGACTGTTTTGCTTGCTCAATACGAAAGTTGTGAACGAAAAGGACCACGTAAACTGAGATTTAAATATTCCAAAGTGCTAGCAGAATGAAGCTAGTACGCATTCAAAATTGTTACAAAGGCTAGATACTCGTATTTCGGGTCTACAGTGCGAGAACAGAGTAGAAAAACATATGTTAGGAAACACCGTGAGATAGACTAAATGAGTGCATACATATTCTTTACACTGTTAATTGTAATAAGCAAGCACTATGAACCTTTTTGCTTTGCCTTGAGAAACACCCTGCGTGCAAAACCTTGCTGGGTCAGCTTCAACAAAGGTGGATAGCAATTAAACTCGAGTAAGCTCCAACGTTTACTTATCTCCACAAGTCTCGCAGTTCTCTTCTGCACACGTTCGTCATTTTATATTTAATCGTCGCAGCTAAAGACCTTAAGAGTAAGGCCTTGATTAAGTAGCGCTTTATGCAAAACAACAATACGGGACGCCGCATATCTCTAAGATGAGTCGAAGGAAAAGTAATGGCATCTTCCGAAGTCAGCGGTATCTCGACTTTTGCTGTTTTTTGCCTGCTAACTTCATACCCGAGGCATGGAGAATATCGAAAGGAATCCTATTGGCTCGAATGCTCGTCAAAGTCAGCCATAGTATCAAGTAAAAGCACGGCACAAACTCGTCCCAAAGATAAATTTAACAAATTCATATGTATCTTAAAGTAAAACTAAATTGTTAATGCTCGCTGAAATACCCAAGACTCGTCCAGGACTCAAGCACGTTTATCAGCCCAGTAAAGAGGCTTTTCTTGCTAAGAACACATTCGCTGTGATGCCATTGATGGTCTGCGAATGTTTGAGGTTTCTTTGTTTTCTTTACGAGACTGTGACACTAAGCGTCAAAACGGCAGTGTGTGAAAAGACACACAAATCGAGCATTACTTTCCAACATCATGAAGGGCTTTCGCTTTCACGACAACTAGGTTTTAAACAATCATGCAGGGTTTCATGACTTTCCCAGAATGTCTTGAGCTGGGCTATGAACGAAAGCTTGACAGCAAGGGAATAATTGTGGATATCGAAGCTCAGATTCCAGTACGAGAGCGCTACTCTTGGTGGTGGACTCCAAATTGGGTCCAAAGACTATTACACTACGAGCTAAAAAAACAGTTAGTCGAACACTGAAGGTTATAAGGCGCATAAGGCCCATTTTCGCCAAGCATGATACGTTTAGTGGACTAAGCCGAGTCTAATGCAACATCCAAAATTGTAACATCAAAACAATGCTGTGGAACAACTCATGCAGACTTCAGACACAATTTTGGTATCAACGAGCCTCTGATTATTTATCAACGACGACGTGCTCAAAATCATCCATTTTTTTAGCGATTCCTAAAACAAGATACGGGCGGGAGCACAATTCTCGTTTTCTTTGTTGTAGATAGACAGTACGCACAGCATCACAGCAGATACCTCTGTTGAGTTGTAGGTGTGACTTTTAATTACTTTCATTAACGCAAAGCGCGCCTTCCTTAACGATAGGCGCACTATGAAAAATTTCGAACTTTAGGAATCTAGCTCATCGCACCCCATCGCTTCGTGTAAAGAGGTAAACTTCGGGGCTATGGATAGACCAGACGCACAAATCAACTACGATGATGCCGTTGAGTATTGGACCTCGATTCCAGCAACGGTGGACGGCGTCCTCGGTGGCTACGGTGATGGTACCACTGTTCCTGTAATGGATGTTTTGGGCTCGAACCATTTCTTGAGAAAACTGAAATCTCGAATGGTGGTGGCGGACAACTGTCAGAAAGTTGGTTGCGACATTGGTGCTGGGATCGGACGTGTCACCCGGGACATGCTGCACAAGCATTGTGACGTGGTAGATCTAGTGGAACCGGTCAAACCCTTTGTAGAACAAATGCGAGTGGAATTGGCTCCATTGGCAAAAGAAGGCCGTCTGGGCCAGATCTTTGACATCGGCATGCAGGAATGGACTCCTGACGAGGGTCGGTACTGGTTGATATGGTGCCAGTGGTGCGTGGGCCATTTGCCAGACGACGAGCTGGTACGGTTCTTTGAACGCTGCAAGAAGGGTCTACAGCCTAACGGCACGATCGTGGTGAAGGAAAACAACACACAGGTGGCAGAAGATGACTTTGACTCCACGGACTCGTCCGTAACACGCTCGGATGAGAGCTTCAAGAAGCTCTTCGAAAGAGCAGGTTTGAAGCTCATAGCAGCCGATAGACAGAAGGGCCTGCCCAAGGAGCTGTATCCAGTAAGAATGTACGCCTTAAAGCCTGCGGAAAGCTGAGGCGGTCCAGAGCCACTTCTTGCAAGAACTAGACACTACGAAGCGCTATCACAAGCCACAAGTACATTACATACGTCTCTAATCAGATAGGAGCGAAAGACTAAAATCAATGGTTTGTTTTTATCTTCAATCAAAAGTCAGTTGAACTATGCATTAACCGGTATAAATCATCACTTAAGAGACGTTTGCGACGTTTGAGACGCTTTACGAGAAGTCGTAAGTCGGGACCTACAGCCTATAATCCTTATAGACCAAAATTCCACGGCTTTTCGACCCAAATCCAAGACTTTGGCAGGGAAATAAAGCCATTCTGTCCCGGTAGTGTTGTGTATTTTAACCATTTCATAAATAGATGTTATCGAGTGGACAAAACTTTGCCAAACATCCTGCAATATATATACTTGAGAAAATAATTAGGTGCCGTACGGTATGATCCTTACTATAGCTACTTCTAGGGCTTGAGCTTTGGCTTGTAGAATAGAAGACATTGATAGGAAAGGGCGTTTTGGCTCTGGAGCGTGTCCGGAAGCACCCTATAATTTCAAACTCCACTCTGGTCAGCCGGTACCCGTTCTTTGCGGTTTCTGGTTCTGCTACTTTTGATTGCAACCCCAAGAGGCCGCTGAAAATTTGAAAAAAAGCCAGCATAGAACTGCAAATATATAGCATGGTCTTTGGACGCATCTCAGACTGCTGGAGATGCCTTTAAACTGTGTTTGCACTAGCTTTAAATATAGCATTTGTCTGTATCACTACCTACGGGAATAACGGAAAACGTTAGGAGTATTCTCACATCTTGAATAATCCGGGCTTTTACGCCGATCTTGAAACAGGGTCGCTACAGCCAACATAGACGTCGAACACCCGCCTTTGCGGACCTGTATAGCTGTAGAAATGTCGGAAACTCGTGTCTCTACAAGCTCAGAAAGAACTATGGAAGAAAACCCTGGGACCAAGCCTGAAAACAACGGCAGCGTGGCAGCTGCTGGACAACCGCCAGTAGAAGGAAACCACGGCAGTGCGGCAGAAGACATTTCGCTTCGGCCAGAGATTGCGCGCGTTTTGAACTCAGACGTTGCGATAAACGCGCTTCTTTCTCGCCTTAAACAGTCGTTGCTCACTTGCGAAGAACTCACCAAATTCGTGCGTAAGAAGTCGTTCCTGGAGGATGTGCATGCTCAAGAGCTGGGCAAGACTTACAAAAACTTCTTTCAGGATAGCACGGCAACATCATCGCTGCAGCGAAGCATTCACGCAGTTCTCGATTTCGATGGGAAACTTGCGCAGGTCAAGCAGAGCTATGTCAAGGCTCTTCAAAAAATGAGTGACGAATTGGGCGCGCTCCTTCTAACTATAACTAAAATGCGTAAAAGTCTCAAGGATACGAGCCGAAGGCTCGAAAAAGAAGTCGCAGATGCGATCCATATGGCAGAGAAGGCCAAAAACAGATACCATTCGCTATGCCAAGACTGGGAAAAACTTAGAATGACTGACCCTACGAAGACGAAGCTTACACTCAGAGGCTCTAAGACTACGCGTGAGCAGGAAGAAGATCTACAAAGAAAGATAGATAGCGCCGATTTGGACTTCAAACAAAAGGTGGACCATTCCACCTCTTTGAGAAACACATTCCTATCGAAGGAAAGACCCAAAATTGTCTCTGAACTTAAGGATCTAATTTTGGAGCTAGATACTGCCATGGCAATTCAACTCCAAAAATACACCATTTGGACTGAGACATTGATACTGAATAGCGGTGTGACGGTCACTCCGTTCGATCCTTCCAAATCCATGAAATCTGTCGCAGTCTCTATGTCCAACAGGCTGGATCTCTACAACTTCCTCAACAAATACAATCAAGGATCAAGGAGCAACAATTTTGTCAACAAGAATTTGATACCCGTCGAATACAAACAACATCCATCAATGGCCAAGCCAGGTCAAAATAGAAGTGGATACAGTAAAATAAGTCAGCCAAGCTACAATCAACCAAGCACTTTTTCTGTTAATCCGGCAATGAATTCTTTGCCTAAGAGAATGGTCTCGACGCAACACGAATCGCCCTTTGACTCAGTTTCGAGCCCCAACCCCAATTCTTCATCCTCAATTCACAAAGCAAACTCCATCAACAGTTCAAATCAAAACACATCCAATGGTGGAAGAGGCGGATCGGCGTCTCCAGTCTCATCGCTAAAAAAGCCCGTGTCTTCTATGCTTGATGTTGTGAATACTAATGACGATAAAACAACTCAAATGGAAAAAGATTTTTCCACTTTGGACCCCGGTAATGCAACGCGCTCAACAAGCTTGACCACCTCAATGATTACTACTGCGAGCGAAAGGCCAGTGTCCCATATACAGTCATCAGTGACTCTTCCGCCTGGAATAAACAAAAATTTCAAAACTTTTGGTGTACCCCTGGAGAAGTTGCTAGACTATGAGCAAGAAATGGTTCCAGCGGTTGTTCGCCAGTGCATTTACGTTGTGGATAAACATGGTTTGAACCTCGAGGGCATTTATCGAAAATCAGCTAATGTACTGGACGTGAGCAGACTTAAGGAAGAAATTGATAAGGATCCGTCTAACATATCAATGATTGTTCCTCCTAACAACTATACTGAGTCGGATATATACTTGGCGGGTTCGATTTTAAAGACGTTTTTTTCGAACTTGCCAGAATCCTTACTCCCCCCAAGTTTGACCTCAGAAATCAAAACATGTCTCTCAATACAAGATCCTGTTACCAAAAAAAATTACATGCATGGCTTGATTTACAAGTTGCCGGACGGCCAGTACTGGACGCTCAGGTCCTTAATCTTCCACTTGATGAGAATCATAGAACACGAGCCTTCCAACAGAATGAATTTAAAGAGCGTTTGTATCATCTGGGGCCCTACCATCGTGTCACCGAGTGACACTGATATCAACGACGTAAACTATCAGATCCAAGCAATGGAAGTTCTGATAAACGCCGCCAGTCAAGCTTTCGAACCTGAATAATCAATTCGTAGTCACTGTAAGGTTAGGGGTCAAAACGGTATTCAATGTGTAAAGATACAACATTATTACGTATTCCACGTTGCATTTACTATTTCGTTATCTAATGTAAAGGTATAAACTATTTACGATCTATTCATAACGTCCTTATTAACATCAAAATGACGATATTTCCGCTTGTCTATCATTCACGGTTTATAGCTGTACCTGCTGTCATGAAAATCATAAAAATCTCGGCAGTCAGACAGAGCAGTTTTGAATTCCCCTAGACTGAAGCCAGAGTTTTGCTTTTCGACAAGAAGCTTCAACTCTTCAAAAGTAATTCTTCCTTGAAAACCCTTCAGTGATCGAACGATGCTAGCGCGTAAAAGTTCCTTCACCCACATAGTATTAGTTTTGACCGCAGGGCCGCCTTGTCTCGTGGGTGGTCTTGGCACCGACCTATTTACAACCCTAAACTTCCCATTTTTTATCTTTCGTGGATCCGCTTTAAAGTCTGCGTTTACTGTGAAAGTGCCACCTGAAAGTTTCAGCAACTGAACGTCTACAAAGGCCACTAAGGCAAGGTTGACCTGAGTTACCGACACGTTGAGCAACTTCACGAGTTTTGCAACGGTTAAGTCAGCATATGTATTGAAAAATTCAAGAACGCTGGCTTGTATCAACGTAACTTCTAGTATGAGAAACGAGCCTTCTTCTAATTTGAAATCTGTTTGCACCTCTAGATGGTGTAAAGCATTTTGTAAAATTAATGGTTTAAGCCCCGCTTTTGAATCACTCTTTTGGTAAAACGACTGAAAGCGATTCCATATCTGCTGGAGGGTTGTGGGTAGAGTGATGTCGTTACTTGATATTTCTTGGAAGGTAGAAGGCACATTATTTCTTTCGAATATCATGGGAATAAGATGGACATTGCTAATTTCCTTCTCGTTAAATCCACAGTTTAGTAACTTGGTGCATTTCAAATCACTTCGCAGCTTGGACAGCTGCGGAAGAAAATCTCTCGAAGCTCTGTGCAGCTCCAAATTTTCTAAAACTTCTCTTTCCACATTCAACGAGTGGTCCATGAATCTCAGATAATCTTCGCCCATTAACAATACTCTTCGAAAGAAGCTCTTCTCAAAAAAGAGCTCGAAAAATGGCTCTACAAGGTCAAAATCGTTCAAAATTGTCCAGACGGCGTGGACTTTACTCTTGTCATTTTCAATTTGCACTTCAGATTTGGATTGGCCACTTATAAGTAGTTGGTAGCAGTTTTTTATTATGGAGTCCAAGGTTTTTAGCAAAGGCTCAAGGATCCTCAGCTCGCCGTCGAACACTTCTTTCAAACTCCTTTTGATAAGCTTATGACATGTGGGATCTTCCAATGCATAAAGTGACTCGCAAAAGGCAAGAATCTCACTCATATTGCATTGTTTTAGGTATGAGGCCTTGAATTTATCTGTTGTTTCCCTTGCCAAAATATCATAAAACTGCTGGGACTTATTGGCGGAAAAGTGTGCGAACTTCAATGACTCGAATTCTCTATTAAAGCCGGGAGTAAAAGCGTATACAGTCAAAATACTTCTTAAATGATCAGCATCGAACAGAAGTTTATTGAGGATAGTTTTTTTTGCTTCCAACGGTAAGCTTTGTGAAATACATGAAGCAACTTCATACTCTGTGATGACTAGGGACTTAAGCTTGTTTAAAAACTCTTTATCAAAAGAGATTTTTATGTTGCGCAGCATGATTTCAAGATTTTTGACGTATATCCTCTTCACCGACGCTCTCTGCTCTTTCATGACAATAAGGTTACACTTACTCATAACACGTAAAAATGCCTGAAGGCAACCGCTGCAGGCCGCTCCTTCGTCATCTCTGGCGAGTCCCTGAGTCTCATCTTTTGCGGTAGCAAGCTCTCTTACTGTTCGAATCATCTCGTCCACTGTGCGATCAATTTTGTTATCTAGGACGGAAAGTGCTGACTCTACTAGACGATAGTCAGCGAACTCTGTCACTGATTGGACGCCAGGTATCCTGTCGAATATGAAAGGAAAGGTATTTGTCAAGTAACTAAAAGCCTCCGTTATTAGCTTAACTTGGACCTTAAACTTGCCCAAGCAGCATCCAGGCCAAAGACGCACAAAACCAGCTTCAAAATCGACTTCTAATGCCAAATTTTCGATGAAATCTGCAATTACATCGTCTGCACATTGGTCAATTTGATCAGCTACAATATCCCAAATTTTGATCACCAATTCTTCTTGGCTCATTAATCGATATGACTTGGCCTTTTTCCGCGAAACATCATCCTCTGTCCCTTCCTTCGAATTCACTGAGACATAAATCTTACTTTGCGTCAAATGCTTCACAATCTCGTAATAGTATCCTCGCTGGGCTGTTGATAATACATCCTGAGCTCTCAATTCTTTCGGGTTGATTACCCTTACAGACAGTAATTCTGTCAAGGCGCTCTTGAGCGGTGAGCTAACCGATTCAAAATCAGGAATGACATTTCTTCCAGTTAGCATGCTCAGCACCGAGGTTTGATAACCTCAATGCTATTTCGTTTAATCATCTTCCAGCCTTTTGGTGACAGTGATCAATTGTCGATAGATGCCATGTCACGAAGTGGAATGTGATGCTTTAATTTTTACGTATGAAGCGACCCAATCAACCCAATCAATCAAATCAATTGCAGCTTCCTTTTGAGTTGATGTTCAAGTACAAGACACATCTCGTTATTAGTTTTCGTTAGTTGCCCAACTAGTCGTTGGGCTTTCCAGCAAAATGTTTCTGGTGAATTTTTTTCATCCAAAACTGATAAAAGGCTTGGCAGAACTTTTTATTTGAGTTTCGTAAAGCGTTTATTTGGAAGGCAATTCATAAATCGGTGCGTCCATTGAAATTAATTCTCATGCAATTGCCCTGCAATTGGTTTTTTCTCGGTTGAAAACTGTAGTTGACACTAAAGACATCTTGACAATTTGTCAAGAGATCAACTCTAATAAATGAATTTAAAGTAACTCTGAGCAACTGATCATCTGTAGTCTCTAGATTAGTCCTCAATTCCGTAAACGAAAGAGTGTCCTTGTAATTGAATGCTTCTAAAACTGCCGCCTGCAGCAAGTTCATTTCCAGCATCAAAGATCTTCTGCCAGAAAGGAGCATAGGTGTTGACATTTGAATAGTATTAAGCATAGGCATCAATGTGAGCTTCTTCCCGACCTTAGCACTGCTTTCTAAACTTTCGAAGTGCTTCGACTGTGAATCCCAGAGCTTCTGCAATTCTTTCGGAAGTAGCGCAGACTCTTCAGCCTTAGGTTTGTACAGCAGCTTAGCTTCTTTCTCACTAAGGATAATAGGCTCAATGTTGAAGGAAATGTTTTTATTGCCATCTTGCATTACAAAAGAGGTATGGAGCGAGTCCATGATTTCCTGCAAACGGCGTGAATCTGGGAGATTCTGGAGAATAAGTAAATCGCATAACTCTCTTTCGAGGCCGAATCGCTTGTGCTCAAAAAGCCGGTACAGGAATTGATGGCCCTGCCTTATTGCTGAGCGTAGCAGGCTTAGTTTGATGAAGGCTGGTATGAAATCGTTATGCATTTTGTAAAAAACAACAGTCCGTACAATAGACTGCGCCATTTTAGTAATCGACACACCTGCGTCAGGTTTCCTACAGTTTCTTTGAAACTTGTCTATACATTTCGCAAGTTTTGATGAAATACGACCTACTCTCGATTCTGAATCGAGAAGTGTTTTCCGTTTATGCTCAAATTTATGCTTGAATGAGGCATCTAAGAAAAGGTGATCCAGGATATCTTCATGATGTTTGAGTAGACTTGGAAGAGCAACCAGTTCACTCTTTTGAGAAAAGGCATTTTCCAACACGCTGTACATAGCATCTATTAAAGCCGTCATGAAAACATCTCCATAGTTTGCAGCTTGGGAAATTTGATAGAGTTGTTCCAACTCACCCTTTATATCAGATCGACAAGCACAATAGTCAGCGGCCATAAACTCTACTAGCTGTCTCATCACTTCCTTCCCCATTAGCGTTCTTTCCAAGATAGCAATTCTAGCATTCTCCCGTACCTCCAAAGATAAATATTCCAAAATTCTGAGCTCTACAGTTATAATCTCGCTCAACTTTGTTAAGTATCCTATTATAGGAATGGTCAATGCCTCGACATACCTATTCAAACTTTTAGCGTAAATGGCCTCAACAGACAAGCCTTGGGGGTGCGGAAAAAGAGCTTGAACTTCCTGAACTCTTCTCGTTAAGACTCGCGCCTCGTCTAAAAAACCACTATGAGCTCTTGCTCGATCCCAGCAATATTCTAACATGCTAGATAAATAGAGGCCTTTTCGATGGAAGAAGAGTTTCAGAAAAGCGAATTTAGCGCTCTGTGTCGAATTCGATAGACTTTCGTCAGCATATACTGTCTGCCGCTCTGCTTCTTCCGCCAAGCGGAAAAGAGGAGCAAATTTGGCATATGTTCGTTGATATAACAAATCGAATTTGTGAAAACTCTCAAAATTTGCCGAATCGTGATGTGAAGACCTTTCAAATTGATGAAGAAGGTTTGAAGCATAATTACTAAGGTTCGTTTTTATTATTTCGACCATGCTGTCGTTGACGCAACCTTCACCTTTCAATTTCTTACGATCTGGTTCGGCCATTACTCCACTTCTTTTGGCCCAGTACAGCAGTTCGTAGTAAAGTTGGTCAACATCAAGTTGTTTGACAGTCTCAATTTGCCAAGCTTTCAATTTGCTGGACATTTCGTACTTGGCTGTGGTGTAATCTGGCCTACGCAAGCAATGAGGGCCTGCTTTCTCCGTCTCAAAATCCTTACATTCATACATTTGAGTTACGGAGGAAAGAGTAAAGTGCCTGATCGGTTGACAAGTAGTCAAGAGGGACGTATAGTGCTCTCTGATCTCTGCTTTTCTTGTTGATGTCTCCGAACTCATCTCTTTCTTCAACAATGCAATACTTCTAAAAAATACTTGTTCTTAAGGAAAGGCATAAAGCTAAAGAAAGCCCTATACTTTGAAACTCGAACCATAACGTTTGAGTGATCAATTACAACACTATAAACTTGGCCTGATTGGTTATTCACGATGCCGGGAAACGAAGTAGACCCTGCTGTCAAGCTGGCAGATGATTTCAAGAAAAGAGGGTACTTTGACGAGGCCAAAAACAACATACTTTGCAAAGCCGTAGAAGGATCCGAAAGTGTCACACTGGAAGACTTTGTGCGAGATAGAGTGTCCACTGTAGTGAGCGAGATGGTAAAGGAAGATGAATCGCTAATTTTCAAAAACAGAGGCTCAACGAGCGCGTTGATCGAGGGACAGCTTTTGAAGAACGACTATGACAGACTTAGTACTGACTCAGTCGATATTCGCTCCCTATTACAAAGGCAGCTTGATAATCCAGAATTCAAAAACGACCTAAAAACCCGCCTGCGGCGTGATTTGGAGACTGCTGACAGCCCGTTGGAAGAACAACAAATAAGTAGGGATGGCCTCGAATAAACTTAAAAAACTTATAAAATCCTTGCGACAACTTTTCAAATTTATCTCGCGCATCGAAGTATTTTGAAGACACATTCAAATGTATGTATTATAAGTTAAATCCTTCCATCAAGTGCTCCTATCGCTCAATGTAGTACAACAGGTCATCGCAGCGACGACTTTTAAACTTGCGCCCAGCGCGATCACTGCTTCTGTATTTAAATCGATCGCCCAAAATCGTGTATTGTAAAGCTTCATCATCATTGACAGGAACTTCAAAATTAAACACCGTTCCCTTTTTAGGTATGCATTTCACGTCATCGACGAGCAGCCCACGACGTATTATTATGAAGTCCTTTTGAGAGTCCCAAATGACTATTCCAGTCATCCCGCATACGTTAGCATTTCGGCTTTTGGCCACGCTCAGGAGGCAGCCGTTGTAATCTGCCATTGATAATTTAACAAGCGCATTGGCTCCGTTGATATTTAGCTTTAGTGCACTTGGAACGATTGGCGGAATATTGAGGATTTCTCGTACGTAGTTGACCCATAGCTCTTCATGCATTGGAAGGATTTTGTCATATCTTGGAATCGACTTAAAAACATCTGGATGATGCTTCTCTAGGTATTCATAAAGTGCAGTTCGCGTAGTGATGTTTTTCTCGCTAGCAATTCGACGTGCATGGCTTGCAGCCTGACGACTGGTATTAATATATTCCTTCAGCGTCTTTTTAGCATTCTTATTGATCTGACGGTATCCTCTGTGAGGTGCAGTTTTGGACCGAGACTCTGTAAGCAGCCTTAGTTTTTTATTCTGATTCTTTAATCTCGAGGCTATTCCGCCATCAGTAGGCAACAACAATAGTGTCTCTTGAAGTCTGTTTTCATCTAGTAGTTTACCAGCATTTGGCGCACTCTTAGTAAGAATACACTCGGTAATGAACGATGGTCCGCGGTTCATGTATTCTTCGTGATTGACATGAGTGTTTTAGTTCATCGTGGCAGAAAATATGATAGGTTTTGATTTTTTGATACAACTTACAAAATTTATCTCATAAACATCGAAAACACTGTCATCTCCAGATGCTTAAACTGAGTCGGCACCGTAACTTAGCTCATGTACTGGCACAATGCGCCCCCGTCCAATATAGATCCTTGGGGTCTCAAACCCCTTTTGATTTAGAACCAGAGGCCCAAGATGACAAGTATGCTGACCTCAACACTATGTACAGCCAAATGTTTACTGAAGGAGGCAAGTCAGCTAAGAGAGCAGCTTCGCAACCAAGCAATAACTCCTTTGATATTGATGCGTTAAATGCAGAAATCGCGGAGGCGTACAACTTTGCTCCCAGGCCAATCTCTGGTGATTTTTTCGAACAGATAGTGAAATCACCGGGGCGCTTTATTATTCAAAGTCTTTCCACTAATCCATACTACAATCTGGCTCTTGAAGAGTACGTCTTCAGAAATACTCCAGCACCTAAAGGAAAATTATTCTCTAACGAAAGGCTGTTATTTTATGTGAATGATAAGTGCGTAGTAATCGGGAAAAACCAGACGCCATGGAAGGAGTTATTTCTTGACAATTGCGAGACAAAAGGGTATAAATATGTTCGTCGTAGATCTGGAGGTGGGGCGGTCGTGCACGACCTAGGAAATGTGAATTACTCGTATCTCACTTCGCGTGATAACTTCCAGCGAGAATACTTTAACAAGCAGATTGTACATTGGCTAACTGACCTTCGGCCGGAGGCTGAGATCCACTTGAATCATCGGGGAGATATTCATTTGAACGATTTCAAGGTTAGCGGAAGTGCCTTCAAAATAGCAATGGGCAAATCCTATCATCACGGTACCATGCTGATAAATTCAGATCTGTCGTCTTTTAAGGGACTTCTGAAGCCGGACAACGTGGAACATATCTCTTGGAGTGGAGGTAGCGTAGAGAGTGTGAGATCTAATGTTAGCAATATGAAGGAAGCGGGATTCAGTAGTACTGACGAGTTCATCAATATTTGTACAGACGGATTTAGGAGAACCATGCAGGAAGAAGTCCCAGTATATTTGGTAGATGAAACTACCACCACAACTGACCAGCTTTCCAAAAATACCAAGGATCTAGCCAGCGGCGAGTGGCTTTATGAGAGCGGCCCCAGTTTCTCAGTCACAATTGCGCACCACTCAATCTCAGTAGTTAAAGGAGTGATCAAAGAGTCAACAATCCCCGGTTGTACTGGGCAGCACTTTAAAGACTTCGTGAATCTCCTCAGGCAAAATCAGATTCTTGGTGTCAACGTTAAGATATAATGCAATTAAATTCGAGTCTAGGATAAAAATAATATGCATCGTGAATGTGAAACCAAGTTTTATTGCATTTCAATTGATCTGCTTACACTTCGTCACTTCATGATTTTGAGGAAGCCCATACGCAAAATCTTCGATGTATAGGCTGCCTTTCCTGTCCAAAATGTATAGTCGGTGACCGTCTGCGCTAAACTTCAGTGAAGCAGCTTCCCGAACTCGCGAGGCATTTGCTACTACATCTACGGATACGACTCTCCTTTTCTCGTGGTCAAGAAGGGTGGGAGCATACATGATGTACGTAGTCCCGTTCCGATCAAGGAAAGCGATCGAGTCATTCCGGGGCGAGATCTCACATTTGTGTATCTTAGATCCCAATTCATCTAACCTAAGAAGCATCGTAGGTTGTGCAACACTCTGAACTACGTTTATGGTTTGAATTCGAGTGTTTATAACTATGGGAGGGGTATTGAATGCAACAGAAGTAACGCACATAAGATTTGAATTCCCCGGAAACATTTTCGTATCTGTAATCCCTTCAGATTCTAGAGAAGTATCGATAGAGCGCAAGGATTTCATCACTAGGCGTGGCTCGTGGATCTTCCTCAATGAAATCACCAGAAAACGCGATTCCAGTGCGGTTGAACAAGAAATATACGTGCTATCAGGAGAAAATTGAAGTGTGTTTATGGGGTCCCTATAAGGAAGTGTAGTAGTGATTGGCGGAGAAACTTTATATTTCACGGTTTTTTTGTCGGCAGTCATTGGTGAAACAGGCTCTTTTTCTATTTGATGGAAGAGGATGAGAGCTTGTTCCGCACCCGTAGCCCTATCACTCCCAGTTATACCACAGGCAATTATTGAACTTTTAGGGTCAACATCAATACACCTGATGGGGAAGGAGGATGCATAAGTGTAAAGAGGCACTCCTTTGTCCTTGAGATCAAAAACGCGGAAGCGTCCTTTCGTTCCTGATACTACTAGTATATCGTTCGACATCACGCAGTAGAGATGCTCCCACGTATCTGCAGCCGTGCTGGAAAAATGATGTCCCGCGGACGTTCTTCGAAGTTCCTGCTGCGATTGAGGAGAATGCAATGAGCTCAGGTCTGACGGCCACTTCAAGTTTTCGAAGCTTTCACCATACTCACCGGTAGACTTGCCACAGAAAAGTAATGGAACGTCGTCATCGGCTTCAGGCCGATCCTTTTTTGGTTGCGAGCTGAGACCAAATTTTCGTGCTAGATTATTGTCGTTTTTTGTTTCTTGTTCGTTGTTCTTCGGCTGTTGTGGTATTTTGTAAACCTCCCATTTATGTTCTGTAATGAGGGCAAACTTAGTACAATCAGGACTTATAGCTGTACTAATAAATTGCTTGCTCTTGGCGCGTAGAAACTTGCTGTGTGTGTTGAATTGAGACCTCTTCCTGTACATTGGAAAACATTTAGCAAAGTAGAACTCTTTTTCCTCGTCCAATTGCGAAAGCTGCACCGAAGACGGTGATTCCGTAGCCGCCAGCGACACAGGAAACGATCCCGAATCTTGGATCGGCACAGTTTTCGTGTTGGAAGCATTATCGAGAGAATGTATATCACTGGCTTCTGGCTCAGCCGCATCACTGACGCTTGAAGCTATAGTGTGAAAAAGTGAAATCAAATTCTGCTTCTGTGGTGTCGGTTCTTCTTCCTTTTCGTCTTGTTCATCAAGTTGTATTTCTTGTTGTCTTGATTCTGCTTGCTGCTGCTGCGGGTGCTGCATATCAAGCATTGGTCCTGCTTCTGAAGCATCGGCATATGTGCGAGTCGATCCCAATTGGTGATCCTCTTGGATGAAAAATTGCAGCTGCTTGTATAGCATTCTAAGTGGCTTTACAGGACCTACCAAAGCGCTGGGACACCTCTGACAAACCGGGCAGCAAAATTGGCTGCCAAGGTATCGTATCAGCTCTTCAAACAGCCTTTGCGACAAAATGCATCCACAATCAAGCATCGATGCGTCCGGGACGATGCCATATCTCACTTTGCATCTGTGTTCTGTCCGCACTTCATCCTTGTCGACCGATAAAACCTCTGATGGCAAAAAGAGATCTTGTTCCAGTTGCTGAAGAACCTGGTGGGTACTCATTGGGTTTTAGAAGCTTAAGATTTGTTCGTCTTCAGCCCGAAATTTTGTCCTATTTTTCGATTCTGAAAAGGAATTGAGACGTTCTACTTGGCAAATCGAATATCCTTGTTTTTTCAGGTAGTTGGTGCCTCTTTCAGTTTATATTTGCCGTCTCGCTGTCTGCTTTTCTGTTCGCTTATCTGTAAATCTTGATATCCATATCGGCGACAAAGTTACTATCACCCTGTACTAATTTCAGGATTTGGAAAAAGGCTAGGCGAAGTTCTTCGAAATTATAATAATTCTATCGTTTGAGGGATGATGCGTATTTTCAAAGAAAGGTATGTTGATGAAGTTCAATAAATACGTGACGTACTGTACATGATTTGTATAGTTTTTGCTGATGCATTTCAAAATTATCTGCCACTGGTTTGAGAAAGAACCGTTTCTTAACTTTTAGCGTCAGAGAAGAATTTATTTTTGAAACGCCTTGCCAAAAAGCATCTATAACTGCCTTTTTGATGAGTACTTCGTAATCATTTCGCATTACTAAGATTTAAGAAAGATTTGTGAATACAATTCGTGTGCTAGGAGATACTTAGTAAGGTGGGGCGAGTCTTAGAGCGGTGTTAAATAATAATGGTCGAGTATCTCAGATGGATGGGGCAACAGGATGACAATACTCCAATTTCAAAGTTATCTATTCCTGGAACACACAATAGTGCTGCGTGTCACATTGCTCTACCCTCCGTCAAGTGCCAAGACCACACTGTTTCGACTCAATTGAAGAATGGTGTCAGATTTTTCGATATCCGGCTGGGGAAGCAGTTTTTCAAGGACGACGTACAGGGCCAGTACCGTGGAAAAGACCTTCAGGTTATCCACGGTAAATTTCCTGTGCGTATACCGCGGTCTTTGAAGTTCTCCTCAGTGTTGAACGAGCTCTTCAGTTTTCTGGATCAAAACCCAAGTGAAACGTGCATTGTGTCCATAAAGCAAGAGGGCGAGGATTTTACTGACAATAAATCGGAATTTTCACAATTCGTGTGGAGCACATACATCGAACCTTATCAGGACCGTTGGTACCTGCAAAGCAACGTCCCACGTTTGTGTGACGCTAGAAACAAGATCGTACTCTTCCGTCGTTTCAGTCTTAGTGATAACTTTCAAGGTCAAGATTACGGTATTGAGGCTGCTTGGTGGCCCTTTAGTACTCCTAACGAGGATTGTGGCTTGTTCCAAGTCCAAGACTTCTGTGAGCTCAAACATGCTGAGAACATCAAGGAAAAAACCGGATACGTGAAGCAGTTTCTTCAGATCGCTATAAATCACAATAGCACTGCAGATGCACCCCACAAATTATTTTTCAACTTCTGCTCTGGTGCAAACCTATATGATACTGACTGCTGGCCTGAAAAAGTCGCTGAAGAAATGCTCAGAAGCGGTCTTAATAATAATCTCAATCGGGGGTGCGGCATAGTGATTTTAGATTACGCCGGCAAAGATAATTGGGCTCTTGTGCGCCAAATAGTTGATTCAAACTTCTGAACAAAACAATAAGAATCAGTGTACGTAACTCAATTCTAAACTGTCTATATACATACTCGCATAGTAGTCCAGAGACGTTGTCTGCTGATTCCGATCATGTGGGCACCACTTTGGCACTTCTGATTATGATCATAAAGATTCGTTATTAGATCTCTCAACGGAAAAATTTGCCACAATACTCCAAAGAACACGGCACTACTTGAAGTCCAATCGTTGGGTCGCTCAATGTCTGATCCACTGGCTTCGAATGTGCAGAATGCTGACGCGTCTGAGCCCAGCTCGGGTGTCAATAATCATCATAATGACGAGATCAATTCTAACCTAAAGCCCAAGCAAATGCAATTGACTTTTGGAGATTTCAAGAACATCAAATCCACGGCAAACTCACCGGAGGGCTTGCTTCAGCATGCTACTGAAATGCTGGAGACCAATCGCCGGAGATCACGTCGGGTGGTCCCCAAAAGGCCTGTTGAAATCGACGAGGATGAAATCTCAAGAGACACTCCGAAGAAGAAGAAGAAGCCACCTGTTAAGATCAAAGAGCATAACATCAACCATGAAGCAGTACGTGATAGGGCCAGAAAGCTACGTACCTCAGTCGGCAACCCAGAGCCATATTTGGCAGAGGAAAACTGGTGCCCCAATGTGCCGCTATCTTCCGCAGACTTCAAAACTCATTATAGCATTGTGTCAAGATTCAGATCTCCTAACCTTAAGACTGTGGATTATGCCAAAGATGTTTTACTGGTTATGACGTTTATCAACAAGTTCAACTCATTTATACCACAGGAATTGTGGTCTCTGTCATTCCAGGACTTTGAACTCGGATTAGATCTTTACCCAGATATTGAAAAAGAAACTCCTCACAAGCTTTACCAAGACTATATGCCAATCAAAGCTATAGTGAAATGTCAGGATAAAATGAATCTCTTATTTTTAACATTGCTGAAGCTTGCGCTCAATAACAACACTGCTACGAAAGAAGATTCTATCAAAGAACCAAAAGCGTATTCTAAATTTGTAAACCAATTGCGTACTAATGCATGGTCATGGGGATACCCCAAGCAATGGATAATAGAGGTCGGCGATGGGGAATCCAAAGTTTTTCCTGACGATGATACTGAGCCAGTCGACCCCAAAGAACGGGAAATTCTGACTCCAAATATGAGTAGATGGCCACAGCAGTACGCCATTGATGCTGACCCACTTTTGAACTCCGAGTTGGAGAAACGCGGCGTTTTGGCGCTCGAACCGAAGGACAGAATGATTCTTTTGAGATCACTAGTTCAGTGGGCTTTGGCCCAGTCAGAAAAAATTCATCAAGAAGTTTACCGCCTAACTCATCTTAAAAGAGACGAACCCTATGGTGTCCCCACTTATCACGTCCCAAGACTTTTTGCAGATGGTGAGACGTCAACTAAGGCTCGATTCAAAAGGCTCTGCGACTTGGTACAAACGAGGCTAGAGATCAAAAGTGGGAAGAAGCACGTCAAGAAACAGTTAGAAAATGGTAAAAGGAACGAACTATCCCAAAAACTTAAAATCATCTCGAACATTTACCATGATAGGAACACGATACCAGTCCCTGGGGAAGGCGAAATTGACACTGAACAAGAAGTATCAGTCGATCCCTTTGACAAAGAATTTGACAGCTGGTGTGAGGTCATAGAGGGGGAAATTCCTGATCACCCAATGTCCTCTCCTTTCGAAGATGAAATCTTCAAATTGAGATCTCTAGAGTTCTTTATTGGCCGAGTACCACATGTGGGCGATTTTTACATTCCAAGGCTACACACATATCAAAAAGCGAGCAAGGTTGCAATTCCATCGACCTACACCGATCCCAAAACGTTGAAGAAAACACTTGAAGCGTTCGCCAATAAAGAAGTTGATGCCTTCACGTTGTTCAGCGATAACGGGAAACTCATGAGCTCTCAATTCAAAGTGTTTTATCACGACTCGCCTAGCATGATCCGAGACGTAGCTAGTCAAGCAGATACCTCGACTAAAAACTATTGGCACGAAGTTTGCCACGACTGCGGGACTTTACGTGAATTCATAACTCTTCTTGAGTATAAGCTAAGCATTCTGGAAACGCCAGGAAATGAGCCTGCAAACAAAGGTATCATAAACAAAAACCCGCTGCCCAAAGAATCGAAATACAATGCGTCGCGGGAGAAGCTAGGTCTAATAAAAGACTATTTAACTAAGACGCTTCCTTTCTTAGAGACCTATGAAGAATTAGGTGAAAAGTATGATGACATGGAAGCTAGTGTCAGGACTTTGAGAAGATCACAGAGGAATAAAGCTCCGCACTCTCGAGACGATGGTGATTCCGACTACGGCTTTTCCGAGGATGATATACGGACAGAAAACGGCCAGGAGCCCGCAGAAGACTACACAGATGATTCTGCTGCTGAAGTTGACGATAATTCGATTGATGAGAATGGTAACGAAGATTCTGATAATGACAGCGCGGAAGACGACGAAACCTATACACAAAATGGCTATAAATCGACCCGCAGTCTCAGGAAGCAGAAGGGCAAGTCTGATGACACTGAAAGCCGCGGTCGAAGAGGAGGTGCTCGCGGTAGTGCCCGAGGTGGTGTTCGAGGTGGCACGCGGGGAAGAGGACGTGGAAGAGGAAGAGGTAGAGGAAGGGGGAGAGGGAGAGGAAGAGGAAGAGGAAAAAGTTGACCTCAATGTCGTTGTATAATATCAAAAATAAAACTATAAGTCTTTTTACTTTCGGACTTTCCCAAGTTATTGGAGCAACCAAATGAGGAGGGATAAGCTTCGTATCAGCATCTCACAACGATAAAATACAGGGTATTTAAGCAAAAAGAATGCTCCAGGGGAGGTTCGAACTCTCGACCTTCAGATTATGAGACTGACGCTCTTCCAACTGAGCTACTGAAGCTAACTTTTAGAATATTATTCTGACAGAAGAATATATGACTCAAGTATTATAACGTTCTTGCTGTTTGTATATTAAGTAGCTGGGTGACTTTTCAATACTGAGGTCTTGATGAAAACTGACCCATCAGAAAGTCTAGTTTAAGCGAAAGCTAGTTTGAATGGCTTGTAATCAACGAGGACATTATTTTGACAAACATGCTTGAGCGTTCGCTGATGTATGCCATTTACATCGCAAAATATGATGAGCTTGTGACGAATTCATTGCTAACCTGCAAGAAGACTCATGATCCAAACGAAGTCTTAAGTGAGTGCTTCGGAGGAGAAACTTACAAAGACCAAACGAAAGAAGCTACGAAAAAAAATGTAAATCCGTTATATTGAATCAGCTTGCTATATGAAATAGCCCAAGACGCCAAGCAGAATGTTCATGATGTTCAACACACACAAGATAACCTTCAAGTTCGATATTTTAAATGGCTTGCTACTTATCCTTCATCAATAAAAACAGCTGGGCGGTTAGTGTAGTGGTTATCATCCAACCCTTCCAAGGTTGGGACACGGGTTCGATTCTCGTACCGCTCATTTTTTGCGTTTTTTGATTAATTCAAGCACAAGTATTGGTGAGTTCAACAGAATTAGGTAGGTAAGCCTTATTTCTGTATGTCCCGGTGCCCGCAGCTCTTACTATCTATATTTTCTCCTTTTTACATCCGTTATGATCGTTTCGAAGGCTTTTTGTCCGTATCGACAATCGCAACTTCCCGCCATTATAGATCAATTTAGCAAGTCGCGGAGGCCATCGCTCGATTCTTCGTCCAGCGTGTATGCCATCAATTTTCTGCCATCGAAATAACGTCCGTTCATCATCTGGCAGCATTCGCGTGCGAGCTCTTGCGTTGAATACTCTACCTTTGCTTGTCCAAGAACGTCGTCTAACTCGAGACTCACCACTTCGCCGACCGCTTGGCATCCATCTTTCAAGTCTGCGGCTATCTCGGCAACCTCTTGAGGTCCTAAATTAGCATACAAATCCAGGACATTGGTTAAGATCACGACTCGAGTAACCTTATCCGACATGCTCTCTGTGGAACGGTTACTTGAAGACTCGTCGTCTCTAGACTTTTCTGATCGACTTTCCGTATCGCTCCAGTCATTCAGTTCCCGCTCTTGTTCTTTGGACTTCAAAACTTTCATTTTCTTGAACTCTGAAGCCTCTTCCAAAGTCGTTTCTGTTTTCTTTGCTGCTTCATTGAACGTAGCTTCCTCTACCTTCAGCTTTTGTCCCTTATATGTGGCCCCGTTCATGAGCTCAATCGCCATTTCGACGCTTTCTGGTCTGAAATACACAATCAAGGCATCACCCTTGAATATTCCATCCTTATCAACATACAACTTGCATCTTGGTTGATCTGTTATAGGGTCCTTTCTAATAATCCCAAATCTCGTAAATTCATCGATAATTTCTTCCTTATTGAGATCTTTTAGCGGTAAATTGGAAACGTATATGGCACAATTCGGAAGTGGCTTTTTGAAGTTTTTGAGGTCTTCTGCATCCTCTCGCTGACGCTTACGTCTCGCTAATTCGTCAGCTTTAGCCTTTCTCAACTGCCTCTTTAATTCTAGCTCTTCATCATCCATTTCCCCGTTTCTCTGTCTTGTTTATCTCTCATGTGAGCGAGATGTTCAAAGATTGGTTATAAACATAAATATCTCTCTACGAACAGGGTTGTAAACAAATTCAATTTTAACCGAGAGGAAAACAAACGACTACTACTTCCACTTCGCTTTCCGCGTTCGCTTGAAAACTATATGATGTACAATGAAAATTATCTAAATAATCTCGTTAACAACATCGCTGCACAATGTAGGATCATCAGATCTACCTTCGACTTTCAAGGCAATACCTTTAGAACTTTTTATCATGCGAACCACCAGAGCAACCCTAGCTCCGTTTAGCACGCTTTTACCATACAACTTTAGTGTGTGAGTATTAGAGTCTGTAGAAACAAATTGAGTGTTATCGAACGTCAAGCAACTTGTGTTTACCACTACTTTATCCACCACTTCTTGCAACGGAATGTTTTCTCTGATGTTATAAACAGAGACTTCGTGATTGGGCAATTCATCAAAGCATGCAGAAAAGTTTCCAACAAAAGAACCCTTGATGTAGTCACCAGCGGTGAGGGGCAAAGAGTCAATTTCATACTCGTCTTGGAAACCTTCGTCACCGTCAAAAGGCTCGTGCGTGGATGGGTCCAATTCACGAGTGGTGAAATATAATGTGTTCAGAAGATCTTCTGTAACCACTTCCTCCGATTTTTCAAAAGCGACGTAAGTCGCAAAGGTTTCAGAGGGCTTGATTCTATCAGCAGCTATCGTTGCAACCTCAGACAGTGGGCAATCATCACCAGAGGTGGCTGGCGAGCATCCCACAGAGACATTGTCTAAAGCCACATCCGTTAAGGTGTTTGTAATATGAAATTGAAGAACAACGTGATTCTTGAACAAATGCTTGACACCGGTGACCACGAACTCGGCCTCCGTTTCTGTCAATGGGACGTCCTTAGAGGTGTTTACGATAGCGCCGAAAGATTTAAAGTCATCGATGGATCCCAATTCTTCAGCGAACTTAGCGCTTTGTAAGTCTTGATCCATTTCGTCAGATCCTGGGCCTGCGTAGGTTCCATTTCTCTTTTCAGCGTCCGAAGAGACCGTGCTCTTGCCCTTAGATTTTCCAGTTGGAACCTTCGAGAACATCTGTTCCTGTTTCTTCTTAAGATCGATGGCCTTTCTTTCATCCTCAGTGTAGCGGGAAATTGAAGAAGCGTCAAACGGCTTCTTGAACGATTCTTGCTTTGCAGACATGTACTGGCTCAATTTCGACTCCAATGAGGCCAAATCATACGTATACTTGGATTGAATGAGGTCTTCCGCTGGGGAAGGATCAGATTCTCCGTTTGACTTGATAGACTCGATAAATTCGAGCGCAATAGTGGCCCTGTCTCTCACCTCATCATCGGCGTCATTAGAAATTCTTCTCAAGAGTATCTCGATCGATTCAACCAACGTTGGATCATTCTTGACCAACGCGAACTTGGATAAGGCCACCACAGCAGCAGATCTAACGATCGAATTTTCTAAGACAACCCTATTATAAATGTGTCTGACGTACAACGAGGGTGTCTTCATACTTGGGCCCTCCTTACCCAACAAATGAAGTATCCTCACTAATATTTCGTTATATTCACAGTCTTCAATGAAGTCGCACAGATTTTCGAGCGCTACTTCCTTGGACTGTGGAACGAATTGGACGAGATCAAACAGGGCTTCAACGATACTGTTTTTGAATTGAAAACCACCTTCGCCTTGTTTCAAGACATTCACGAGGAAATTCAAAATATGCTTCCATTCCTCAGGGAACTTCAAGGCCATAGTACGAACGGCATCAATAATAATAATTTTAAAGTCGTCCGAAATCTCGTGAATAAAGTTGGTGATTGTTTTGATCAAAGACGCGATGTTGTTGGAAGTGCCGGTCTTTAACAAAGCAGTTATCGCGTAAGTGGATACATTTCTGTTACTGTCGTTGATCAAAGACTCCAGTTCCGGATTGCATATAACAATTTTTTCTGGAGCTATCATGGAAATCTTGTTCAAGACTCTGACAGCGGCGAATCTAGTAGTGACACGGGGAACCGCCAGGAGGCTCTGTAGGGTCTGTACTGCAGACGCAAAAATTTCAGGAGACACATAACGGTCTGGCAAAGAGGTAATCAATTTTGCGTCTTCCAATTGAACAGATTCATATTTGTTTGAGAGCCAACCTAATAGCAAGGGTCCGAACTGTGAGACCAGTTGAGGGTCTTTGGCCAATAAACTCCCGACAAGCTTGACGAGTTGAACCTGAGCCAATTGATTTTTGAGTGTGTTTCCTGACGAGAATTGTTGCACCAATTTCATGAGAGCAATCTTGTCGTGGTGTTTGAGCATAAACAAGAGACCCAGCGCATGATACTGCGAAATGTAGGTAGAGTTTGGATAGTGTTCGGAGAGGCCATCCTGATAGGGGAAAGTTTTCAAGTCTGAGACAGCTTCCTGCGTCTCGTTGGAATAACGTTTGACAGTGCTTTCAGCAACGGGAAGAAGATGGTAAGAACTAACCAGCGCAGCCGAGGAAATGGAAGGGTGCTTACTAACTACGCCGGATTTGAATAGGCGTTCAGCGGAAAACGCTGTGGACTCGTCCAATACCCTGGTCAACGACCGGATGGCATTTGGCTTGATCATATCGGAACCATTCTGGACATCTTTCATGATAGAAGAGGTTGCCATCAAGATGTCGTCCGACACAGCGCTCAATTCCTTGATAGCCAAGTAAACTACTTGCCTCAAGGAGTCGTTGGGATGTTGAAACAGCTTAGAAACTGCAAAGAACAGCGCCGTGGCCTCCGTCTTAGGAAAGGTTTCACCCTGGGCCAGCAATTGAAGCAGTCTAGAGATCAAAAGACGGCATCTCTTGGAGTTCACTGGCGATTCGTTGAACGCATTCAAACAATCCTGGTAAATGGTCATTTTGTCGGGCAAAACGCCCGACTCTGCCTCTTCAAACTTCTTGTAAGTATGGGTTGACATTGGGGATCACGGTATTTTACCGGAAACTACCGCTCAATGAATTGCAAAGGGACTACAAGCGTTAAAATATTCCAAAATTTTGAAGATCTAAGGTTTGAATTATCAACTGAATTATTACCACTGGTAAACACAACTTTGCCACGCAACAGACGAAAAAGTCTAGAAATTGAAAACTCCATAAATCACGTGCATATATTAAGTATGTAATGTTATTGATGATAGGATGACGAGTATATTGTACATTTACTGACAGCTGCGATGTGTTGTGAAGAAAATACCGAGAATGATAGGAGGTGGTACCGTTGAGGTCTAGAGAGATCCATTGAAAAGTGGAACTGTTTGCTTAAGGGAAACGTTAATTGTGATACAGGGGAATCGGTTTTGATGCGATGGTGAAAGTTGCGAGATTAGATTGAGCCTAGAGGGTCGCTTGTCCTGCTAAACATCATGATGACGGAATTTAAAAATGCCAGATTAATGGGAGTTTGAAAAGAAACACGTCTTGCGAGTTTTCGGTTCTCGGAGGCCGAAAACCAACGCACCTGAGAATGAATTAGAGAACAACACGCAAATTCTATGTGTAGTGGGAGGACTCCTGCAAACCCACTGATGCAAATTACGTGCTACCTTAATCTTCATTCAAAGTAAGCAGAAGTTGGGCCAAGCACCTCTTGGTACCTAAGTCGTCTCTCAAAACTTCGCCGAAAGTGTTGTCTTTCAACTGGCGTGGCAGCACTTGTTTGAGCAACCTTCTGGCCTCTAAGTTGTCACTGAGACGCAGATAACACCTCACCACGTGCTTCAAGAGCCGCCCAGGAGTTTGTTGTAAGGTGAGCTGCTCCACCATATATGTGAGTACCTGGGAGACGGCGTGGAACCGTTCTGGAGTCGCACATATATACTGAAGCCCTGCATCGTCCAGCAAAATTTTCTGTAGAATGAAAATGGCCACAGTCTTAGAGAGTTCTGAAGAGGACTCCATTATACGAAGACAAAGCGGGATAATATCTGTGCGAAGCAAGAAGGCTATCACTTCTGCAGAATCGTTTTTAACCAGGGCTCCGATTACTCCCAAAGACGTTAAACGCAGATACTCGAAAGTGCGTTGCCTGGAGGTTGTGTTGAGGAATGGAAACAACAGAAGTGGGATGTGGGCCTGTAGGAAAAGTGTCTTTGTTTCTGGGTGCGAAGCAACGCATTGCAAAAGTACCAGTGCGTTACAAACGCGATTGCTGAGCTGGTTCGACAGCACCGGTGGCGAAAGCATTGGGTACACGGACGTGATTTCGCTCAACAGCGCTGCGACTACGCCAAAGGACGACCATAAGACCACGGCTAGATCCTCATACTGTTCTCGTTTCCTGCCCAACTCCAGAAGTGCTTGTTCTTTGTTGGGTCCGTACGTGAGTTGACAGATCCAGTGGTACACGTTTGGGTCATCTAGAGCATGCAACGTATTTTGTCCACCGTTTCCGGGAGCGGGAGGGCCCACATTGGAATTGAGGTTTCCCGAACCGCTTTTCACGCTGTTGTTGGAGTTATTGTTCCCATTTCCAGGACCAGTGTTATTCATGGCGCTCATGTTTCCGGTGACGTTTCCTGAGTTCATAAGTCCCGTAGTCGGTGCACTGGACGTAGCAAACATCGTGATGATAATGTCCAAAGATTGTATCAGTCTCAATGGGGGATTTAAAGCTTTAGTAGGCAGAGACGTTGACATGCAGCAAATATCAAACTTGGTGAATAATATGTTTAATTTTAGTATCCCAGATCGCGCTGTACGATACACAGTACGAGTTTGATGAATATGGGCCCTTGGAACTAGTTGTCTAATAGATGAAGAGGGCAGTAGTAAATGTGATGATAGTGAGCGTGGCTCTTCATAAATTTCTTGTGACTCTGTATGTGATGCTATGTAGTCATGTCAGTTTTTTGATCTTTGATGCGAGAAATATTGTATGAAGAAACCTCAGTAAGTAAATGATTCTCATAATAAATGCTATGGCACATTCCAGAGTTGAAAACCTCAAATGTTGAGAACGTCCTGAGAGCCAGTTACTTGCACAGATTCTCGCCCCCATGAGAAAAGTTGAAAATGCTTGTATTCAACGCGAGTTCAATGGTAAACTTCTCATTAAAACCAATCAATAACAGAAGCCTTACCACGAAACTAGATGTACTATGTCAGGTGCTGATCTTAGCAAAATCGTCGAATTAGTCTTCTTGAAAGGCAGTTGTATGCAAACTGTACTGGAAGGCTTCGAGAGATCGTTTTATCTTTTGAAGGACGATTGTATGACTTTGAGAAAAGTCTGAGAAAACGAGTAAAAGTGGCAGTGCTGGAATGTACACTGTTGGTGAGCTGCATGAGCAGTGGCAAAGGGTAGTGGATCGTGTGAGCCGCGCCATACAAAAGCACACAATAAGAAGCGGTCAGTGTTTTTGAGCTATGTCACGTAAGTACATAGTGATACAGTGCACCCTGTGCCAGATGAACACGATAGAACTACTATACAGAAGAGACTGTTCGCGCAAATTGCTCATAGCTAGACTTGAGCTTAAGTTTTTGATTTGATGGTGGATTTGAGCTCGAGGGATGTATTCGTAGAGATGAGCTGCCCTTATGGAAAAAAAAACTCTCTAATTTCAAATCTAAGAATACGCTCAGCAGGGATAACCGAAAGTGTTTACCCACGCTCTTTGCCATATCTTTCGGGGGCATATGGTAATACACTTGCTGATTTGGTCGTTCGCGGTGTGTCTTATTGATTTATTGAGATTGGTCGTTATGGAAGTTTTTGAGATTGCTTGTAATATGCATAGCTAAGCAGTTCTCACGGGTGGATCAATCTTGCCATGATCTTTTGTATGAGGATATAATCTCGATGGGATGAACCATCGGTACGGTCGGCCGAACGCGCCGATTGATTGTCAATAGACTAATCGTGACGGGGTGACTTACTGCCGTTACATGGCGTTGCGAGTGGAATTAATGCATGTGAGGTATTGTAAATATCTTCTATGTCACTTCGCACTATTCTGACGTGGTATAGATCCCGACATAAGCCGTATCAAGATATGGGGTTCTGTTTATCGCTCTGGATGCGAAGAGTAGGATCTAGACAGAGAGAATAGACTGTCGGATTGAATTGCATGACGCGCATTGGTAACGAAAAGTGTTCGACCGGGATTTTCAATGTCTCAGCCTTCGGACACCGCAATTCTCAATATCAAATGTTAGACCCGGGCTTATAGCGGATTTGATACTTCCTGGTTAGCAATGCTGTCAAAATCGATCACTCCTCTCATAATTGCTCTGTGGTATCTTTCACCCTTCACAGTACTTGCTGAGGCTCACAATTGGTTTACCACTGTTCTGATAGATTCAATACCAAGTCAGTATTACCTTCAAGACTTTCCTGATGAGTACTACTTTGGGTGCTACTCTAATGATGAGTACTACTTTGAGTGCTACTCTAATGATGAGTACTACTTTTAGTGCTAGTCTAATGATGAGTACTACTTTGTTTTACCACTTTCCTGATGAGTACTACTTTGAGTGCTACTCTCATGATTAGTAGTACTCTTAAGAGTGATGTTCTACTCCTGGTTAGCAATACGCTCGAAAGTGATGTTCTGCTGCTGGTTTGCGATACGCTTAAGAGTAATGTTCTACTGCTGGTTGGCGATACTCTTGAGAGTAATGTTCTGCTGCTGGTTGGCGATACGCTTAAGAGTGATGTTCTGCTGCTGGTTGGCGATACGCTTAAGAGTGATGTTCTACTCCTGGTTAGCAATACGCTCGAAAGTGATGTTCTGCTGCTGGTTTGCGATACGCTTAAGAGTAATGTTCTACTGCTGGTTGGCGATACTCTTGAGAGTAATGTTCTGCTGCTGGTTGGCGATACGCTTAAGAGTGATGTTCTACTCCTGGTTGGCGATACTCTTAAGAGTAATGTTCTGCTGCTGGTTGGCGATACTCTTAAGAGTAATGTTCTGCTGCTGGTTGGCGATACTCTTAAGAGTAATGTTCTGCTGCTGGTTTGCGATACGCTTAAGAGTAATGTTCTACTCCTGGTTAGCAATACGCTCGAAAGTGATGTTCTGCTGCTGGTTGGCGATACGCTTAAGAGTGATGTTCTACTCCTGGTTAGCAATACGCTCGAAAGTGATGTTCTGCTGCTGGTTTGCGATACGCTTAAGAGTAATGTTCTACTCCTGGTTAGCAAGTTCTGAGAACAATTCGCTAAGTAGTTCCCTGACAACTGGCTAAGTGATTCTCTCTGGAATAGCCAGGGATCTTGAGAACAATTGGCTAGGTGATTCTCTCTGGAAAAGCCAGGGATCTTGAGAACAATTGGCTAAGTAGTTCCTTGACAACTGGCTAGGTGATTCTCTCTTGAAAAGCCAGGGATCTTGAGAACAATTGGCTAAGTGATTCTCTCTGGAAAAGCCAGGGATTCTGTGAACAACTGGCTAAATAGTTCCTTGACAACTGGCTAGGTGATTCTCTCTGGAATAGCCAGGGATCTTGAAAACAACTGGCTAAGTGATTCTCTCTGGAAAAGCAAGTGATTCTCTCTGGAAAAGCAAGTGATTCTCTCTGGAATAACCAGTTCTGAGAACAACTGGCTAAATAGTTCCCTGACAACTGGCTAAGTGATTCTCTCCGGAATAACCAGTTCTGAGAACAATTGGCTAAGTAGGTCCCTGACAACTGGCTAAGTGATTCTCTCTAGAATAACCAGGGATTCTGAGAATAATTGGCTAAGCAATTCTCTCCGGAATATCCAGGGATTCTAAGAACAATTTGCTAGGTGATTCTCTCTTGAAAAGCCAGGGATCTTGAGAACAATTGGCTAAGTAATTCTCTCTGGAATAACCAGAGATTCTGTGAACAACTGGCTAAGTAATTCCCTGACAACTGGCTAGGTGATTCTCTCTGGAATAGCCAGGGATCTTGAGAACAATTGGCTAGGTGATTCTCTCTGGAAAAGCCAGGGATCTTGAGAACAATTGGCTAAGTGATTCTTTCTCGAATAACCAGGGATTCTGACAACATTTGGCTAAGTAGTTCCCTGACAACTGGCTATGTGATTCTCTCTGGAAAAGCAAGTAATTCTCTCCGGAATAACCAGTTCTGAGAACAATTGGCTAAGTAGTTCCCTGACAACTGGCTAAGTGATTCTCTCTGGAATAGCCAGGGATCTTGAGAACAATTGGCTAGGTGATTCTCTCTGGAAAAGCCAGGGATCTTGAGAACAATTGGCTAAGTGATTCTTTCTCGAATAACCAGGGATTCTGACAACATTTGGCTAAGTAATTCCCTGACAACTGGCTAAGTGATTCTCTCCGGAATACCAGGGACCTTGTTCAGTAGTCCACGAGTCTCGTGTCGTCAATAGTGCTACTTTACTCTCTCTCATTGTTCAGTGGTGCTGCTCTCCTCTTTCACAGTTCACAACACTCGCTAAAGCTCGCATTGTTCAGTGCTGCTACTCTCCTCTTTCACAGTTCACAACACTCGCTAAAGCTCGCATTGTTCAGTGGTGCTACTCTCCTCTTTCACTCTCCTTTCACTCTGGTATAATTAATTTGGCGCAATCGCCCATTACTTATTATTTATTATATCTGCAAACACCACTCAACTACTCCTCGTCTCTACTTCAACAGTTTCTTGAGCTTGGCCACAAAGCGTTTCATCATGCTTGGAGACTTGGTTTCAACCTCCTCCTCGCTCTTCTTTTCCGTCTTGGCGGCCTCGGCCTTGACTTCCTCGGTCTTGGTCTCTGCCTGCTTGGCTTGCGTCACCTCGGCGGCTTTGTCCTGAGCAGCTTGCACGGCGGCTTCCTGGGTCTGCTTGGCTTCCTCTTCTTTGTCGTGCGCGACGGCGGCGACCTTGTTCTGAGCCACGGCGACGGCCTCGGCCATCTTTGGCTCGGCGGTTTCGGTGTGAGTCTGGGTAACTGGGACGTGTTCGGACATTGCGGCTATTTGACTTTAGGGCTTGCTGGGGGGGGCTTAGGGCTTGGTGGAAAAGTTGAAAAAAAAACAAACTTTTTTGTCTTCCAGGTAAGAGGGACACGAGGTGCGAGACCCTCGGTGCTTATATAGTTTTTTTCCCTGGGCCTCGACAGCACATCTCGCCCGTGGCCGTGGAAAGTGCAAGAAGAGGGCATCGCGGTCCGCTACGCAGCAATACCAGAAACACACACAGAGAGTCTACCGTCGAAGGAAAAGAGCGAGGGAAACAAACACGCGGGCACAGAACGCACGCAAAGCCTCTTGGACTGTGGAAAGCGAGCAAACGGATGTTGAGATCCCTCACGGTTAGCCCTAAATAAACGTAGCGAAAAAATAAAAATAAATAGACCGTTTCAAGCTAGCACCACTACCACAGCACCACTACCACTGCAAGACAGCGAGCAAAGCCGAAAACTGCGATGGGCGGAGGCTTGCGTTTTTTCAGGGTGGCCGGCGCTTTGGTCTTGTTTTGAGGCTTGTACGCGCCCAGCCACGCCGTTCTTGGCGGACAGGAATAGAGAGAGACACACACACGCGACAACTAGCTGGGCTTGTGCACAGATCTTCGTCACCGAGCTTCTCGCCTCGATAGCCTGTCTGGCTTATCACCGGCAGCCAAAAAAAAGAGAGATAGCCATTCTTATCACACACGGGCTGGACAGCAGCGATGAGCCTAAAATTAGGCATGCCGTGGGGAGTGACGAGAGCCCGATGCGATGTTTTCGCTTTCGAGAGCGAAACTGCAAGCGCAACGGCGACAATCAAGAAGGGCCACAGCAACGGCAAACCAACGCGACGCAACGCAACGGTGTCGGTCTTGTAGAGGATCCCTCCGGCTCTTGGTACGTTGGGCTGGGTCGGGCACGTGACCCGGCGTACATGTGCTGGCACATCGGCTCTCTGCTGGTTCCATATCTATTAGAGTCCTGTCTATTACTTGTATATGCTGAAAATGGCGTCGTCGGGCTTGGGCGCCCCCCCCGGCGCGTTTATAAATACTTTGAGCCCTGCTCGCTCTTATTTTTGGCCAAAAGGACACACACCCGACAACGAGTTGATCAAGCCTTGGGCGTCGAAGTTGTGTTCAAGTCTGACCAACTTCATGTCCGCGTTCAAAGTGGCGATCGACGTGCCTGGGATATCCATCACGCTTCCGTCGCCTTTGTGGCCGTTGAACTCACCGTTTTGACGTCCCCAGTGTCTCCAGGTCAAAGTGGCCTCGGGAAGGTTCGTCTCCAGCGTGAGTAGCTCCCACATGAACCCGGAACGCATGGCTTTGCGGAACACGTCTTCGGATTTTTCGTAGTCGCTGTCAGTGGCGTTGTAGTTGGGCAAGTCGCCGATGAAGACGTTGTAGCCACCTTTGGTGACCACGTCTTCCACGGTGTATTCGCGGCTCCCGTTGACCACCATTCTGAAAACCTTGGGGTCCACGGAAATCCAGTCTGCTGGGTTGGCCTTGTGGGTGGCCTCCATTTCGAAGTTACGCACCAAGTTTGCAACCGTGTTTTCCAAACTGCCCTCTTCGAAGTGCTTGATACGTTGGTCCGCAAGTCTCTTGTTGGTGATAGTATAGTTTGGACGACCATGGCGCCAAGCGCTGGCAGGAGTAGCTGCGATCACAGCTTCACGGCTTTGGAGCCAGAGTGGTACGGATTTGTTTTCTTCAGACATGCTTACTGGGTTGTCTTTCTACAAAACAAATACGGTGGGCCACTCAATTGCAACGGCAAGCTACGCTTTATATACTTTCGATGCCGCGCTCAACTTTACATTGCTGCCCACACCACGAATCAAAATTAAAATTGTGTATCCGATAGTTTGGCAGGCACAAGATTTCGATTTCGAGCAATTACTTTATTGATCGAATCATCTACCGAGGAATAGTGGCAAATTTTGAACGAAAGAATGAACCGTTAGCTTCTTAGTTCAAAATCCCAAGAAACTCGCGTAGAAATTTGAAAAATGGTGCTAATCTTACGATGCTGAGGGATCGGAGGACCTTGAAACAGGAACGAACGTTGCGCGATTGTGCAGCATTCAAGCTTGAAACCCGTATTGAGACAGCCAGCCGTGCCTTGTACTGCTGCTCGGCGTTAACTATCTGGTGCGATGGAAAATTTAGACATTTCGCGATGATCCGCTAGATGGGCTATCGGCGAGGTAACTCTCAGCTAGAACTGTCGTATCGGGGACGTGGCTCCAACAACAAAGAGGTACGAAGACTCTGATCTCAAGACTAGACTACCATAAAGGTGGGTCCGAGAATGAAGTATGAAAACTCTGATCTTAAACCAGCACAAGATGTTCTCGCCTACATTCGTTGAACGAGCTCCAGATGCCCTTGTCGCCGAGAAGTTATACAGTTCACTCTTGCAAGTGCCTACTACAGTTTGATTTTTACTTCTCCATCAGATATTGGGTTATACTTAATGCTTCACAGAGCCACGAGTACGTGTGGCTCTTTCAGACTGGTGCACAGCGTTTTACTCATCACTTGGAGGTTCACAAATTTGCAAGTCCATAGACTTATGGACTGTCAGCTACACATTTGCGACAGGGAAATCGGTAAGACTGGTTAGGTTGGGTCTTGAGATGCAATCATTGAAACTTGTTTTTGATGATAGTTCTATTGTTGATATTGATGGTTAAGTTCGAAAAATACTAGTGCTTTATATATGCGAAAAATCGATGAGGTAACCCGGATTTTGGATTTTAAGCGCCTAGTCAGGGCAAAAAATTGAGCCCTCTATCGATATTGACAGAAGTGTGTCATTGAAAGTTGGAAATGCATTTTGAAATTTAAACTCTTAGTGAAAACGAGATGCTGTTTCCTCGGACCGCTTTCAACCCGTCCAAGCCTAATTCTTGCTAGCCAACAAATTAGAAATTAACCTTGCACCTGCTGGGGAGCTTAAACTGATATGCATGGCTTTATCTTCATGCTATCAGGGCGTAGAACGCTATCCATTGTCAGCTCTCGCAACAGACTTCAACACTGGCTCTTCCAGACAATGCGCTGCGGTCTCTTCTCGAAGCAAGAGAACAGGCGCGCTGTCCAAAATTCTAGTAATCCAAGTCGTAAAACCTATTAACATCCCATTCCTATATCATTATTTAATTTACACCAACGTGGCAGTACTGTAGTCGCGATGCAAATACATTTGCGTGTCCATTGACAGTTTGTTCGGCAGCGTTTGAGACGCCGCCAGAGAGGGCAATGAGGGCAACCTAGGCAATGACGGTAGCGATTTGAGTGATTGCAAGCTTGGAGTCCCAAGCAAAGTGCTAGTACTGGAGCAAGCGCTCATGTTACGCTGATGGTAATTGTTGCGAGCCATGATCTTGCGAGATCTTTGTAGATCGTATTTGATTGGTTCTAGTAGAGATTTGAGAGAGTCGTGCAGTTGGTGTTCTTCTAGTCTCAAATTCCAGTCGAGCAACTCCAAGAGTTGACGTTCCATGAGGTTGACGTCCTCCAAACAGAAAATGCCATCAGTGTAATCCGCCCAATGCTTGTTTTGGGGTGAGGAATCGTTATGGAATTTAGCACTGAGGATCAAGCAGGCCAGGAAAATGCGGTGACTGGTAGATGGCAGTCCATGGGCATCCCGAGGCAGGATTTCCTGAAGCTTGTGTAGGTAGCACGTCGCCGTGAGCAGAGTTGACGTGTAGACGTTGGTGTAGCGGACCAGCCGCGTGATAAAAGTCATTAGCGAGGGCAAGGGTTTCTTGTGGGCATGTTGTGGACTATTAGGAGGCGAAGGGTATGCGTTTCTTTGATCCTTGGCACATGGAATCACGGCCAGCGTGGTGTTGGTGAGAAACCGGATCATGTCGTCCGTCACAGGCGACTTGAATAGAATCCGAAGAGCTTTGGCGTCGCACATATCGTTGGCTAGTAATTGCAGCAGAGGTGAGTGTGAAGTTGAGAAGAAACTTGGTGTTGAAAGCTTTGTTCTATAGACTTAAGTGCTCCGATTGAATCTGAATACTGTCTCTACATGTTTCCAATGCTGAAACACACAGTCCTATATATACTTTAAACCGTTCAGATCGGCGAAGAATCAGTCAAGTTACCATGGATTGATCCGCAGCTTTCCGCTCGCGACATATCGCTACTGTCCTGACTGTTTTCGCGGTTTTCGCGGTCGAGTGGGTAGTTTGTTAATTTTTCAATTATCACAGCATTGATTTTTTCGCAGACCCTATCGACTGTTCATTTTCGCGAATCGCACATCGTTACTATACCCAGGCCTAGAAATGTTAAGTATCTTCGCCTCTCGCTTAACGGTCGTGTCAATTTACCGGGTCGGGAAAGACGTGTATAGCATAGTGGCTAATGTGGTAGAGGTAATTACCAAGCTGGGATTATAATTCGAAAATGGGACGTTTTCTTCAATGCAAGACGACGTCGTAGTCTTTTCGCAGAAGGTCGCTTGAAACTTCGAGAGCGGGGACATTTTCGCAGTTTCTGTACTAGCGTAGTTACACTTGTTTTTGGTGGAGTTGATATCGCGTCCGGGGTCGGAAGCGCGCAATTAAAACCTGGGCAACGAAACCAGAAGTTTTCGTGTCGATGCTGTCTAATGATTACTGCCAAGCACGCCCGGGCCTTGTAAAGATATTTTGGTGTTTAGTGGAAACCGCATATCGGCTGTGGCAACTACAGAATGTGTCTCAAGCGTTCTGTGGGCAGATTCGTGAGCACCATTGGAATACACAGAGACGAAGACAGAAGGCCAGTCGGTGAATGGACATGGTTCGTTGGTGCTGCATCTCGCAGGCCCAAGTCACAGAGCACGATAAATATGTTACTCTGTTGCACATCTCAAGGTCCTCACCGGAACTGGTCAAGTAGTGTGAGATGTTGTTAAGCTCCATCTTCCTTTTTCTAAGATATCCGCCTCCCTTGTCGTGTTTTATATAGGTGATTGTTCTACGCAATATTTTCGCAAAGGCGTAGTACAGGACTTCAAATCTGACTCTCTTGCATGCTCGTCGTTGAATGATAGTTGTCGTTCGAGTGCCGTCTTACTCAAGATGAAAGCTCTATCCCATCTCATCTCGGCATAAACTGATCAGAGCTAAAATGTCGATCACAAACAATGAAAAGTGCTCTGCATTTAGAAATCAGGTGCACATTGCCGCAGGCTTTCCCCGCTCTTCCTACCCGCTCAGCTCAAGTAGCCTTTCGCATTCATGCGGAACGAGTTAAATACTGCTTCTTGAAATGCCGAACAGTATTATAATGGCAAAAGCATTGGTCAGGGATGCATTTGGAAGTGATGCTTGTAAAGGCTGTGGCAACATGTCCCCCTCAGCCCGGTGACGGATGTTACCTTGTGCATAGCTAAGGTCTCCTTTTCCACTAAGCGTGCCGGGTATCGCAGTACCACGATCTGAGGTTTTTAATTGTCACTAACCGTGGCTGCATTGAAATGGCATGTTCACCAGGAGCGACCACCCATTCATAGCACTACAGAACGTGAACCATAAATCGACGTACAAAAAGCGCACCTGCTCCTTCCTCGAAGCCGCAACGCGAGCGATGAGGTAACAATATTGTCTTCTCCGGCCCTACAAAAATTTTCATTGCACCCAAGATGTGCACCTACGTGAGCATTTCAGCACAAAGGAAGTGCATGAGAGCCCTTGCTCTGCACCCAGATAGTGCATCGATTTTCACTCCAAGTACCATTGATGAGAGCTCTTCAAGCCATTTAAATGGTATGTGATTCTTGGTAATGTCTATTCCCATTGTTGGTTGATTGTCCTTGTCACCTGGGTTATTTTCCGTCACCAGCGTCAGTAAAATAATTAAAATATTCGACAATGGAGGTAGAAAGTAGGAGCGAAAAACAATCTGACCATCAAATTACTCAGCATGTTTTGCAGCAGCGCAAGGATGCGGGTGTGTCCAACGTCGAGGTTTATGCGCATCAGTATAATAATGCTGTGTACAGAACCATGCTGTTCTTCTCCATTTTCTTAGTGGCCTACGCATACGGTCTGGATGGTACGGTCAGATACACTTTCCAATCATACGCTACTTCTTCCTATGCAGAACACTCTTTGCTGGCCACGGTTAACTGTATCAAGTCTGTGATTGCAGCGGCGGGCCAAATTTGGTTTGCCCGTGCATCTGACATTTTTGGCAGAGTCGAGATACTCGCCGTATCCGTGGTTTTCTACATTATCGGAACCATTGTTGAAAGTCAAGCAGTCAACGTTACGAAGTTTGCTGTAGGCGCGTGCTTTTACCAGTTGGGCTATACCGGTATTGTGCTTATTCTCGAGGTCATCGCCGCAGATTTCTCGAACTTGAATTGGCGGCTTGTGGCCGCTTTCGTCCCCGCCCTGCCATTCATCATCAACACTTGGATTTCGGGGGATGTAGTGACAGCAGTGGGCATGAACTGGAAGTGGGGTATTGGTATGTGGGCTTTCATCTTGCCGTTAGCCTGTATCCCGCTTTTTGGTTGCATGATACACATGCGGTACCTGGCGAACAAGAACGCTAAAGATCAGCTGCAAACCGAGATTAAGCTTTACAAGCACATGAAGTGGTCTGACTACTTTATAGACATCTTTTTCTGGAGGTTCGATATTTTGGGACTCTTATTGCTAGTTGCCGTTTTTGGATGTATCTTGGTTCCGCTCACCATAGCTCAGGGTTTGAAAGATCAATGGAGAGCAGCGCACATTATTGTGCCAGAAGTCATTGGATGGTGCTTGGCCCTGCCTCTATTTCTTTTATGGGAAATTAAGTTTGCTAAGCATCCCTTGGCACCATGGAAACTGGTTAAAGACAGAGGTATATTCTCGGCTTTGTTTATTGCATTCCACATTAATTTTATCTGGTACATGCAAGGTGATTACATGTATCCGGTGCTGTTGGTTGCAGTAAACGAAAGTATGAAGTCTGCAACTAGAATCACCTCACTTTACTCCTTCGTATCAGTTATTACTGGTTTCATATTAGGGTTTGTCATTGTCTTTGCAAGAAAGACAAAAAAGTTTATTTTGTTCGGTGTTGGTTGCTGGTTTATTTCGTTCGGTCTACTAGTCCATTATCGTGGGGATTCCTCCTCTCATGCTGGTATTATTGGATCTTTGTGTTTGCTCGGTTTCGGTGCTGGTTTCTTCACTTATACAACGCAGGTATCCATCCAAGCCTCGGCGAAGACCCATCAGGAGCTAGCTGTTGTTACTGCGTCATACTTGGCTACCTATAATATCGGGTCTGCTGTAGGTTCAGCAGTATCAGGTGCCATTTGGACTAATGTTCTACCAAAAGAATTGCGTAAGAGAATATCCGATAGTGACGTTGTTGCTGCTGCTTATTCTTCTCCTTACACCTTTATTGTGGATTATGCCTGGGGCACCCCTAACAGACAAGCCGTGGTCAAATCTTATCAAGTTGTTCAGAAGTTATTATGTATAGTTGGGCTATGTTTCTGCACAACGTTACTAGCTTCTGCGTTCCTGTTGAGAGACCATACGTTGAAAAGTGCAGTTGCTCTCGAAGAGTCGAACGCTTCAACGTCCAGCGATGCTCAAGAAACAGACGAGTCTCATGAGGAAGAGATACTCGAAGAAAGAAAATGACCTCAACAATATGAATAATCGTTATCAAATAAATAAACTAATATCATGAACTTCGTGTGAAGAACTTAGTCGGACTATTCAGCTGCAAAATTATATATTTATGCCTCTAATTCAAAGCTAGACTTTATTACGCCAATAACAGCACTACTTTGGATTCTATCGTTACCTCCCTTGGACATCGCATATTCGATGTCCGATAATTTGCTTAGTAGTTCTGTCCGCGTTTGAGTCTTCAATTCGTAGTCACCCAGCAATTCAACAATTCCCTCAATCATATCTATAAGGGCCAAACCTTTGCTTGTGCGGATCTTATTTACGGTGAAGAATGCCGTGCCCCAATCATCTTTCAACATCGATTCGAGAGCAGTTTCGATGTCTTGAGGGTGAGGTGCTCCTACGCACTCATAGATAGTATCTTCCGTTACCTGTTCAGTATCTGGCGCATCTAGTGTGGCTTTGCTTGCCTGCAAGACATTTAAAGCTCGTCTCATATCACCATTGGCAAGCTTCAACAAAGCATTTATCGCCTCAGGGGTCAACTTAAGATTCTCCATGATCAACACTTTATTTACACGCTTTTCGATAGCATCAATGGGTAATGGTTGGAATCTGAACCTGGTGCATCTACTCAATAGCGCTGGTGTTAGTTTATGCGCGTAATTGGCCAGAATACAAAATCTGGTGTTCTTGGTATATTTCTCAATGATTCTCCTCAAAGCATTCTGAGCCGCATTAGTCATTGCGTCTGCTTCATCAAGGATGATGAGTTTAAAGCCTTTGGAAAAGATCTGGCGAGTAGACGCAAATTCTTTGATCTGGTTTCTCACCACGTCGATACCTCTATCGTCGGAGGCATTCAGCTCCAGTACCATGTTCCTGTAGTTTTTGCCGTATATCTCTCGAGCTAATGCTATAATCATCGACGTTTTACCCGTGCCTGGCGGTCCATAGAACAAGAGATGTGGCAACCTACCCTCTTTGACAAATTTACGTACAGTCCCAACGATCTCTCTTTGTCCATAAACATCGTCCAAGGTCTCAGGCCTATACTTCTCAATCCAAGGCAAGTTTTCGACTGTTCTGCTCATATTTGGAAAGTGAAGGGTTATATTTGAGGAATCTTGAAGCCAGTATCAAACTGTTTCAAAGTTGATTTTCCGCTAAACAAGGTGTTTTTTCAAATCGATAATTTAATAATTTAGCCGATGAGACGATATGGTACTTTAGATTACTTCAAGCTGAAAGAGAGTCAATGAGTACTAGTTGATGATATGTCTTGATAATTGGGGTGCAGAATCAAATCAAAAGGCTCTGGTCCAAGAGTGAGGCTGATTTATTTGTGTCACTTGAAAAAGGTAGACATATAAAGAAACGCCCCAAAAATCCAGAAAGTCTGGTCTGGACCAGTACCGTCTTTGACATTCGTGAGATGCGGCCTTGTGATATTTAGGGCCATCATCGATGCAAATCGTGTTCTGGAGTATATTTAGAAATAATATTGTATGGATCCACTTATATCGATCAGCTCGACGAACTCAAGTTAAAAGATTATTGCACAGCTAAGCGGGTGCCCGAATAAACAACCGTGCTTTCTATGTAGATATCTTGAGGTTCTTCAAAATCTCCAAGGAAGGAGCATCGATTCGCCTCGAAAATCGCATCTACCGCACAACGTCAATCAACTTTGAACCTTTTTGTAATCTACACGCTCCTTTCCCCATAGAACTCGCTCTAGTATCTTGCACTGCAATTACAAATATATGGCCATCTACATATGCGATTATACCGGCACATCAAAGTGACCAACTCAAAATTAGTTGGACAGCACAGATGTACTATATCAATATCTTTCAAATAACTGACACGAGTACAAAATTGGTCTAGCAACCTAGCTATTCATTATCCAGCTGGCAAACGATAAGTATCTCGTCTCTTCAAAAACACTACCCATCCGTCATGTACCTCTTTTAAATTCAGTCCCACATCTAAAGCGTCCCAGTGGCCGAGTGGTTAAGGCGATGCCCTGCTATTCGACAATTCGAAAGCGAGTTAGGCATTGGGTTTTACCTGCGCAGGTTCGAATCCTGTCTGTGACGTTATTTTTTTACAAATTTATTCTTAGTATTCACTTTATCTACCGCGTTAAAAAGTGGATCTAGTTTCCCTGGCCCTGAGCTCATCGAAATGCTAATTAGGAAATTAGAATTTGTGCTAAAATATTGATACAAGGAGGCTGTGACCTGAAGAAGTTCGATAGCGTACACAATTTTTTTCCCAACTGCTTTTCTTGTCGTTCGACAGTTCTCTTGGATGGAAGGTGATTTGTACTCACAATGCTCTTTTTACTGTGGTTCTGGATAAGCGCCGTTTGGGCGTCGTGGGACGTTCTTGAGTGGGATGACTCGGTACAATCTTCAGAAAATAATAATAGCTCCCTTCATGCCAGAGATGGCGCGCTTTTCGATTCTGGGATGATCGAAGAGTGGACTCCCGTGAGCTCGACCATTGTCGTGGGCCAGCGTGACTACTTCAACTTTCAGGTCAATTCCAGCTACTCTCGCATCAAGTCTAGCTCAGACATGATGGTGTTTCTCAGCGGGAACATCGTCAACCAATCGCGCCAACTATTTAACTCTACAGAGATGCAATTGGCTGTTTACTACGCATTTGATGAGTCAGCCATTTTGAATCTATCCGAAGCCTCTAGTCTTTCACTTTTCCAAGCGGGCTATCTAGGGGCTCTGGCTCTCTTACCTCTAAGTCAGAACGATAACACCACAGGCATAACCAATCTGTACCTGTCAATTGGAGTCTACAATACAACTTCTAAATCACTCGCGGTCGCTTCTTCAATAACTCAGGACCTGTTTTGGAACTATACCATCAGTGTGTCGCAATACGACTTGGTGTTTCAATGGGACACCAGGTCTTGGATTGAGGTGGTTGATTCTGACTACAACTCTGCCCTCCTGGTGACTGGAAATGTTACTGAAACGAGCTCAGGTTCTAATTATTCCATTTACGACACTGGACTGTACGACCTGTACCTATATTCCAGCGACGATATTAACTATTTCGATAATTCGTTAACTAACTCTCTCTCTGCTATACAGAATGGACCATATCTGGCAACGTCGGCCAAGAACGTAAGCATAGACGACGGGTCAGGTATAAAGAACTCTTCAATTCTGGCTATTGACAAGTCCATCTCTGTGCGCGAAGGCTCCGTGAAAGAGCAATTTCACGTTACAGGATTAAACTCCTCAACCACGTATGCCGTATACTTGACTAAGAAAATCTCCGACAAAATGCTTACACTAAGTTCCGCTGGTGGCGTTTTATTCTCCAAATCAACTTTAACTACAATGCACGACGACTCGTGCTCTCTGATTTTTGATTTGGACTTCTGCGATGGTGTTGCGTATTCTGTTCCAACTTCAAGCTTAGCCCGGGGTAACAAGACTGCTATTGCTCTCATGTATGACAATATCGCTGAATCCTTATATGCAAACTTCAGTAAAGCCTTACAAATTGTGCCTTGTGACACGGAGCAAGACGCATTGTACACACCGCTGCGATCCTGCGACGACTGTGCAGAAGCGTACAGAAATTGGCTTTGCGCGGTGAGTATACCGCGATGTACCACAGTCGAAACGAGCTTTTACATTCACAGAGATAAAACGGAAAACAGAAACGACTACTTGAATCAAGAAATTCAACCGCTGAATGATTATTATGAAGTTTTACCTTGTATTGATATGTGCCACAGTTTGGTTACTGATTGCCCCCCGGATTTTCAGTTCTCGTGTCCCAGCAAGTCTTACGAAACCGATCTCATGTACCAAAGCTATAACGTTTTCGAAAAAGGTCATCCTTTTGATACATGCAATTTCGTTGGATCATCTCAAAATCTGCAAATTGTAGGGAGCTAATTTCTGAGTTAAGGCTCATCGCCGTCATCTTCTAAGCCTCTCTTTACACCATTAGTAGCGGGCTCTGTTGTTTCAGTGCTCAATTCTGGCTCTGTTTCGCATTCAAGGTCAGCCTTGGCTTGCTCCTCTAGCTCTTGTTTGCGACCATTATAAACGGTTTGAGCATTTAATAACTCCTCTTTCACGTCAACTGAAGATCCCTTCTCCAACACCTTTTCAAGGACTTGAGTCCATACTGCTTCGTCATTTGCGGTGAAATCTTCCATGTTGAAAACGTTGTTTCTCTCCAAAGCCCACTCTTGTTGCTGACAACGTATTAACTTCACCATATATGAGGAAGATCTCAAGGCCTTGCCGATGTCACTGATTAGGGACCTTATATAGGTTCCAGATGACACTTTAGCCTTGAAGTGCAACAGCGGCGCTTTGTAGTCGTCGCCTTGGTCGACCAGCTGTTGAATCTGCTCATCGTTAAGCGCTATTGGGGGTTCTACCCGGGCTTCTTCTGAATCCCAAGCTTGCGACTCGCAGAACTGTTTCGAAAAATATAATTTGTCCGTAAGTAAATTCTTCTGCTGGCTCAATTCAGAAACTATTTCTTCACTCTCTTTCGTCGTAGGTTTCATTAGCTTATAATTATGGTCCCTAGTCAAAGAGTCTGAGAAAATGTTTAAATCGTAAATTTCCACTTGTCTGGGTTCAATTGCTCTAGGCAAAGGCAAGCCTTCGCGAGCGTACTGATGTAGGGGTTTGCCGTTCATCTTGAGGGCGGCAAAAATTGGAGGCGTTTGTTTCAGAGACCCAACTAGTTTTTTTTCCAAGGACTTCAATTCATCCATTGTCAAATGGTCCACGGCATGCATTGATAGTATTTCTCCCTCTACATCTCCAGAGGTAGTTGACACACCGAAGAGAGCCTCGCTTTCGTAAACTTTAACGGTGCCAGACAAGTATTCGGATAGCTTTTTCGTACCAGTTCCCACGCCTACGACAAGTACTCCGGATGCCAAGGGGTCAAGCGTACCTCCGTGCCCCATTTTCACTTTGGAAACGTTGCGCAGTTTTCTCTTGCTTGGGACTTTGCCAGTTTCGCGCTGGTACTGCTGCATTCTCTCAGCAGTGGCACGCTGAATTTCTTTGGAAAACACTGCACTTTTCATTAGCACATTTTGCAATTTCAACAGGAATTGGCTCGATGAGATGCCACTTGGCTTTTCGATCGCAAAGATACCATTCATCTTGGATATGGTGATCTCTTGTGTCTATTTGGAGTATTCTTTAGCCGACGAGCGCTATGATGAGGTATGCGCATCTTAAAAAATTATTCACTCATGTAGGACGAAAAAGGTTTTGGTATCTGGAAATCAAGCTGTGTATGACAGATGGTTAGTATGCGTTAATTGAACTCCGTTGGAACCCTTTGCAACATCTTTAAATTTTTGATAACATACCGAGAGAAAGCCTGATCTTTTGGGTGAGATCAAGCGCAGGTTTTTGTCCTGGAAAGCTGCCGATTTGTTTAGCGCCTGCACGTACTCTTCGAGCTCCAGTAGCGGACTTTTCGTAGCTCTTATCAATAAGCTATTCCATATCTGGAAAGTCAAGGTATCCAGCACCGCATTCACCGAGTCCATTCGTGACGCATGGTGAAAACCATTGTACAGATACTCATTAATCGTTTCAATAATTTTCTTGAACTCTGAATCACTTAAGTAGTCGCTTAAGGGACTTACCGACGCCATTCCAAATGCTTGACCTTGGTAAATACCTTTCGCAACAAATTTTCCATTTGTCGTGTGCTTGACCAGCGCTGCAGGTTCTTTACCAGGCAATTGGGTCGAGAAATTGGGAATATCTACATAAGACTCGAATCTGCGCGGAATTCTGACCAAACGGGTCTCCTTAAATGACACAGATTCGATAGGAACGTATACATTTGGAAAATGCGTAATACATAGAGCCTCATCGTCGCTATGATCGCAAACCAGCGAGGTTCCTAATTCCGAGTAGCTTGTTACGCAAAACTCATGGTAATTAAAGAACAACGCCTTCTTGGAGTCTGAGACTTCCAGATTATCCTTTTTGGATTCCAAACTCACCAGCGTACTATCCATGCCCCGCTGAAGGCCTCTGCCTCGTGTTATATTTTAGCTTTGATACAAAAGTCGGTCACTACTTAAATGATATTTTCTGCAATTCATTCAAATACTCAGAAAACAACATCTTAGAGAAGAAGAATTATCGAAGAGAAACCTAGGAGAAATGAGCACCCCAGAGAAAGAGTTCATCACCAAGTTCATCTCGCTTGCGAGTTTGAAAACCTCTGAATTAAGCGCTGAAAGTAAAAAGCCCCTTCACGATGTTACGAATTTGGGCGTGGCATTGCCAGCTTTGAGATATAAATATGATCACAAACGAGCAAAAAGGAGTGCATTATCTGGATCAGCCTCCGCAACAATCGAACTACGCCTGAAGTCTATCCGTGCACCCAAATTCTCTTATTCTAGAGAGTTTTCCACTTCTCAAACTATATACCAGGTCAAACAATACTTGGTCGAAGCTGAAGAATCCATCGTCGATTCCTCGCAAATCAAGGTCTTGCTGAAGGGAAAAGTCTTGCATGAAAATGTCTTGTTGTCCGACTTGAGGACTACCGAAGCCGATTTAGTAGTAATGGTCTCGAAATTGGATACACCCGCTCCTATTCCACAGCCGGCCAGAGCTGACACGTTTCAGGTACCTTGGACCAAAATCCAAGCATTGTTACAAGGAGAAGTTGCAGACCCCAAGGATGCGTCTACGATGCTTGAACGACTAAAACAAGGTTGGCACGCAACAGAGCCAAGTGATCTTGATTAAGGGGCCAAAACTTTCATCTCAATTTAATGAATTAAATACGAGTTTATACGTTCTCCGTTAAATCACCAATATACACCGCCTCATTTTCTTCGTATTTGTCGAACCTTTTCTTTTATGCTATTGTTCCAGTGTGCTGCAGTAAGGCTTCTTCTGAAACCGTAAACCTCGGAAGATAATGCATTCTCGACAAATTCTGGTCCCATCGTGAGATCTCTTTTGGCGCCGCCAGTGGCAGAAGGTCTGTTACCCATTATATCAGCGTAGTTTTTGAGTTTCAAACGTTGCGACGTAACGTACTTGCGGCATCGATCAATCTCTTCTTGATTTAAGTTGTTCAGAGATATACGCCTCTTGAAAATAATGCGGTCAAAAATATTTTGAGGATCCAATAGCTTCTTAGGAACCGTCTGTAGCACTTGAAAAATCTCTATATCCTCATCGTCTTTACTAGGGGCTTTATTTCGCAAAACACGGTGATTTTGACGTGCTATGCCAAGCTCTTGTTCGCAAATTCTCAGTATCGAGAGTGACACTTTGAAAAGTATGTGGGATTCTTCGTAAAACAAGCAATCCCAGATTCGCAGAGTAGTCTCTATAGGTACGATACCGACGAAGCAACTCATAAACCAACTTGCAGTACACAGCGTAATTGGTGGAAGCTTGTAGAGAAATTCATTGTTTCGACTTTGTTGTTTGGAGACAATTCTATGCCAAAATTCGGGGAGGTATTCTTTAACACAAAGCATAAGTACACCTTGGTCGACGTTAACACCCTCGAGATTTACGTTGTGAACTCCAGGCAAATACCGAGAAGTTATAATGACCAGCATCCAAAATGTTTTCTCCTCATCAAGAAAGAGTAACAATAGGCCCGCAAGAAAATTCATGGACTGACAGTAGCCAATCTTAGGATTATAGACGGAAAACGCCAAGAGTACTCTTCGCAACGATTGAATCATGAGAGGTTCTTCATTGTCGGTAGGTTGTCTCTGAAAATGTATGTTCTCGGGGAAAGTTCTATGCAAATCTCGTTCTATTACCTCTAGGTCTCTACCAGAGGATTTGTCATTTCTTTCATTAAAGTTTGTCAAAAGCTGGTCGTAAAGACCTTTATTCTTATTGAGCTTCTCCTGACCACGCGCAAAATGCCACCAAGCCTGTCCCCTCCATTCGGCTGGGATACCTTTGCGCACGTAACGTTTCAATTTCTCGCTCCTCGGGGGAAATCGGTCTGGAACATCATTGTCGGATCCCAACCCACTTTTTTCGAGCAAATCTTGCCATTTGCGTTTACGGCGGATGCAATATCGCGAGTATTCGTCCCACCATTCGTGATACTCTTCCTGCGAGACATGAGCGTTGTGCTTCTTGAAGCCGTAGCGATCATACTCTGACAGATCTTTGCCCACGCTAGGCCTCCTGGGGCTATCTGCAGAGGCAGAATTGGTTGAACTGCGAGGCACGTCGGAGTTTCTCGCTGCTTGTTCCAATTCTTCGTCATCGTCCTCTTCACCACCATACAAGTCGATCAAACTTACATTTGTAGATTCTTCAGCCACAGAAGTTGTATTTAGCTGACTTTGGGCTCTCTCGGGAGATAGGCGTTTTTTAAAGTCCTCAGTGAACGTTTCATTCAAATTCGGTACAGACGGCGACTTGGAAGTCAAGTAGACAGGCCGTCCACCATTGATGGGACCGAATTCGGCACTGACGAAATGATCTGTGGTCGAATTCCTGCTCATAGCTCCTCGATTACTCAAAAGTGACTTGCTCAGGGTATTATTGTGAACCTTTTGCTGTAAGGCATCGAATTGATTCGATCACATTTTGAAAATGTAAATAAAAAAAGACAGTCTATGTAGTGAACAAGAGCTTGGCTTCCATTAAAAAGCATCCATTATACATGCCTAAAAGTATACGAAATTCTAACCTATCCATTCCTCAATTAATCATAGGGGAACTGTGAACTGTAAATCATCTTTTGCCGCAAGGTTTGTGCGTGAGAGAAAACCGTATAAGTGCAGATGGCTTTCTCACGATGGCTTTGACCTGACAAAACGGGTGAGGATTTTGTTCGGTATTTCACAAGAATGGCTCCCCAATGTCTAAGTCTTGATTTTGCTCGATGAATTCGAGTAACCGTTCAGAAAAATTCTAAATTGCACATTAGTAGACGAACTGCACTATATATCCGGTGTATCTACAAAGCATTTGATAATTTCAAGGATAAATTTCTGTACAGCACAAAATGAATACGTTTTCCAGCGGATTCAAGTTGACTTCACCCCGCAATTCCATGAACCGATGAAAAGGTCAAGGTTGTTTACCGTAACTTGTCAAAGAATGAAGGTATTTTAGTAGCAGCCAGCCAAGCAAACTGTAGCTAGCGGAGATCTTCCCTTTATACCGTAACGCGTTTCTTCTATGCTTTATCTTGACTGTGCAAGAAAGGTGTCACTGAGTTTTTCCTTGCAAGTAATGTATGCAGCGAATGAAAAAATGGGTTTAATTTGATAAAGTGCAGATGTGCTAGGTATATTGCTAGAGTTGTCGCCACAATTAGATCTAGACGTAATTCCAAGAGCTCAAAAGGCTAAGAGATCGAAGTTTGGTGAAAAGTTGAACACATTTTTGAATCTCGGCTTATGACTGGCAGCTTTTTGACAAGATTTCAATAAGATCACAAACGTGCCAGAAAATGGTCAAAAAAACCTCGTGGCGCTATGACCAAACCCCGGAGAACTACACCAGCTGCTTAGGTTTGGCTCTGGGCGATGGCATCATCCTGTGGACCCAAAATGATCGATCAGTTGGATACTATCACGATGTTCAGTTCCAAAGCTACTGCGACGACAAGGCGCCCGTTTACTCAGCTCTAAGACGCACCAACGAGTCTTTTCCATACCTAGATTTGATTGAAGAGGACTGGAAAGTTTTCACGGAGGGCGGAAATGACCACGGTCCTTTCAAGTACAGCATCTACGCGATCTTGTTATCATTCACAGCCAATTTCGTTATAGCTCTGTCACTAACAGTAATAGTATTTATCACGATTCGTCAAAAGCCATATCGCGGCGCTTCTAACCTCCTTAAACTTGGGAGCTCCCTGGCCTCGGTGAATCTCACAATTTTTGTCGTCAAGGCTTTGAAAGTTCTCAGAGACGACCATGCCACTAAGGGTATTGTATCCACAGACGCTGTCCTGAATCTGTTATGGAATGACCTGACATTTATGAGCTTGGATTTTTTGGTTGTTCTGATTTGCGAGCTATGTCAGGTTCAAATCATAATGCGACTTTTCTCTCGTGTTCGCGAAAAGAGAATTGTGTTTCTGGTCGGTGTTGTGCTTTCTATTGTCTCCCAAGTATTATGGGCAATTCCTACGTTTACTCAGGCTATTAGTGAAAATCACCAGGATTTGTTCTATGATGCTAGTGGTCTCACACTTTTGTCGCCCTTCGTATATCTACTTCGAATCGCACTTTCCGCATCTTACGCTAGTATTATCTGTTTTCACATCTTCACTAAGCGGCAGCTTTGCTTACAGAATCAACGAATGGCCTTGTTAACGGTAATAACGATACTAATGGTGTTGCTACAGCCTGGTTTTTTTGTCGCTGATGTAGCTAATATTTGGGTCGATGATCTCAGTGAGATTTTCAATACTACTTGTTACGTCGGATCTGCCGTAATTGTATGGGAATGGGTGGATCACCTGCTGATTCTAGAAAGAAAAGTGCAAGCTCAGAGTGTACTTGGACGTCCTGTATATGAAGATGACCAACAGGATTATTACTTTGCCAAATACGCCTTAAAAATGCAAGATGCGATATCACGCGATAGCGGCAAAGCAGGGACTTCCAGCAGTTTAGGTGCGCAAGATGCTGAGATTCCTAATCAAGTCGCACCGCCACGGGATACCAACAAGGTCGAATTCAATGAATCTCAGCCACTTAAAGACGTGATTCTTGAAAAAGTCAGTAAAGTTGTAGATGGAATGACATACTATACTGATCATTTCATAGTCAAGCGTCTCGTTATAAAAACATTAAGTTTGCACTCCAAAGGTAGTAGCGATGATTACAGACAGAGGAAGGCTACCGTGAGGCGAAGAATCGGACTCGACAGACCTAATGAGGTTTACGTCTATGCTACTAAAGACGTAGTGTTTGATTCCGACGAAGAATTGTACAACAGCCAGGAGAACTTGGGTAATCAGGATTCAAATTCCTAATACAAAGGCTGAAGTCAATGGAAGGTATTTGGTTAACAAGGAATAGTATGGGTATATAGAAAATTCTATCAACGAAGTGTGTTACATTCCTAGGTTATGGCTAAGTAACAATTGGATCAAGTGTAATATTCCCATTCGGTGAAAGCCTCACGAAAGGTCTTGCAATGCAAACTGATTGGGTATTTCATGTACTTAACGCCGCTTCTTGTCATTCTGTAGTTTTCGTTGACATTAAGAACGTAATCGTTCTCAATGTTTTTGCCCCAAATACTCTTTCGTCTTTTAGTACTTTTGAGCCAGTGTAATCTTCCGAAACCTGAAACAGGGCTGGCGTGCGAAACACAATCAACAACATCTCCCGTGAAGAAGACGGAGGGAAGGTAATCTGAAAGGTCTTGGGTTATGGTGTTTACTTTCAAGCGAATTCGTTTTTCAAACTTTTGTGCTTGGTCTTCAGTGCCATAGGATCCTAATATAGATTTTAGCAAAGGATCGATGTGATAAGAGATACGTTTTTTCAAAAAGCGCTGGAAGAGCAATTTGGAGGACAAGGACTTTTCGATGTAAATGTAGAATGGCAATTGATTTCTCAAAAACTCGGAGTCGATACTAAGATTGGCGGTCTTATGAAACTCTTTGACCAGCAAATTGTTCAATTTATCAACATCCGTTTTGAAAACATGCTGATCGCTCCTGATGAATTTAAATTGCGAAAGTGACTTAATGATTGCATGATATTCGTGTCGGGCTCTAGTCATGGTATCGCAATACTCTGCGTTTGTAAGCTTTTTATGATTTTTCTGATTAATATCGATAAGCTGAGCTTCGTCGTCAATCTTTGAATTATGAAACTTCAATTTAATTAACTCTGGCGCCTTGAACTTTGTTCCTTTATTTTTCCTTTCAATTCGCATTAGTTTAAATGGTTTTAGTCGACCTACAACTGTGCGAGGAATATCTTTAAAAGGCTCGTCATTGTATACCATTCCACTTATTGAGGCATCCCAGGGAATGACAGGTTTCTTGGCGGCTCCAGACTTATCAAATGAGACATGTATGTCGTCGGATTTCAGATCGCTAATGATGCCTTGGATGTCGATTTCTGATGACTTGGTTTCATCAGTGACCTTTTTGATCTTGGTTATCGTGCTGAAGATTCCGTCAAGATTACCGGAGGAAGTTGCGGTTTTCACGGAAAGCTCACCTAGAAACAGCGGCCTGTGGCCTGCGAAAAGGCCCTCTGTGTGAACTTCGTCTTGTTGAATATGATCTGTAGAATTAACTTTTGGAACCAAAAATCCAGGCGTCCTATTGTTCTTACCAAACGTCCGGTTAGATGCCAGTCTTGAATCAGGTTTAGACTCAGAATTTGCAGTTCTGTTAGGTGTTGAGTCAGTCTTCACGTCCTTTGAGCTCCCATTGTTGTTTGACGAGCTGATGGTCCTTGAGCTAAGCAAAAAAAAGGCCGCTCTGTTATGCGCTCGACTAATACGCGAATGACGGTACTGAAAAGTTCTCAGCATATGTTATTTGCAACACTTCTCAACGATTGTGAGTTCAATCAAGATGGCGTAATACTCGTAGAACAACAGATAGCACTTCCTAAAACAAGTACCTTATTAATGCAGTACTTTGAAACTACAGCGTTCGCTGATATCAGCAAATCAGAGAGTGATCGCGCTTTGTCCAACTCGCGAACTATGACTGAATTTAATTATTCTAAAGCTCCAATCAATCTCATCTCATCAAGCAAGCTAGCACGCGACTTTTAAAATGATTCTGGACTGATAGAGTCTCGCCATAATATATCTACCATCCGCGATAGTTTAGTGGCTAGAATTCGGGCTTGTCGCGCCCGGGACCGGGGTTCAATTCCCCGTCGCGGAGATTTTTTGAATTTTTGCGTACGGGCACCATTGGGCAGTAAGTAGTATTATAAGATACCTCCTTTCGGGGTACGCATGCCCGGTGACTTTGAATCAGTAGCGAGGTACAATTTTATGATTATTGGTGAAACCGGGGCCGTAAATTTTTGTATATATACTTATAAAGCCCCCTCCATTCTTGCCATTACTTCACTTTCTTATCCAAAATCAAACAAGACCCACAGATCCAAGTTGCCTCAGTCAACGTCGACGTGAAAGTCCAGATTTTTAAAATGTAACTTCAGGCGTCAGCACGGATTGTTTTCGAGGAATACAGATATCGATAGAAAACTCTATATCAATGGCTATAGAATGCTTATTACCCTACAACAATACACCCGACTTAAAGATCAGAGCATTAAGGCAAATAATTTAAGGCACAATAATTAGGCCATCCTCTTCATGCTCCTGAAGCGAATTAACTCTCTTAAGCACGTGATCAGGATCTGATTTATCGTTGTCACTTCATCGTGCGCAGTAAACTAAACTTCCTTAAACTAATCAGCAAAGGAACAGTTTCAGGCTCAAGTGGTTGAATCGCTTAACTTAAACTGCATGTCTACAAAAATTCCTTTTGAAAAATTCACGGAACAGCTTTACCGGGAATTACATGCCTTGTCCGCAGAGTCAAAGCGCAGAAATGCGGAAATCAAACATGCTAGCGACAAATCCCAGGAAATCCTGAAGGTCGTCACCGGGTTTGACGACCTTACGCGACACCCTGACTTTGTGGTGCCATTCGTGCTATCTTGTGCCTCCAGAAATGCTAAACTCACCACGATCTCGATGCAATGCCTGCAGAAACTTTCCTCGGTCAAGTGTCTCCCCAGTGAACGAATTGAAGATGTGCTCAATGCATTTATAGATTCTACGCATTTAGCGGTGGAAATCCAACTAAAAGTTTTGCAAATAATTCCTATTTTCTTCAAAACCTATGACTATGCCATCACAGGCAAATCGTGTTCTAAGCTTTTGCAATGCTGCTCGAGTCTCTTACAACAACCCAACAAGGCACCAATGGTTGTTGGTACCGCTAGCGCAACTCTTCAGCAATTGATCAATGATATCTTAGACAGAGCCATCATACCAGAAGAGAGTCCAACTATGCGCGTAGCTATAAACAATACTGACTCTATTGAAGTTGGCGCCTTCCGCTACGATGCCAACCGGCTATTCTTTGACCTTTGTAATCTGAAAAGTGGGTCTTACACTAGTCAGGATAGCATTCTGAATATCGAGAGTATATCAGAAGACTATGGCCTCGAAATAATAGAAAGTGTACTCAACAATCATTATAAGTTGTTTGAGGAATGTGCTGATCTACAATTCATTCTGAAAACTAGAGCTGTACCACTTTTTCTGAGGTCAATCTCGGCATCTAATAATTTCCCGATAGTGATCAGAAGCGCCAGGTGTTTGGTAGTGCTTATCAGACAAGAGTTTTTGAAAGTTTTAGAGCTTGAGCTTGAGATTATTCTGTTTTTATTAATAAACATTCTATCCAACGAAATAGAGTCGCCATTATGGAAAAAAATCATTGCTTTAGAGATATTTCAGCTTGTCTCTAGGAAATTCGACCTCATACTGGGCATATTCAAATGCTATGATATATTTCCAGATCGCAAACAAATATTGACAAGTTTATTGCACGCATTTCAAAATTTGTTGAACTCAAAAGAATATCAGAACTACTTGAACATTTCGCCGGTGCTGGCCAAAGGTGGAACTTCAGTGATATCGCAAGATAACTCGGTAGCCAAAATTCCTCTTATCGAACTTCTCGATAAACCAGGACCTTCCCTCATTGACCAAACCTATGTTGTGTATTTGATTCTATCAGTCACTAATCAAATTTCTGACGGCATTGGCTCTTATGCCGCCAAAATCTACCAGAAGGAATCAGAAAATAATGACCCTGACGCATTCAAAGCGATGTACAGTAGCCTCTTTGCGGCTCTTTTTTCCCTGCATAAGGCATTCCTATATTCTTCCACCTTAGACACTCCTCTTTTTCACTCAGTTATAAGGGCATTTCAAAAAATATCGCATGCGGCTGGAATTCTTGAACTTAACGACAAATTGAACGAATGTCTGAACTTGTTTGGTGTCGCTGCGGTAAATGGGTGTACGCAGAGCTCAGAAGTCTTGACGACGAGCAGTGCTGATCACAGTGTAAATGCAGCAACGGCGGTACTCAATACAATCAGCGGATCATTGATAGGTCAGGGTCAACAACCAAAAGAATACACAGATGAGTTTTCTTGGAGCCCGCGTTCAATTCATCCTCGAGCTGTAAGCGTTTTCAGAGCATTAGTTTCGCTTTCGATATCATTAGGTTCTAGTTTTGATTGTCAAAATTGGAGTAATTTTTTGAAAACCTGGCAGTGGATGGCATACTATTTTGATGGTCTTTCAAGAGATTATGAAGGCTCCCACCATAATCCAAGCATCGTTCATGGCTCTCAAATATCAAATTCGGATGTACTTGCGGCTAAGACAAGCATTTCAAAGTTTTGCGAGAGCACACAGTACTATTCAAATCAGAGCTTCTATAAGTTGACACAAAGTTTGATCTACCAGGCATCAGATTGTCTTAAATTGGTAGAAAGTCAAGATTCATCGGATGGCCACGCGCCTACTGATGGACAGGGCCAACTTTCCATCTGCGCTTACAACGAAGACTTTTTTATCGTGCAATTAGGTGAGCTCAGCCGCCTCAACATAACAAGGCTCCTTAAAGAAAGCAAGGGACGGCCAAATTGGAACCTAGTCATTGAATATCTGGTCGATGTGGCAGCTAGCAGAAGATACAAAAATGAGTCGCTACGATTATGTGCGGTTGATGTGCTCAACGAAATAATAGGGACAGCTGCAAAGGAATCCACTAAGCTCGACTCCACTTCGGGTTTTGATCCCGAGGCACTTGAAAGCACATTGTTGATGGCAATGGCGAAATTAACTGAAAAAATAGTAGTATTGGGGCGCTCAAGAGAGGCAGTTCACAATGGTTTCATAGAATCAGAGTGTGATATAGTTTTCCAAGTGCTTCGCACCTTAAAGGGATTATTAGACGTTTTTGGAGATTCTTTGAAAACTTCGTGGGACACAGTTTTCAGTATACTAAACTCTCCATTCGAAGTTATACGTCAAAACTCTGCTCTTCAATCTTCAATTCTTGAAGAAGATAGCTCAATTTTAGATGTTATCACATCAAAGCACAAGGGTATGACACAGGTCTCATTCGACGTCTTCAAGCTCATATTTGATGATTTTCTACAGACTTTACCTTTAGGTGTCTTTAAAGATGTGATTGACACATTATCAAACTTTGTCAGACAGGACCGAGACTTGAACATTTCCTTTTCGTCAATAAGTCAATTTTGGCTGATTGGTGACTACTTGAGAACATGCATATCAAAAAACGACAGGCAATTTACGGATTCGCAAACGTCTGATTTTGTAAAGAGCGTAGAGCAAGGGAAGCTTGTCAATTTGATTAGGTCGCGCAGCGATGAACCAAATGGTATGTTTTATGGATTATGGCTCTATCTACTGAAAACATTGGTGGAGTGCACTGACGACCCTAGAGTTGAAGTGAAAAATGGTGCAATCCAAACCTTTTTCAGGATTGTAGACTCCCATTCGAGCTCCTTTCCGCCTTGGGAACTGATCATTCAGGAAGTAATGAAACCTCTATTGAGTCAACGCCTCATTTTCGAAGAGTACTTGAAAAGCACTGAGTTCATTGATTTGACATTGAAAGGATTGGTTCAAATGTACTCCAACTACTTTACGAATTTTTCTGAAACTTCGGATTTTGTTGAAGTGTGGGAATTATTGGTTCAGTATATGGCAGAATTGCTCAGATTACCATCGTTTGAGATATCATTCATCGTTTTGAGCAATTTACAATCTTTGTTGAAGGCACTGCAGAAAGTACCAAGACTTCCTAATCTAATTGTGCTGGAAATCTATGAAATGTGGGGTAGCTACAACATGGTTTACACCGACTCATCCAAGTCGACAGAGTTTAAACGGAAAACAAACTACGAATGCGTCGAAGAACTTATCCGATGTTATCCTTTTTTGCATCAGCTCTTGAGCAATGCATCTCTTCTGAGTAATGAGAAGGTTGAAAAGACTCTGACACTACTGAATTCGGCAGCAAGATATCCGTTGCTACCTGAGTTTTCAACCGATAGCCAAAAACCTTCATCCTTACAGCAAGCGGTACTTGAATCAGTAAAGGTTTTCGAATTGGGGCAAAGTTCTGAAATAGAACTACTAATTTTGAACCAGATTAGCACCATAGTCGCACTTCCGTTCGAAACAAGAAATCGCATTGAAATGAAACTTGGTCCAAGACTGAGCTCAGCATCGAAGAAGAGGATACCTTCATTTGAAGCAATAAGTTATGAAGTTTGTGAATACTTGACGCAGAGGCTCAAGAATACGAGCGACTTTGACGCTCAATTTGTAACTTCCAAAAAGCTTTTGAAGCTTTTGAAAAACTTGAGCGTTCCTGTTGCTTGCAAGTCACTAATTGGTAACAAGCAAGGCGGATCGGCTGCTTTGTGGACGATTTCGTCGAACTGCTTCTATCTGATTGCTGATAAAATTTTACGTGCGTTGAATAGCACAGAAATTGAGAGTTCTGTCTCGGAGGATATTCAAAAGTCATTTATGGATCTTTTCATAGAGGTTGCCATTGCGCCATTAAAACGCATTGATCCGGTCATTGATGGAATTACAGAAGCCTGTGACATTGAGGAATTTGAGCAATACCGTAACCTTTTGCTCAAAAATCTTCGCACTAACTTCCCCCTGGAAAGTCATCTCGAAAAGTATATGTCTGCCGTGTGGTCAGCTTCTTTTTTCCATGAAGTCGACGATATCGAAGATGCTCTTATTAGAGAAAGTGACTCACTTCATGAAGTAGCAGCAAAACTAGCTAATTTCCCTTTTGATGAGGTTTTGGGATCGACACAAGAGCAGGTGCTTTTGAGCAAATATAAAACTGCTTCGATATGTCTCCGCAACTTGATGGAGATCGCTAAATTTGAAGGATTAGGCCACGACAGACTGAGATCGGTTTGCGTACCGTTCATGGTGGCGCGATACGCTTTCATCATGCGCAGGTATATTTCTGATGTGATACTGTTAAATCGCAAGCCAATTGCAAAAGATAGAAAAACGGAGGTCGTTCTGGTATTGAGCGGCCTCAAAGAAGTCCTCGATTGTGTCGCCAGAACGAAGGGTGCACCCGGGTATGATGGCACTATTCAAAATCTGGAAGTTCTGTACCCATTGGTTCTCAGGACCATCCCAGCATCCCACAAAATAGAAGGCCTTCAAGCCATTGTACAAGAGCTTTCGCTGGATTTTACAAAGCTTTTAAGATAGATCATTCCATTAAGTCATTATTATATCCTTCCAAATAGCAACTGTACGAGGTTATGTAAAAATTAAAGTCTAGAGTAGGGTAGTTCATGGGTTCATTATTTCTTCCACTCCAAAAGTGGATTTAGATCAACTGGATCACAGCTCATATCAAAAAAGCTGTGATGCAGCAATTCTTCAGTTGACGCTCTGTACTTTACATCAACGCAAAGACAAACGCTTAAAAATCTTTTGATCTTCAGAGATAGTGCCTCTGGTTGTTTCAATTTTGGTGTTCCATTGGTTGCAATCAAATAAAGGGCTTTGAGCGGATCTTCATTTAAGTAAGGTGGTTCCCCTTCCAACATTTCGATTGTCATAATACCTAGTGACCATACGTCTACTTTTTCGTCATACTCACGTTGCTTCACCACTTCGGGTGCCATCCAATATGGCGTTCCGACCATAGTGGCCCGTTTGCTCCTTTTGTCGGTGAGTTTTGCGCAGAAGCCAAAATCTGTGATCTTTACTCTGGAACGGGTATCTAATAACACATTATCCGACTTGATATCCCTATGAATGATGTGCTTGTCATGCAAAAACTTGAGACCTTGACACGTCTCACGCACGATGTAGGCAATTTGAGGCTCTGTGAGTGGTGAGAAATTACTGCCGTTATTGGGACTATTCTCGATCAAATCAGTCAATGAGCCCCCCTCCATATATTCCATGACGACCCATAAGTCATCTTCAGTCTTCAAATATGCTTCCAAAAAATTTACAATATTTTTGTGCTGAGAATCCTTCATCACTAAAATCTCATTGACTATCAATTCCTTTCTAGGTTGCTTGGAGAGAATCATTTGTTTGATGGCAACTTTGTCACCAATATGTTGCTCGCCTATTTGCTCATTCAAATTACCTTCCTCATACGTTGGTAATTGCGTCCTCCGTGCCAAATAAACGGATCCGCTTGCTCCCTGACCAGCCTTTTCTACCATTTGGAAGAAAGGGCTTGGATCAGTATTGAACGTCACGCTTTTCAACTTAGCCATGATTTCTGCGTTAGACATAGTAGGCTTTGTAGGTTTGCGTTGCTTCGTGACACCCACATCCTTTTTGGGATGTGTCATATCGGGCTTCTTTGGGGCCTCTCTATTGGGTTGCAGATAATTGGGACCAGCTTCTGGCTTTATTTGCTGTCTCATAGCTACAGCGGCTGCAGTACTTGCACTTGATTCTGCAGGCAACTTGGGACCTGCAGGGGCAGCTCTTTGGGGATGGAGTCTCGGAGGCGGAGTTGAAGAAGTAGAATAAGGCGAGGGATTGTTGGGCGGGCGCTGTGGTGCACGTCTTTGAGCATTTTGTTCGGAGCTCGATGATGACGATGACGGATTAGGTCTCGAAGCGTATGGATTTTGCATATTATGCTGATAGCGCGCCGAATCCTGTGGGTGGACAATGGGTCGTTGTGGTGGTGGCGTCTGTTGTTGAGATTGTTGCTGATGTACTTGTTGCATCTGTTGAGACGGGAGTGGTTGTATTGTCTGTTGCTTCAATGGAAGATGAGAGTTTTGCGGAACGAGAGGAACCTTATTAGCAGATGGCGATGGTGAAGGCAAATGCGAATGAGGCGGCCTGTTTTGAAGCGGTGAGGCAAATTTGGAATTGAAAGATTTGGGGTATGCTTGCAAAGAGCCCTGGGATTGTTGGTACGAAGTTGATACCTGTAAGTTAGGGCGATGAGATGTGGGCCCGGAAGGGGGGGTTGGTGGCTTCCTCTGTGGAACTAAATCTGTTGAATTCTGCCTGCTTTGTTTCGCACCGAACTGTGGTTGCGGATTGAGAGGTCTTGGCAATGAAGATGACGAAGATGAAGCAGATGCATTACTGATACCAGCACCAGTCGAGGCACCAGTACCCGTACTAGTGCCGTTACCTGCACCGTTATACTCCTGGTAAAATTGCAAAACCTGGATTACTGCGGCAGAGTTGTTATTCCAGTCCTCACCTGTGATTCGCGAATGTTTGAGTAGTTTTTCCCAGTTCGAGGGCATTCCGACGAAAGAACCAGTTTCTGGATCAAACCCAACGTGTACTTTGTGTGTAAAATTTGTTGGCGATGAAACTCCACTGAGTAATGGACATTTGGCAAAAATGGAATCGAGCCACGAGTGCAGTTCGATCTCCGTTTTTGTAGAGATGTACATTGTTTTCCGGCTGGAATCAGATCCTGAGGACGACGAGGATGAGGAGGCTGCTGAAAGCGAGGATGCGCTTCCTGCACCATTAGCTGTGTTGGAATTAGTGCTAGAACTACTACCAGCATTACGGTCGTGATTTCTGACGACCTCAAAGCAGTTCTGTTTGAGCTGCGTCCGACTTACGCTCACTATAGTAGTAAGCGGCACCTGAAGAACAGGGTCCTCACTTGCAGAACGTGGCTCGTTCTTGTACAGGGTCAAGTACGAGTCACTCAACACCATGTACCGTTTCTGCCATAAAAATGATAACAGCCCGTCGTCTTTATACTGGATCCAACCGCTTTTCTTACTGTACGCCGCGCGCGACGGGCGAGACTCCCGCGGCTCGCTACCGTTGCGCTTGTCCTTCAGATCCATTTGTGAAAGGTAATTTGTGATCGGCTGCGTCTTATTGTAAGACGCACCTGGCGGCCTTGGAGCAGGTCCAATGTTCTGGAAATCTGTGTCTGAAATCTTGTTGGCAGCTGCTGAGAGTGACATGCTTGTTTCTGAACCAGAAAATAATGGAAGGTGGCTCTTGTATGAGAATTTATGGCCTTCTTACGCGGTTTTTTTTAATAGTTGTTGTCAAACTGTAAGATTTTGTTTTATAATTATCGAACTGTTTGAAAGTATAAGATTCGTGAAAAAAGAGATGGATCTCAATTTGGTGGCGTATCGATCAGAAAAGCCTAATAGAAGCGGTAAATAAGTTTATTGATATTTGAGAAGATGCTGTATTTAGTTAGATAAGGGGATGTTTTGTGTCTCAATTTGGAGACATGTACGCACTCTCTAGTCGCTTTTAACACCTAAAAAAAAATGGAATCAATAAGATACATTGATTTTCTCGAGGTTTCTCGGAAGATTCGGATGGAAACTCGTAACTTCCTTACTTTCATAGACCTATAGTTTGCTTCTTGTGAGTTCAGAAGGTTTTTCTTCGAGCAAAATGTCCAGAGGTTCAAAGAGTGACATTATAGTATATAGTGATGATCTTGGTAACATGGCACACTGTAATACTTTTTAGGCCTGTCGCGAGCGGCAATAATGGCAGGGACATATTAGACAGGCTCTCTTGTTCAAAAAAAGGGAGAAATGGGGCTTCGAAAGCTTCGAAAATGGTTAGTTAATCTCCGAAACCTCACAATGTCAGTATAGTACAAAGTGATACCTTATAAACTTGACAGAATCGTGCACAGTTTATGGATGAAATACCAGTGCATCCATACCTTGAGGCATGGCATATTAGGTGGTTGGATCTAATGAAGTGTCATTACACGGTTGCTTCTTTAACGAAGTTTATCAGTTTGGCGGCATGAGTTTGGAGCATAGCGAATGCCAAAAACGAGAATCACGACAAGCTGTTTCTTCTTCCGATCCGCCAGATTTAGTATAGTTATTGGAAATCCCACAAGTTGAGTTATGAGATGCATTAAAAATAGAACAAAAGGAAAATCTGTTAGTGACATGCTTGCCGCAACAACGTGACGGAACTATATGCTGAATTGTGCTCGATGTACGAATAAACATTGTCGATTCGGATGAAGAGTCTCAACACAGATATCAGGTGAGTTAAATCCTTTCCCATCTCCACTAATTCCAATAACTGATGCGTGATTCTATCAAGACCTGGCCCAAAATAAATTTAATGATCGAAACAGTTTTAGTGAAATAGAAACCTGGAGATTGATGATTTATCCGTATGGCAAAAATAATATTTCCTTGGAGGAGATATTCGTATAACTCAGTCCAAATATCGCAATGTCAGATAAACTATTTGTCACGCCCATCGAAGATACTATAACAATTCTTCAAGACGCGCTTTGCATGATAGAGGCTAAGAAGAAAATATGATTGACTTTTTCGAGGGCTGAAGTGGCAACCTGTGACACTTGGCGAAGTTCATCTCAATAAGGCTCATCAATTTTTCAAAGTCTCTTCTGCATTTCCTAACGTACTTTAGCATTACTAGGATTTCGAGAAATTTGCAAGCTTTGATAAAGTTTCCATGCATGAAACGCAAGCATCATTAGAATACATCTGAGGAGGAATTGGCAATAATCTGGCTAACTGTACAAGAAATTGATCTGGTCAGGTCGGCGTTGCTGACAAAAGGCAAGCTTTGTCGAGTAATCTGGGCGTTCGCACCATTTCATACAGGTGAGAATCAAAGATCTAAAGCCAAATCGTCTCGACAGACCTATAATGATTAAACGTTAATAACTCCTCATAACAATTACAATAATGATACGGTGTTAAAAATAGTATATGCTATCCTTGATGTAACCAAACATAAATCGTTTGTAGACAGGTAGAAAAGGAAAAGGCGATGCTAAAGACCCACTGGTGTGTTATTACTCTCGCTTTCGTGTTAGAACAGTGCGTTCTTGGTCAGCTGTTTGATCCTCAATCATACTGCAACTATGAGGATGGAATTTTAGAATGTAACGTTTCCAAATCAGGGTTTAATTTAGAACTCAATATTGGGAGCAGTAGAAGCGCGAGCGACTCAAGGATGAAAACGGAATCCTTACTTGATACATTCGAAGATAACAAGTTGAATACCACGGCGACTCTTAGTGGTAGTTCCAGTCGTCTTGACATCGGTCGTAGTCCAGCGGTCCTGGGTAATAGTTTTAGTCGTCTCGGTATCGGTCGTAGCCCTGTCCACAGCTTGGAGACTAAGCGAGATTTTGGCGGTCATTTCACCGGTATCTTTAACCCGAGGGCTTCCACTCCCTCTTTTCCTGCTTGGCTGTTAAGCACTATTGAAAGCGTCTTTTCTGATAGCAGTAAGAAACCGAAAATGATATGCTTACTCAGTGCTCAGAACAACACCTGCGTGGAATGGGTAGTATTCAACCCAAGTGCATACCCTGATGGATTCTACCTCGATAGAGTAGGGTTCGCACAACAATGTCGAACAAGAGGGCAGAGCGTTAAATTAAAACGAGCTTCAGAGAAGTCGATTGTATTCACTTGTACCGGCGACAAGGCGGACAAATGTAGAGGGCAGGGTGTTAAATTGAAAGAATCGACGGACAAACTTATGGAATGCACCTGTGCCGGTACCAGGGTGGATAACTGTACGGCTAGCACTTCAGAGATGTTACTAAAGCAATAGAAAGATACACATAAAACAATATAGAATAGAAACACACATTCCATACCGAGAGTTTGGTTTAAAGGAAAATGCCAAGAATGATAACGAGTCTGATTGGGAAAGGATGCTATTGTCATTCACGCTGCTGCAAAAAAAACTTTATGAAATACATTACATGGCCAAGATGGTCTACATTGATAACCACCGCTATCTGTGGAAGAATAGAATATGCTGTCAACTTTTCTGACCGCAGTCATTATTTTATCTCTCGTCCCGATCTAAAATTAATAGTTTTTTAGAATTTAACAAACTTTAGCTAAGGATGTTTCGACTCTCTGCCAGCAACTACCCCGAGGTGATCCCCAGCCTTGCACTATACATTCGCTTCCCTCTCTTGGAAAAAGAACATCGATGCTGCAATTGTTGGAACAGTCAACTTGTAATACCGAATGTTGGTAGATAACCTCCTTGTTAAATTCACTCTCCTTTCGTCACGACAGCATGGTTTTCCTAGGTTGAGCAGGCTTCTGCTTTCTACGTCTTCCTGGCAATCACCAGAGCAGTGGCTCGAGAAGCTCAGCGTCAAATCATTACCCTCGAAAGCCTTTTCGTTCCAGTTCGATAGATCAAGCGGACCTGGAGGTCAGAAAGTCAACAAATGTAACAGCAAATGCACAATGACTATCTACGGTTTCTCCAAATGCTCTTGGATTCCACAAGAAGTAAGAAATCAGCTCATGGAGAAGAACTCTCGATTCTGGGCCAAGTCCAAAGATTGCATTGTAATACAGTCGGATCAGACACGAAGCCGGGAAACCAACCGAGAATTATGTTTGGAAAAACTCGTCAATGAATTTAGAAGTATTTGCTGGTTTGCTAAGCCCGTGAGTTCAGATGATATACTGAAGTGGGACACTGTTCGACGCAAGTCTCATGAGGAAAGGCTCAAAGATAAAAAGTTCAACAGCGACCGAAAACGGCAGCGACAAAATACGAACTGGTCTTGATTATACTTCTTTGCCAGTCTAGCCTCCAGTATTATGTTACTATGCATTCTTATGTATCTCATTTATAGTGCCTGCCCTTTACTGAGCCAGTAGTCTCGCCTCGTCTGGGCATCAACAGATTTCATTCTTATGTCAGGTTTTGAATCATCGTCAAGCATTGTAGCGGGGACTTCATTCAAAGGATCGTAACCGTCATCATCCCCATCATCTGTTGCGTCCAGCCCCATTAATCGTTCGACACTTTTGCTACCAGAATTGGTGCTCTTGGGCCTGCTAGATTTGGCATGTTTAAGCCCGTTACTAGACCCGATCGATTTTTCACCGTTAGACGGTTCTTTATCTCTTGGTTTGCTCTTTTTCTGCTTCTTCTTTGCTGGTTTCTCGACTACATATATGTCTTGTTCTTTCTCTCCGTCACTAACATCTGTGTAAACCTCATTATGAACAATCCTGCCGCGCTTTCGGTGGTACAACTCGTTCTCAGCAATTGCCTTGTTAATTACTAGACTTCTTTCATCTTTGAAATCTCTTTGTTTTCCACGATATTTTATCACATTGCCGAGAATGCTTTTGCCCACTCTATCCTTAAACGTAGCTGTGTCCAGTTCGAAACATCTGTTTGTTAACAGGTCGAATGCTCCTGCAAATGCTTTTTTGATATCTCTGATGTTAAAGGAACCACGACTTATATTGTTATCGGGATCACCAGGATCCTGAATTGCCAGAGAAAATGACGTTCTTGGATTCTGTAAACTGGGGTACTTATCCTTTGACAAGTAAGAGGCTCCGTCACTTTGTACCGATACAGCCACATGATCATATCCGAAATTCTTGCCATAAAGCTCAAAGAGATCTATCAAAAGGATCCCAAGATTTTCCTTCGTATTTATGTCCGCGCTTAATACTCGTGGATGCAGTTGAAGGAAAGCGTACACGAGGCATATGATGCTAAACCCTCCGAGGCCACCGGTATGCACGTTATTGAGTCGCCTTGCGGACAAGAATTGTTTAACGATAAGGACGAGTTCTCTCAATCCAGCCGTTTCGTTTAGCCAACCACGGATTACCTTAGCCGCTTCTAGCCCATTGATTCTTTCGAAAGATACATCAATGTGAATCTGAGACTCAGGTTCCACGAATTTAATGATCGGAACACGAGCCTTCGCGATAACTTCCACCTGCGTAGCCAGTTTGCGACGTTTTAGAAAGCTAGCCAGCGAATACAAGCAGTTTCTATTTTCCTTGTCACCCGCGCTACTGTTTACAACACAATCGATATCGGAACCTGGCAGGTACAAGTCTGTAGCAAAAGACCCAAAAACATGCAAATCAGAGTCTGGCCACAGCGCTTTAACAGCGGATCTTATTTTAGAGATAGTAGCGTTTCTGATAGTGATTTCTTCTTGACTGGGGGAAATGTATGCAACAAAATCTTTGATCTCTAAAGTGAGCCAGTCTGCTATTTCCCGCTGCTTCGAATGATCGTGGTTCAGAATCCAAGGGTAGTCGGAGTTGAAGGTACGCTTCGACGTTGTCTTTTCGTCCTGGTTGGGATACTCGTCGTCGTAGTTATCATAATCGTAATTGCCACTTAATTGCGCGCTCTCGTCTTCTTCGCCACTGCCAGCACTGTCTTCACTGTCGGAGCTCATGCTCAGCGAAATGTAGTCTCGGTTGTCATCAAGGGCGTTGAAAGCAGGTCCCCCGCTTGACGCCTCTTGCTGATCCTGCGCTTCGCCATCCTCGCTGTCGCTATCAGAAATCTCAACCACGTCCAGTTGTTGTGGGGTATCGCAACCGTCGTCCTGTATTAGCACTATTTGGTTTTTCTTCAATCGTTCATCCTCACCATTATTATCTTGGTCTGGGTCGATCTTTTCCAATTCCAGATTTTCGTATTTGTTCAAATGCTTGTTATCCTTATTGAATACGGCAAAATTGCGCTGCGCTTTGCTTAACGATGATTTTCTTAACCTCTTAGCCCGTTTCTGGCTTTCTTTCAGGGCTTCCTTGTTTGTTCTACCGCTGGTCTTATTATTATACCTGCTTGCTCTTAAGCCAGAAGAACTCATATTTCGGGGCTCCATTTTGCCTGGAACTCGGTATTTCAAAACAAACTCCTATCCCTCGCCCAATGTTGGTAGCACAATTGGTGCTTATAGATGATGGGCTGTCAGAATGTCCTTGACGATTTCTACACATGTTTCGTTGTGAACTCATCGCGATGAGCTCAGAAAATTTTCCAATATATGCCCACATGATCAACCGCCGAAGTTGGGTTCAAGATTGGTTGTTAGCTTTTAAACACTCTTAGAAGCCTTGTTCGTCTTGTTTGAAAGTCTTGGTGTTATTTAAGATTGCTTGGGATGTTTTGGTGAGAATAAAGCCAGCTTATTGGATGTTTGGCGGTGCCAGCATCATTTATTGTGCGTTGGTCTTCTAACAGATCAATAACTTGTTCCAACCGATACCCTTTGGCCAACCCATTCTCAATCGCCTTGCAAAGCACCTTTCGCCGATAGTAGGTACGGTTGGTGGCTGGGTCGCGGCGCCAATCGAGACCGTAGGTGGATTCCAAGCGCTGGACCGACGGCAGACCTGCGAGACCGTTGGTATATTCCTGCCACACCTCAAGAACACTCTGGGGTGAAACGAGAAATTGAAAGTTCTCAGGTTGGCTCATACATCTTTTCTTGTTTTCCTCTTTCAACACCGGTTCGTGGGACGTCCAACCCTTGGGACTGGCGTTATTCGTGATATCATCGACGGGCGACTCGGACTCTTGAGGAACGCTTGCGTAGTCTCTAGAAATTCCCAGGACACCTCTTCCGATGGGTACACTAAGGACCGGGGTCATGTTGGTGCCCTGTCCGTCACGATTTGTATTATCTGTTGTGCCTGACATGCAGGAAGCCGTAGTGGTAATTCCCTTTAAGGTGTCCCCCATTTTTTCTTTCAAGATACCAGAGTGTCGGTGCTGGTCATTCAGCAGCGTTGATATCACATCACTTAACGTCTTGATTTGCTGCTGCTGCACATTGACCACCATATCGTATTTTTTGAAATGATGGTCCAACTTGGAGCTAAACGTCTGGAAAAGTTTCTCATACATGCCAACCTGGCGCTCCAAAATGGCCACACGTTCTAGCAACGGCGCTGGTTCATCCATGAATCTTCAGTTGAAAGGTCAATGCGTTAAAAGCTAAATAGATATTAGGCTCATTAGTTTCGAGCTTACTATACATTGAAGCTCATCGAGCCATAATAAAAGTGGAAAAAAAAATGAAACGTAGGTGCTAGCTCATCGCCTGGCATACAGAATCAATACTTATTATGTCGAAGCACTCAATGCTTCGCCGACGTGTAGCTAAAGTCGTATGAACGTTTTATATAATACAGAGATTGAAGAACCATTCTGGCCTTATGCAGAAATTCCGACTTGCCATTGATTGACATCCTAAAACTTCTTACAAGAGAGCGACAGCTACACCGGCGACCAAAGCACCAATACCAGCTCCGACAACGACGTTTTCGGCAGCACCCGAGTAAACACTCAAGGATTGGGTAGAGGAGCCAGCAGCATCGGTAGAGTTCTTGGTCGACAAGGTCGTGTAGAGGTATGGAGTTGAGGACGACTTCACAGTTTTGACCATCGAGGTGGTTGATTGTGGTGTGGTGGTGAGGTCCACGTAGGTGATGTCGTCGGCAGCAGCAGTGGTAGAGACGCCCGGAAGCGTGGAGTTGCAGTCGACGGTGGTGTAGGTGGTCATAGAGGCGCAAGCATCGTCCACACAGGAGGTAACGGTGACCAAGGTGGTACTGTTTGCGACAGTAGACTGGTTAGCAGATGCGGAGACAACGGCGGCGGCGGCGGAAACAAAGACGGCGGAAGAGAATTGCATAATGAGCGAAAAAAGTGGGTTAGATGTTTAGAGAGAAAGCAAAGAACTAAATGAGCAGCAAGTTGTAATGTGTCCGACGAGTACCAACGTCTTTATATACACATCAGATCTCTCAGAGAACCGCGAATTACACCTATGGTAAATCGTAGTTATTAGCCATCGCGAAAATCATCTTACCTGTGAGTCTAGAGTCCCATAATTTCGCGACGGCAAGAGAAACTTTAGACTATGGCAACGAGCTTAAGCTACCATACTACGATTTGAAGTATGGTTAATTCGATCGATTTCTTGGCTTCGAAATTACTTGACAGCGTCTATTTGTTAATTTTCGTGTAACTCCACGAAACGCGAAAAACAAACAAATATTGAAAAGTTCGGATCGACAAAGGGCGAAAACCTGGATCTTCCAGGAAAATTTCGTGAGCACCCTCCATTTCGCGTGTATATGCTCTTTGTGAAGTTTTCGTGGCGGATCGCCGGTTGATGTATATGCGTAGTTTTTTTTTCGCAGCTGACTGGGATCTTCAACGCATCGTATCACGCACATACTCTGCAAGCTGCGAATATTTCAAAGTCCTGCTTTGAAGCGTATAGTCTGTCGTCGTCGGTGCTTCCCGTGTATTCTGAAGCTCTTGAACAAACGCCGAAGGCTTTAAACCTTTCATTCGGCGCGGCTGGAGATTAAAAACTCCAATGTTGTCTACCCACTCTTCTTTTGATGCGGTTGTGCTGTCTTGCTCTGCATTACTCTGAGAAGCTAGGTAGGTAGCCTTGGTATAAGGACTGAGTGGCTTTCGATTCTCCTCGCCGAAGTACACTAGGTCTCGTGTGAGGTCGAGTTTGAAGTACACTTGCGCGGTTTCATCCATTATGCTTTGCATGATAATCGTGAGGATAGAGTTCCGCGATGGAGGTGACGATTGATCAATACTCAGCTTTTCTTGGATGTCTGCAAGCGAAATACAGGAATGACACATTGCTACATGATGCCACAACTTGCGCACCTGCAACAAATGAACGAGGTTGTCAACCAGCGGATGGAGAATGTAGTAGAAGCGTTCGATACTTGCCAGGCCATTTGCGAAGCGCGTCATGTCATAGTCGACAAAAGCCTGGTATATTTCTTCGAGGTCTTGCAGAAGCTCCGATTCCAGAATTTTGACTTGCTCCAACTCAAACGGTGAAATTATATCTTGCAAATCAGTTCTGTGGCCTATCAAAAGCATGTTAGATAGTATGAAACCACATAGGGTTAAATCTCTAAACTCGGTCTTGTTGCCAATTTCCTCGAGGTATTTGTAAGATTCCCAAAGCTCAGTATTACACTGCAAAACCTGTGAGTGATTCAAACGCAAGTTATTAATATGACCAAAGAGAATATAAGCTTCACTGAAGTGCATAATGGTCATCAAGGATAGCGGTTTAGAAAACGAGTCCTTCATCAGTGCGGAAATGGTAATTACTAACTCTTCGAGCCTCTCCAACTTGGTATTGTATTTGGAGTGCATCGCGTTAAAGAGGTACCAGGCTAGTAAAAATTCGAGATTGTCGAGGTGGTCGAGATTGTTCTGCGTATTGTTGTAGAGCTCTTCGACCAAAATCTGTTCATTGGCATTAAAGCATGCCTCAGGCAATTGCTGCAATCCAATCTCGTACTGCAGCAACCGTGTTTGACGTAATGTAGCATCTTGTTCATTTTTGATCCAGTCAAACTCGTCTAGACACAATTTTGAGCATAGTATATTCTCCACATCAGTTATCAATCTCCGATCCAAGATAAAATTAGAGCCCAAACTTGGTGCTAGCTCATTTATCAGGCTACAAAAACTTTCACTGTTGTCCAAAATATGTGTGGCACCAGAGGCTTGCTTTAATGCACGCACATCCTGTTTGAAGGCGTCTAACTGTAGCCTCTTGTCTTCTAGTGACGTTTCCGCTTTCCAAGCAAAATAACGGCACCTAATAAGTTGAGAGAGTATCGGAACCATCGATATTTTGACTGACTGACATTGTGAGATTGTTTCCTTCAGCACAGCTATTGCTTCGTTATAATGATGTTCTTGAATCATGGAATTTGCTCGAGCCAGAGTATCCTGATACATGATATCGCACTGGTCAAAATCATCCGACTGTACATGGACATTCTGGGATGTGTTGAGTATATCCGATTCTTTTAGCGACTGGTCGCTTTCGTCTTCCATTTCAATTTCCACCTCGACTTCATCATCGGAGATCATGAATTCATCGTAATTATCCTCTTGATATTCATCGGGGTCATAGTCCATTGCTTCTGATCGACTAGCCTCTTCGTAGCTCGTCAAGAAGAGCTCGCAGACGTAGAGTACTAGGGTCAAACCGATCAAGTACAGCTATTTGTTTTGGATCTAGGGAATTATTCAATGAGATGAGCAGATCGTCACTGGTGATGGTGCGGATTATCGACAAGTACTGTAGAGCCCGACAAACAGGTTACACAAGGCTTTGTTAAAGAAGGTTTTCGAGCTTCGATGGCGAAGGCCAGTGCCAATAAGCGGCCCGACAGCTTCCTCAATGGCTCCATCGAGAAGCAGTCGCAAGATTTTAGTAGCACGTGACTGTGTAATTGGCTACTACGGTGCAAGAGAGCCGACGCGTTGCGGGCGCTGCGCATTGTGGACAGCGAGCGATGCTTTTGTCGAAATACGGAACGCTCGAAGTTCGTCGGGTAAGATGGATCGTGAGACCTCTATGAATCGTTCACGAGGTCTAGCGGCGTAATTCTGAACTTTCTTCCGCATCATATACTGATGGCCATAGGGCTGGAAACGCGTGAGCACAGTTTTACATCAGCACTGACACCAGTACTAAGCAGCGATTTCTCAGCAGTGTTGCGACTGGCCGTCGTGGACACACCCGTTAATAGTGATTTCATAACTTCCGCTCGCGCTACCGCAAATACTATTTGGCAAACGCGGCAAATTGAAGTAGCGAAGTTCAGCGCTGGAATCTCGTCGCTTGCTCTGCCGTAACTCGCACTTCCGCTTACAGCTTCAATCTTGGCAACAACAATCCAATACCAGGATCGCGATACACGGCCCGGAACGGAAAATCTCGCTTTTCCCCTATCGTAAGGGTTACTGGTCCTGGCACATTTGCACTGCGCAATGTATAATTCAGCTTCTCAACTTTCTACTCTTGCGCCAATCTTGCTGTGCTCCTACGCTTTCTTTGCCCTCTTAGGAGCTCGGAACAATATTGTTGGATAGTATTCCCGCTTTCAACAGCCGTGTCCTCTCTTTCTCTCCCACAATTTAGCAATGACGTTATCACTCTGTAAAAACCACAACTGTTCAAGTGCTCGTAGTCGCTCCCCGTGCTTCCATCCTTGCTTCCCTTTGCTCTCCGCCCACCTCGTAATGGCACCTTTTTCACAGCAAAAATGTGTTGGTTGGACGTCTCATGACCTTACACTCGTCCAACGTCCACACACCAGGTTCGCTTTCATTTCACCTATATAAGCAATCACTAATCCTACCCTACTTTCCAAATCTCAGTGTTATTTTGTTTTCCTCCCCATATGCTAAACGCTGTACAATCAAGTCTTCGTATTAGCCCATCTAGAACTTCTCGTTTATTCCATACCTATAATCCACTAAAAATGTTCCAAGTCGGTGACGTTATCAAGACCGGCCTAGCCGGCGTGCAAGAAAACTCTCCAGGTAATGCTGTGGACATTGGCAAGGAAGTCAGCAAGGGCAAGCACATTATTGTTGGTGTCCCAGCTGCTTTCTCTCCAGCATGCACTGCCAGCCATGTCCCAGGCTACATTGCCAAGTTGGACGAACTAAAGAAGAAGGGTGTTGAAAACGTGTTTATCACGTGTGTCAACGACGCTTTCGTCACCAAGGCGTGGAGCGATTCTTTGAAGACTCCAAAGGACGTGCACGTCCTTGCCGACACCCGTGGTGAATTCGCCAAGTCCGGAAACACCCTTTTCGACTCCGAAGAGGTTTTCGGTAACAAACGTAACTACCGTTACGCCATTATCGTCGACAACGGTAAGGTCGTTGCCGAGTTTGAAGAACCAGACAAGACCGGCGTCAACGTCTCGTCCGCCGAGAATGTCCTCAAGGCTTTGTAAGGAATGCAACTTTTAGTTGCTTAAATCTGCGCGAGACAGAAAATTAAGTCGGGAAGTATCCCGGAAATTGCAGAGCACTGTTGAAGATTGCTGTTTTTCGAAGTAGCATTTAGTCTATAATGTGGCCCACAGCCGATTTTCGCCAAGACCCCGCGACTTTTATGCCAATATTCGATTTCTGGAAGTGTCTGAAATTCGGCACTCCGCTCTCAATACAACTCGTTAATGAATCTATGTATCCTGTAAAAAACAAGTTTGAAGGTGACTTATCTAGTTCGTAGAGATGAAATATGGAGCCATTGATGTGATGCACACTGCAGCAAGCGACGCGGCAATGGCTGCAAATTTTGGCTCCTAACGATTTTCCAACGTCTTGGTATATATTTGCCTCGCCAGGGAACGTTTGATATCATTGAGTTGTGATTCCGGCTCCATGCTCGAGCTCCTGGAAATCAAGCCGCCTGCCAATATCGCATGGAAAGACGCCAATAGTCAGCCTCAGTTTGGGAACTCGTCCGGACGTTATCGACGTCCGGATTCGAAAACCAGCTGAACCCACAGGATCCAAGCAACGACGTGACACTCAAACACCGGCAGCAGCAAACTGTAGATGCCTCTGCAGGTGATGAGGATGAATCAGATTTCCCAGATGGCGGATTGCAGGCGTACTTAGCGCTTCTGGGCTCATTCATGGGTTTCGTGCCTGCCTGGGGGATGATGAACTCTCTGGGAGCGTTGGAAGGCTATATTTCGAAGCATCAGCTGGCCTCCAGCAGTTCATTGGCAGTATCCTGGATTTTCTCAATTTACTTTACACTGTTTAGCGGCAGTTGTGTATTAACCGGGGCGTATTTCGATCGCAACGGTGGTTTTATTCCTCTCTGTGTTGGCTCGGTGTTATTTGTGAGCGGACTGCTTGCCACTGCCAACTGTCAAACAATCTGGCAATTTGTTTTAGCATTTTCGGTTGTTACAGGAGTAGCCACCGGTATCTTGACAACTCCTCTTATGGGATGCACTGCTACCTGGTTTTCGCGCAAACGGGCCATGGCCACGAGTGTTGCAACAATTGGAGGATCACTTGGTGGAGTAATCTTTCCGTTGATACTCAAGAGCTTATACCAAAAGGTGGACTTTCCCTGGGCCATGCGAATCCTGGCATTCATCTGTCTTGCATGCTTGAGTTTTGCATGTAAGTTTGCCCGCGAAAAGAAAAAGCCCGCGGCGCGCAAGTTTCGCTCTCGAAAGGAGATGCTTCGCTTTTACATCTTGGGATCCTTTAATGGTAGATATTTCCTGGAACGCAAATACTTGCTCACCACCTTGGCATTTCATTAGCTGAAAACTCGATATTTGCTTCTAACACTTACATTGCCTCATATGCAATGGCAAGAGGGAACTCCGAAAATGTGGCGTTCAATCTAGTCACTACAGGGAACGCAATGCAGATTCTAGGGCGCTACATCCCAGGCTACATTTCTGATAGGTATGTGGGGAGATTCAATGTGGTTGTCGTAGTTTCGTTTGTGTCCGTGATTTTGAATCTGGGACTACTGTTACCATTTGGTGGAAACCCTCGTGCGTTATGGGCATATGTCTTGTTATATGGGTTTTTCTCGGGATCTGTTTTATCATTGACAGCGGTATGCATAGCACAAATCTCCAGAACTAGCGATTTCGGGAAGCGGTACACAACCGCTTACTTACTGGGTTCCTTTATGACTCTGCCAATTATCCCTATATGCGGTACAGTGATTGGTAAGGGTTCCATTGCAGAATACAATAAGTTTATCTGGTTTGCGACGTCGCTCCTGTTTTGTTGGAGGTTCCTGCTACTTGGGAGCGCGGATATTATCCGTTGGAGTTAAGATGTGTAAGTTTTAGCGGGCGAAAACGGGATACTCGTTCCAGTTATTTTGGTAATCAATGTTTGGCGTTTAGGCTACGCGTGCGTTGAATAATGTACAGATTTGCACAAGAACAGCATTAAAATGCCAGATAATAGACGAAAAATTACTACAAGCTTTTTGGAGAGACTTTCGAATCAATTATGTGTATAAGTACCGCTATTTTTTCCAGCGTCCTTTATCCAGCTTTTCGTGGCGCGAGGAGATAGCGAATTTCTTATTCAGATGAAGATGGAGCTCAAGATGACAGTATTGGCTTGCACCCAAGTTTTACTCCTGTAAGTGAGAAGCTTCAAAAATTTGAAGTTAATCTAACGTCAGAGTTTGGGAGAGCATTTCATTCGACCATAACTTACCTTAGAATAGTATCTAATATATTCCTCGAAAGGTTTCTGTCATCGGCCGGACTTCGAAACATCAACCTTTACGCTAATATCCAGCATTTGACTGTTTTCCGTCGTGTTCACGGGTGTGTATTATTATTTTGATATTTTCCAAAAACAAAATTTAATTTTTTCCATTTTTTTCAAGAATGACGAAGTGACTACCCACGCAACTTTTTTACTCTCATGCTGGAAAGTTCCCAAATTTCCAAATTGTGAAGAGTTCCTTATACAAGAAGTTTCAAATTTAAGTGTTTCAAATTTACCACCAAGTTTCCTTCGCTGATTTTTTGTTAACCAAGCAACAATGGGTATCGATCACACTTCTAAACAGCACCAGAGATCTGGTCACAGAACCGCCCCAAAGTCCGACAACGTCTACTTGAAGTTGTTGGTCAAGCTGTACACCTTTTTGGCTCGTATGTGATACTTCCTCCAGTTTTGCAGTGTTGAAGAAAGAGAAAGAATGGGCTCTCTCACATTGGCGATGGCTATCATTGCGCCTTATTTTGCACGACTTCGGTGGATGCCTCCACTTGTTTTCTGGCAGTGTGTTCCAGAATTATTACGGAGAACTAAGAGCTTTCAACCTTTTAGGTTAATGCTCTCTGTTCTATGGCTTGAGAATCGTTCTGCGAGTGCGGACCCAGCGCGCGCTAGACTCTGGCGCGCCAGTATGCCTTATAGCGCTGGGAGTTCGTGCGGTTCATTTTCTAGCGTTTTTTTTTCGCGGAAACCAAGTGAGCAGGACCTATTTCAATAATTTCTCGCCTTCTGCCGTCTCTGTCTTTCTTTGCGAAAGCTGTGTTACTAACTTTTCATTCTTGCAGGTCGTACTGATGCACCATTCAACAAGGTTGTCTTGAGATCTTTGTTCTTGTCTAAGATCAACAGACCTCCTGTTTCCGTGTCCAGAATCGCCAAGGCTTTGAACCAAGCTGGCTCTGCCAACAAGACCGTCGTTGTCGTTGGTACCGTCACTGAGGATGCCAGAATCTTCGAGTTCCCAAAGGCCACCGTTGCTGCTCTAAGATTCACCGCTGGTGCCAGAGCCAGAATCTTGAAGGCTGGTGGTGAAGCCATCACTTTGGATCAATTGGCCGTCAGAGCTCCAAAGGGTCAAAACACTTTGATCGTCAGAGGTCCAAGAAAGTCCAGAGAGGCTGTCAGACACTTCGGTGCTGGTCCTCACAAGCACAAGGCTCCAAGAATTACTTCCACCGGTCGTAAGTTCGAAAAGGCCAGAGGTAGACGTAACTCTAAGGGTTTCAAGGTGTAAGCAAGGTTTAATAATAAACCAAATTACAACTTGTAAATTCCTAGTCAAGGAGTTGTCGCGGCTGTCTTTCCTGTGTAAATACATACTAGTAAAAAGATAATTGGGCAATTTAATGTACAATAATGTAGGGAAGTGAAATGGTTTCTCAATTTCAAGAAACGTACGTAGCCACGGCGCTGGTTGTCGAATAATTTGACATTTAGAAGCCTGTAAATATTGATCAAGGTAGAGTTTCAAAAAAGGTCAACAGTCGCTTACAGTTGAAGATCTTAGCGACAAGATGGTGAATATCCTCGCAAGCAAGAGGCCGAGCTTTCATAGAGTGCCCTTCGTATCGACTTCTCATGTCACTTTGTACTAGTATGACGGATTGTGGATATCAACCTGCTCCAACGAATGGGCTGGCGTGTAGAGGCATCAAAGCTCGATGTGCTTGCAAATCAATTTTCAAATAATGCCCCTCAACTGTGGATACTACAACTGACGATAGGATTGAGCTGGTCGAGCTTCACGAGTTCCAACTCCAGCTAAAACCACATGAGAGCTCGAGCTACAATTCGAATAATATACATCTTATATCGTACACCCATAGAATAGCGTAGCTGAACCCTTAGAAGCACCTTCACTTACGACGATGCGCAAAGCCCAATTGATCTTTTAGTATATTCCAGTGTACTGATTCAATCGACAGTCTGCCGTCTCGTTGGACTGCTATTTGTTTTCCACCCATACATTATTTTTAATTGTTTTTTTCTTCAATTTCGAAACTTTTTTCTTGAGTGGGTGAAAACTATTTGCTATATCTGTGAGACTCCTGTAAAGCGCTAGGCTGGCAGTGTCCTAGGATCACAGCAGCTCAGAGCCTGTCCCCAAGCTCGTTCTCTGTCTGGAGTCTCATGCCATCCGCCTAGCTTGTCCCAAGCATCGACGGCTCCTAGGCAGGATCTCTTCCTAGCGTTCCTCGTCGGGGTTGACCGGTACTGGCAACGGATTTCCAATATCCAACCTGACTGTACCAGAGTGGTGAAAGGTATAACTGTTAATTTTGGCAAATTTGTCATTAGAGGATTCGGGAATAGTTCAAAGATCAACAGGATTAAAGATGCCAGGTGTTTCCGTTAGGTACGTTAAGAGATGAGAACGAGAATAGAGAGATACAGCAGGGAGTGAAAGAACGCGGTTAATAATGTGGGAAAAGAGCCAGAAAACGACAAACTAGATGTGGATTAATAAGGACGTAATATGAGAGTTACAGATTAGACCTCAAGAGCTAGGGCAGCCTTTTCCAGTGGGAAGATTTCAACCGTGATAGCACGCCACGACGGGTACCGAAATGTGGTTCTTTTTGCTAGTTTGCCTTGAAATGGCGCTTCGCACTCGCGATAGTGCTGCAAGTTTTGCAGCTAGTTCGAATACCGGTCGCTCAATCGCAACGGCATGCAATGACGCCGCAAGTTCTGCCGCGTTCTAACCACTCCATTTGAATCTCCCGCACTCGCACACACACACACACGCTTTTTACTAACTTTTCCACAGAGACGTTCCAGCCCAAGATTTCATCACCGCTTACGCTTCTTTCTTGCAAAGACAAGGTAAGTTGGAGGTCCCAGGTTACGTTGACATTGTCAAGACCTCCGCCGGCAATGAGATGCCTCCACAAGACTCTGAAGGTTGGTTCTACATGCGCGCCGCCTCTGTCGCCAGACACATCTACATGAGAAAACAAGTCGGTGTCGGCAAATTGAACAAGCTCTACGGTAATGCCAAGAGCAGAGGTGTCAGACCTTCCAAGCACGTCGACGCCTCTGGTTCCGTCAACAGAAGAGTTTTGCAAGCTTTGGAAAAGATCGGAATTGTCGAAATCTCTCCAAAAGGTGGTAGAAGAATCTCGGAAAACGGCCAAAGAGATTTGGACCGTATCGCCGCCCAGACTTTGGAAGACGACGAGTAAATAATAATTTAACTCATCCCATATACACACAAAACCACGCACGTCTGTAGAATTGTACATTTTCCGTTGTTATTAACTCAATGATTGACTAGAGATTTTGGCCCTCAGAGGTATTCTTCCAAAACACATCTTGTAAGTCATGTAGGGGAGGTGCTAATACACCTTGTCACCAGTCCATTAGTTGCCAACACAAATAGCCTTTTAAATGAAAGTTCATCTAGCATTGTCAGCCAGTTGGCTTACATGGGTTTGATAACGTGATTAAACAGCTAGCAAAGCTATACCATGAGTTCAGAGTGTAATAGCGAATTGGATATGACAGTTTTGTACAACGTGACGATACCTTAAGAAGCCGCAATTTACTCTACATATAACATATTTCTATCAACATACATTGAACCATCGTTGGATTTCCAAATATCAAGACTCTCGTTTGTGTATGGTAACATGAACATGATTCATATATGATTTACATCTTTGAACCTTGAATGAAGCCCTCAAAAAAAAATTATCCTGCTAAAAAAACATGGTCTCTAGCGGGATCGAACCGCTGATCCCCGCGTTATTAGCACGGTGCCTTAACCAACTGGGCCAAGAGACCTGTTTGTTGATTTATCGGTATTTGGTCTCTATTATACTTTGTTAGAAACACATCGTGCCACGCTCTCTCTGGTTTTAAATTGATAAAATCGCCCTCATCTGATTATACCCTGGTGAACTGACCACTTTAGAAGCCCAAACACAACTCAAAAATCAAAAATGAAGCCAGTGGTAGCAGTATGTCAAGTGCAAGCCGATTATACATAAACGGTCTGGCAGATAGCCTGAAACTGTAAAACTTTTGGGCCCCATCTACCACCCCTTTTGTCACATTGTTTTTTTTTGAACTTCGTATTAACCTGTAATCTCTCACTTCGCAGTCAGGTAAGGCCTGGTTTTGCACAGTTGTTTCTGCATTTGGTATTGTCATTTTGTCAGTAATTGCTCATCTGTTTAACATCGGACATGAATCGTTTGTTGGATCGATCAACGACCCAGAAGATGGTAAAGCGTATGTTTCCTGAATGTCATAAAACAAAGGTGCTTAGATCTGTACTTTTTCATGACTTGAGACCTTGAGGTACTTGAACGGTGGAATCCAGTATGTGATCTCAGAGAGATTGGCATACTGCATGTTCATGACAAGGTCGAGTATCCCTCTCAAAGCTCAAGGTCACAAGAAAGTTTTCTCTCATTTGCTCATATACTAACCCATTTAACAGAGTCGCTCACACCGTCTTCATTGCAGTGCTGGTTTACGTAGCATTCTTCGTGTTCTGCGGTTCCCAAATTTGGCTGGCCAAGAAGAATTCATCTATCGAACTACGTTGATATACAAAAGCTTTGGCACTGCTGTCAGTAAACACTTCAAATATAAACTTTACTACAAATCGTTTAAGCTCTTTCACTGTGTGGATTGCTCTCTGTATTTGTATATTAAAAACAAGAATTACCATTTCGTAAATCGATATTTTTTTGATCAGTGCTTTAAAGGAATTCAGAAGGATAATCAGCCATTGTGGCAGCTGCATCCCGAGTTATGGAGTTACACGGACGCCCCGACAGGGATCCAGAATTGGTCAAATACCTAGCTCGAGTAGAGCAACTTGATAGTGAGAGGAATGGTGCCAAACGTGTTAGTGACGATAAATTGAGATATCGGCCCGAAGATCTCGAGAGAGCTCAAAAACTGTTGAATGGTGACTATTTGACATCTGAAGAAAGACCCAACGGATCGAGATTGCAGAAGTCCTCGGAAATGGCTTATAAGTCAGCGTATAACTATGAAAAGACTTTCTCACCTAAGCGAAATAGAACATACACGAACTTCTCCGCTCATCGCGAGAGGAGTCCTGAGGCATTGGGCTCGCATGGTCACTCAGGCCGTACAGTCTCGAGGTTCGATTCGCATGAATCTTCGAGACAATACACAATCTCAGAAGAGGACTATTTGTTACTGAGGAAGTTCAAGCAAGGTCTGTTAGATCTACCGCCAGCTAGTAACGATGAGAGCCGATTTGTGCCATCACGCGGGAGACCTAGGGCTGTAAAAGATGTAGAAGATAGCAGCGATGACGAATTACGTCCGCCGGCTCTACCTATAAGGCGCTCAATGGCTCCCAGAACTCATACAACCTCTTCCGAAAAGACGGCGCCTATGAAACCACCGAGGCCTGCAGCACGAGCAGGTTCAACACAAGAAGGGCCAAGCTCGCCTATTCAGCTGTCCACTTCAAATGGTTCGCCCACTTTGGACGCTAGTCAAGCGTCCCGCGTTAATCCTATTCAAGACAGCAAAATCACCACCAACTCGAATTTGCAGCCTGAAGGTAGCTCGAAGCAGCCAAAAAAACCAACTTCGTATTTAGACTCACTGCAAAAGAATAAAGTTACTGTGACAACCCCTTTAAAAGCTGAGCCCATTACACCGTCACCCATCAAACCTGTTCGTCCTGTCCAGCCGTTCATGACATCTGCTCTTAAAAATGAAAGTTCTGAGTCATTCCACAAAACCAAGCGGCTCGCTATTCCTGCCCAACGAAAGCAACTACCCGCTAAACAGACGCCTGGTGGCACTGACTTAGGATTTGATAGCTTCAGATCTAAACTCAAAACTGTATCGAAGGATGGGGGCAATCAACATGATACTAAGCCAACCGAGAACAACCCAGCAGCAATGGAATTCAAGCTTCGAGCTGTGAAGACTACAAAAATGGCGCCTGAAGAGGAACAACTGGCCTTCAGAGGTAAAGAAGTTTTGAGACCTTCAACTACTACCTCCGAAGCTAAACTCCAAATTCCTAAGACGAGGAAGGCAACGCCTGAAGAGAAGTATCTAGCTCTAAAAGGCAAGGAAGCTCTAAGGCCTATTCCTGCCGTTTCAGAAAGAAAAGTATCAATACCCGAGGCTGTCAGTAAGAAAGGAAAACTTAACAAAGCTCCTCCTAAACCCGAGCGCAAAATTTCGATGCCCGAGGCTGTATCCAAAAGAAACTCCCTCGCCAAAGCGCCACCTAAACCATCACGCAAAATATCCATGCCGGAAGCAATGAAACGCCTTGAAGCAATGAAAGCGAGAGAGAAATCGAATTCTGCCCATTATGATGCCAAGAATACCAGCTCTTCGAAAGAAACAGATGGAAAGCTAGAGGCTGTTCTTCTCTCTAAACACCTTTCTAACCGTGGAAGGAGTAAGACTACTCCTGACATCGAGCCGAAGGGTAATTTGCCTATTGCGATTCCTTTCATGGCTCAGACCAAAGATGCCAAGATTGCTAAGATGTTAAGACCAGCAGCAACAACAGACTTCTCTGAATTGCAATCATCAAATAATGCCGAACTTACTCACCCAACAAAAAGTAGAGCTCGTGGACCTAAACGAAAGCCGCCGAAGGGCTTCTGAAAATACTAAATTATTGTATATTATGATAAAACTTATATTAATTAATGCTGGCATACAACTTATTGAATTACAACAAATATCTGAAATCAGGAGCTCGGTCACCTTTGAGAATGCGCTCGCGGTGCGACAGATCCTCAAATTTGCTAATGTACTCAGTTTTGGTCTTTTTGATATTCAAACGTTTCAGATAGAGCACGATAAACAATTGGCAAGCAATGGAAAGCGCCACAAATCCGATAGAAGTGCCGAGCCCATGGCGGTAATGAGGAGCATCTTTCTGAAGAAACAAAAATGTGGCAATAATGCCGCCAATGTTGCCGAATCCAATTTGAAAACCGGTACCAAATGACTTCCTCAGATGGCCGCCCAAATTCAGAGATGTCGAACATATCAGCCCTGGCATGGCACTGTATAGCCCAATGGAAGTGACGAAACACCCACCATACCTAACGTTAGGATCATTTGATCCCAAAATCATTGACAGACCCGTAACAGCTATCAAACTTGAGGACAAAACAAAGCACCAGCGATTCTGTAAATAATCAGACAAAAATGCGACAACATTAATGTATCCAAATGCGGCTAGCCAAGGGTAAACAGAATGCTGTTGAGCACTTACGGCTGAATAGCCAAGAAGCTTTATAATGGTAGTGGCAAAATATGCATACCCATAACTGGGCACTACCAGGCCCAGGTACGCCAGGGCATTAGCATAAAAAATGGGGTCCTTGAATAGTGGTAGGTAATCGCGCCAGGTGAATTCAATTTCGAAACCGGACTCTACTTTCGAGTACAACTGAAGTTTCTCCTTCAAGTACAACCTCTCGTTGGGCTTCAAAAACTTGGCAGTCTCGGGAAAATCTGGGGTGATAAAGAAGAGAAGGAATGCGATGAAAACGGTTACCGCACCCTCGATAATAAAAATCCATCTCCAGTTGGCAAGATGCTTGTTCCCAATACCGTTATAGATTTGATATGCAATGGAACCACCCGCAGCGCCAGCCAAAGTAGTGGAACTGAAGAAAAATGAAAAGCGCTTTTGAGCCTGGCGTGGAGTGTAATAGGATGATAAGATGTAGAAAATGAGACCGAAAGTGGCCGACTCAGCGACACCGAGAAAAATTCGCGCTGTGACGAGTCCGCCAAAACTCTTAACGAACCCACAGCCAATCGTAGCGCAGCCGAACATGAACATGCTCACAGAAAAGCACCAATGTGGTTTAAAAATCTTGGCAAGGTAGTTGGCAATAAGCTCGAAAAAGACGTACGGCACGAAGAAAACCGTAAGCGCGATGTTGAACTGGTTTCCTTGAAGCCCCAAATCATCTTCTATTCCGTACAGTTTTGCGTTTGAGATGTTGATGCGGTCCAGGAACGCTGCGAAATACAGCAGGATAAGCGCTGGCACAACGCACACATCGATTTTCCACTGCAGGCGTCTTTCCTGCACGCCATGTTTTTCTGCTAGTAATTTCTGGAGTGTCTCGATACCTTGACTGTCGCCGGACGCAAGACTTGTAGCTGAAGGGCCTAACTCGTTCACTTCGTTCACTTCGTCTTTAGCGTCACTACTGACATCGAGCTTGTCGTCTGACATAAGCAACTATTCTCGATATTTTATTTCACCTTTAGTGAACAGCACTAAATTTTTGAGCCATCTTCAGGATGCTTCAAAGCTGAGCGACCTGCTATTAAATGTCTGGACATTACATTTTGCGTTGTTCAAGGGCACAGGTGTCAAAGGTGCACCTGTCACGCCGATGACAACTTTTTCTACTTTCTGATGACTCTTATTTCTTGGTTGAACCAGAAAACTTTCAGCACCCATGCCAACCGTATGCATGCTACTGATAAAAATTTTCTTGGACAAGGGCCCCACTAGTGCGCATCCACAGCTCGAGGTGCAGAAACCGTGGAACGCCCAGGCGTTCTGGAAGCAAGTATCAGGCAATTGCACAAGGTTTTTTTGTATCGTTAAATCAAGGCACATGAGGCTCGTGCTGGTGCAAGTTTCGGAGTTCGTTGCGGTTTAACATAGAGCCTTATTCCTGTGGTGGGCAGTTGAGAAGGAGGACTATTAAAAATTGGGTATCGCCAGGTTTTCGTGAGCTTTAATTAGGCTGGCCGTTTTCTTTGCCGTAGCACAGTAATAAAGAGATGGAAAAGTATAAGTTCATGGCTTTCCGAAATAGGTTTTTCCAGTAGCAGCTTCTCTGATTGAAATCGCTTGAGGAGGAATCGAAGCAGTATGCACAGTTGTCAGAGAGGGCGATAAACGACATAGGTAGCGAATGATGTAGACCTCTCCAGCCTCGTAGTAGCGACGAAAAAGTGCCGTAATCTGCTCCGCTTGTATTTGGACCTCCCATGCAAATGTCCAGACCGCGGGTTTTTGAATGGCATTGTAGTCTTAGATGTTCGTGGGGGAGGCTTCCAAGTTAACAACTAACTGAACTACCTTGGTCTTTTACCCACAACAACATCGTGCGCTAAAACTTTAGTGTTGAAGTTTCTATATCTTATGGCAATTTTAGCGACAACGGATAAACTGCATCAAATTGGCGCTTTCGGGTCTCTTATAAGATGTTTACAACTTTTAATAATGTTTTTTGTATCATTCCTTCTCGCTAGCTCTGCACTATACACGCGGGTAGCTTTGCGTAACTGACAGGCACCCAACACGGTCGTTAAAGTTTGATAGAGTGTACATTTTAGGGTCGTTAAGAATGCCGGTGCCATTTCAAATGATTTCGAGCATCTCGACATCCAAGATTGCCCAGAATGTCCTCGAGCTATCACCTGTCCCTTTTCAACCAATGCTTTACCAAATTTGACCCAACTTCCAAGCCAAAAAAGCGGTTGATGACATTGCTCATCTTGAAGCGTACTCATGCGGATTACAAGTGAAGGGGACGCTTCTAATGTCGTTTTGAACCACCACTTTCACTATCTGCGATGAGCTTCGATCGAAGTTACCCGAACGCTAGCTACTATGAGTTCGCATTATTGAATGTTGAAAGTTGAGCCTAACCAATAAGAAGTCCAGCTGTCAGCATTAGTATAAACAAACCATATATTGAAGCAAAATACGCCATTGCAGTGCTCCAAGGACTGGCAAATGGATTCCAACTTGGTTACGGGCGACTTGGTGCTGTGCAAAGTCGGGTCTTTTGCGCCATGGCCCGCCGTTGTGTTTCCACAACAATTCTTGAGAAAGGACGTGTATCGTCGAAGGAAAGCAGAGTGTGTGGCGGTGTGTTTCTTCAATGACGAGACGTACTATTGGGATAGGCCCAGCAAGCTAAGGCGGCTATCAAAAGAGCTTATTGACGAGTTCCTTGAACGAGCTGCTGCCAGCAACGCAGAAGATCCAACCCTAGTAGAGGCGTACGAGGAGGCTCGAGGTTTTGCATCGTTGCACGAATTTCTTCTGCAACGAATGCGAGAGGAGAACCGTATGCAAGACTGGGATGAAAATGCTGACAAGGGCGCGAAAATTGAGGCTGGGCAAGATCCCTTCGAAGGCAAAAAGTCCGGCGACAAGAGCCGCCCTGCAGCGGTCACGAAGCCCAAAAGAGAAAGAGCAGCAGTGGCCCCAAGCTCCTCACGGTCTGCCTCAAGCTCCTCGCGATCCCGGTCTGTCCCTATGTCTCCCTCTGCCGCTTCAGGCAGAAAACATGTGCGACTAGATCATGCTAAGCGAATAGAGATATCCATGCTTTTGCGTCGTAAGCTTCAAACAAATTTAGTTCAACGGGAAACTCCGCCTGGTATTGAGGAAGTAAAAGAATCGCATAAATTACTGGGTAAAATTTCGGAAAATATGGCTTCTAATCCGGACTTTTTTGACCTAGACGCCCTCAGACAGAGCAAACTGCACAAACTCCTAAAAGTTATCGCTGGTGATGACAACTTGAAAGAATTCCATGGCCAATGTGGTGAGATTTTGGAAGCTTGGAAGGATGTAATTGCACAATTGAGGAAGGATAAACTGAAGTCTCAGGAGACTTAAAAATTGGTTGAGCTTCAAATAGCATAGCAATGGCAACGAATTTCAGGGCATTCAAGAGCGAATTTCTGATTGATTTTGTACTGATCTGCTTTTGTTTTGACTGAAATCTTACTTGATTCCTCGGCGAAAAGCTTATCAAGGACGTGACTAGCGGCTGTCTGTCGTATGTTCATGACTCAGGTGTGACCTGCCAGCCTACATTGAAGACATTCAATGATGATACGTGTGTTTATATCAAGCACATGGTTCCGACGTCTCCAAAAATCGGCCCGTGTGTTCGGCGATGTTCCAAGCATGCTGCAACAAACCTCTCTTTGACAATGTAAATAAACGGTTTTGCAGTTGATACGCCTGTCGCTATTCAGAAGAGCGTCAATGGCTCACATTATCTAAGTCAAGATTAACCATTAATGTGCTTCTTTCGTGTCTCGAACGCTTGTCTTTTCCCATTTGCGATTCACTACCAAATTTTTTCGAGTTATAAAAGGGTTAAGCTAAAACTTAAAGGGTTGTTCCTCATCGGTTTTAGAAGCTTGAACAAGAGCATTCAAACCTGCTCTCATTGTATCTTACTAGCTAAGTGACTGCGAATTACCTACAAAACCCAAATGTCTTGTCCTGATAGCCTTCCTGAACACGTTCTGAGTCTTTTGAAGACCTCAAAATACCTTCATTTGGCCACCTGCTCTAAGCCAGAATGTATCCCATCCCTCTCGTTAATGAACTACACGTACATTTCTCCAGACAGAGTTTATGCACCAGAGGGTACGGAACATTCCTCGACTGACAAATGCCATTATATTATTATGGCAACTCAAAGAAACACGGAAAAGTACGAAAACATCATTCAAAACCCACAGGTTTCGGTTTTGATTCACGACTGGGTCACCGCAAAGAAACTCTCGTTGCGCAAGAGCAGCATGTCAAACACGCCTACTCCTTCGGAGCCTGTTCAGGCAGAACCTGCTCAAACTCAAAATCCAGACCATCCTAGTAGATTGCTCAACTTACTCCAAGAATTGAACCAGTCCGAGCTCTCTCAAATGAGCGCAACGCTACGAGGCCATGCCGAACACTTGGATGCTTCAAGTGACGAATTCAACTACTATGAGCAAGAGCTCCTCAAGCAGAACCCTGACGCACGTGTCTACACCAGAGGCGAAAACGTGTCAGTTGTAAAGGTCAAACTCGTAAACGCAAAAGTTTCCGACCGTGATAACAACACTAAATTCTACGATTAATCATGAGCTTAGTAATGATTTATGAGTTTTGAAATAAGTATCCCGTCTACCTACGCTAATTACTTTTATTATCCTTTCGCTGACTTGTTTACTTATTTAAATACCTTCTTGGCCAAAATCGTTGGTGAACTGTATTTGTTTTTTCAAGTCTTCATCGTTCACCGTGGGCCTCGTGGTTTTAATAGCCTTCAAGAAGTCTTTTATATTAAGTTCTGGTTCTTGCAACTCGTCGGCATCGATATCAGTCCAACTTAGTTCAATTGCACCGTCGTCGCCAGGTGAACAAGGAATTAGTCTACGATGCTCAGTATCTTCCGAGACGTTCTTGAAGTGTGTGGCGTTTTGGATTTTGCGGATGGGCTGCATCAATGCATCTTTCACAACTACTGCGATATCACTTCCAGAGTATCCTTCAGTCAGTTGACCAAGGGTTCTGTAGTCTTCTTTGGTGAGTGTGCATGGAGTTTCGCCGATATTTAGCTCGAACATTCTAGTGCGGCCAGCTAGATCTGGCAAAGAGATATAGATTCGCTTTTCGAATCTTCTTCTAATGGCACTATCTAGCTGCCAAGGGATATTGGTAGCGCCTAGAACAAGCACGCCCTCGGAGTCATTGCCGACTCCATTCATTTGCACCAGCAACTCAGTCTTTATCCTTCTGCTGGCTTCACTTTCACCCTCTCCTCTCTGGCCTGTTAGAGCATCCACCTCGTCGATGAAAATGATGGAGGGTTTATTTTCTCTCGCCATGGCAAAAAGCTGCTTGACCAGCCTCTCCGATTCTCCCATCCACTTCGATACTAAGTCACTGGAACTAATGCTGAAAAATGTTGAATTTGCCTCTGTAGCCACGGCCTTGGCCAGATACGATTTACCGGTACCTGGAGGTCCAAATAATAGAATCCCGGATGTGGGTTTACGATTTCCAGTGAACAAATGAGGGAATTTTACTGGCAAGATAACTGCCTCTTTGAGAGCTGCTTTAGCTCCGTCCAAGCCAGCAATATCTTCCCAACGTACATTTGGTTTTTCTGTCAGAATCGCGCCAGACAACGCACCTCGCAATTTTTTATCGTCGGCGTCATCATCGTTGTTTGAGTTAGCACTAGTCTTCTTCGCTGGTGAGTCCTTCTTGGTTTTTTTCTTGTCTTCTTCAGATTCCAAATGATCTTTAAGTTGTTCTGCCCGATTCAAATACTCAGTAAACTTGGCTCTTATAAGGTCTTTAGATTTAGGATTTTTCTCGTATTTCAATGCCAGCATCAGATAATCTAGTCCATTGTAGTATGCCGTATAAGCTTCTTCGTATTGGGTAGCTGTATCTAAGTCGATAGCTTTTTGAATCAGACCTATTCCCTTGGATAAAAAGTCCCCAGTGCTCATCGAGAATTGAGGTAAACTGATCACACTAATGCAAAATCAATCCCCCCTCTGTGTATAAGAATTTATAGAACCGCAATTCGAGACCAGAGTTCGGCCTGATAACTGTAAAAACTTTTGATGTTCTGTGATCGCTCGGCTAAGGTAAAGTTTCCTCCTTAATCAATGTAAGAGGCATATTTGCCGGGTAACATTTTTCGATCTATCCAATTTGATATGTTGTGCTTAGTCGTGTAAATGGCGATTTGACTACCCACGCCGCTCTCTGAAGTTTGAATATTTAGACAAATCTAGCCTTATGGGTGACAGCGAGCTTTCGGGGTCTTTCTTTAGGAGCTCTGCGTCTGGTATTCTTGGATATTTCTCATAGTAGTCAGAAAGTGGATCTTCCTCAGCGACATTCGGCAGTCTTATGGGACTTGACGTGAAGAGCGGGCTCACATCACGCTTGGGGGATAGTGGCAAGGCATTAAAGTCAGGTTTCAAATTTTCCTTTTGCAGATTCGTAATGCGTCGCCTCGATTTTACATAGTCGCTGTCCACATTAGCGTCATCGAGGAGACTCTCCAGAAGCGAATTCTTCTCGCGCGCAAACATAAGCTTCTTGCGTGTGAGCTGCAAATCCTGCTCTAGCGAGGTAATTTTGTTGACCAGGGAATCTACTTTATGCTGCAAAATAATGACTTGGTCTGTCTCAAAATTGCGAGGTCTTGGGAATTTTGTAACCGGCTTGGCTTCTGGGTTTCTTCCACGCCGAAGCTCTTCCAGAAGCTTGTCGTCGTAATGTTTCTCCTGCATTTTTCTCTTCAAAGCTGTGCTCGTTGCGATTCGTCGTTGAACTTCTGCTCTCGTTCTGGTCTTTTCCGTATGATCTTGAAGTTTGAAGTCGGCATACGCGTTTCGCATCTGTTGTAGATCTTGGTCCTTGGGCGAAAAGACGCTCTTGACCCTGTTCCACACTGATGCAGAAGCTGGAAGCGAACTTGGTTTAACGCTTCTTAGACTTTTCGGGTTTCGTCGTGTAGCTTGCTTTCGAATTCTATGCGAGACACCCGATCTATTTCCCGGCACATGTCGTCTTCTCCAGTTGTCCAGTGACCCATGTTCTTTCTTTCGTTGATCTTGGCCCTCAAACCAGCCCTTGAAGTAGTCTCGCGCTGACTCCAGCATGATTTTTGTTTGGTTCTTTCAACTGCACAAAAGTTAATTAATCTTTAGAATATGAACAGTTGTTGATTGAAAATCTAAGAGCGGTAACAACTAAGATAAAGTCCCACTTTATAACTATTAATTCAATATTCCAACCGCGTTCGGTTACTTCACGTCCAAATTTGGATATGGTTCTGAGATTTCTGAGGACCCAGTTTATCATCAACATCAAAGTCATCACAGACGCGTAATTATTTTTGAGTTAATCCACTTACGCGCCTGCTAATCGAAAAGTGTTGATCGACACAAGTAAAATCATCTTGTAAGTGGTGTGATAGCACTGGACTAAACCTATTTGGAGCGCTCAAATATGGAGACAACGGTTGCTTTACCAGTGAAGATCCCACCAGGACTTCTTAGACCCCTGGCATATCGAGTTCTGTCGAAAAAGTACGGGCTCAATATCAAATCGGATGGGCTAGCAGCTTTAGCAGAATATATTGGCACTAGATTTGGAATAAACTGGAGAAAAGACAGCGGAACTTTTCAGTTTTTGGAGCAATTCGCTGCTATTTGGGACCAGCAAGAACGAGGACTATTCATCGATAAAATTGGTGTAGACGAGGTGATTCGTGAAGTAAAAGAGAGAGCACGGGCTGCTGAAAAACCACCGGCTAGAAAAGCGGAACCAAAATCGAACTCTGAGGGAAAATTGAAGACTTTAGATAATATTTTGGCGAATCGTGCGGATGCTCAACCAGCAGAAAAGGTGCTCGACTCTGGAACCCAGACCCAGGATCCCGCCGAAGTGGATACAGATGATGAAGCTGGTCAGAACGATTCAAGAACTGATAGTCCAGAGCCATCGTTGGATTGGCGATCCTACTACAAGGTGATCGATGCGCAGAGTCAACAGAATTTTATATACGACTCAATGAGTCGCCAGTATAGACTGAAAGCTGCCAATGCCAAGAAATCCATATTGCCCAATGTTGCATCCAATGTGGCTTTATTTTCAACCCGATACCACATTCTAAAAGACAGAATTATGCGAAATGAGTTGTTTCAAGGCGGTGGTGACACTTTCAACCCACTCTCGTCCATGGCCAATCTCAACGGCTCGTCAGGGAGTGCAGCTTCTCAGAGTATGACTATAACACAGATCAAAAATCTTCTTGGGAGAGACGGCAAGAGTTTCCTCATATTAGGACTTCTGAGACTGAACGCAAAGGGTAACTGGACCCTTGAAGATCCATCTGGTTCTTTAGAAGTTGATTTAAGCCAGGCCATGCCGACCGAAGGAACTTTTTACGTACCAGGCTGCATAATTTTAGCGGAGGGTATATATTACTCTGCTGCCCATAAATTTTATGTCGCATCCGTGGCCCATCCGCCAGGTGAGAGGAGAGAATCCACATTGGAAGCCATAGGTAACCTGGACCTCTTAGGTGTTCACCAACCATCGAACTCGAACTACATTTCCAGAGTTGACAAAGAGCTAAAAATTAGACTACATTTGCTTGAGAGAGAACTGACAGACCACAAGATTGTGATTCTGGGAGCTGATGTTTTCCTCGACCAACTTTCTGTAATGGAGGCGTTGCGCAAAGTCTTCACAAAATTAGACGCGGATCCACCAATAACGCTGGTACTACAGGGCTCCTTTACTTCTTCGCCATTATTTCCTGTGATGAGCAGTAAAAATATCAGCGCCACGACTGCTTATAAAAACATATTTGACTCCTTGGCACTTTTACTTTCGAATTTCGAGCGCTTGATAAATGAGACGACATTTGTCTTTGTTCCGGGGCCCAATGATCCATGGACATCGATGGTGAGTCTTGGAACCACTGGAATCTGGCCTCAAAAGCCCATTCCGGGAAAGTTTACGCAACGGATCAACAGAATCTGCAAAAAAGTGTTCTGGGGGTCTAATCCAACTAGAATTGCGTATCTATCGCAAGAGCTCGTTTTGGTTAGAGACGATATGAATGGAAGATTCAAAAGGCACAATATCTTGTTTCCAGCTACAACGGAGCAGGACGAAGACGGCGAAGAGGACGTAACTCTCGCAGAGGATTCCTTGATGCAAGAAATTAATGATAACTACGAAGGCATAGATCAGTTAGTGAAGTCTCAAGACCAGTTATCTGCGGGCGTGCAGGAGGCTCGTAAATTGGTGAAAACTATATTAGACCAAGGCCATATCTCACCATTTGCCGCCTTCGTGAGGCCGGTGGTGTGGGATCTGGATCACACACTGCATTTATCACCTATTCCAACTACATTGTTGTTGACTGATACGACGGCATCTCAATTTGAAGTGACATATAACGGTTGCAAGACTGTCAACACGTCCAGCTTTATACACAAGCGTAAAGCAAGGTATGTGGAATATATACCTTCGACCAGGATTATAGTGCAAGATGAAGTTCATTTTTGATAGAAGATGTAGGTAATTTGTAAAAACATTAGCATTAGGAATACAAGTTCCTTCAATAAGGATATTTTTTGAAACTCTGTGTTACTGAAGCTGGCATACAATACACAGGATCGATCTCCACTAAGTCGTCTTTCCCCAATAAGCTCAAACCAGTCACCCCGAAGCAAGTGTGAAATACATCGACCTCATTATCGGGGCGATCACTTATTCCACCCTTTTTCAAGTCTTGAGATTGCAGTATGAACTGGCGTAACTTGTCGAAATTGATCCAGTCAAGTTTTCCGATGATAGCCAGCGAGGAGGATACCCACCAGCTATAGCAGACATCGGGGTGTTTGCTAGGACGGCCATTAAGTCCCCCTTCTGGTACTTGCCTTTCGCATAGCCACCATCCTATGTCTTCAATCTGTTCGGAGGACAAGACGCCTAGCTTGTTGACGATAGCCAGCGCGGCGAGACAAGTCAGTGCCATTGCAGCGTGACTTTCGGCTCCTGGACACAGTCCAAATCCACCGTCAAAGTTGTAGCATTGTTGGATAAATTCAACTGCTGGATCTACCACGTCCGGTGTCAATTTGCCCAAAATCGATAGTCCGTTCAAAGCTGCATAAACAAACCGCGTATCGACTTCTCCAAACCGATCACCCTGAAAAGAGCCATCTGGCAGCTGGTTGCTCCTAAAGAATTCCACACACTGTGTCTTTCTGTCTTTAGTATGCTCATCGGTTGGTGTTTCCGTAAGGACGTCCAAAGCATCATAAATGGCCAAAATCTGGATTCCTGAAAGAGTCGTCAAGACATGTGCATCATGTCCAGGAAAAGCTCCAAAACCACCAGCTTTCGAGTCCCAACAGCTTTGTACAAACTCGATGATCTTCGTCCTATCAAATGTATCCTTAGCACCAAGCACACATAGCGCGGTAAGTCCCCAATAGACGCCGTTTAAACGCAAATGCTCCGAAAGCCAGTACTCATAGTCGTCCCGCTTCGAGTCTAGTGACGAGATGTAACCGATATGGCTCTCTTTGTCGAGTTTTAGCATCTGTTCAATTTCTAGTATTTGTAAATTTAAGGTTGAACAGCTAGCTCATCTCAAATAATAAAATTCAGATCCACGACGGTTTCAAATCAAATATACAACTATAAGAAGACATTGATGGAAGGGAATGATCGCGTAGATTTGAGAGATATTCGTGTTGACACGAGCTACTTAAATGGGGACGATGGAGTGCCTGTGGGTGAAGTTTTGAAGCGATTGGAATTCCAGCGAACAGAAGTACTGAAACTGATCCCCACGGATGACTTAGAGATTCAGCGCATACTCAAGTCCGCCGAGGCTCCTAGTGCGATAGAAGGGGAATCTCTCAGGGAGCGTAGGGAAAGACTAGTGGAGCTTGTATTCCAGAATCCAGAATTAAAATCTCACTTGACGCAGGAAGTCTTCTCAGGTGCAGACAGCGAAAATGGTGCAGAATCCGATGACGAGGAGTTTTATACACCTGCATCCGATGCCTTGATCCAGGCAAGGCGGTTTATGGTTCGGGATTCGTTGGCAAGAGCTCGCAAAAGGCTGCAGCTGGAAAAAAGCCGAGCTTCCATTCAAAATGTGCAAGCCATTATCGTCGGGAGACGGAAATTGAACGCAAAGTTAGCTACATATGAGCTTCAAGGATCCCAGGTTGTCTCTTCGAGGCCTATTTCACAGGTGACATTGTCTCCGGACCATAGACACGCGGCTTGCGGGAGCTGGAAAGGCGACGTTCAGATCCTAAATCCTGAGACACTGGAAGTTATCGCCGCTTTAGAAACTGCCCACGATGGTAAGATTGGGGGCTTGCATTGGAATTCGAGTTCTCAACTTCTGGTAACAGGGGGAGCAGATAATATGGTCAAAATATGGGACCCGTTATCTCAAGATCTAAAAGCTGAATTTCGCGGCCATGAAGCCCGCGTCGCGAGAGTCAAGTTCCATCCAAGTGACAAATATATTGCCAGTGCTTCTTTCGACATGACGTGGAGACTTTGGGATGTAGAAACACAAGTTGAGCTACAATTACAAGAAGGACACTCTAAAGAAGTTTACAGTTTAGATTTTCAGGCCGATGGCTCATTGTTATGCAGCGCAGGGCTAGATTCAATAGCACGCGTCTGGGATTTACGATCAGGGCAATCACTGATGGTTTTTAAAGGTCACGCGAAGCCTATTTACGGTGTAAGTTGGTCACCAAATGGTCATCATATCGCTACAGGTAGTGGCGACGGGACTGTGAAAGTTTGGGATCTACGAAACATTGAAAAACCATTTTCTATTTTGGCTCACAACAATATTGTTTCTGATGTTAACTTTGGAAAAAATAATGGATATTGCTTGGTTACAAGTTCTTACGATAAGACTATAGGTGTTTTCGCCGCGGATTCGTGGATAAAATTAGCATCATTGCGAGGACACACGGACAAGATCCTTTCCGTAGACATTTCCTCTGATGGAACTCAGCTGCTGAGTTGTGGATGGGATAGATCGGTTAAAAAGTGGTCATTAAACTAGTCGTAGTATTATTCAGTAATTGGTAAAAAAGCTTCAGATTAATCTTTAGGCATTCATATGGTTTCTTTGCTTTGAATGCTGTACTGAATTTGATGATCGAACTCTCGAATAGGGCGTTTTCTTTAGTTGGCTCGTGACTGTATCCATTTGTTTCTCCACCGTTTCTAAGATAGCCTTCTCGTCAACTATTTGTGATACTAGTTTCTGAATTCTTTCCTGAGACTTCTGTGACGACATTTCGTCATCTGCTAGCTTTGTATCAATTTGCTGTTGCAACAGATTTATCTCTTGCATGAGTTCTCGTTCATCTTTCTCAAACCCGACTAGAGCCTCCTGTGCTCTTTGCAATTCTTCAGACATATATTTGTGCTCGCTCTTCTTGGACTCAGTGAGACTGCTTTGTTGTTCTTTGTCCTCTTGAGCTTTGGTAATACCAAGAAATAAATCTACTAAAGCCATGTATTCAGGTCCCTTTTCTCTAGTTTCGTTGAGGATTTGCTCAGTTTGCTTTTCCATTTGCCTGATTTCATGAGTTGCTTCTTCTGCGACACTGGTTAATCTGGCGGCCTCCTGTATGTTAAGTGCGTGGTTCTTCATCGATTCGTGGGCTTTTTCTTTTATATCTTCATATTCACTCGTTATTACTTTTGCGCGACGAAGTTGGCCATCTTCTACGCAACGGAAGTGTTCCAGCTCTGAACTTTGTCTCTCTAATTGGTAATAAGCCTCGCCTATGGCTTGTATTAGCTTGTGAGTCAAAAGACCGCCAGAGAGATGATAATTCGCGGCACGCCCGTTTTTGGTGCTAGCAATTCCCGTAAGTTGGGCCATGTTTTGGTTGAGTGGGTTTGTAGAATAGTCATTTTTCAGTCTTTTCATTCTGTAGTATGATAGAGCACCGGAATCCTTGTAAAATGAGGAGTTTGGTTTACGACCACGCTTGCGTCCGTTATTTAGGGCTTGCGTAAGCGTATCTTCAACACGATTGTAACGGACCTCTGTTAACAAGGATTTCTCAACATCCATTGGCGTGTAGGTCTTGATCGGGTAAATGTCCGGTAAGGGCCAGGGTATACTGGGATCTTCAAGCCAATCGCGCAAATACTTTAAATTTTGGGAGTATATTGGTCGTAGATCTGGCGGCAGCGTTCCCACGACATCCCTAAGTACAACTACAGCGGCTGTGACTTTCGCCAAATACTCTCGGCTTTGGGGTTTCAGGTATTTGCCATGATAGAGTTCACAGTGATCGATTGAGTTTATAGTGGTGAGCCTTACTATGGGTGCGACCCGGCCGGGTCCCTCGGTAGGTCTATTCTGGGTCAAAATACGTTGAATGTGAGGCATCGAGGTATCGACTGAAGGGTCCAAACACAAGAGAAGATCGAAATGAATTGTGGAATCAAGTACGGAATTGATAGAGTCAATGGAGGCCTCATCAGAAGGGAACAAATGACACGTGCATGAGTGCTTCCTGGCCTTCTGCTTTGTCTTAATAGATTGCCCCGAATATCGTTTGATATTTACTCTGTTGCCCAGCAAAAGAGCCTCTAACAAGTCCATAGTTCTGTCGGACCGACAAACGACGGCTGTTTCAGTTTTGTAATCCTGTATCAAAGCGATCAAGTCCTTCAAAACTGCAAATTTCCCACTAGTTTCGGCAAGGTGATTAGGGATATCCTTGGTGATCAGAGACTTGGGCACACAATGGTCGATTAAGAGGTATGGATGAGTCGCAACGTACTGGCTGTTGAGACACATGGTCTCCATAGAATGCAGTACCACATCCGTATTGTAGTCCTCCGTTTCATAGTACTTTAAAATATCAGAGTAATGCAGAGAGACGATTTGCTCACTCAGCTCCTTCTGGTAAAGACACATTGGCGCGGGCAGCCAATAGTCACCAGACATGTCTCCCGAGACACCCATAGTATGGGCATCCACAATCGCCGGCTCCGGCACAGTATCTAGAATCTTAAATAGGTCCATCAATGGCTTGGTAGTATATATATCGTAGCCTTTGAAGTGTTTATATTTCTTGATGATTAGTTCGCATAGTCGGGAATTTTTCACAACTAACTGAATCTTTCTTCTTGAAAACACCAAACTCACCAAAAACTGTTAATACACCTCCATGAGCTCTCAAACCAATCAACTGAGCGACGGTATGTTTTCAATCCTATTTGGGTTTTCTCTGTTTCAAAACCGGCTATGAATGGCGTTTATTGACAATCTGGGTACTTGATACTATGGTTAGACGAAATAGCACTATATGACAGACAAATCAGGCTCTGGGGAATGGCAGCTCAAGCACGAATGAGAAGTGCGAGAGTACTTGTCGTACATCTCGGAGCACTGGGCACAGAAATCACCAAGAATCTCGTTCTGAGCGGCATAGGCTCGCTCTGTATAATAGACGACAAGGTCGTGAGCACGCAAGACCTGGAAACGCAATTCTTTGTGGGAAAAGAGGAAGTCGGCATTAAGCGGCTAGCTGCTGCTGCCCCTAGAATTCAGGATATGAATCCTAGGGTGAATTTGGACTTTGTCGCAGAGGACTTCCGTAACAAGCCAGATTCTTATTTCCAGCAGTTCGACTTGATCGTTGCTACGGATCTTGATAGCTTTGAAATTACAAAAATCAACAACATTAGCAGAAAGTTTAGCTTACCGCTTTTTGTAGCAGGACTGAACGGTCTCTCGGGCTATATTTTTGTGGACTTGATTCAATTCGATGCTACCGATGACAAGTTGAAAAGTTCTATGCCAACTTCCGTTGGCCAGGTTTCAGAACGTCGTGATGTGTTAACGGTTCTCGATCACTACAATGAGGAGCAAAACAAGACGTACGAACAGATTGTGACCAGAAATATCTACGTTCCATTCGAGAAAATGGTGCGCGAGGGAACACTAAAAGGAAAACTTACGAAAAGGCAGCTCAAGAGATTAACCAATGCAGTGCCACTCACGCTTGCCTTGCTTTATGGTACAGAGGGAAGCAAGCATGTTACTAGCGAAATTTTGAAGGAAAAAGCTAAAAAGATGTGTGTTCAATTAGGACTCCTTCCAGAAAACTTGCAACAAAGATATATCGATCAATTTTCAGAGCAAGCGGGTCTTGAATTTGCACCTGTAGCTGCTATTCTCGGCGGTGCAGTTGCCCAGGATGTCATCAACATTTTAGGTAAGAAACAGTCGCCCTTAAACAACTTTGTGGTGTTGGACGGTATTTCCTTGGATATGCATATATTTGAGCTTTAGAAAAATGAGAAGTTAACCTGTGATATATGGATGTCTATGTTTTGCATTAGTACAAGCATGATTTGGTTTTTTATGCATCAAAGATCACTTACGCTAGGCGCCTACATATGATCCCCAGTCACTATCTCAGGTAGATCGCTATATTAAATGATTTACCTTTGCAAAGTGCTTACTTGAAATGTCAATATGTACTTTTCCTACTTGAAGGGTTCTATAACGTGAACAACCGAAATTGTTGCCCAACTTGAATGAAATACCTAGTAAGACCTATGCTCACTAGGAGAACCATTTCATTACGCGGAATGAAAAATGAAGTGAAACTAATTTGATGTAGCTATCTTACGATAGACTTTCACGTTTGACCGCTGACTGTTACCTCTTGCAGGTGAACCATGAAATTTTGTAGCGATACATCATCAGTTAAAACAATAGTAGAGCCACCAGCAGATTGGTCTTGGTAACTATCGGATGGGTTGAGTTTGGATAACAAAAATCTAGCTTGAGATCCACCGGCTTCGGTGTCAATAAACCTTGGCAACGGGAATCTGTCAACCAATAACTCTGCTGCTTCCAATTTAGGTTCCTCTAGCAAGGATTTGAAGTCAGCATATTGAGGATCATCTTGGTAACCTGCTTTTCTCCATTGGGCGATTTGTTCACCGTGATAAATCAAAATGTAAAAGAAGGTATCAAGAAGTAGAATCGTGTTTGGTTTCACAGAAACGGAATCCAGCAACACCGGTTGAGGTTCTTCTTCCATGAAAAATGCAGTCAATGTAGGCTGGATCATAATTAAGGAGTTTGTGGTATCTTCTCTCGTGAAAATGTGTCTGTAGAATGCTGTTTCATCTGGAGAATTGTTGAAAACACTTAAGAATTGAGACCTTCTCAAGTAGTAAGTGAATTGAGGGTACAAGGAGAAGTTGGGGGCTAATCTGAAAGACCTAGGATCATCCTTGTTGTAATCAGCGTATTTTTGACACAATTTGATTAGAGTTCTGTCAATCCATCTGATCACGTCAGCACCGTCATCGGACTCGGCTTTGTGTACTGCGATTCTGGCCATCAAAACCGCGGCTGCTTCTTGATCGAAAGACGCAGCAATAGCTGGTGAGCCAAATGGTAATAGCTGATTCGCCACTGTAGTGACTCTGACACGGTTAGTTCCTGAAGCGTGTTGATACGCGGTCACAAACTGAGTGTATGCCAACTTTGGTCGGTCACCACCGACAACACCTGCGGTAGCAGCTGCATTGTTGGCGATCTCAAAAAAAACGGCATACGAGTGATTCGGAGTTAGCGAAGACATTTTCCACGTTGAAGTTCCACCAATACCAATTTCTGAATCACTAACGTTAATTGCGTCGGTTTTCTTAACTGGAGATGCGTGGCCAATGAGACCTTGGATTTTCAGATCTCTGCTAGTCTTCACAGACATGTTAGCATTGAAAGCCATCGTCAAGTATCCTTCTTCATCGCTAGAGAAGAGTCTCAAGAATGATTGCTTGAAAATGGAGGTCGAAAAGGCATCTGTCAACAGCAGAACACCGCCAGTAGAATCTGTCAATTGCTTCATTTCGGACATACCAACTTGATCGTAACAACCAGCGAAAATGTCTACGGTGTGGCCGTTTTGAGAGACTCTCTCGGCCAATAAACTGTAGAACTTGGATGCCTTCTTGAAGTGCTTAGCATTATCAGAATCGATGTCGTGGTGAGATCTGAGTGGATCCTTCAATTCTGAAGAAACAATCATACCTGGAGCTAAGGTACCCGGCCCTGACGCAAAGAGGATGATTCTGGAGGCCACATTTTTGTAGCAGCCTTGTAAGACCAAAGATGCAATATTCAAAGCGGACCCTGTGGCACGAAGAGGTCTATGGCCAGCGGGTATGGACCATTGATCAGGTGATAAGTTTTCTAGCAGCTGAGTCAATTTGAACTCGACTTGTTCCAAAGGTAAGAAAAAGCGGTTCAAAGAGAAAGATGTGATTTTGTTTAATTGTAGATTGGCAGCACCGGCGGATCCACCAGCAGCACCTGCGGCACTAGATTTCTCCCCAGTGAGCATTTCAATCAATTGGAGTAATTGATATTCGCGGTCACCCCTGAAGACGTTGCATTTATCGATGGTGTCACAAGACAAGTCGTGGAGCTGGACCACGTTGCCGTATGTCATTAAACCGACCAAAGCGTTTGGAGGCAAAAGGGATAGCGATGCGATGATGGATTCTCTCAATGCTTGCATGTTCTCCTCCTCCGCAGTGATGTCAACGACGAAAAAGTAAATCGGAGGGACCTGGACGGGTCTATTGGTGATGTACTCGATGGTCGTGTTGCTGAGCTCCGCAGGCATGTTATCCTGGCTCATGTTGGCGTAATGGGCTGGCAAATGATTTCTGGAGTTACAGATCGGACATGTCCATGCGTTGGAGCGGAGGTCGATCTCACAGTACGGGTTCAGTACCGCTTTACATTGCGGGCCGCCGCAAACCACTGGGTTGTACGACATCACCTCCAGGTCCTCTTTCTCCTTGAGAGGTGTGTATAGACATCCCACAGGAACCACGTTTTTGTTCGCGTCGGTTCTACTGGCAGGAAACACGTTCCATGAGAAACGGACGCCGTTGATGTCCTCGTTGGCCTCAAAATCCATGTGTGAAGAGGAGTTCGAGTGAATTGAAAAAAAAGGAGCGCTTATTTACAACCTGAATTGCGCAAAACCCACTCAATGCAGCTCGAGTATCTCGCTAGTCTTGTCAAACGCTGTTCCAAACGCACTAACAAGCTTTTGATCTCGTTTTGTGGCCCTTTTTCCGGTTTTTATCTGGCTTGTTTACTTGTGCGATCTGGTCATTTCAATAAAAATCGTTGTTTTGCCACCGTGGAGAAAAAAACCTCGATATTGTGCTCTTGTACGAGCCTTTGCGTTAACGTTCTTAGTGACAATACTAGGCGTGAAGAGATATATGAAAGAACTAGGTCAAGAGTAAGAGCGTTAGGGGCTGCTGCCAGGTCCGTAGTCAACACTGCTCTATGTTCGGGAGTTTACTCAGTGAGAGGTAATGACTTCTTTATTTTTCTGGCGTTGTGAGCCGTTTCTTGGCAACGTCAAAAACTCCGTGGAGCTGGAAATTAGCCAAGCAAATTGCGTCTCCTACGCTGCTATTTTGTGCTGGGCTAGTGTATGTTCATTTGTTTCTCGGGATTCTTAGAGGACCAGCTTTTAAGTGGGCGTCAGTTCTAAACAAAAGTGATTACCTTGTGCGGTACACAACTGACACTCCAATGGGGCCTCCAATGGGCCAGTCATGTACTGCCAGACCCATACGGAGGATCCAAAATAGCTGCTTTACCTTGCTAGATGCCACTGACGCGAGATTAGTTTCCGGCGTTTGCTCAAGAAACCGCTTTCGTAGTTGCTTGATTAACTGTTCATCTGTTTAATTTCAACGCACCATCTGAAGCGGACAGCCGCACTACCCATACGGCGGCCTGCTTGTCTGTTCGTTTCCTAGGAAATGCCTTACTGTATAGCTAAATCAAACCTTAAAAATCATAACATAAAAATCTACATCGTGAAAATGATGTTGATACCCTCTCCAGCAAGACTAAACAGCAAAAGCCACGCTCTTTGCGATGAACTTGAGGGAACTGCAAGTGGTCGCTGCTTGTCTAGCATCGCGATTCGGAGCCTCGACTGTTTTCCCGCTATTACAGCAGCAATTGGACAAATCGGTCGAGTTTTCCACGCCTGTGACATCGTATAGAAGCTTGCAAGAAGGTGTTTTCCTAATACGAAATGACTTCCCGCTGTACTCAGGGGGAGTTGTTCACCATGCACCACTGCTAGTGGCTCTCATGTCCGCTTTCAGTAGCAAAAACATGGTGTCGTTGCTGTATGCCTGTGCAGACACCATGATCGCATTCCAACTCATTGCCATGGCCAAATGCTTTAGCCGCTCTCCTCTGCCCTCTTGGGTTCCGGGCGCCCTCTATGTGATTAATCCTTTGGTGCTGCTATCGACGGTTTCGAAATCGTCCGTCGTTTTCAGCAATTTGGCCATCTCCACAGCTCTGCTCAGCGCTTTGCAAGGCAACAGCATTATTGCTGCAATGGCAATTGCTGTTGCAGGATACCTTTCGTTATATCCACTGCTTTTAGTCGTGCCGATGTTAGCGCTACTACAAAAAGATAAACTAAAAACCGTTTTCATAACCGCGGCGACTTTGACTGCCCTTTTACTATCGAGTTACAAGATCAACGACGAGAACTGGAACTACCTCTTTTCCACATACGGTGTCATAATTACGTTCAGCAAAATCATTCCCAACTTAGGTCTGTGGTGGTACTTTTTCGTCGAATTGTTTGAAATGTTCATACCTTTTTTCAAAGCCGTTTTCAACCTGTTTGTGGTCTCTTGCATCATACCATTTTCGCTGCGATTCCACAAACAACCTTTTTACGCTTTTATCTTGTGCCTGAGCTGGATCACTCTCACAAAGTCTTACCCAACGCTTGGGGATGGAGGTTTTTTGCTAAGCTTCGTGCCTTTTTTCAGGCCCTTATATGGATACTTCAGGTACTCAGTAATATCCACGTTGCTATTCATTCATGTTACCGTCTTATCGCCCATATTTTACCATCTGTGGGTAGATTTGGGTTCGGGAAATAGTAACTTCTTTTATGCTATTTCGCTAGTGTATGCTTTGGGTTTGGCCACAGTTTTGGTCGATTTGGTATGGGCCATGTTGAGGATAGAGTACGACAAGGGCACACCAAATCTCAAACTTAAGATGACCCCACTATAGCGAGATCTAGGTCCTTAATTTGCTATTTAACTCATGTTTCTCAATTATCTTATCGTACGTATTGTTTCTCGTTCATCTGCAAGTCAAGTTTGATGCATCATGTTAAACTTAGAAAATATCCAAAGTAAGCACCTAAATGTCAGACGTATGTTCTGTGGTAGCGAATTCTGGAGCAAATCTCCCCTTCTACTAATACTAACAGCTTTTCTCAGCTTTCACCGGTGAATCCAAAGCCATTTCTACGAGATCTTATAAATAAAAGGACAGTGGTCACTTTAAAGTTTAACAAAACGCAGTACAAAGGTATCCTGGTTTCAACAGATAACTACTTCAATTTGCAGCTTTCGGATGCCGAGGAGTTTATAGATTCGCAATCCAAGGGCAAGATTGGTGAGATTTTCATTCGTTGTAATAATGTTTTATGGATTGGTGAGGATTTGTCAGGTAACGATGCTAGCGAAAAAGAGGTGGACAAGAGTGCAGAAGTAGGCGAAACCGCTGACAATGAGGCTATAGAGGCTCATCAAGATGTCGAGATTCAAAATGACAATAAATAGAAATGAAGCGCTAAAATGTCATTTGTAAATACGACGGATGTGTATAGTAGATAGTAATGAGACGCAACTTGAGAAAACGGAACTGAAGCACAAAGCAATTCAATGCCTGTTCTTTATTATTTTCCTATGGCTACTATTTCATGTTTTTGTGAAAAAGATCACTTTCCGTCACTATTTAAGCAGTACACTGTGTGTTAGCCGGCTTTTAACATAATATGTCAAACAGAAGGGAAATTACAGACTTCGTGATCAGCAAAAACAGTTTTTAGAGCCTTGACGATCAACTCAATTGAACCAAATTACGCAACAGCTGGTACTCGATCGTAAACTGTAAATGCTAGTGACTCTCACATAGCGGTTACAAATTAATGAATTCGAGCCAAAAATGCAGCTCGCTTCCTCGAATTTCCATGCGATTTCATCGCTGCCGTCCGATTTCTCGGCCTAAGATCGAGTCTTATACCTTGAAGCTCGCTGCCTTCCTTCCTTAGGTAGTCAACTCATCGTCACTTACAACGTGCCCGGACCTTCATAACACGTAACAAATTATTCTCTACATCAATACCTTGTCACTAAAACAAATAAACTAAACTCAGGAAAAATGGCGATTGAGAACTCTGTGATTGTTCCAGCATACCACGAAAGGCTTAACATCAAGCCTGTGACAACTAGACTTTTTGCTGCTCTTGGAAATGAAGGTTCTAAAACTACAGAATTGATCTTTGTTGATGATAACTCCAAGGATGGATCTGTGGAAGAGGTAGAAGCTCTGCAAAAACAAGGTTACAATGTCAAGATTATCGTGAGAACCGATGAGAGAGGTCTTTCATCTGCGGTCTTGAAGGGTTTCCACGACGCCCAGGGCCAATATTTGATTTGCATGGATGCCGATCTGCAGCATCCTCCAGAGAGTGTTCCCCAATTGTTGGACGTTTTGAGAAAGCATGCCTTCGTCTTGGGTACGAGATACGCACCAGGTGTCGGAATCGACAAAGATTGGCCTTTGTACCGCCGTGTGATCTCGTCCGGCGCTCGTATGATGGCCAGACCTTTAACCACAGCTTCGGACCCCATGAGCGGATTTTTCGGTCTCCAGAAAAAATATTTGTTGGACACTGAGGCCAAGGAGATCAATGCTCAAGGTTTCAAGATCGCCTTGGATTTGCTTGTTAAATTGCCATTGCCAAAGAGCAACGCTATTGGCGAAGTGCCCTTCTCCTTCGGTGTTAGAACCGAGGGTGAATCCAAGTTGTCAGGTAAAGTTATTGTTCAATATTTGCAGCAATTGCAAGAACTTTATGTTTACAAGTACGGTGCTAACAACTTGGTTCTGTTCCTCATTTTCTGGATCATCCTTGCGCTTTACGCATTTTTCAAAATGGTTTCTTTCCTACATTGAGGTAGTTGTATAGTAATGATATACAGATATGTGAACATATATTGCCTATTTTACGTGACTTTCGAAGGCGACTTGCAAGTGCTTTTATATGACGAAGTATGATGGAGAATGCTCGGGCGAGGGTTCTTGTGCAAGTACCGGTACATGCATATCAGAGATAAGTGTACGAAGTACATTACAACGAAATTTTAGTTTAGACTAATAAGAAGGACGAAGTTCAAGTTACGGCTCCCTAGCATTCCAGACAAAGCATCTTTGTTGGGGTGCGAGTGATGATAGCACCAAGTTGCGCGGTTAGAGAATAGTACAGAGTGACAAACTGGGATATCAATAAAATAAGAACGCTGAGAACTGATGTTAAGTAGTGTTCATAGCCACAAAGTTTCGGTGTCATTGCGTCCGAGGAATAGAGGCTTGTGCAGTTTATAGTTCAGACAACAACACTTTTCGTTATCCTCCAAAAAGTTGTATAAATACCGATGGTTTGTTCCCTATGTCGGGATATCAGTCTTCACACGCCGCATGGTGCAAAATTGAACTGGTAGTGGATTCTCCATTCGTCAGGGAAATGTTCCATAAATATTAATTTAGCACGTTAAGATCTATTGTAGGTTTGTCAAAGTTATGGAAAATGGAAACCGTGCAATAAAGACCGTGCAACGAATAAACTGCAGTGAAGACCGTGCTCTGACCTGCAGCAAAGACCGTGGAAATGAAAATAATAATATCATGCTGTGCATGGTCTCTGCCGCTTGAAACACCAACGCATTCGTTCAGAGCTACACGGGCGCAATGTCAGACAAATAGAAAGTGATTAATGACTTTGTCCGCGTGACAGTATTTGAGGCCCATGGAACAGGCTCCTCCAAAAGAGAAAGCTAGCTAAACAGAAAACGCAGCGCCTAGTGGATCCTCTGATTGTAATGCGACCAACTCGCTTCGTGCCGCTGCTCGCACCCTTTAAAAGGAGTGGCAATGCGAGCTTATTTCGACTATGACTATGTCACGTTGGTATAAAGTGATGAACGCAGAATTCCTGGCAAGAGTTGCCCGACAGGGTAAGATAGCCGATCAGAGCTTCCACACGAGCGTTAGAGCCGCAGTTCTTCCTAATTAGTTCTCCGAAAAAGAGCCCCCTACTATACATAGTCCAGCCCTAAACATGACCGTTGGCAGATCTCGTCGCCTCGTATTTTAATCGGCATTTTATATAGATCTGGCTATAGTCCTATAATTTACACGATAATGACACTTCTCCAGACAAAAGCTCAATTTACTTCCTCACGTTTCGTCCGATTCTGGCTGCGAAGCTCATATTCTCACGAAACCTTCTCTCGCTATTCTCTCTGCTCCTATAGCTCATCACTATCCACGCCGCGACAAGGGGCAATCTCTTAATTACTCTCTCGACAAGAACGATGGCCGCTCAGATTCTTTTCCCTTTGCTCCTGCTCAACACAAAAACGAAAAAAATTAGATGGGCTGTAGTATTTTAAAAATAAAGGGAGAGCTTGTTCTGGGCGTATAAGTATAAAGATCATGAGAGCAAGGGACACACCGCTCGAAGGATGATCGAAGTACTGGAAAGCTTCTTAAAGACAGGTTTTGCAAGCAATTGAGCATTGTAGAAACAGTTGTGGCTATACACAAGGAACAACTAGAGGCTGAGAGAAGGCTATCGAACTTTCCGCGGGATATATCCACTTGCCACAGAAAACGGCTTTCCAATAAAGAGAGCAATAGACTGAGATAGAGAGCAAGATAGAGAGAAAGGCAGAGCGAAAGATCAACACTACTCGAGGGATTTCAGTGACGGCTATAAACCATCGGATCACCCCTAACGAAGTACGCTTACATAACCACTGACCAATATTGAAGTCACATGACGCGAGAGCTTTTGCTGCGGGTTTCAGACGCCGGAGAGCCGGTGACCAGCTGTTCCTATGGCCAGGGCGTCCTGACGCTACCGGCACTACCACTGCCAGATGGCTACGATGGCTCCCAGCCGCTTTTCACACTCAAACTGGTCATTGCAGGCGGGTCTCCACTCGCTCGCGACGGCCTGGTATGGACCAATTGCCCACTTGATACCAAGTCCGCGTTCGTACGCGACCAATTTGCCAAGAAGAAAATCAATGCGAGCTTCCACCGGGATTCGCACGTCGAGATTCACGTTTTCACCCCAGGGGCCTTCTGTTTCTACTTTTCCTTCCGGAACGACCGCGACGAGCTCGAAACCACGCGCCGGTTCTACTTTGTGTCTCCTCCAAACCTGTATGTATCCGGCAAATACGTACCGCTAAATGCCATCGCGATGGAAACTGTCGTCTCCAAGTGGATGGGTTCCAACTGGGACACCGTGTTCCAGAAAATCGCCCACAAGGGCTACAATATGATCCATTTTACGCCTTTGCAAAAGAGAGGGATCTCAAACTCCCCGTATTCCATTTACGATCAACTCCTATTCGATCCTGACTTTTTTCCCAACAACACCAAGGACGTTAGCGAGATGGTTCAGAAATTGCATCAGGATCTTGGTATACTCACCATGACAGATGTCGTCTTCAACCACACCGCCAACAATTCTCCTTGGCTCCAAGATCACCCTGATTCCGGTTACAATCACCGAACTGCACCTCACTTGATAAGTGCCATTGAATTGGACGCATCTTTGCTCAAATTTAGCAATAACCTTACAAAACTTGGATTGCCCATAGATTTGAAGACAACCCAGGACCTGTTCAAAATTATGGATGGTATCAAAACTCACGTACTGGCCGCTTTGAAAATCTGGGAGTTTTACGTCGTGGATACCGAAACTACTATAAAATTGTTCGAAACAAACTGGAACCAAATTTCTCACGAAACAGTAGAAGTGCCAGATAATGTCAAAAATGATATGGTTGAGCTAGCAGCTTTCATTCGTGCGAATGCCTCGTCGGATGATTTTGGTCAACTAGGAGAAAGGCATTCCAACAAGCTTGACAACACAAAATTCACCGCCGTAATCAAGTCTCTGTATGGACAAGAACTGAATGACGCCGTCTTGGAGGAAGCCCGCAAAATCGTTGACGAATTAAATTCACCGTTGTATAGGGAATATGATGATGATGTGAACGATATACTAGAGCAATTGTTCAATCGAATCAAATACATGCGGATTGATGATCATGGTCCTAAGATGGGTACTATTACACACGAGTCACCATTGATTGAACCTTATTTTACCCGCTTTACGGGGACCGATGGTCAAGAGTTTGCCTTGGCCAATAATGGTTGGATCTGGAACGGCGATCCGCTAGTGGACTTTGCATCTAATAAGTCCAAGGCGTACTTGAGGCGTGAAGTCATTGTATGGGGTGATTGCGTCAAATTGAGGTACGGCTCTGGGCCTGAGGATTCGCCTTACCTTTGGGAAAGAATGTCGAAATATATTGAAACCAGTGCTAGAATATTTGATGGTTTCAGAATTGATAATTGTCACTCTACTCCGCTTCATGTCGGGGAATACTATTTGGACTTGGCACGGAAATGCAATCCAAATCTTTATGTTGTGGCAGAATTATTTTCAGGATCAGAAGTAATGGACTGTCTGTTTGTCGAGAGACTCGGTATTTCCTCATTGATAAGGGAGGCCATGCAGGCATGGTCAGCAGAAGAACTATCAAGACTTGTCCACAGACATGGTGGCAGACCAATCGGCTCTTATAAATTCCTACCTTTGGACGAGTTTGCCTATCCAGCAGACGCTCATGATATGGGATCTGAAGACTCTAGAGCAAGCAGAGATATAGAAATAAACATTCCAAAAACACTCACTGCCACCCCGCCCCATGCTTTGTTTATGGATTGCACACACGATAATGAAACCCCTTTTCAAAAAAGGACCCTTGAGGACACTTTGCCTAACGCTGCGTTGGTGAGCCTCTGCTCCTCGGCCGTAGGGTCGGTATATGGTTATGACGAATGCTTCCCATATCTATTGGATGTGGTGGGTGAATCTAGAACATACGATGTTGAAAACGGTGACGGAATTTCTGAAGTTAAGGTTCTGCTTAACAAGATTAGAGATGAAATCGCACATGGGAGTGCAGAAATAGAGGATTCAGAAATGCACGTTCATCACGACGGACAGTATATTACCTTCCAGAGGAACAACTCGAAGACGGGAAAAGGATGGTTTCTAATAGCGCGCACCAAATTCAGTGAAGATCAAGGTGATCAACAATTTCCAAATGTCATATTTAGTGGATCACGTTGCGAACTAGACTTTGCGTACTCACTCATCAAAGTTGGTGACGTTGTCAAGGACGACAAAAAAATTAAAGGCATCCCGACAAAGCTAGAAAAATTAACAGGGTTTAATGTAAATTACAATGACGGCGCCAAGGAGTCGATAATCGAGATAACCGGAAACTTCCCCCCTGGTTCCATTGCTGTTTTTAAAACTCAACAAAATGGTCTTGATGATACACTATTAAGATATCTTAGATCTGGTGCTTTGAAAGCTTCTGAGAAGCTTGATCTATACTCCTTGAACTCACTACTATATCGTTGTGATGCTGAAGAGCGCGACGTAAGTGGAGGTAAAATAGGTGCGTATAACGTTCCGGATTATGGCACCCTGACATATTGTGGTCTTCAAGGTTGGGTTTCGGTTTTGCGGCAATTGATATTCTCCAATGATTTAGGTCACCCTTTAAGCAATCATTTGCGCAGTGGCCACTGGGCTCTGGACTACATGGTACAGAGACTAGATTTTTACAAGGACAAGGAAGGTGTCTCTGAAATGCAAGCATGGCTGTCGTCTCGCTTTGACAGAGTTAAAAAGCTTCCTTCATATCTGATACCAACCTACTTCGCTTTAGTACTTGGTACGGCATACCAGTGCTGTAGATTTAGAGCCCTGGGATTAATGGCCGAAAATGTAGGACAATCGACAAGGTTCGTTCAAAGTTTGGCTTTGACCTCGGTTCAAATGGTTTCCAAAATGTGTTCAACCTCGTTAACTCCAGAAGGAAACACGCCTTGCATGGCTGCAGGGCTTCCACATTTTTCCACCAATTACATGAGATGCTGGGGCAGGGACGTGTTCATAGCTTTAAGGGGTTTATTGCTTACGACAGGTCGTTACGATGATGCAAAGCAACATATTTTAGCTTTTGCCAAAACGTTGAAACATGGCATGATTCCAAATTTGTTAGACGCTGGGCGAAACCCTCGTTATAACGCTCGTGATGCTGCCTGGTTTTTCTTACAATCAATTCAAGACTACGTGGAGATTGTTCCCGATGGCTACACGATTTTGAGGGAAAAAGTGTCGAGACGTTTTCCACTCGATGATACCTACGTTACAGAGGATGATCCGCGCGCATTCTCTTATGAGTCTACTATCGAAGAAATAATATATGAAATACTAGCAAGGCATGCAAAAGGCATCAAATATCGTGAAGCAAACGCGGGCCCTAATTTGGATAGGGTCATGTCTGATGAAGGCTTTAACGTTGAAGTACATGTTGATTGGACCACCGGTTTGATACACGGGGGTTCACAGTTTAACTGCGGTACTTGGATGGACAAGATGGGTGAAAGTGAGAAAGCAGGTTCTTTAGGGGTACCTGGAACTCCTCGAGATGGAGCCGCCATTGAAATCAATGGGCTATTAAAAAGCGCGTTAAGATTTGTGGTCAAAATGGAGGAAAGAAAACTTTTCAAGTCCACAGCCGTTCAGAAAGAAGATGGCAGCAAGATCAGCTTGAAGGAATGGAACGGTCTTTTACAAGACAATTTCGAAACCAAATTTTTTATCCCTTCGGACCTCTCAGATGATGGTGGATACGACGTGGAATCCAGATTGGTGAACAGACGAGGTATCTACAAGGACTTGTACAAGTCCGGGAAACCATATGAAGACTATCAACTAAGGCCAAACTTTGCCATTGCAATGACAGTGGCTCCAGAGTTATTCACTCCAGAGAAAGCGTTGATAGCATTGAGGAATGCAGATGCAATTATCAGAGGTCCCGTTGGGATGCGCACTCTGGATCCAAGCGACTATAACTACCGGCCCTACTACAATAACGGCGAGGACTCCACGGATTTTGCTACCTCAAAAGGAAGAAACTATCATCAAGGACCAGAATGGGTATGGCTTTATGGCTATTTTATGCGGGCCTACTATTACTTCAATCTCATTGCCGACTCGCATTGTAAGACCAAAGATGGAACTCAACCATCGTCGTATTTGTTGCAACAGTTGTACAACCGCCTTGAGGGCCAGAGGAAAGCTATTTTCGAGAGCCCTTGGGCAGGGCTCACCGAGTTAACAAATAAAGATGGCGACTTTTGTGGGGACAGTAGCCCTACACAAGCTTGGAGCACAGGATGTGCCCTGGACTTTTTTTACGATTTGTGGAACGCCGAAATGAAGAACATTAGCGGCGAAGTAACTGCAAGTAAAAATTGATCTGAAGTTGTTGACTTCGATCGATCAATATTTGAAACCACACCCCTCCCTTTTCTTGTTGTGTCTTTTGTACGCGATTTCTATATATAACCTTAAACGGCATCGTTTTTGTCATTGTCAATAATGTGATCAATAAGTTTATATCAACCTCTCTTTCTCAAAGATATTCTAGAGACATCGCAATTATAAGCAACTTAACGGCTGAGGAGCTCATTAACAGACAAACAAGACTGTTGAGTGACTCTTAGGGGCTTTCTTGATAAGATTGAACCGGCCTTAAAAAAGTTGAATAACCATTTGGTTCTTTTGCCTTACAAATTTCAATGGATTGGTGGAACTTTGAGTAAAGATGACTTCAAGCATGGATAGACAGCTCTGGGAGCTGGTAAACAACTTTTTCTTAAAGGCTGCGCTACTGGTTTGCCAGTCCAAAAATTACAAAGGACATTCCAGTTCGGGGGATGTCACAAGCACAAACAAATGGTTCAACATCGAGACCCTTGGAAATCGGAACTTGGAACAGGAAATGGGGCCTTGGACGTCTTTTGACGGAGAAAGGTCAATTCCACCGCTAGTAATAGAGACTTATCTAGATTTGACGCACTTGAGCCCGTCGCAATCCATCGTTTTGAAAGACCAGGACGGAAATCCTTGGAATGTGTGCAAAGGTACAAAGAAATCCGAAATTATGCTGGAGAGGTGGCTTATACAGTTAGAGAGTGGAGACGATCCCAGCCTACCGCATAGAGGCGACATAGACGCTGCCTTAGACTATAAAGACCCGAATTCAGACTCGGGGCTAGGACTCAGTTCAGAATCGTTCACGGATATCCAGGAGATATACCGGCAACTGGTTTTGTTATTTCGGTATCTATACACATTAGTGGGTCTGCTTCCGGCAAGTGACTTGCATGTCCGGCTGTCCAAGCCTGTCACGACTTCTGGGATGTCTTCTCCTGTATATGTGGGATGCCGAGTTCTTGACGGCTCCAAGCCCATTGTGTCAAAGGGAAGAATAGGACTTAGCAAACCGCTTATTGCAACTTACTCCAACGTAATCAACGAGACAAACTTACCGGCCCACTTGGAACAGCGAAAAATAACTCCGATCCGGACCAAATACGGTTCTTTGAGGATCTCCGTATCTTATAGACGAGACGCAGATTTTCATGTGAACGACAATGAAGAGTACTACGCTAACCAATTTGGAAATTTTGCTTCGGACTCTCGCCCAACACGCTCAAATAACCCCATGGTTACGAATTCTTCACTGAGGAGAGTCTCAATGAATAGCCAGCGGTCGATGTCCGTTTCCCCTAATACAAACATTAGTCCAAATCTTTTAGCGGAACAGTCGCCACACAAGAAAGCAGTTGCTCCAACACGTCAATTTCAACCTTTCAAGGCCGGGTCCGTTGGAAGCGGCTCAATACCGCAAGTTATTCAAAGCAACCTGAGTAGAAATCCTTCGGGTACGTCAGTTGTGGCGACTCTAAGAGCTCAAAGATCCAGTAATGGATCCATTACAACAACTACAAACCCATTACACGAGTCGCATTTAGAACCTTCAAGCATAGGAAGCGGGAGTTTATCCAAATATTCATCGTCTTTTGGTCGTTTACGTCGACAGTCCAGTGTGAGAAGGTCGGACAGCGTAGAAAGGCCTCAAAAGCCCACTAAAAATAACGAATCGCCCTCTGGCGACCTCCTGGAGTTTATGAAGTTTTTAGACGACAGAAAGGAATTGAAGTCCAAGAATAACGATAAAGTGACCAAAGCAAACCTTTCAAGTTCTCTGCTTAAATTTCAGGGCATGAAGACCAATAATCACAATTTGAGTACTGATTTATCAATGTCGATGTCTATGGAGCGACCACAAATTGGTCAGCAGAGACATAGGTCGAATTCACACTCTCCAAATTCGTCCTTCTCACCGTCCATTCAATATTCTTCTATCCCCCTCAGACTTTCACAAAGCCGATCAAACTCATACCGAAACGATATTTTGGATGAATATTCTAGCAGACGTGGTTCTACCGATAGACCCAAGTCAGCCATTTACAACCTCACTGAAAGTGTCAACGACGCACGCAAGTCTCCGATGCTTGGTCGTGGCCTCGAAGATGGAGATGAAGAGGATGATCTGTTAATAGGCAGGTCCGCTTACAACAATCCAGCTTCTACCAACAGGAATCGCTCTACGTCACCAGGATCAATGCGTAGTTATTCAAGTTCATACAGCAAGAATCAACTGCCCTTCAAATCAGTTGCCAATTTTTCGGTTCCGACGACCATGGCTACACCTGCTCATGCCAAGTTGCACAAAGCTAATGTGGCAACATCCCCGGAATCTCATAGCACGGAGGTTGGACCAAAGAAAGATGAGACATCAAATCATGCGGATGAAGATGACGAGTTGCTATTTTTTATGAGTGACATGAACCTTTCGAAGTGAGACACAGACAACATCAAAGCAGAAGGGAAATGGTTCTTCAGTCAGTAAAGAGTAAAGCTTGGTTTAGTACTGAAGAAGATTAGCACATCAATATATGATGCCTGTCACAGTGAGAACCTTTCCCTCTTACCTCAGAAGCAAGCTTCGTATTATGTGTATTTAGGAACGTCTTTTTTATAGCCTTACAAAACTGCTAAATGCGGAAAAGATTCCAGCTCTTCACTGAGGTCGCATTAGACAGCACCTTTTTCCGATTGCAATGTGCCTTCCTCAATTTCCTGAATGCCATCCTTAGTTTGTTCTGTATTCTCTTTCTCTTGTAGGATTTTCAATTTTAGTTCATGGATCTTATGCTTTTGAATGTGCAGGTCAAATTTCTCTTGTGTTTTGAAAGTCCTGTAACACTTCGAGTAAGGACACCTATGCTTCCTGCCCGCAGAATTCAGTAACAAAGACACTGAAGATTTTCCGGTGTCTAAAAATTTGCGTAATGTCACCTCTGTTTGTATGGAATCCAAATCAGAGTTATGAGTCTGACCAGTCTTTAGAATGGACCTCTTAGGAAGAGCCAATTCAAGAGGGTCCGGAACGGAGGCGCTTATGCGTAAAACCTCCTGCTCGGCTTCCTCTTCTCTTTCAACTAGCCTGGATACGAGGTCCTTGTGGTATTCCACGTAATGCGACATTAAGCCTGCCTTTTTGGCAAAAGATAGATCATCACAGGACTCACATTGCCAATTTTTGATAACGGTACTGTTGCTGTGTATTTTCATGTGCATGGCCAAACCCGATTCTCCAACACACGGTTTTTTACACACAGGGCAGAGAATCTTCGGATGTTGCTCTTTTATATGCTGTTGCAAACCCGTCCAAGTTTTGAATGCCTCGAGGCAGGACCCATGGGTACACTGATACTTGAAAACGGCGTCCGGATTGTGATGCTTTGCAACGTGCGCCTTGAGGCGGTAAGGGCGCTGAAATTTCTTGCCGCAAAATTCACAATTGAGCTTTTGTAAATGTACTGCCAAAATATGTGACCGAAGCTGCGGATGTTTGTAAAAGCTTTCAATGCAATTTTCGTAAGGGCATTTGAAAGATTTTGTGTGAGTAATTGCGTGCCTTCGCAACTGCTGCTCTGTGGTAAAACCCTTTTCACAAACCGAGCATTTAAGTGGCTTTTCGTCAGAATGAGAAAACATATGCCTTTCCAAATGCGACTTGCGAGCGAACGTTTTGTCGCATTTAGAACAGCGAAATGGTTTTAGTCCCCTGTGAACGGTTTCCTGATGTTCTGTGAGTTGAGATGGGCGAGAAAACGCCTTTGTGCACCCTTCGTACTCACATAACCAGCTTTTTGGTCTGCTGGAGATTGATGAAGTGCTCACATCGGACTCCGATCCTAGCTCGAAGTCTAAATTAACTTTGTCCTCTTGCAAGATGAGTTTACCACTGTCATCTTCATTTCGAAAGTCTTCCGCCCACATAAAGGGTGTTTCTAAAGTACTATTATTATTTTCATTACGTTCGTTAATGCAGGAAATCTTCTTGGCATCCATCTGAAGCCGTTTTTGTGACGATATCCATGCGATGAGTTCGCCTGGATCATAGGTATTCTTAAGTAATTGAAATATTTAAATATTCGAAATTTTTTGAAGCTTGAATGAAATTGACATTGAAGATAGCATCGACTAAATAAAATATTCTTCGACCAGAAAAGTCACAACCTGTCCCTTAATAAAAATTAAACGAGCGAGCCGCTACTGTTTCTTGAGTTTTCGATCAGCTTAGATGAAAGATTGTGTCTCGGGCCAAGTAAACTTCTTATTTAAAATCTTTACTCAAGTCATATGTTGATTATTTTCATTTCATCCTTACCATTCTAATTCTTTGATTAAATCTCTTAATCCACTTATATAGTGTGAAAGGAGCAATGCAGTGGAGATTACTCACTTTGACAAGGCTTTGACCGATCAACAATGCCAACTACAATATGCGACCTTGTTCCAGCATATTCGTCTAATTAAAAAAGGTCTACCATCGAAATTTTGAGGGCGAACTGAAATGCATTTTGCTTTAAGCATTTGTTTATCTCTTCGGCACAGATAATTCCTCCTTTCCAGACATTAAATACTAGTAAATGGCCAGCGATAACTATCGATCCCCACCTTGCGCTATAATGTCATATTTTTCGCGATAATAACAAAGTGCCTCAGCATCCTCTTTCATCATTGTTAGAGTGACTTCTGTGTACTTCCAGGTTATTACATCTCGTCACGTCTTATGACAGAAGGGTTGGAGAGCTTTGCCGTGACGATACGCGCTTTCATTTTTTAAAGATGGAATAAACTGCATGAAATTCAAGTGCTGCGATGTTATAATGTCTTGGCACGTCTCAACACAAAGGTAGGATTTGGTCTTTCCATTGTCACATTGCTCTTTACTTAGCGCATGTTATCTTGTTGATTATTCAGTCGACGCTCTAATTGTTTTTCTATTAGATATCCAGTTTTTTCATAACTTGAAAAACTTTTCAGGAAAAACATCAAATTTGAATTTGATATATAGGTCTAAGCTGCAAATAAGATTAGCATTTCCAATCCTCGCGCTAAGAATGTCAGATTACGAGGAAGCGTAAGTTGAGCAATTTGGAGTGCTGCCCAAAATTCCGGGAAGATTCATGGGGCTTGCTTTTTCAAAATTACCCTTTTATTAACATCATCGGCATAGGTTTAACGATGGACCTGAACATTTTGAAGACTTCGACAATGATCACTTCTCAGACGCAGAAGTCTACGAGGCACCAGAGGAGTTTAAAGATGGTGAGACCAAAGACGAAAACGGTAAAACAATCGTCGCTGGTGGCACAGGTTCTGAGGACTTCCAACAACAAGAAAGCAATCGGAAGAGAACGTTGAAGGAGAAAGCTATCCCAAAGGACGAGAGAAGTACTACACCATACATGACTAAATATGAAAGAGCTCGTATCTTGGGCACTCGGGCTTTGCAAATTTCCATGAACGCGCCTGTGTTCGTTGATCTCGAAGGTGAAACCGATCCCTTGAGAATCGCTATGAAAGAACTGGCCGAAAAAAAAATTCCTCTTGTGATCAGAAGATACCTACCTGATGGCTCTTTTGAGGACTGGAGTGTGGAGGAGCTGATTGTGGACCTATGATTAAAGGCCTATAAAAAAAAAACAGCCTTCCTGAGTTGCTCTCATCGGGCGCTCACTCATTGTGTACAATAATTAAAGAAACCGTTAATATCAAAGTAAAACAAAAATCATGCATAATCTTTGGAGTTGCCGGATTCTGATTTTCATTATACGAGTATTTTTAAGTGGGTATGAAATCGAGAAGAGACCTATTTGAACTTTCGCGGAATTGAATGAAAAGAATCTTAAAACAACGGTGAGAAATAGGTACATAACAGTAAACGTGATATTCATCATATCCGGTTGGTATGGACACAGAAGCCCATAAATCACTTCTATGCCTCGATTAAGTGAGTAAACTAAAGCTATGTCCTTTTTGAAATCCCCACTTTTCGAGTTTCACCTGCTCCTAAAGGTGAGGCTCATTTGCTTGCAAATTCTTGATGTTGCTTGTCTTAGTAAGCGCTGTGACTATGCTTTTTAGAATCACTGACTTAGGTGCAACATAGCTTTCGCTGACTCTTTGGCACATTTTCAGAAAGTCGTCAAAGTACTTGATTGATGACGGCCAAATGAGCTTATTGAAGCGGACAGATTCCACGTCTGGGGAACTTAATTTTGGCGTAACATTTCTTATTTAATATGGTGGTAGAGGCAGCGTCAATATACTTTTGCTGGTAAGGTAACCACAGAAGTGCTGAAATTGATCATCACATTTGTGAAATCGACGATAAGCATTCGTTCCCCAAGCTATTATCCTAAAGCTCTGCTTCTAAACACGACACTTGAGCGTAGATACTTACCCCGTTTTGAACAAGAGGACAAAATCACCATCTAAATCGCGCTCAATGTATTTCAAGTAGTGGCTAGAAGCATTTTTCAAGATTGAACGACCATCAATGGGAGAATTTACTCACTCAATACTTTGTAAATAATTCAGCAACTACCGATTACTCCAATTGAGCACTCAATTAATCACTCCACAGTTTCCAAAAACTTCCTGCCTTTGAAAATTCGTTCCCCGGATAACTGAGTGGTACAGAACTGCTTCAAAATACCGTCTAGAGCATCAATATCCTCGAAGCCTGCATCTCTCAGGTACTCCTTCATTTCTCCCACATCAATATTCAGGTCATGGCTTGAATCCAGGGCAAACACACGTAATGCATCTGACATTTCTTGCTCTTCTGGAAATTCGCCTAACCTGTCGCCCATTAACGTCAGAAACTCGGGAAAGGTGAGCTCTCCATCTTTTTCCGCGGCTAGCATCTCCTTGATTTGTCCTTCCATTTTGGTTTTACCCAAGTTGGAGTACATCTTCATCAGATCCGTCTCAGAGATCTTACCGTCTCCGTCTTCATCAATAAATTGGAATGCATCCCTTGCCTTTTGAATCTGACTATGCGAGAATTGAGAAAAAGACGCGGACTCACTTCGCTCCATGACTCTACAAAATTGTATCAGTCAGGTTCACGGTTCTGGGTAAACTGTTTGTGTCTACAGATTCGTTTGGCTAACTTCTGACACGAGTTGACAATCAATACGAAATTTCAAAGTTTAACTTTACTTTCAATTTGCAATTCCCTAAGCAAAACAAATACAGGCTCAATGGCTGACTTGAAGCAGTACCTTAAGGAAGCTAAGAACTATTTGGCTAGTGAGGATTATGAAGATTCGATCGAAAGCTGCAAACAAGCGTTGAAGCTCGACAAAAACTGCTATTTTGCGCATGTGTTTCTCGGCAAGGCTCTTTCCTGCGTAGATAAGCTAACAGAATCAAAGAATCACTACCAGCTGGCCATTGGTCTAGAACCAGACAATCTGCTGGGCTGGAAAGGGCTTTTCATGTTGTTCAAGATCAGTAATATTGCCCCAAAGGTCGTATCCTTTGACGAATATTTCAATCTATGTGGAGAATACGCCGAGCTGCTGGTGCAGAAACAGCTGCCTTTAGTCGATCTTGTGAACGAAATAAGGAGCTTCAAGAACTTCTACAAAGACTGTCAGGAGTCGTATTTGCGTCATATGCGTCCGGGAACTCCTATGGCAGAGACGCTCTCACGACATCTGATTAGCCCACAGGATGCGCTTCAAGGTCTTCTCAACATTGTTTGCTCGGAAGAACAGCAACAAGTGTCCAAATTGGTCAGTCGAGAAAGGCTCAAAATCAGTGCTAATCAACCCGATTATAATGTCAAAGTTAACTCGATCGCATGGGAGGTCTACGAAAATTCGGAGGTTGACCAACTTTATCAGCAACTCATCAATATCACAGATGATGACGAAAAAAGACGTTCTCTTGAGGCCAAGTGGCTCGAGTATAGAATCAAGGTATTGCGGTCGATGCCTGTACATATGAAACCTCTATTTTTTGTGAAAGTGAAAAACATGGTCGAAGATATGGTCATTGTGAATCACGATTTCCTGCTGGCCTGGCAATTGTACTTCGAATGGCAGGATTGCTCAAATCTTAACGACATGGATGTGAACATAATTTCCAGGTTCATGAAGAAGTTTCCTAGGGAACCCTTGGCCGCCATTCTATATGCCTGGGTTTGTTCCGAGCTGTCAACTTATAATGCTAAAGAGTTTTATGAGAGAACGTTTCAGGATGAGCTTAAGAACGGGCAATCTTCCGCTGTGGAAACTGTTATGGATTCTGTCGATGACGAGGTAGATGAGTCTGAAAGACGAAGGCTTCAACAATTGGTTGATCCAGCAATGGAAGAGCCAGCTTACGGTCTATCTGAAGACGAGGTTCTTTTATCTCTTACAGACAATATCAAAAAAACGCAACAAAGTATCGTGGCTCATCGAATCGTCTCCCACTATTACATTTCCATGCACGAATATGAGCCGGCTTTACAGTATGTTAAGGCAGGAACGGTTCTATGCGCTCAGAATGTCAAAAGTATTGGAGCGCACCTCAGTAATTCCAAGAGAGAGTTGACCTTGGATTTGGCGACAACTTACACATACTTTGAAGCTCCAAAAAATCACCCAACTGCACTCGCATTGTTCGATAAGCTATTATCAGAGGACTCAGACAATGTTAATGCTAAAATGGGCAAGGGTCTCATTCTTATAGAAAGGCAAAAATGGCACGAGGCTTACGAACTATTGAAGGCTGTATCTGAACGCTACAGTGACAATTACGAAGTACTTTCGGAACTCGCCTGGAGTGAACTACATTTGAATCAACCAGAAGTTGCAATCGAAAAGCTCAAGTATATTTTGAACAATGTCGAAGGAACAGATTTGAAAGTCTTAGAATTTAGATCTTTGAATCACTGGAGAATGGCAAAAGCCTACATCTGCAAGCAAAAATATGAATCTGAGGATTCCTCAGAAGAAAACTTTAATGTAAAGCTCGCCTTCAAGCAACTTGTCCAATCAGTTAAAGTTTCTGAAAATTTTGCGCCTGGCTATTCAACCTTGGGAGACATTTATGCTGAGTATTATAATGACCAAACTAGAGCTTTCAAGTGCTACTTCAGAGCCTTTGAGCTAGACCCTAGCGATCTCACTGCTGCTAGATACATGAGTGAAAAGTATTGCAATTCTAGTAACTGGCACGCTGCATCGCTTATTGCTGAGCGCGTCGTAAAGGCCGAAAAGTCGAAGACCGCCTTGCAAAGCATTAACTGGCCTTACCGTGTACTTGGCATCGCAAACTTAGAGAAGCAAACCCAATCAGAATCTATCGAATGGTTCCAATCGGCTTTGCGTGTTGATGCTTCTGATCTCGAATCGTGGGTCGGTCTAGGGCAGGCATACTATTCATGTGGTAGAGTCGAGGCTTCTATTAAAGTTTTTGAAAAGGCACTAGAAGTAGAACCAGGTAATTCCGACGCTCGGTATTTCAAGGCTCTTTCTCTATCGAAGATGGGGCAATACGAGGAAAGTCTTCAGATCCTTCGTTGTCTCACGGATGAAAATTCGGTGGAGGAGAGCTATCAAGTTTCGATGGTCGAGATTTGGGTCGAACAGTGCACTGTACTCTGCAGCCAAGGCTTTTTGACGAAATCTGTAGCAGCTGCTGCTGATGCTATACGCCAAATTGAATTCATTATAGTGCACATCAACCACAAAATCCAAGCATTGTGGCTGGCACTCTCCAATGCCCTCAAGATTTTTTGCTTGGTTCAGTCACAGGTTCATCTGATCCCTTTAGAGAGTCTGGTCAACATTTTTGAAAAGGTAGAACTACGGAACACAGAAGATGTTGATCAGGTTGATAAAGTGTCGCTTTCTTCTCTCTTGTCTGACCTTGACCAAGACAATGTTGTCATTGCTGCAAAATTTTTGATCTTATCGGCTAAATACGCGCTGGCATCTTCCAACTATACTGCACTATCTCGAACTGTTCGCGCCTCACTGTGGTATAATCTTGGGATAGTTGAACTAGTAACCTTCGTCATCTTGAAGTCAAATGAGTATAGAGACTCCGCTATTGTCAGCTTCAAGAAATCTATTGAATTTCAATCTAATACTGCGGAAGCTTGGATTGGATTCGGTATTGCGTCAATAGACCTGAATGTTCGAGTGGCCCAACATTGTTTCATCAAAGCAGCAGCGCTAGGTCCCAGAGATACCAGCGTATGGTACGATATGGCAGTACTGGCATTGAAGTACAACGACATTGAGTTTGCACGCGCTGTACTGATGAAGTCCCAAAGCATTGCACCACAGGACTCAACGCCATGGTTAGGTTTGGCTCTTGCCTCAGAAAAAGAAGGACTTACTGAAGAGAGTACTAGATTATTTGCTCACTCTTTCGTCCTCTCGAATGGAAAGTCGAAAGCGGCTCAAATTTTGTACGCAAGAAGCGTATTGAATACAAGAGTAGGACATGGTGATGATGAAAGAGACATTGGACCTGGTCAAGAGCTCAGTGCGGTTGCATATGGTTTGGATGAGTATTTAAAGAAAAATCCAGATGACAAATTTGCCTTACAGTGTGCTATTCTGACTCTTGAAAGATTGCGCCATTTCGAGGCTGCCCGCAAGCTCTCTGATCGCCTTCTTCAAATTTTGGAGAAGCGATTCGACAGAGCCCAAAACGACTCTGAACTGTTCCACTTTGCAACAATTAAGTCCCAGATGGCGCGTGTCCAACTTGGTATGAAGTCCTACAGAGATGCGATTGAAAGTGCGAGTCTAGCTCAGGGCGTTTTGACTGAACACGACGGCGATACTGCAAAAAAATCGGTAATATCGAATAACGCAGTGTTGGGCTTGGCCCACTTTTTCTTGGATGATTTTGAACAAACGCTGGAGCACTTCAGAATAATTTTAGAGCAATCTGGTGATTGTAAACAGCTGGTTATAATGATTGCGAGAATTTTATTCAATGTTGACTCCGATGAAACACGCGACGTTGCCATTAAAGAACTGGTGGACTACGTCAGTATTAATGGTCCAGATCTAATTGTTACGTTCACTATTTCTGCGATAACTATATTGGAAGGCCAACCAGAAGAACTGCAAACAATATTGACGGAACTAAAATGCATGCCGCTAAAAAACTTAATCGCTGATAGACACCGCGATATCCCGTTCCTCATTGAGCAAATAAATACGAGATTATCACAGAATGAAGAAACTCAACAAGAATGGCAGAAAACAGCATACTTCTTTCCCAATGACTATAATTCATGGCAATCACTGGATAAAAAGATAAGAGTGCGCGTTTCAACAGAGGGTCAGAATATAATAAGTGCAAAGAAGATGAGTGATTTTTGGTGTAGTTTGGATAATCTTTCCAACATTCAAAGATCACTTTTCTTGTGTCCCTGGAACACAGAGGCACTTGTTAAAATGAAAGGCTGCTTTTGACTTGACATGATGGATGCATTAGATCTAATTAGATTAAGAACTATATTTGATCAAAAAAACTTGAAAACCTCCCACAGCGAAAGTAGTCTTTGATTTCGGGTAAGACCATTCAGTTCACGTTCGTTGACCATTTTTAACTGGTTGAGCTCGCTTGGTAGCAACAACTCGGCCTCTTTTCCCTTGACGTCATCACGATTGGCCTTTTTTAACAACGTAGAGTTTTCATTCTTAAGATCCTCGATTTTGTGATATAAATTGCCAATGTTCCAGGTGAGATTTTTCTTCATGAAGTCGTAAGCGTGTTTCTCGTTGTTACGGAATAAGAATACTGACCTAGAGGCCGCCCTGTCAGCAGTTCGTGGTACTTCTTGAATCTCCACGGCGTTATATTTTATCAGAACGGCAATTACGGATCTAATATCTTTTTCTTTCATCAAAGCAGTCGAATTAATGACTTTCTCGGAGGCTAGTCTGTTGTCGCATATGCAACTCAATATTCTTGCAGCAGGAGGACCCAGTGTATAAGTAATCAAGGTTTTATAAACCGATGACTTTAGCATGGGCAGGAGTTTGGAATAGGGAACGTAAAAATGGCCCGGCTTAGATTCTTGTAGAAAAGGAGTGGTGGATGCCGATAATAGTTTTAAGTGGCTATTAATCAAAGTGAGGGAGTGAGGGTCACTGTCGTTGTCATCAAGATCTAAATCAATGTTATCATTGTCAAGATCATTGCCCTCAAGGGCATCTGATGGCAGCGAAGGAACAACAAACCCATCCTCAGTTTTGATCCTCTTTGCCGGTTGCGATTCCGAAACACCTGAGCGAGCTCTTTTCATTTGCGATGAGATAGTATCGCGCAGATCTACACTATCCGGAAGATATTTCGCAATGTCAGTGGCAGTGAAATTGGTACCATGTACCTTCTCCTCAGCCAGCGTTGCTTCATCTTTGATAGCTCGTTGCTCGTCAGCATCTTGTAGCAGACCAGTTTTCGTCAACGGATCAATGATTTCTGGAGAGTAGCGTTCTGTTGCTTGAAGCACTACTTTGTAAATAGCGGAAGGAACTGACCCAACCCTTGCGGCGGCAAATTGCACGAGCTGTTTAGACCTTTTCACTTTAAGGTATCTTTTTAAGTTGAATGTTAGTGGCACAGTATCTGCAACTTTCCTCATAGACGTTTGCGGATCCGTCACTATGAGAGTGGTGAGATCAGGAGATCTCAAGAGTTTATAAAATTGTTCCTTAGCTTTTTGTTTAGCTTCAGTTCTCTTTTTTAGGTCTGACAAAGTCGAGGTCTTAGGAATTGAACTATATTCCTTCTGGTACAGTTTGGTCCACACATCACCTATAGTTGAGTAGTCGGTCGTTGTGAGTGGAACCAAAAATCCAGCATCGCAAAGCTTTACAAAATAGGAGGATACTTGGGTGGGTGAATCGTTTGAAAGACCAGCGCTTACATAGGCTTTCACTGTTAAAGATCCAAGAGCCAGCACATTTTGTACAATTTGTGCAGCCAAATCGGCTTGGAATAGTTCTTTAATTGCTTCTACAATTTCCCCGGCGTATAACAAAAGCAGCATTCCGTCTTCACAAAAATAATAGAATATCGTGGAGCGTCCAGACGGCGCGTGCGTTTCATTGCAATACTGAACGCAGCGAAGCTGCACCAGTGAAACCAAAATGCGCTTGACACTTTTTAGGTCCATCCCCGATCGATCTTGAAGCTCTCTTGCGCTCATACGGCCTTTAGATATAAGAATATCCACAATAGAGGCCGCTCTCTCCCCCAGATGTGTGCGACAGAGTTCCCGATATAAGAAACTCTCTGGATTTGTGCCACGGGCCTCTAATGAGGCCACAGATCCCACTATAGGTTCATCGTGACCCAATGGTTCAGGAGACACTGATTGAGTAGCCATAGGCTCCGTTTGTAGATGTTATATGAGCAGTTATTTTGAATTAAAACGGCGATGAGCTTTAAGATCACGAAGGACTTACCCAAAAATTTTCTGATCACTATGGCCTTTCGAGTCATGCAGTTCGAAAAGGTTCAAAAGAAGAGTGGCTTTGGCAGATTTAAGCTGTCGCTTGCGGGAATCTCTCTAAGTGCAGCGAACAAAGATTGTGTTAGCACATATTCAAAAGTAGAGAATCTTGAATTGAGTCAAGAACGCAACTTAGTACAGAATGTCACATATTGATAATTCTTTTACCTTCTAATTTGCAGTTGCGGATACATGATTTAAGATGGTTTCTTAAGTTCTTGAAGTTGATTAGTATTCTCAAAGCTTAAAACATATGCTCAAAGAGTATGCAAAATTAGTTGGTCTGTATAGCAGTGTTCGTGAGCTACTATGCCCCTTGGTAATTTTGGGAAAGAAGCTGAGTAGCTTAGTGAATTGGAACTACGACCAAAATAATGACTGTTTATTGAAGCAGAGCTCAAACTGTCGATAAAATCATAATTAAATATTTGTAATGAGCTCGAGCAGTGCCAATGCATAACGGATGTTATTTCTTTTTGATGATATTTTTGTTCATGGCATCACTGAAAACCTGAAATCGGCAATATTTGACGTATTAACCAGTTCAACAACTTTCTATCTCGAAGTACTCTAAACCTTTACAACAAACTAGAGTGGAATGAATGCAAGTGCACTACACGTATAAAGTTTTTTTGTTCCATTTGTATTCGTGGAAGACAGACAACGTACTTGAAACTGTAGCACTAGTCTTTTGGAGTTAGAATAAATATGCGTTTCGACAGCCCGAGACTTAAGTTCTGGCTCTTACGGCAATTTATCACTGCCATTCTCTCGAGGGTTGTATAAATCTCAACAATGTCGCAGGGGTCTCTTGTTCTGCTCTACGCAAACATTAATCTGAAAGCTACTAAAATGAATCATTGAACCCCCCTCTAAAACACTCTTGAACAAAACCCCAATTCGCATCAGTGTACCATGTCTTAATATCTTTCTTCGAATTTAATTTCAATACTACCGGAATCCCTTATTCCCCCCAAAAAAACCTTAGAGGAGTCTCACATATCTTGTAAGAGCTTCTCGGTTCAGTCGAAGTCCTCTCAGTCTCCATACTATCCTTCTACTCTGCTGCTGTCAATTTACGCATCCGCCAATCAAAGCGCTTTATTTCCTTGATTTTTCGATATTCATCTTTTGAAAGATTTTCTTAAATTACGCTTAGTTATTATATCGGTCATCATAACTGACTTCAAAGACAGGAATTGTGCCCCAAAGGTCTTCCAATCGTTGAGTCATTTATCTTCCGAGCTTTCAGCAGTGGTTGGTCATAAGTAAAGGAAACATTTGAGACACTAAATACACTTTTTTTTTGCCGCAATGATTGGTTCTAGAATGAGAATGCTAGCTGCGAGACAGTACCATATTTCCGCCAAGGACAGCGCTGGCAAGGTTTCCACTCTAGCTGTTAGAGTACATGCTGGGTCCCGTTACGCTGAGAAAGACGGTGTGGCACACCTGTTGTCAAGATTCAACTTCCACAACACGGGAAACAAATCTGCGTTGCGCTTGGTGCGTGAATCTGAGCTTTTGGGCGGCCGTTTCGAGTCTTCCGTTGACCGCGAATACATCACGTTGAAGGCCACATTTTTGAAAGAAGATCTGCCATACTACGTTTCTGCTTTGGGTGACGTTGTCTACAAGACCTCTTTCAGACCTCATGAGCTACCAGAATCCGTGCTGCCAGCCGCTAAGTACGACCTGCTCCAAGCTGAGTCGTGTCCTATCAAGAAGTCTGAGAACCTGCTCTACAACGTTGTTTTCCGTAACGATCTCGGCAAGACCGTGTTATACGATGGTGTGCAGAAAGTGACCCTTGACGACATCAAAACTTACGCCGACAAGGTTTACACCCGCGACAACATCGAAATTTCTGGCCAAGGTGTCAACGAGGCCGACCTCAAGCGCTTTGTCAACGACTCCTTGTTCGCTTCATTGCCTCAAGGCACCTCTTTGGCGAAAGAAACTGCTCCAAAGACTTACGTTGGCGAAGCCCGTCAAAGATCAAGCGAAGGTGAATCCGTGGCAGCCATTGCTGTTCCAGTCGCTAAATCAGACTTTGCCTCTTATCAAGTCTTGACCTCTTATTTGACCTCTGCGCTGTCCGATTTGTCCTCTTTGATCTCCCAGGTCAAGTTCGATAAATTCTCGAACGCTGGTTTGTTCTCCCTTTACGTCAAGGGAGCTGACGCTAAAGTTGTGTCTGAAAACATCCAAAAAGTTGTGGCTGCTTTGAAAAAAGGCCAAGACATTTCGGTAGCCAAAGATGTTGCTGCTTTGCAATTGGCATTGAAGAATGAAACCGAAGCTTTCCCAGAGCAGCTGTCCCTAGATAAGGTCAAGGACTTCAAGTTGGGCAAATTCGGTTACGCCGCCGTTGGTGACGTGAGCAACTTGCCTTTTGCCGACCAATTGTAATGAACGGCAGTTGATAAACTATGTGCGAGCGGGCTAGAATTTCCCGCTTTGCATGCTCAAGCACATACCTTTTCACTAAATGCGATGATTTTTACGCCTACCACATAAACGACCGAGAAAGTTTCGAAAAAGGGAATCGATTCACTGCGAGTGGAGCTTGACGGAACATGATAATGGTGGTGGCTTAAGGTCCTGTCATCAAGTTTGTTTTGCAACTCAATATATTTTCATGAGCCTCGCACGATTGTAACTTTCGTCGAGTTTTATTTATTCCTAAACAATTATTAACCACGACCCTAAGTAAAATAAGTTAAAGCTCATAATGGGTTTGAATCATATAATACTGGCATGATTCATAAGGATCATATTTGTTGACTTTGAGAGTGGACTGGTCCGTGCCCTGTGACGACACATGTAAGTTTTTTGTGTTTATGTCAACTTGGGTGCAATTTAGAAGTAATGGTAATAATCACAATGGTTTAATGCAACTTGTACCTATTAAGATAAATAATGATTAGTTATTCTTCTGCTCAACTTCTTGTCACCAAATAACCGTCAATGAGACTTTAAAAACTAACTAGATACCATGACTAACGTTTTGAGATATGTAGCGTTGTCGTTGCATTCAACACCAGTCCCGCTTTCGCTGCAGGTGTTGATGACATGTGTGTCCGAGTCAGACCGCTTCTTGTGGAAATACAATGACGAGCCAGAATCTTCATATTACTCCAAAGCGTGCGGCTCTTACCTGCCGTACATGCAAACCGCTATGAACTGTTACGTTTCTTATATTGGAGAAGCTGAACGTTCTACAGAGGAGCACTTGATTGATTACCAAAAACTGTGCAACACGGTGGGGGATTCAAATCTATCAGTGGCTGAATTTCTAGCCATCTGGCGTAATGGCACTCAACTTTTACAGAAGAACGGTTCAGTCTCACTAGTTGAGCCTTTGACATCACCAATCACTTTACCCTCACAGGATGTGTCGGCCAGTTTGAAGTACGTCTATTACACGTTTTACAATTTCAGTGCTGCCTTCAACTTTAGTGTGATAATCAATGCTATGATTGGGCTGTTTATTGTCCTTGCTACTTGGGCCAACTACTCAAGAGCCAACGGCATATTTGTTCGGTTTGTACGATCCAAATTACTTGTTCCTGCAATCTTCAATACAACTCACCAATCCGAATGCAAGGTTTTACCTTTTTACAAAAGTATTCTGCCCACGAGAGGCGAGGCCATCGCTGTGGCTGCTTTTTTATTGGTAAACGGCGTATTGGCGCTTTATAACTATCCCTTGGTCAACTCACAAATGGACTCAAAATTGTTTTTCCTGATACGATGTGTGGCGAACCGAACTGGAGGCTTGTCCTTTGGCTTAATACCTGCAAGCATCTTGTTAGCGGGTAGAAACAATTTGATACAAAAGCTTACTGGCATGCCTTACTCAAGTTGCATATTCTTTCACAAATGGGTTGCTCGGACTATGACGCTCTATGCCTCCATTCATGCTCTATTATGGACAATTTACGGAACAATTCGGCTGCGAACATCTTTTTGGTATTTTTTTGCAAATTTCAGCTATTGGAGATGGGGTGCGTACGCTACCATAGCAGCCATTATACTAATCTTCCATTCTATTCATTCATTGAAAGCCAAGCAATACGAAATATTTCTTGTGGTCCACATTACGCTCGTGATAATCTTTCTAGTTGGGTGCTTGAAACATTGTGCTGAGTTTGGATGGCTTGGATGGATTTACATCGCAATAGGGATGTGGGCATGGGATCGTTTTGGTAGGATATGGCGGTTGCTCTTCAAGTTCGGCGGCTACAAGAACGCATACGCGCAAGTTGTTTCGACCCAAGACGAGCTCTTCCGAATCACTATACCTTGTGTTGATCAAAAGAATTTTGGGTTCTTCCCAGGATGCTATGCTTTCATCTATTTTCAAAACAGAAAATGGTTCTGGCAGTCGCATCCATTTACTCTCATGAAGGCTGGTGAAAACATTGAAATCATTGTGAGAGCCAAAAAGGGATTGACCAGAGAATTATTTAGGTCTCTTCCAACAAATGGAACAAGGCTTCCGTTGCGAATAGCATTAGAAGGGCCTTACGGTCACGAAGCGCCGTTAAAAACATATACCAACACTTTATTAGTGACAAGTGGGGCTGGAATACCGGGTCCCTTAAGCTATTTACAGAAGGCTACTGAAAATGCACCACATTTCGAGCATTTTAGCTTTGTATGGATAGTACCGACCGAAGCCTTTTTAGAGACTATGCAAGAGGCGATTTCGCGCGTGTGTGAGAAATTGCGCGAAGCTCATTGCGAGGCTCGATTCAACATCCATGTTTATGTGACGCGGCCACAGGGTCTCGCGCCGTTAAAGTGGCTTCCGAGAGAAATTAAGCTGAACCGCTTCAAACCGAACATACAAAATCTTGTGCAAGACTTCTGCGAAACCTGTTGCGGCAGCACAGCTGTATTGTCTTGCGCCAACTCTAGTCTAGACGACCTGGTACGGCGTTACGTTTCGGACGAGATATTCAAGCGTGGCCACCGCATAGATTACTACGACGAGTTACAAGTTTGGTAGCGAAAATATGATAGTGTACTGTATAAATAAAGAACGAGGAAAATAGTCCTAGTATAGCTGTAGTGGAAAGAAAAACGGTGCGGTGCGAATAATCAAGAAAAGATCAAATTTATTTTTTTACGAGGCTTTGGATCCTGGCAACGGGCCATTTGATTTCCAGCTCAACTGTTTTCTTTTAAAAGTGGCCGTTGTTTTGATTTCACGAAACATTTGCCGCCGTTGCAGGTATCGAGATGAGTTTGATTATTTCCCACAGTAGTCAAGAACCCCGCCTTATGTGAGAGAGCTCATGACCAACGCTCGTAAGTGTTTCCCGCTACCTCACATGAGCTGAAAATTTTTTTCACTTCAACGGTGACGGTAATTCATGCATCCATGATCCTGCACCTTTGTGCAGTTTCAGTGCGGTGACTATTGTTCTTTGTCGGCTCCAAAAAGGTTCAATTGCTGCTCAGAATCGAACAACCAATATTCACCAGTGACTACGGTCGGTCAAAACTTTAATGTGCATGGAATTTGGACGGCTAACGAGGAAGCAGCGATGTGGCTGCAGTAAAGTCCTTAACAGTTGTAGGCTGCTGCAGAAACTGAGATGCGGTACATAACGCATGCAATGACAATTTATGACAATGAGGTTTATCTAGACAAAACGTATGTAGCGAATCCTCTTTCAGGAGAACTGGCGCAGCGAGCGAGATAGCAGGTATGACAGCAACTTGCTAAAGGCAGTGCTGTTTGCACTTGCTCTGCGATGAGCTTTATTGATGAACTTTTTTCAAGTTATCTGTGAAAAAGAGAGTGAAAAGTTGAAATATCGAGAAAGAAGCTGAACAAGACCAAAAGGCCAAGACTTGTAGAGTCCAGTGTCTGAAGTGTTAAAATATGTGTGACATCCCAATAAGCTTGAATTTGTACGCGCTGGTTCCAGACCGCACGCGACGCCAGGCAGCTCGTCTTCTGGCTGTCAGCGCCTTGGCGATCGCGCTGTGGTTTGTGTAGATGAAAAGAGATGTGGCGGGAGCCGTGAATCTACCCACCTAGAGGCAAAATGCGCCGAGAAGACATGGATGGAAACAACTTACGAGGAGGCCGCTAAAAATGTACCGATGGGACGTTGAGCACGGGCCCCAAAAAGAAAAATGTACAACGAAAGAGTCCGAGAAAACAGGACCAAGCGTACCCCGAAAAGTATCCGCACCACCCCGTCCCAAGAGGCTTCATGGCCAGTTTGAGATATGGTGCGGACTTGCCCTTGGTGCTAAATTATAGTGCGTATTAGCTATTAGCTGTCGGAGCTGGGTCATTACGACCCGTACATAGAAAAACCTGAATAGACAGATTTGTAATGCAGAGAATGTCCGATCTTGTGGAACTGGACTGTGAAGGTACATTGGCAGCCGGAGTCTCTACAATATGGATCAATGTACAAATATCTCTAGATTTGGAATTCTGCGCGAAGTGCATGGCACGGCCAGTATGTGCGCATGTGTTCCTCGGGCAAGTGGTGGACACAAGTGGTTTTGAGGAATTCAGCACAGGGCATCGCGCTCCAATAGGTAGTCGATGGGTAGCCCAATTGCACCAGTTCGTGCGTCTCCGGTTCTTTGCAGAAACAAGTGCGAACAGCCCAAACCGAGGCGCCTCTCCAAGACAGCGTCCTCGCGTCGCGGCCAGTACGATCGCCGTTTCAAGTCCGGCTGGAATTCTGCGGCACACGGCTAGTGTCTCCGTGAGAGAGAATTCCCGTCTTCGAGGGCTTGTTGGCCCAAACCGTGCGGCCCACATCTGGAAAAACTGGCTCCATCCGGAACCCTCCCCTGTAGCCGAGTCCGGCGCTCTCGCTGTTGAATCTCTGAGCTTGGTTCCCACGGCTCCCACCGTCGTCCCAGACACCCGCCGGTCACGGGACCCGTTTTTTCCACGTCTCAGCTTCGACAATGTACAGTACTTTTCCAGGCCCGTTGGCAGCCCGCCCCACGATCCTCTGCCCTCTCACAGTCACCGCTGTCTCCGTAGAATCTCGATCTGTTTGAAAAAATAGTCTTGTCAACCGTTCATACTCCGTCGTTTCCACGTTGCCTTGTTTTTTTCTTCCCTCCACGGCTGACAATCAGCTCCGCTGCCCCCACGGCACAGAAGACCTCAGCGTCAGCGTCTGTTCTTTGCGGTGCAGTGCCCCATGATTCTTCAACCGTTCCCTGGCGTTCTCACCGCGCGATGTCTTACGTTGCAGTGGAGCAGCGAAACATGGAAAATGTATAGTTCTTACCTCAGGGCTTCCAGAACCGCGGTTTCCTTCGCCCACATGCGTGGAAGGTCGAGGCGCATTGTGCCTGCGCAAGACTAAAAAAAGTTAGAACGGGCAGCACTGAACAACAGTTGAGTGTCAGTAGACCACAAGTAAGCCCGGGAATGCTACACTCCGTGCGGCTTCTAGAAGGCTTGCTGCTCGTCCTGCTGTGCTGTTTCAGTGTCTCTCGCTCAGCTCCGAAGCCTCCATTTCTTCCATCTTCAAATATCGATGCCTCACGCATACACGCTGCAGAAGTGTTGCCTCGAGAGATGCGTCGAGCGCACACGCATGGAACAAGCTGTTACATGCGTGGAACGAACGGTGGCCTGAGCGGTATGTGAACCAACGGTGGACCTTCGTAAGGTCCACCGTTTGTACTGTCACAGACTGACAGATGCCAGGTCGAGCAGGTAGCGTTGGCTAGCGTCGGCTAGCGTCGGCTAGCGTCGGCTACACGTTTGCACAGACGAAGTGTTGACAAACACAGGGCAGGGAGCGGTCGGCAAGCGTAGCAGCGTAGTAAGAGTGACTTCATCCGCATGTGGTAGGTTCAGTCCCAGATGCGGTGCCGAATAGCAGACCTGTTTCAGCAGCGGCGCATAGCGAGAATTGTTTTCGTGAACTGGGGCAGGGGCGGGTGTCGCGACTCCGCGGCGGTGGTGGATGTGTCGCGGCGCTTGCGAAGTGTATAAAAGGATTTCGCATCGGACGTGTAAAGCCCATTTGTGTTGCTGGAAGCTTTTATTGGAAGTTCTTCAGCAACCAGCAAAACCACCACTCTCGTTCACAATATGCGTAGCGCTTGGGTTCTCTCCGCTCTGGCCGCTTTGTCCAGCTCAGCGGCTGGCTCGCCTCTAGAGAAAAGATGCTCGAATCCTAGTCAGTTTCCCGGTTCCTCGCAGGGCCAGAAAACTTGTACCAAGGTGACCAACGGGTGCCCCAACCTGGACTTCACCTGGAAGTCCTCCAACACCAACCAAATGGTCTACGACATCTCCATGAAGACTGTCAAATGGGTCAAGGACAACATCTACGAAGTCACGATTCACGTGCAAGGTAAGAAACAGATCAACATCAGCTGCATCGATGGATTGAAAGTTATTGGAATCAACGGTCCTGACGGCGGCACGTTCTGGTTGTACGACAGAAACAACAATGTGAAGCGTGTCGACAACCCTACGGACTACGACGCCACCTTCAGAGTTTACGGTCAAGACGACACGCAAGCTTGCAAGGTGTGGATGCCCAACTTCCAAATCCAGTACGATTACAACAACCAATGTGACGTTTCTGGCGCCAAGTCTTTCGATTTGATCACCGGTTGCAACAACTACGACAACCAAGGCCACTCGCAAACGGATGCGCCAGGTTTCTACTGGGACTACCAATGTAACGGCCAAGGCACTTGCCAGTCGTCCTCGTCGTCTGCCCAGGAGCCTTCCAGCACCTCGTCTACCCAGAAGTCTACTACCCCATGTACCAAGAAGTCTACTACTCCATGTACCAAGAAGTCTACTACCCCATGTACCAAGAAGTCTACTACCCCATGTACCGATAAAACCACTACTACATGCAGCAAGAAGACTACTACCCCATGTACCAAGAAGTCTACTACCCCATGTACCAAGAAGTCTTCTACTCCATCAACTACGAGTACCGAATTTAAGTCTTCTACTACTACCCCCAACCGTCCTGTCTCCGTGACTTCTTTGACTTCGTCAACCTCTTCTCCATGCACCGAGAAGTCTCACACTACATGCACCCACAAGTCTCACACTTCGCCATGCACTGAGAAGTCTCACACTACGTGCACCAAGAAAACTAATACCCCATGCACCAAGAAGTCCAGCACTGTGAGTACAGCTTCCAAGTCTTCTACCACCCCAGTCCGTCCTGCATCTGAATCCTCTTACGCTTCCAGTTCCGAGTCGAGCTCCTGTTCCTCGTGCACGACGTACCCAGGTACTACTATCCCAGGCTCTACTGTCCCTGGCACTACCATTCCAGGTACAACCGTCTCTGGCACAACGTATCCAGGTACCACGATCCCTGGTAGCACCAACTGCAAGAGTTCTGCTCCATCTAGCTCTGCTCCAGCTTCGTCTGCTCCATCTAGCTCTGCCCCAGTTTCGTCTGCTCCATCTAGCTCTGCTCCAGTCTCATCTGTTCCATCTAGCTCTGCTCCAGCTTCGTCTGCTCCATCTAGCTCTGCTCCAGCTTCGTCTGCCCCAGCTTCGTCTGCTCCAGTTTCATCTGCTCCATCTAGCTCTGCCCCAGTCTCGTCTGCTCCATCTAGCTCTGCCCCAGCCTCGTCTGCTCCATCTAGCTCTGCTCCAGTCTCATCTGCTCCATCTAGCTCTGCCCCAGTTTCATCTGCTCCATCTAGCTCTGCCCCAGTCTCGTCTGCTCCATCTAGCTCTGTCCCAGCCTCGTCTGCTCCATCTGGTCCATCGAGCTGTGTAACTGTTCCAGGCACTACCGTGCCAGGCTCCAGTGTTCCAGGTACTACTGTTCCATCCACTGTTGTCTCTGGCACCACTGTTCCAGGCACTACTATCCCAGGTACTAGCTACCCAGGCACCACTGTTCCAGGTACTACTCACTGCGGTCCATCTAGCTCTGCTCCAGCTTCGTCTGCTCCATCTAGCTCTGCCCCAGTTTCGTCTGCTCCAGTCTCATCTGCTCCATCTAGCTCTGCCCCAGTTTCGTCTGCTCCAGTCTCATCTGCTCCATCTAGCTCTGCCCCAGTTTCATCTGCTCCAGTCTCGTCTGCTCCATCTAGCTCTGCCCCAGTCTCATCTGCTCCATCTAGCTCTGCCCCAGCCTCGTCTGCTCCATCTGGTCCATCGAGTTGTGTAACTGTTCCAGGCACTACCGTGCCAGGCTCCAGTGTCCCAGGTACTACCGTTCCATCCACTGTTGTCTCTGGCACCACTGTTCCAGGCACCACTATTCCAGGTACTAGCTACCCAGGCACCACTGTTCCAGGTACTACTCACTGCGGTCCATCTAGCTCTGCTCCAGCTTCGTCTGCTCCATCTAGCTCTGCTCCAGTTTCGTCTGCTCCATCTAGCTCTGCTCCAGCTTCGTCTGCTCCATCTAGCTCTGCTCCAGCTTCGTCTGCCCCAGCTTCATCTGCTCCAGTCTCGTCTGCTCCATCTAGCTCTGCTCCAGTCTCGTCTGCTCCATCTAGCTCTGCCCCAGTCTCGTCTGCTCCATCTAGCTCTGCCCCAGTCTCATCTGCCCCATCTAGCTCTGCCCCAGTCTCGTCTGCTCCATCTGGTCCATCGAGTTGTGTAACTGTTCCAGGCACTACCGTTCCAGGCTCCAGTGTCCCAGGTACTACCGTCCCATCCACTGTTGTCTCTGGCACCACTGTTCCAGGCACCACTATTCCAGGTACTAGCTACCCAGGCACCACTGTTCCAGGTACTACTCACTGCGGTCCATCTAGCTCTGCTCCAGCTTCGTCTGCTCCATCTAGCTCTGCCCCAGTTTCGTCTGCTCCAGTCTCGTCTGCTCCATCTAGCTCTGCCCCAGTCTCGTCTGCTCCATCTAGCTCTGCCCCAGTCTCGTCTGCTCCATCTAGCTCTGCCCCAGTCTCGTCTGCTCCATCTAGCTCTGGTCCAGTCTCATCTGCTCCATCTAGCTCTGCCCCAGTTTCATCTGCTCCATCTAGCTCTGCCCCAGTTTCATCTGCTCCATCTAGCTCTGCCTCCAGTTTCATCTGCCCCAGTCTCGTCTGCTCCATCTGGTCCATCGAGTTGTGTAACTGTTCCAGGCACTACCGTGCCAGGCTCCAGTGTCCCAGGTACTACCGTTCCATCCACTGTTGTCTCTGGCACCACTGTTCCAGGCACCACTATTCCAGGTACTAGCTACCCAGGCACCACTGTTCCAGGTACTACTCATTGCGGTCCATCTAGCTCTGCTCCAGCTTCGTCTGCTCCATCTAGCTCTGCCCCAGTTTCGTCTGCTCCAGTCTCGTCTGCTCCATCTAGCTCTGCCCCAGTCTCGTCTGCTCCATCTAGCTCTGCCCCAGTCTCGTCTGCTCCATCTAGCTCTGCCCCAGTCTCGTCTGCTCCATCTAGCTCTGTCCCAGCCTCGTCTGCTCCATCTGGTCCATCGAGTTGTGTAACTGTTCCAGGCACTACCGTTCCAGGCTCCAGTGTCCCAGGTACTACCGTTCCATCCACTGTTGTCTCTGGCACCACTGTTCCAGGCACCACTATTCCAGGTACTAGCTACCCAGGCACCACTGATCCAGGTACTACTCACTGTGGTCCATCTAGCTCTGCTCCAGTCTCATCTGCCCCATCTAGCTCTGCCTCCTGTTACTTCTGGCCCATCGAGCTCTGTTCCAGCTTCCTCTGCTCCTTCGAGCTTCTCGCTATCTTCGATTCCATCTTCTGATTCAATGCACTACCGCAACTCTACCACAACTGCTAAAGGTGTGTCAACTGTCTCTACGGTTACATCTGGCACTACCCCAGTAACATCTGGTCCATCTGGCTCTGCTCCAGTTTCATCTGTTCCATCTAGCTCTGCTCCAGCTTCATCTGCCCCATCTAGCTCTGCCCCAGTTTCATCTGCTCCATCTAGCTCTGCTCCAGCTTCGTCTGCTCCAGTCTCATCTGCTCCAGCTTCGTCTGCTCCAGTCTCGTCTGCCCCATCTAGCTCTGCCCCAGTTTCATCTGCTCCATCTAGCTCTGCTCCAGCCTCATCTGCTCCAGTCTCGTCTGCTCCAGTCTCATCTGCTCCAGCTTCGTCTGCTCCAGTCTCATCTGCTCCAGCTTCGTCTGCTCCAGCTTCGTCTGCTCCAGCTTCGTCTGCTCCAGTCTCATCTGCTCCAGTCTCATCTGCTCCAGCTTCGTCTGCTCCAGTCTCATCTGCTCCAGCTTCGTCTGCTCCAGTCTCGTCTGCCCCATCTAGCTCTGCTCCAGTCTCATCTGCTCCATCTAGCTCTGCTCCAGCCTCTTCTGCTCCAGTCTCGTCTGCCCCAGTTTCATCTGCTCCAGTTTCATCTGCTCCAGCTTCTTCGGCTCCAACCAGCTCTGCTCCAGTCTCGTCTGCTCCATCTGGCTCTGCTCCAGTCTCGTCTGCCCCAGTTTCTTCTGCTCCAGTCTCGTCTGCCCCAGTTTCTTCTGCTCCAGTCTCGTCTGCTCCAGCCAGCTCTGGCTCTGCCCCATCTGGATCAAGCTCTGCCCCAGCTGCCCCTGGTCCATCTGTCTCTACTAGCTGTACCACCATTCCAGGAACCACTGTCTCAGGCAGCAGCGTTCCAGGTACTACAGCCCCTGGCACCACAGTCCCAGCTACTACTGAACCAGTTTCTTCTGTCGCTGCTGAGCCTCACTCCTCGGAGTCTCCTAGCTACACGGAATCGGTTGTGACTGTCACTTCATCAGGTATTGAGACTATCTACACGACAACTTGTCCATTGAGCGGAGTTTCTTCCACCGCTACTGAAAGTGCGCCAACGGACAACTATGTTACCGTTACAGGAACCGAATCTGGCTCAACTTTCACTAACACCTACACTACTTCGTACCCATCCAGCACTTTAGACGCTACGTTTAGCACTTCTGGATCTGAGACTTCAAATAGCCAAGCTGCTCAAACTACCAGCGCTACAACCAGTGCACAATCAGCAGTGGTGACTTCTTACACGGAGAGCGTTGTTACTGTTACTAACTCTGGCGTTGTGACATCTTACACTACTACTTGTCCTTTGACCGAAAAAGCAGCCGCCACTGGTGCATCTTTCACTGAAAGTCCTGTTACTACTACTCTATCTGGCGCTTCCGCCGCGATTACTTCCAATAGCGTTGTCTCCTCTGCTACCAACAGCCCATCCCCAAGTGCTAACGGTAATGCTTCTCAAGCTTCTAGCATTGTTGTGTCGCACACCACCGAGACTCCAGCAGGTTCCGGATCTCAACAAGCTAGTGGACCTGCCTCCTCCAACACCGCTGCTACTAACGGAGCTTCGAACACTGTTGGATCCACCACATTCTCATCTGCACCATCCCAGACCCAAACTGTCTCTGCTGGTGCTTCTTCAACAGTTGCTGCAATCTCAACCTATGAAGGTTCAGCTAATGTATTAAGAGCTGGTCTACTTCTGGCCATCCCTCTAGCGTTGCTATGATACCAATCTTTACAGATACCCCACTACTATTATAGAAAGAAACGCAGTAACACAAAGAATGAGACTCATTCTCTAATACATACATGCTTACATTTAGTTCGTAACCAATATTGGTATAGTATAATCAAATAAGTATTATAACGATTTTTTATCAAGATTGACCTCTATTGACCACATTCTAGCCTTTTGTTAGCGTTGATTTCAATATGAACAGCAACTGTTTGCGTTCTGACTTGCTGTCTCCTAATGTGAGTTTAGCGAGATTGGTAATAAAGTCAAATGAAGAAGCATACATCACCTCACTTGTTATTACTGACAACGAGCCAGGCGAAAAAATTCTACCTTATTTTGGCTAGCTGAAAGGAGTAGAATTCAGAGCCAATTTATTGTCCACTGGGGTCAATCTATGGTCGACAAGAGTGGATAGTCCAAAATATTCTAAATTGGACTGGTCACTAATGACAAAGGTCTCCATCAGAGGGACGCAGTGATGCTATAGGATAATATCAATTATTTAAATACCAATGACTACACCTCGGCATTCTTTACATTTGTTATATGATTTAGATTCTGTCATCTAGCGAATGTACTCTAGTGGCAATCGAAAAGCATTCAATGCTCTTCTTTGGTCTAGAGCGCCTTGGAGAACAATTTCCAGCTTACAATAACCCCTTATACCAAAGGTATGGCACACCCGTCTCCACGTTTGTCACTAGCCGCTGAGTACATAAAGCCATTGCCGTTTGGAAGCTTTGTCTTCTTGATTATTTGACCTCTTCCAAATAACGCCCTCGCCATACCACTTCGAATCTCTACGTCGTGACCAAGGGCTTGTAATCCATATATCGAAGCTTGCGGGATGTCATCTTCCACCGAAACCAGCGTCACAGGCGTTGAAACCGGACCATTGGCACCCAGACCACGATCCAGATTAATATACTTTGGATGGGGAGATAAGCAGACCCTTGGTGAGTCAAGAGATTGCTGTGGAGATATTCCAAACAAAATCAAATTCAGGAAATGCTGGACATGGGCGCATGAACCCCCCCATGTTACCTAGACTGTAGACCAATTCACCAGTCTCGGTATCAGTGATCATTGTGGGGATTATAGTGTGATAAGCTCTCTTATTGGGCTCTAGAAAGTTTTTAGAGCCTTCTGTGAGGTTCAGATTGGCACCTCAATTTTGTAGTGCGAATCCTCCTAATTTTCTGGGCACAATGGCAGATCCAAACTCCACGTAGAGCGAATTGATGAAAGATGTTGCGTTGCCTTCAGGGTCACTGACAGTGAAATAAACAGTATCGGATTGATTTCAGTGTGTGTTGGGAACACCGTGTAAAATGGAATTGGAGTCAAGAATACCATTTTTGTTGAAGAGCTTGGCTCTCGATTTAAGGTAAGTCTCGGTTAATAGTGTGTGTAAAACATCGACATTCTGATATTGAGGGTCCGATACATATTCATCAGATTCATAAAATGCCAGCTTAAGACACTCAATGATGAGGTGGAGGTATTCCGGAGAGTTCTGCTCGAGTTTGTAGAGATTGATGATTCCTTCTTTATGCAGCTCGCAGATAAATCCCAAGGCCAGCAGCACGACAAGGCCTTGCCCGTTGGGAGGAATCTGCCAGATGCGATGGCCGAGGAGATCTAAATAAATAGGTTCAACAAACGTGGATGTAAGGTTCGCAAGATCTTCTTTGGTGAGAAGCCCACCTCTTTGGCTCAACTCATCAACAATCGCATCTGCCACCGGACCAGCGTAAAAACCATCCTTACCGTTGGAGACCACAGCGCGAAAGACTTGGCCTAGCTGAGGGATTTTCACGAAATCACCGTCCTTGGGTGGTTCCGTGGGATTGCTCACAGGAGCGAAGCACTGAATCAAGTTCAAGTTTTCTGCATTTTGTGCCTGCAGGTTCGTCCAGCAGGTTTGTGTTAAATAGGCAGATATCTCACTAATTGGATGGCCACCCTCACAGAAATCAATGGCCGGCTGAAAGATCTGCTTCAACGTTATGCGGCCAGAACCAAGTTTCTCTAACGCATCAAGCCAACCAGCAATAGCACCTGGGACAGTAACAGCATGAACCCAGTTGAACGGAAGACGGCATGCTGTGGGTTCCACAGCTCTAAGTTTCAGGAGTTTTTCATATGTTAAATTGAGAGGTGTCCTTCCCGTGCCGTTCAGCCCAATGACTTTGTTTGTCTGTGAATCGAAGTGCAACAAAAAAGTGTCTCCTGCAACACCAGTAGAGGCTGGTTCTAGGACGCACAGACATGCAGATACCGCAATAGAATCGTCGATTGAGTTTCCGCCAAATTCTAAAATCTTTATACTAGCAGCTGCAGCTAACGGCTGTGAGCAAGTAACTATACCTTTGGTAGAGTGAACGACAGACCTTCTACTGGAACTGAATGACATAAAACTAGTCTTGAATGTGGATGAGTAGAGAAGCCATGATTTCTTAGAAAGTATGTAAGTCCTTGTGCGACCTCACGTCTGGGGCTCCCATCCCATCTTCCTTGTCAAGATATACCATATGTGTGTTAAGGATCTCGGCTCGCTCGGGTGCTCGGACCGCTCATCGAAGATAGGTTCATCACGAACGGTAAATTCTGTCGGGATAGATAAGGCATAATTACCAAAAAGCCAAAGATGCACTTGCTTCGGGAGCGAATTGCACATCAAAATTGCGGGGCTTTAACGACTGAAAGATCCCTGGTCTATCGAGAAGACAATGGAAGCGTCGATAGAGTGGATGATTAATGCACTTTGATAACCCGAAACAAAAAGCATCGGGGAGCTCGAAAGCCAGCGCCTTTGCCTAATATAATACCGTTGATACAGTATGCCTACAATGATTGTGCGGCAGCGAAATAGCGTTCAAGAAGGCTTGGAAATTGCGCTGGAAACTTGAGCTCAACTCGAACGCTATACTGGCATGCAGTGTATCGACTCTAACTTTGGAAAGATTGTAAGGGCAGGATTAATTGATTAATGTATCATAAGCCCACACGCACTGACTAAGAAAGACGTGATATCTACCTTTGTAAAAAGCTCTAGGATATACCTGTGTACAGGTCGTACTCGGCTACTTATAGATCAAGGTCCAGTAAGAAAACTCACGATTGGCATCGATATGTTGAGTGCCATAGCTATTATTTGTCACCTTTTACTATCGTGCCACTGTCATAATCATATATTATTTAAGCTTGCCGTCGGCATGCTGGTATGCAAGGGGATTGTGGAAATTGTGGTATTGACTACTGGGCTGAATGCCGGAACTATTTCCACCAAGGTGTACTCAATGTTCATATTCATGGCACTAATTTCAACCTTCATCACAACACCGCTGACCGTATGGCTTTTCCCGGCTTCTTACCGAGAAGACTTGAAATCACGCTTGGACAACACAGAGGGCGAAGCGCAGCAAAAAGAACCAGCTACGGATATTGGTTCTTTCTCATCATTGAGCGACCTGGAAAACCACCGTATAAGTCGAATTGTTACAGTACTTAACAAACCTGAATCCGTTTTCTTCACCATATCACTATTGAATCACTTAGTTAGTGGACAGAAATATGCACAGGAGAAAGGAACAACTGCTCACTTAGGTAGGCGCTCTGACATGGCGCACTCAATAAAAAACGCAGGAAAACCTTTAAACCTGGAAGATGCTGACGACGGTAATCTTGAAAAACAA